AAAACGAGGGGCGAGGCTGACCGACTGATAGGATGGTTGAACAGCCGAATTTGTCGTGCGGTGGTAGTGATTGGGTCCCTGGATTTCCGGGCCCGGCTTTGGGGGCGCGGTTTGGCAGTCCGGCTGCCCGCCGATCTGCCTCCCAGCCGAAAAAGAAACTATAGTATGGGGGGCCTTTTTTTTGAGCCTTATTCTTTGCTTTTCTATGTCCTTTTCCCTGATTTTTTGATTTTTCCTTTCCTGTCTATTTCTTTGCTTTTTATTGTGCTCTTTTTTATTTTCGGTTTTCTTTTCTTCTCCTTTCGGGTTGCGTCAAAGTACCTGCAACTCACTCGAAAGACATGTCCGGTCGCTGCAGCCCGATCTCCGTGCGGCTGAGATCGCCGAAAAAGGTTGACCAGGGGTGGAGCATTCAACTTCTATAGTCCGGATTTCTTCCCCTGGAGGAAAAAGCAAAGCAAAACCAAGGGAAAGAAAAAAGGCAATTACCTTTGAGACCCGGCAGACTATGATTCAACTGGGCACAAGGCTTCTGCTCTTCTGATCGTACCTTCGTCGACCTGTATAGCTGAATGATAGCATGCCATGAAAGCGCAAAAGGGGAAGAATAAGACGGCGCATAGTAGATCGCGATAGTGTCTATACTACCCCAGCATATACATGCATTATGAAACATTGCGCGCCCTTCCAATCTAGTCTAACTCGCATTTCATGTCCCAAATCTCACTGGCCCTCCCCTCTTACCCATGCACCCATCCGAGATTGATGTCAAAAGCTGCTCCCGGGCAACCAGACGAGCAACACACACACATCATCATCAACGCAATACCCACCCGACCGGTAGCCGCCCCTCCAAGGGCGAACATGCATCTGCTGACCCACCATGAAATGAAATTGTGCGGCAATGTCTGACAGCAAGTAGGGGGGTGTGCCGACGGCAGATCTTGAACCTTGTTGTGCGTGCTCCGGGAACCCTATGGTAGTGGACGATCAGTCCCTTGCTGCACGCAGCTGGGGCCTTGGTCTGTCGGTCAAATGTGGTGAACCCTATGCATTGGGAGGGTTTGGGACCGGCCGAAAGGGGAGGTTGCTTGGCTAGAATGCTCTATGCCCGATTGGCAGGATCGGTTTTATGAACGTAGGGTGAGGATAGAAATGGAAAGGCGGGTCTTCTCGTTATGGTTGATCTTGTTTTGTTATTTTAATTCTGGTCATAATCCAACCGTGGTGTAGGCTACATCGAAGCATCACTTTATTGAGCTCGGCAGGAACTGAATCAAGTTGGTTGAGTAGAGAAGCTGGTAGATGGGAATATTCGATTTGATCGACAACTCTCAACTTGAAGAGTGTGTATAGGTATCCTTCTAGAGTAGATAGTACATAGAGCCCCCTTCCATACTGAATAGCCTCATCTCTTCCTGCTGCCTTGTTCACTTACCGAGATGAGAATTGAACGTTCCAAATTCAGCTATCTCGCTTGATATCAGGACCTGAAGGGGGTCTGGGCTTCCATGACGGCACATATCTGACTTGGTTTCTTGAACGGTTTCAATTAATCGGGATAGCGACTCTCGCACTCTTTTGGTCCTCGGGCGTTCCTTCAACCAAATGAAAGGAATAGCGAACATGAATGACTTGGTAGAATCTCATTCAGAAAGCTGCGATGACCGACTCGTTCTGAGGGATCACAGAAGCTGAAATAGCCTTGAAAATCTTCAAAATTACTAGGCATGGAAGGCTCTACCACAGATGGCTCTTGTGTTGCCAAAACACCTACTGATTGGCAGATCAGTCTTTCTCATACTAATCTGTATAGCTTGTCAGGGCGATGGATGATGCATCAGTCTTGGTTCTGGCTGAATGACCATCTCCCCCCACCCTCATCCATAGCGCATTATCGTGTTCGTGGTCAGACACTCGAGACACTGTATGGAGGCAGTTACATGCATACATAAGCCGGCGATCTCTTTTCGTGTAGGATCTTGGCCGGTAAAAGTGTGGGTCTGTATTCTTCGATAAGTGAAAAGCTCCATGCTAGAGTGGACGAGATCGATATCAAAAGAATAGATACTGTAGTGGAATACTCGCAGCAAGCTTGACCCTCGAGAAGAGAAGGAGACAGAAGAGAGACGATGGAACAGAAGGCGCAATGGTGCGAATTAGATGAACCCCGTGCGACCATTGGGGACTACGATCCTGAGAATCAAGCTGAACGGGCTCTAATGCTGCCTTCGATCGGTTCGGAAAAGCCTTGATCGCTTCATTGGTCGCGAATCGCTTTCCAGTACAATCTTTGTGCTGAGCTACCGAGTCTGCGCAAAAGAGCATAGGTGTCTGACCGGGAATGATTGCGTTTGGTCGCGGGTGCCATCAATGCCAGATTTCTATTTTGGTTGGAAAGAGACCCATTTGACTAGATCCCTTTAGATCTCTTCGGGGCCCTTTCAATGGAGCCTGATACTTGTATGACAATGCATACTTAGAATGATATGACTGAATTAGGAGTCAGCAGAGGAAAAACAGAACCAAGGCAAGATTTGAGGTAGAAGAATTGAATCATCTCAGGTGAATTGACGAGGACCACAAATGGAGCAGGCTCGAGTACTTTAACCCTCTGTCATTGCTTTTGAGAAATCCAACTGATACAGGTGGATCTACCTAGGCTTTTCTCTCTGCAGCCTGCCAAAATGTACGGCATTGTGCATGAAGATGATTTGTCTACGCCCACGGAACAGAACTCTCCACGACGAAGATAAAATCCCGAGGGACAAGAAAGGGTGACAAATCAACAGCACACATCATGCTATGCATCCTGTCATTACGTGCTGGCAGTTACCGATCGATTCACGGGCTATCGGAGTGAAGTTCTCTCCCGAGGCAAGTATCTGATAAATGGGGATCGACGCGAATTGGCACGACAACGCGGAAGATACGCTTATATGGGGTCATAGTCCAGATACCTTCCCTCGGCCGAGATAACCCACTTTGGAATAAGCAACTCACTCATGTGAACTGACTATTTAATTAGTGAGGTAATTGACAGGGTCCCGAGAACGCCAGCCAGGGAAAGACCCTTTCCGTGGGATGCGGACGTCTCAGCACCCTGAAGTTTCAGGATCCGAGAGAGAGAGAATGCCCAGCCCCAAAGCCACGCAAGCCACGGCTCAGACCGCCCAGCCAAGGGTCCCCCTCGAGGGGAAGAAATTGCGTTGGCAGGCGCCGAGCACCCCGGAGTGTGGCCCAGAGGCGGATTGAATTTCTTGGGACGCCACGGTTCCGATCCAGCTCAAGGGTGCATCCAACCAGACACGACAGGTCTGGTAGTCAGACCCGATCAGAAGACCCTGCTGACTGGCGGCTGGTCGACGATGGACTCACCGGCAAGTCTGGGCAGCGGAACAGAGGGGGAGGAGAGGGGGGGGAAGCCAAGATCACGACCTGACATGCTCGCCCGAAGGATCAAATTGGCCGACCAGGGGATGGAAGGCTACCGTTATACAGCTTTGGGTTGATAGTGAAGAGACGGGAAGTCGAAGCTGGATGCAGCTATATGCATATCTGCACGATGTATAAATAGATGGTCGACTGCATGGTTTCATCCCTTATCTATTGATGCATAAACCCCGGGAGATTAAATGTGCATTCACTACCATGCGGATGCTACTGTTCTCTGGCGCCCCTTCTCTGGCGAGAACCCGGCGTTCTTGTTCTGTGATGATCGCGGATCCTATCCTTGAAGTCCGTCGTTGACACAAGACTTCCCTCGACTTCCCTCGACTTCCCTTAATAACGCGCTGGGCATCCTTTCACAAGAATGAGAGACGCTGCATGCCCAGGAATGTTCATTTCGACTATTGCAGCCAGTTACCTAATAGATATTGAAATCCCCAAACATCGTCATGCGACGAGAGAGCGGGGTGGATGGTTTTTTTTTGTTTGTTCTCTCGGCGTCTGGGCAGGCTCGGCATTGACGGCACCCCGAGGCTGAATAGGAGAAGGTCAAAGGTTTTCTGCTTCTGACGCTTGTTGCCTGCATTCGAACCCGCCGAGAATCCGCATCACAGGATGGGGATAAGGGTGAAATAGACATGGGTCGCCCCTGCCTCGATGGTGACCTCCGGCCCATCAAGGCCCCGTCAAGCCTCCATCAAGTCCCTGTCGAGTGTCCCATTCCCGAGTTGACGCTGTCGAGCTCGGGCCTAAGAGGACTCGTCCGAGGCCTCGCTCGGCGGTCACGTGCGGTACCGTGATACACAGCGCGCGTGCCAAGCAGTCGCCGGTTGCGGATCGCTCCGAATTAGACCAATCAACATCCCGACAGGCGGCTCGTCACCGATGCTGCGGCTTGGCGGCTTGGCGCCAGTGGTAAAAGAGGTGAAAGAGGTAAAATATCGTAAACCCGTGGTGGGACAGGCTTTGTCCAACCTGTCTGGTCACAGACCTGATCTGCAATTCTGCACAAAACCCATATACTCCCGGGTCGCGGAGAAGATCAATTGCCTCCACAGACGGAGGAGAGGGTGGTGAGGGCCAGCAGAGTGGATAGGCTCCCGATCCCCTCCAGACTATATACAATACATTGGCCGCGCTTGGTTGGAGTCTCGCAATGCCAAGGGCTCGGCACCTGGGCGCCTTGGCATGAGACCTGCAAACAGTTGGGAGATGCTCCTCCGCTGCCATGGCCTTTTCCCTGGCTCTTCCGCTGCGCGGTTCTCCGTCTTATAAGTCTGGTGCCCTTTCCGCCCTTCCTCCCCTCCCTCTTACGGTGAAAACGCCAGCTGGAGTCCCATCGATTTCTCCCTCCGTTTCTCTGCGCACCGCCCTCCACACCCCTTTTAGGAGAGCAGCCTGGTTGAGACCCTAGGACCCGGGGAAAAGCCATGGAATGAGCCCTATAGAGCCAGAAGCCGCCCTCTGTGCGCCCTGTATCACCTTCGTCTGGCCTTCTGCCTCGTACTACTGCTGGTCCTGCTCGTCCGTCCTCTCCACCCCAGCTCACCATGCGGCCGCCGGAGATGTCATATAGTCCTGCCTATCACCAGGCCCAGGACTCCCTCGGCGCCGCGGCTCGCCAGTCGATCCTCGCTCCTCTGCCTCGTCGATCTCTAGATCCTCCCCAGCCGAGCCATCCAGCCCCTCGGCGCCCCTCCAACGACAGCCCGGGCGTCCCAGTGAGCCCACGCTCCTCGACCCGGGGCTCCCATACCTATTCTCCGGAAACACCCCACCGTGTCTCCCGAATGGACGAGGACTCGACCGCTACGAGGATCGTGGCCTCTGGTGGCATCGTCCATAAAGAAGAACGTTCCCCCGGCAGCTGGACGGACCGGCCCTCGTTGATGTCGGCTGAGCACTCGGGTACCATTCGTGCACACAAGCGAAGTGCCGTCCCTGAGGTTCCCGCCGTGGAGAGCCAGGATGCGTTGCTCATGATTGTATGTATTAAACCTTTGGAAGCGGTGATGTCCCCCCTCCCCCGCGGGGGTCGGGGGGTCAAACGAGAGGCCGTGCTCACAAATCTTGCTATAGTTCCGCCTCTCTGTCCCGGTCCCCATTTACTCATTTGCGGCCTGCATCTATACATGTTGTGCCTTGATATTCGCTCTCCTGATTTCTCCTCTCCGTCTCTGCCCGCCTACCCCATATCTTCGCAACACATCCCTCAAATCCCAACTATGTGATCTCCTAGCGCCAGCTTTGCACACCCACGAGCGCCTCGTGCACCTGCGGCCGCCAGCAGCGGAACGGTCCTCCTCAACCCAATGGATCCATGCCGACCTCGAGTCCGATCAGTCTCCACCCCTCGGTGATCTGACCAGGTGTTATGCCGTCGGCGCATCCATTCTGATCTTAATTCTTTCCCCACTCCTCAGTATCGCCATCCTTCTCTGCGCCTGGACGGCGGCCTCATTCTGGGTCTTTGCCATGGTGATGGGTAACCCGGACGGCACCGAGCGGAAAGATGATGGTCGTGCTGCTGTACTCGGTGTCTGCAAATGGTGGCAGACTTGGCTGTGCAAGGCCCGGAAGCCCTCATGACCCAACGCTTGGCCCCACTTGCGGGAGCTCTCATCCTCATCTTCCCCACGGCCCACGCGGGGAAGGGGATATCATTACCGCACTTTAGACCTGGGACTATCAAACTCCTCACCAACGTCCCTGTCCCTTCTTCTACCTCTGGTGGTACGACATGGCCACGCACGGGAATGAAGAGGGAGACTCTGATCCCCACGTGGAACGAACCTCTCGCATTTTTTTTTTATCTTCTCTTTGACAATATTTTTCGTCTCTCCCAAGAGACCATGACTATACACTTTGGAGCCTTTTGCATCTATTTGGGATGTATACGGAGTCTAAGGCAGGACTGTTTATTTGATTTGGTTTATGTGGTGTCTGGAAGCGGGTGCATATACATATCGTTTTCTTTTCTTTTTTTTTTGCTCTTTGGGTCGCTTGTTCATGGCTTCCTCTCCCTTTTTTTGTCCCTTGCTGGAGCTTCCCCCTCTTGCTTTCATCCTTGCGGGTCTTTGATGGAGATAGAGTGTTTGCTTGCTAGGGCAACCCCTATCCAGTGAATCTGCCTGTGCTACCTGTACCTGTACTTGTATGTATAACACTTTGATCTGCAAGAGGGAGGTGTTGTATGTACGTGCTCTTGTGTGAGCATGAATTGATACCCAGGTTGAGAAACCTCCTTTACCACTGCTTGTCTAAATGGAATTTGAATGACTTTGATGGCTTTCTTTCTTTCTTCATATCTTCTATAGAAGCGGTGAAGAGGATGTGAGTTGTCCTACTGATCGGTGCATACATATTCTGTTCCCACTGAAGGAAGAGTAGCCAAAATCTAAAAAAAGAGACATTGAATACCATACATTGGTGAATTGAAGTAGACATATCTGGTCGGCGAGAATGGGCCGGCTTGTTACCTTGTGAGGCAACTTTGAGGGGTTCAATCCCGTATGGGCGGTGGTGGTGTGATTTCTATCGGGATAGAAGCCCCCATACAGGTACAAAGTCTCCAAGGTGTACTCTATTATGGTCCCATTTGAGCCAAAGCCTATGGGCGTATCATCCTCTAGAATAGCTCCAACGTCAAGCCTCTCCGGGGGCGCAATGTGCATAGCCGGTGACTGAGAAACCAGCCCCCGAACCGTCGTCATCACTTCAACGGCACCGCAGCTCCCAAGCCTGTTAATAATCAAGTGGGGACCGCACGTGCGAAGCTCCGGCCTTGGAAGAGCTCGACTTTTCCCACCGTGTTTCTTCAATTCTCATCGGCGCTCTAGTCGCCTGTTTTTCGACAATGGCTTCTGTTGCAGAAGATTCCCCGCTGTTACCCCAGCCGCAGTCACCGCGGTCGTCGCGGGCCTCACGGTCGGTGACCTTCAATCCGCTCACAACGATCAGCACCTACGGCGGCACCACGGCCTCCGATCCGACCTTTCGTCCGTTACAAACAGGCTCTCCCCCTGTTCAGAATATCAATGCCCCAGGTGGGCACTACCGTCCAGGAAGCCAGCCCATGCTGTCCGCCCTGAACAGCAAGCTCCGTCGCCGCAACAGTCATGGTGCTCCCTTGACCGCCCCACCGAACACAGCAGCCGTGTCTAAAATCGGACCACAGCGGACCACTAAGAAAGCACAGAAGCTTAAGCTGCTTCCCGATCCTGAACGGGCAGAGGAAGAAGATGAAGAAGTGGATGGAGATTTCCCGCGAGACGTCTATTCCCAGATTACCCGCATCAAAGAGCCCGCAGCGCGAAGTCACGCTGCTCGCCTGGGCAAGGCCGACCGCGATCGTATCCCTCGAGTCACTGCATATTGTACGGCAAACTCCTATCGGCTGGAAGGCGTGATCAAGTTCCTTAAATCCCGATCCAAAACTCGTGGCGCGAATCCCAAGCTTTTTGACGAGTGTGTCTACTCTCCCTTTGACTACCAATTCGAGGAAAAGCAAAAGACTAGCCGGATATTCCCCGGACCCCCGGGAAATGGCCATCATGAGAGACGACCCAGTGAACGCAGATACTCCGACAGTGCAGTGGAGGTGGAGGATAATACGAAATCTCGCCGAGAAGATCTCATCGACTTCCATGATGAACCCGGCCATGCGACTGAAGCCAGTTCGGAACATGCTGTTTCCACTCAGCAAGCAGATGACGCCTTTGACATCGACACTACAATCCATACACCTGAAGTTTTTCTTTTCGATTATGGCACCGTTGTCATCTGGGGAATGACGCCTGCACAAGAATCGCGTTTCTTGTCTGATATATCGAAGTTTGCGTCTTCGATTTTAAGCCCCGACGATACCCAAATAGAGAACTTCAATTTCTACTATGCGCGCGAGTATCAGGCGCGAATCTACAACGATTTTATCTCTCTCCGCGAACCCCGCAACCATATGATCAAACTTGCAATCTCACATGCGCTGGCTCAATCAGTGAAGACTTCGCTCTTCGAGGATCTTGTCTCGGAGACAATCACAGATACTGCGCCACTTCCAGCTCAGATCGCACAGACTGGAAGTGTGAATCTTACGCGGCGGCAAATCAACATGCAGATTGGAGAATTATTCATCCTGCGAATCAACATCCACTTGCAAGGTTCTGTCCTTGACAGCCCGGAGCTTTTCTGGGCAGAACCTCAGCTGGAGCCAGTATATCAAGCCGTCCGAAGCTATTTGGAGATGGATCAGCGAGTCAGTCTGCTCACCGAGCGACTGGATGTCATTGCGGATCTTCTTGCTGTACTGAAGGACCAGTTGACCCATCGGCACGGAGAATACCTTGAATGGATTGGTAATTGTTCCCGGAAGGAATGTTATTGATTTTGAATCAACACGCTAACTTGGAATCTAGTCATCGTGCTGATCGCAGCGGAGATTTTGGTCGCTGCCATCAATATCGTGGTCGACCTCTACGCCGGTGTCGACTAAGCACCCATCACACCCATTCGGACATAGTTCCAATTGTGTAGAAACAACAGAAAAAAACACATGCACCGCTTTTACAGGTCGATCTCCGAATGTGTGACATGGCGCCTATCTAAACCTGCTTGGCTTGCACAAACATCACACAAAGCAAACCTCTGATATGAAACAAGCACCGACCTTCCCGTAACCAACAACCCTCTTCGATGACCCGACCCGCCGGAGATGTCCTTGGAAAACAGTTCTCACCGCATCTGCCAAGGCGTTACCCTATCCTTCCACAACAGAACGCCTATCATGAGACTACCCAATTCCCAACATTACCTCGTTGCTACACATGCATTGCAAGCACCACTCCTCCCCCAGAGCTGTCTTTCTGTACATGAAAAAGATGGGGGCTCCATTTTACTACAATAATCCTTTGTCTGTCGTCTACTTACCTGGGGGCCTCGGAGTTAGGTGCTTTTTGATTTTGTTTCCTTATCTGACAAGCGACCGGAGCTAGGGCGCTTGTCTTGATTTGTATAGCTCACCATGTTCATACATCGATGAATGCAATACCTCAATAGCTTTTGATGATTCAATTTGATCCCAAGTGGTTCGTCTCCAGATAATTGCCTTCTTTCTAGGTGTCTTAGGCCGGGAGCTGAAAAGCAGTGGAAGTCACAAATGGGGGGGGGGGGAGGGGGGAGATCTGGCCAATGGACACTTCATGTATTATTGACATTACAATCATATCGTCACTAGGCCTTCGCCTAGCCACATACAATCGAGTATGTGGTATGTATCTCTAGACAGAACTCGACGAGTTTGAAGAGTGGTGTACAGTGGAGAACGCTTATACTCTACTGCTTCCCCCTGCGCCTACCGACTGACCTAGCAGGAGTCTGAGCAGTAGGAAGAGGAGAGACACATGTAGTTTGACGAGATCCAAGATGAGGAGCAGCAGGAGAAAAACAACTCTAGTACTAATCCACAGTAAATATTAAGCTAGGGTGAAATATACGTACACCCATGTGATGTGTTAGCATGCATGGATTCTATTCCATGACGTCTCGTAGTTTCTCTCATAGCGCAACCATTTTACTTAAACCCCCCGCCCCCCAATGCTTCCTAGCAGCATTTTTAACAATATGATTTCATGGATTTCCATATGGGCAACGCGGAGGAGGCTTGTGGAGATCGGTACTCCGATTCCTGTATATCACCATCTCTACTCATATGCCGCTCCTCGTATATCCGAAACTTGGACATGTCTACTGTTTTTCTTGACCATTGAATGAACCCGGCCTAGTTTACTAGAGACAACGATCTGGGATCTGAAATGACTTGATCTTACTCGAGTTTGTTTGACTTTGATTCATAATTAGTAGACACATGTGCTTGATAAAAAAAAGAACCCCACATCCCAGAAACCCCCTCCCCTGTTAGGCAGCCTTGCAAGTACTGGACATGCGGAGTAGGAAAGGCAGAGGGTAAAGTTGGCCATCAGTCAACGGCGAAAATCCATAACCAGCGCTATATGAAAGGAAGACCCAAGGAAAAACAAATAGAAAAGAAGAGAGGGGACAAACCTCCCGTTTTCAAAGAAAAATGAAAATGAAAAGAAAAAGAAAAAGCCCTACACCAGCAGAAGGGGAGGTAGAGAAGAAGAAAAACATGGATTCCAAGGCTGAGAGGTATAAAGGCTGACGCGCTCACCCTTGTGCCTCTTCCTTGGGCTCTTTCGCATCCACATCCATGGGCGTGGTCCCGGAATCGGCACCTGTTTCGCTGGCCTGCGTCTGGTCCTTCTCTTCTCGATTCTCGCCATTGGCAGGCGTGTCCTCGCCTTCATGACCGGCTCCATTGCTGTCGGCCTGCACACGGAACGAGGACGTAAGATCTTGCTGGCTCGGGGCTGGCGCGAGACGCGGGAGCGAGGAGCTGTCGGCATCGCGGTCTGCGTTCTCGGCAGCAGTCTCAGCGGCATTCTCGGCGGCGTTCTCTTGCCCGGGCGTATCTTCGTCAGCAGCCTCGACATTGACATTGGACTTGCGCGAGCGTTTGACTCGGAGCGGGCGTTCTTCGGGCTAACATTCGAGCTAACGGTTAGTTCCATCAGATCGAATCAGACGTAATCCGGAAAAGAAAACGGGCGGCGTTGTAAAGGCAAACAATATGCCCACATCACAGAACAGAATGGGGCTCGATGCAGCCTTCAGTCCGAGACAAACACGATCCTGCACCGCCAAGAAAAAGCTCTGGATGACCTAGCTACTTACAGTGGGAGGTTGCTCATCCGAGCTGCCCTCGGTATCATCCTCAAGGTATCCGCCATTCCCGGCCTGCGATGACCCAGCCCCGAGGCCGTTCAACGTCGACGCACTCGACAACATGGCTACAGCACGGGCGCGCAATTCCGGATCTCCGGCACCGGACTGTGCTTCCTCGGCCATGCCGGTAACTTTAGACAGGCGCTCGAGCAGCATGCAGGACTCGAGGCGCATCTTCTGAATATACTGCCAGCCGCGCCGATTGCGAGTACGCATGAGGTCATTTTCAACCTCGACCTCGGCGAGGCGCTTCTTGAGGGCGGCGCATTTGCGCTTGTAGGCGATTTCCACGCTGGGCGGGTTCGCAGAGGGATTGGTTGTTGGCGGGCGGGTTTCCATTGTGGGTGGCTGTGATGATATAAGAGAGGAATATGGGAATGAGGGGATGAGAAATAGAGCTCGGGCGGTTTGAACCGAGATTACTCTTGAGAATTGAGTGTGTCGTTGGACGGAGGATGTCGGTCCAGTGGAGGCCGGTTGGATTAGAGTGGAAGGGGGAGGAGGCCGGGCCGAGAAGATGGAGTAAGGGTGGTAGAGTGGCGGATTGCGGATGCGAAGTGAGGAAATTGGTGTATATAGAATCTGAAAATCCGAAGAGAGCGGTCCAGGCCCGAATCCTGGGGTGCAAGGAGATGAAGGAGTGCTGAGTTTCTACGCCGTGATTTGTTTCTGCCGATATATCGAAGGCGGTGAATGCATTCCATTGAAGCTACCGAAGCGCTAGTAACGAGATCCTACGTATATTTCTTCTCTTTTATCTAATGTCCACCAGTTGTGGGAAGGCCCAAGAAGACCTTGAATGAGTCATAGCTGTTTTCAGGATTAGGAAAGATGTCCAGACTCCATGGATGGGAGGAGATCACTCACATCAACCACTGGAAGCCCGTCAAGGTGCCGAGCATCACGATACGGACGGGCAGACCATTCCAGAGCCCCGAGAATCCGATGTTGCCGTAAATCCGCGAGACAGCTTTCATAGCACCCTCACCAGCTGTATTGACCTTGTCAGATCTCCACTTAAGGGGGACTTCACGGCGGTTGGTACTCACGCTTTCGATCGGCATTCAACTTGCTCACCATGACATCGGCCGGATGACTGACGATGGCGCAGAAAATACCCGCAATGTATCCACCGAGGAAGCTCACCCCAGTCTGGGTCAACTGGCCAAAGCTTTCCTTTGGCTTACCCATGGTCTTGTAGATCATGCTCACCGTCTCCTCAAATGTTGCAAACTTGGTCATGGTGTAGGGGATCTGACGCGCCCACAGCGGGTAGAGACCCTTGTACAGACCACTCATTCCCTCCTTCGCGACAATACGGCTCCATCCCTCACGTAGGGTACTCGCGAAGGGCGGCAATGTTGTTTGCATGCGGACCTTGATCGCCTCCAACGGGCACAGCGCCATATCGGCGAAGAACTCAGCGGAGGCCGATGCACCGAGAAAGACCAGGGTGCGATTGCTCTGCGGGAACATATTCTCGCCATAAAGGTACTTGAAGTACTCGTAGAGACCGTACTTGCCGGCTCCCTGGAACGAGTAGCCCAAGAAAGTGGGTGACCAACCAAAGAAGACCCCGCGGAGGCCCTCCTTAGCAAAGATCGAGCGCCATGCAGAAATGTTGGAGGTGTAGATTTTGGGATCGACCTGGCGACGACATTTCACGAGATCCAATGGTGTTACGGCAGTATGAGTTGGTCCTAGAAGAGTAACCGGGTCAATTGGAATGCGAGAAAGTTATGAGCACCGACCGATTGAACCTACCACAAGCTATGCGCCGTACAGAAATCGATGGTTAGTCTCAAGCCGTGTAGGTCGTCAGGATGGCATGGACTTACCGATGATTCCACCAAAAGCACAGCTGTAGAAGTACTTGGCGGAGTTGGGCTCGATCTTCCCAAAGGGAAGCTTCCGTTCTTGGATATTCATTGTACTTGAAGGGACAGAAACAAGAGGAAGCGAAGAGTATGGGAGGGAGGGAAAAGCAGGAAAAGCAGGACAAGAGGAGCAGAAGAGGAGCAGTGGAAGACGAGGAGGGAATGGCGTCAGTGCACAATGCGACGTGCACAAGTCGCAGCTTATCCGTCGACTATGAATGGGCTCTGGACCAGGATCCGACGGGAACGGCTACGCCGGCAAGATGGGGCTTATCGACGTCGATCACCATTCACAGTAATAACGTCCGCAACCACGAAAGAGGAAGTGTTCGAGAGATATGTACCTGGTCCCCAACGACGAGCCGAACCCATTGGGATTGCATGCCCCCAGCCAGTCATCGACCTTGTTTCTAGCTTCAAGCTTCACGTTTCGTGTTTCGTTACAGGAAGCGCCGTGAGTGATGACGTCACGAGATCCGGTTGGCCCGCCGAAATCTCCACTGCGATCGAATCAATTTGTATACAAAGCCCAAAACCAGTTATGATTATTGTGTGTACATATTGCGCCAGTCCCCGCTCCATGCTGATATCGTCACATCGTAGCCTAGTTCTAACAAAGGATTCCCCTCCAATTCATACATATGAGACAACGCCCCCGCCAACCCCCATGGATTCTACATGTCATACAGATAACTCTTGCTTCCCCGGTGGGCCGATGACGGGGGCCCGAGACGAAGTGGGATCTTCGCGCATTTGTTCAGCTTCGCGCGCAAGAATCAGAGCGAGCTTGATGCCGAGGGTTGACCCGATACGTGACAGCACGGTGCGGATCTGATTCACCTGGGTGGGCGTAGGCATACCGCAAGAAAGGATGTACCAGAGTGGCCAAAGAAGGCCGTATCCCTGGGCGGCCCGCATGGACGACCGGCTTTCATCGTTCAGTTTAGTCGGACGGCCGAGTTTGTCGACATCGCCCAGGGAAAAGGGGATACTGCGGCAAACATCTGAAGTCATTTCTTGAATAACGGACCGGAGGCAGCTATCGTTGAGTATTGATGCTGGTTGCTGCGAATAGCCGGGTGGTTTATTCTTCTTGATAATGGGGAGGAGGGTGCGATTGAGGTTGAGAAGAAGCTGCTGTAGCATGACGCGCACCGCGCGGTAATAGTTCCATATTACAGCGTTGGAGATACGGTTATAGGTAACCAGGGGTTCTCCCTGGTCGGAATAGACGACTAGTGGCAGCCACCGATCGGGAAGGTGAAGAGTCCACTGAGAAAGCTCCACATCGCATTCCTTGCCGGCGATAATCCACGACTCAACGGTCGCTGGGTCCGGCGGACTAGGAGAGGACTGCATTGACAGGAAAAGCTGGCTGAGCTTTGACGCGGCAAGCATGAGTGACTCAATGGGGTCATTCTCATCCAGGAGGGTCAGCACCCAGTCTATATCGTATCGGGGTTTATCTCCTAGAGCAAGGATTTCCACAAACTGGAGCACTATCAGCATATTTCTTGTTGGAGTCTGTCGGGACAAGTATACGCGTACCGTATGTGCATAGGCAAAGTTGAACATATCACGGCCCCGTTGGTGACCCAGCTGACTTTCGCCTCGCAATTTCATCAGAAATTCAAACCCTGCGGTATGGGAGCTAAACAGACCATTCCGTTCGCCTGTGATATCTTCGAACAGCGAGAGAAGAACCACAGATGCGAAGGTCTCATCCTTAGCCGCGAGGGTCGGGGAATCTAATGCCTCCCGCAAGCTATGGATGGCTTTACCATAACTTTGTCGTGCCTTAATTATAAGCGGGGGCGCATGTGTAACATTGGCAAATGTCATGAGCGCGGTGGCATCCACCGCCCATCGAAGACAAGCCGACGGCGACCCCCCACTTTGGTGGCCGATTTCACCACACCGGGCGTACAGAGGAGGCAGATACTCGAGGTGACCCATGCCATCCTCTCCTTCGCCCGTGATCGTGAATTGATCAAAGAAATAGCAGACAGCTCGCTCTTGCCAGGTTGCATCGGCGATGCGATGGAGGGTCAAGGCCGACGTTTGCGAGGGACTTGACCACCGTCGGTCCACCACCGACAGAGATTGGGATGCCGTGCTTTGGGTCTCACTGCTGCATGAAGATGAACTGGTATCTTTCTTTGCTTGTCTTTCGACTTTCCGAGTCTCATTGCGGAAAACCGCATCTGGCCGGTAGCCTGGACATGGACGACCATAGACACCACAATTTCGGCATTCTGGGCGGCCTTCATCGCACTAGAGCTGATTTAGCATAGCAATGGAATTTCGAAAAGAGAAAAAAGATGATATATCATCGACAGATGGAGGGTAATGGCAGAAAATAGGAATAATGAAGGCTCCAATCTCTTCTGATCAGTCCTCGCACTGGGTTTTTCTTACCTTGATCTTCCGCTTGCGACACAGGTAACATCCAGTACTCGGCTTACCCCCATAGACCATTGTTCACCCGGGATCAGTCTGGTGCAATGGGTGATTCAAGGCTTTAGGGGGGTGGCACTATGCTTTGGGGGGCACGAGGCTCCGCTCCTCGCGATCTGGGGGACGGGGGGTTCCACAGATTTGGGGAGATGGTGGCGTGCTTATCATCAACATGCAAATCAACTCGGCTGCCTGATGCGACCGAGATGCATGTGCATCGTCAACGCGGTGGATGCACGGGATTTCTAGAACAATCAATGCAGCTGCGTCAATAGTGGCACGCCTGGGTTGAATCACAGACTGTGAGAGATTGAAGCTCGTAACCTTAAGAAATGTCAATGCCCGCACTGCTCCCATCATTAGTCAGCTCGTCCACGATGCCAACTAGAACAGATGAAAATGCAATGCACTTCAAGAGGGTCAAATTGGGTGTGAAATCAATTGTTTTGGCAAATAAAAAGCAAATACTGAAACATTGAAACATATCTGTACATTGAGTCATCTGACGAGTGTCGACCATGAAGTATGTGTTGGGCTGGCGGGGTCGGGTCGGCATGGACATCTTGCATTACATGGGCAATGATTAGCAAACGGAGCCACCTCATGCCTATGCCAGAGCATTTAGCATCCTCTCATGACAATAACGTTGTTATATGCTACAGGCTCTAGCAGAGTGTGGTTGCGTCAAGGAAGAATCTATACTGTGGACATAGAGCACGCTGAATCACTCTGTCAATAAAGATCTTAAACAGTAGATTTTCCAGTAGATGCCCCTAAATTAACTTCCAGCCAGCCAAATGAAGAACATGCTCTAATTGGCGATGGCCGAAAAACAAATTTTATATGGTCTGAGAAATGATAAAAATAACTGCTAGGCATGCACAAAGATGAATCATCAAGTATAATCCAGAAATCAGGCTTTGCACAGGGTCACGATAAGCACACTAAAGATGCAACGTATGTATGTACAGGATCAGTGCAGTAATCTCAATATGGAGAAATTTCCCGGAATCTCGTTCTGTTGGATTAAAGTAGAAAAGCAAAAGATAAAGGTAGTCCGCGCAGGTCATGCATATCACATTCATCGCCGTTTGAATCCAGAAGAGCCGCCAATCGTCCTTCGCAGTCCATTGGCATGTGCTGTACTCCGTTCCCGCTTGAGCCAATTCTCCTTGAGATTTCGCCCACTCTTGGAAGACTTGGGGGCCAGAGCTGGCTTCGTATTCTTTTTGGTAGAGGGAGCATCCAACACTCGAATGGTGACATCGCCCACGCAGACATCCTTCGGCGCCTTCTCTGTCCGCTCCAGAAACCGGAGCTTATTTGGCTTCTTCGGAAGTACAAATTCATCCTCGGCTTCGGGGGTCGGAGGTCGGATGACGGGCTCAGCATTCAGGATATCATCTGGGAGTAATGCGGGAAGGGCGCGTTGTCGCGCATCTTGTGTGTTCGAGCCCTGAACGGTGACAGTGCTCTCGGACATGAGGTCATCGATGGGTGATGTGAGCTCGTTGGGCTTTGACAACTTGGCCTGCAGTTTTCGGCGTTCATCCAGCTTCCTCCGCTTCTCTCTCTTAACCTGTTCCTCTCTGTAGCGAATGTGAGCAAGATGAAAATGGAATCCTCTGGGGTGAATACACTGCACATACAATTGCTTCGCTTTTTCTTGCTTCTTGGCCTGCTCTTTAATCTTCAAGAGCTGAGCAGAATTATCAATCGACTCAGGCGCCTCGTCATCGCTATCCTCCTCTTCATCGTCGTGGGCGTTCTCATGGATCGTCTGGGGCTGGGGCTCTGGTATCTCGGGCACATCGGGGTCTTCGCTACCGAACCGAAAGTGGTTTTTGGGTGCAGATGACTTTTCATCATTCACAGCTAACTTTTTCAGAGTACTATTGCCGGTATCGTCGTCGGTCGCATTGCCTGCTTCGAGGCTGTTCCTCTTCCTCCGCTTGCTCTGCTTTTCATCTGTTTTTACTGCCGAAGTAGGCTGTGCCTTGCGCTTTCCATGCTTCACAGAACCTTTGGTGATCGTCTCTTGCACAGGTTGGGCCGTGACAGCTCCTCGTCTGGTGGCGGACACCATGTTGGATGTGGTGGCAGAGTCGCTTGCAGTACCTGCGTGTTCTTCTTCGGACTCGTGTCGCGTAAATAGACCCTTAGCCGCAGTGACCAGATTGGCAAACATAGAGAGGAATCCAGGAATCCAGTAAATTCTTCTTCCCAAGGGGAGGTTGCGTCGAGCGCAAGTGATGCAGCGGCCAAAAAAAATCGGTCGGTCCTAGTATTTCCCGACGAGCGGAGGTTCTCCACAAAGGCTTGGCGGTCTGGCTTATCTACTGCACAGTATCCTGGGATAACTGAACTAACTTCTTATTCTGCTAGTACTAGTCTGTCCTTGCTTAACTAGATCGGGTCGACAAGAATCAGCGTAGAGGAAATTCTACCACCAAATGAACATTGTATATATGCAGCTCGACTTCAATAAAGAAAAATTATTTTTTGAATCATGTTCGAAAGCCATCCTCTGTCCGACTCTGGAGACCACAAACGCCATTAGCGATCATCTACGCCACGATCAAGCAGTGGAAATAAAATCCTGAAAGCACGGACCTAAAGTTGTGAATTAATATCAATTGGGAATCAATATCTGAGTTCTAGTTGTCTGTTGAATCCTAAGAATCAAAATCCAGGTAATGTCTCAGAGAAATCGCCCTTCTTTAGCCAACCAGCTTTCAACATAATTATAAGCAGTGACGAGAGTGTTTCCAAACTCTCCAGGATAGGATTCACAAGCAGTGCAAGTATCAATAGTGTGCTGCGCACCTTCGACAAACGCAATAGAGGTATCATTGCTAACGGCGTTAAGATGGATTTTCTCCGCGTTCAAGTACTCCCAGTGGCCCGTCATCCCCATTGTCAGAAGAGGAACCCTGACTCCCTTGATTGCGGCGACCGGGATCATTTGACTCGAGCTGTAGTCAATTCCGTCTAGTCCATCAGCCTGGTATGAAAAGCCCTCACCTACGCGGATAGCGAATGTCGATAGATACCGCTTAACGGTCGTCTTAAGGGCACCGCTTTGATAGTTATCTGAGTAGTCCACAAAATTGCTTGGCACTCGTACAGACGGGACGATCTGAGTGGTTGTCCCATTTTTGTGTAGGAGTGGCCAGGCATGAGAGGTATGTGCGAGATATCGGGTATCCTGAGCGAAGAATTGATTATTGAAACCAATGTAAAGGGATGCAGGAATAGTCAGAGGCTCATCATCGCCAAATGCCCCATTGCCAGCTTCAATTTCCTCAAGTCGCTCCTGCGCATATTTGATAATGCGATTGTTTCGGGCAACGATGTTGCTCTGGAATAATTTTCTGAATGCAGCCGTGTAGTGAGACCGTGTATTGTTGACAAATCCGTTGGCGGTGTTGAAGAGACTTAAAGACTGATTGATCTTCAAACCAGAAGTTTCGCTGATGACAGCTGGATTGAGGCTCAAAAATGCCATGGTAGAGAGTCCATAGTTGGCGTCAAGTAACATAAGGCCGTCTGCAGGCTCCAAGTCGGCCATTGCATCGGAGCATTGATAAATCTTCTCCGATCCACGGCATGCTACAACACCATTTTCAGCGATATTCTGGTATTGAGACATCATCGCACCGCCGCCACTGTGGCCCAGAATGACAATTTTGTCAATATCGGTCAGGTTGCGAAGATATGCCATGCCCTGATTCACTTCCGTCATCATGTCTTCGAAGTTGAGGTCTGACATATATCCGCTCTTACTTGCATCATTATTGGCACAAAATACAGTGAAGCCACGTTTTGGAAGCTCGGTACATGCTGAGAAAGAGGTGTAGTCCTGTTCAGCATGCATCACGTAAACTGCGATGCGGGATTGGCGTCCAGTATCAGACGGCCGATATAGCCCTCCGAGAACTCCATCGTCATCAAAGTCAACAAGAACAGGTTCTGGCAGAGAATAATTTGACGTCGCAACTGCTTGTTGACAAAGACCTTGGAAGCATATAAGGCCAATAATAGAAGGTCTCGTGAGACCCAACATATCAGTCTATAGCAAGCAGACTCTATCAGAGACTCACAAGAATAAGGTATCAAATGAAAGACTTAAAAGATGAAAATCTAATGCTTCCCATGGCAGAAGCTACCTTTATATTTTATTGTAGATAAATTCCCATAGAGACAGTTTGATCTTCAATCGGACCTCCACCTTCCGTCCACTCGCATGATTCTGCAGATGCGCGTACGTAAACATCTCCATGTTCCCCACATTCTCTATTCAAGCGAAATATGACTAGTCTTCATCGGTATTAAACTCCGCAATCCAAACAAATGATCAGCGATCCCATAACTAAATAGTTGGGAAGGGAAAATTATATTTGCATTATTGTGCTGCTCGGGGATAATTACTTTATACAGGAATGTGGAGGGTCGGAGATGCAAGTGTTAATGTGGAGAAGGGATATGTAGGCCGAAGATCACAACAACCGTAGGACTGAAGAAAGGATGACCTCAGGCTGCGGATTTTCTGGATCTAAAATCAAAATCTGAGAGCACCAATTAAGCCATGAGCCCCGCATGATCAAAGAATCATGGACTAAGCGTAAGTCCACGTAAACACTCTTAGTTTCTCGCCATTTCTACATTGGCAATATATTCATGCGGCACTAGTTTATGTAAAATAATATGTAGCAATGTGACTATTACACATGATCTGCATTTGAGTCAACCTCAGAAGTTGTACGCAGTCAACCAAGTTTTCTGTTATCATTTTTCGCTCGTACAGCTGTATTATGAATTGGTCAATACAACGTCTCCCAGCAGTGACTGGAAGTCCGAGTGCCGTCGCGAATCACAATGTGATCATTTGCACGGAAAGCGCAAGGAAAGTTTTCATATCATCTTGCAACGAGAGCTTTTGGTGGGAGATATGCTCCCACTATATGTGGTGGGGTTGCATTAGGCTATGTCCATTCAACAAGTACAAAGAGTTAGCTCTTTCATATCGTTCGAAGCTACAGCAGACAAACAAAATCATTCCAAGCCGCTGAGAAGCACAAGACTGAATATCATCTTTCGGCCCGGAATTAGTGATATAGGATGCTAAATATGCATGGACAGGGCTCAGACAAATTCAAGACCCGCACTGCAAATCACATTTCAAATAGAATGTTGAGAATTCAATGAATTCTAGAAGCACATAGATAATGGTGAAGAAAAGGTCATTAGATTCTAGCCCGCGGGCTCCTGGAAAAATTCATTGGTATCTCAAATCCCACATTCTTAACGCCAAATCAAACCCGAGCCTTTCAGCCAAGGACCCATAAATAACCAGAAAGACGCCATGTTCTCCGATGGAGATGTATGAACACCAATAGGGACAATCTAGAGAAAATTGAAGAATCAAACGCCTGCCTGAAGGGTGGCAGCCACCTGCTCTCGTTCCATGGCCTCCTCCTTAGAGTTAATATAGTCATCCTCTCCAATATCGCTCACTTCATCCAAGAGCTTTGCCCATTCATCTGCATCATCTCCACTGACTGTCCACATGCTTTCTCTCAGGCGCTTATTGCGCTCACGATCCTCCTCGATTCTTTGTTCAATCTGTCGTTTGTCGACTCGCATACCATGGGCTTTGGGGTTACGCGGGGTCCCAGTTTTGGACCTAGCACTGTCTTCGGGCCCTTCTTCTTGTTCTAGATCCAAATGGGCCGGGTGTGTATCGCGATCCTTGAGGGCGGCGTCGATCTCAGTAACGGTTTCGGCGGAGAGGATTTCCTTGGTCTGCAAGCTACCCAAGACTCGACGAACGTGTTTCACATTGGCAGCACCGGTACCGTCAGGTGGAACAACTGCATCGACGACGCGGAGAATGTCTCGTTGCATCATTCGAACGTAGGGAAGGTGGTTCTCTTTGGTGGCCATTTCACAGAAGTGTTCGATGAAGGACATTATATTGGCTCGGTTGTTCATGTTATTCTGTAAAGCTCCAGTCAGCATGAAAAGAGATAGTATAGAAGTTGAGAGTTTGTGGTACTCTTTCAAGCTGCTCCAATATACAGGAATGAAGATCCTCATCCAGATCGCGGTATTTGAGAGCATAGTGGGCCGCTTTTTGTGAAGACGTGACGGAGGCACTCAGGTGCTGCAGCTGAGTTGTGAAGCGCATTCGCACTTCAAATGGATCAACCATCATCTTGGTCACCAATGCTCCTGTTTTCCCGACAGAAGGAGATTCTGATGGAAATGAATGCTCCATATTGGTGATTGTGCGGTGTAGAATGGCAGAATAGTGGGGCGTTGATCGATGTGACGGGCCTGCGAGTTTGGTTGGGGTAGGAAAGAGTAGAGGGGATCTCGACAATCAAGCACACACAAAGAGAATTCTGTATCATTGTCATAATGAAAGTCCCTCGGCTTTGTTTGAATATACCAGTGATATGTAGCCGGGAAAAGCACCTCCAGAGGGGAAAGGGGAAAGACAATATGGCCATCGCTCGATTATGTCTCCACTGTTTACACGTAATTACCTTGTGCTTTCCATTATATGTTCACTAGTCTTAAACAGAGATTTCTAGAACCCTTTATCCAAGCCTAAAGCAAACCCTCCATCTAGGAATTGCAACTACTTGTATTTGTGAAAATATGCTGGCATAGCACACAACCAAAATGTCAAACCCCATACTTAGGTAGATCCAAGATATATTCATGAAAGAAATCTACTAGAAAGATGCTAGATCTAGCAAGCACGATTGTTACCCCCGCAAGAAGCCTTAAGGGTTCATTGTACAAGATCGAATTTGAATCAAAAGGAATCTCGCCTCAATGAGCCGCTGAGACTGCTCCTCTCATCCGTGTGCAGCAAGCCTGCCTCTTCAGCCTGATTGCTATCTTGGAAATCCTGTCCTCGAAGAGCCTCTTGCCGACGGAACTCAACACCATTCAGTACAGACCATACATCTTTTTTGGTGAGCAAGCCTTGAAGAATCCCCTTGTTTGCGAAAAGCACATAACGCAGGCCCAGTCTCTGGAACATGCGAAGCACAACCAAGAAGCTAATGTTGCTATTGAGCGTGATGGGTGTTTGGTCCATCCATGGTCGGAGATCCAAAGTTTCCACAGGGTCTGCAAAGGGCTGATGCACGAAGAAAACTTGTGTTTCCTCCGACAAGTTGCGACTGGCAGAAGAGGTAGAATATTTCAAAACGTATGAAAGTTCATTGCGGGTGATGTAGCCTAGGAGAATAGGCGTCGAGGTTTCGGAGATAACGGGGAATCCGCGGTAGCTTGTGGTATTGATAATCGATTGAAGAGAGCCAATTGTATGACCAGTGGCAGTAATAACAGCGAGGTCATCTACCGTGGTCATAACACGATGGGCCGAGACATCTGGCGGCGTTGTGTCATCACGGTGATCCAGAAAAGGATACTCATTCAGTTGGATCCAAGATTCATAGATACCGCGCTTGCCGAAGATATCACCACACCATTTGGATAGCATGACGGCAATCATAATCGGAATGACATATGTCAATGCACCTGTCAACTCGAACATGATGACGACAATCGATAGGGTCATTCTGGTGGCACCACCTAGGGCAGAGGCCGCACCAATAATTGCATACAGTCCAGGGGTCACACATGGTATGTCTGGTTCACACTTGCTGAAGAGAAAAGCCTTGGGATACGTCTCTTGCCATAGTCGAACGAGAATTCCCAGAGCGCGACCATACAGTGCACCGATGGCAACCGAAGGCAGAATTATACCAGCTGGGATGTCGAGTCCGAACGTTAAAGAAGCCAGGAAAAACGCGAGGACTGCGGCCAATAGAAGTATGGCAGCCACCCCGAACGCTCTCGATCCACTGACGCAGAGACCAAATCGATCATATGCCTCGCTGCTGCATTCTGCAAACAGAGACTGGACAAGCTCTGAGTTTTGAGCCCTCATGAAATGGTTCGGGAAATTGACTAGCGCTGTTATAAGGGCGATTGCTGCGACTTCGATAACTGGTCGAGAAGACGTTCGAGATCGCCTCCATTTCGCAATTTTGACGTTCATACGGATGAAAAATGCCCCAAAGAGACCACCAAAAATACCCAGAATAATGAAAGGGATGACCTCAAAGCGATGCCACCCTCGAGTGTAGGTGACTTGGTAAAGCACAAGATTTCCAGTCCGAAATGGATTCAGAGCCTGAAGTGTCACAGCCGCAATCATGGCGCAAACAAAGCTCTGCCACATGGTTTTGTCGGGGAAGTAATATGAGAGTTGCTAGGAAATGGTGAGAAAAGAAAGGAGGAAATCAGAGGCTGTCTTCCTTACCTCTAGACTGAAGAGCACGCCACCGATAGGAGCACCAAAGGCAACAGAGATACCCGCAGCAGCAGCAGCAGAAAGGACTTCACGTTTCCTCGCTTCATTACCATTGAGGCCGTCGAATGGCTTCATCATAATATTGGCACAGCAGCACGCAACATGTACCAACGGGCCCTCCTTGCCAAGCCAAAGCCCGGAAGCAACAGCAAGACACTACGCAAAAATGTTAACTCGAAACGAAAACTCGGGGACCAGACTTTGACATACCAGCCCGAGCGATTTGATTGTTAGAGTCCAAGGCCCCATGAAATGTCGTATGACAGTTCCTCCAAGTATAGTTTTGATCTCCGGAATCCCGCTGTGTCTAGCATATATTGCAAAGTTCCGTACCAGAAGACAGGCGCACAAAGCAAACACCACCTTCTCTTCGATTAGCAAGCCTTCGACTCTAAGTTTCGAAGCTGACGTACCGAAAAGATAATATAGAAGATGTACTCGATGGTATAACGCCCACCAGTCGAGGATGCCCCTAACGCATTCCCCCATGGCGTCCAGTCCATGCACTTTGAATAATCTAGATCCCCACAGAATCCATTAGTTTGTGGATCTTAAAAGGAAATCAAAACCAGTGCCTTCTCACCATCCAGACCCCAGCAGCAGAAGCTTCGGTTCAGATAAAATTTGCCGCCTCCGCTACCACTTTTGCAATACCCACTCTTCAGATCTCCGAGCCAATCTGTGGCGATGTCGATAGACGCAGCAATAATTCCGACCAGAATTCCTGTAGCGATCAAAACAAGCCAGACATGACTGCCCTCAAGGAGTCTGCGGATTGGGCCCAGAATGCCTTGGCCACTGGAGTAAAGCAATCGCTTTCGCTGTCGCTCTTTGGTATACTCATAGATCCAATCGATGGCCGTGAAATCGTCATAGCCAACTCGTCGGCCCGGACCCTCCACATACCAATCAAGGGGAGCGCCGTCTTTGGAGGTGTTGGCATTCTCATTTGACCCAACTGGTCCATAACCATCTAATGGCGAAGCATCTGCATTTTGTCCACCTTGCAACCCTGAGAAACCAAATCCAATGTCTGAACCGCCGGCGGTACTTGAGAAGATGCTGGATAGACTGAATCTTGAACGGGATTGGCGGTTTTGTTTGCGTTTGAAAGATATCCTGCGATGAAAACAAACATGAGCCAGGTATATAGATACTCAGATCAAGCTTATCCTCACTCACGGTTCATGCAAGCCCTCTGCGCCTCTACTGGCATCATGGAGCTGACTGTTCAACGTTTCTGGTTGCGGCTGAGCTGATTGTGTCGCATGGGGGTGGCCATCGCTGCCCAGGCCATGTCCATTCATTGACATTTTGAACCATTAATTTCCCCCAGAGCCAACATCTCCTGATAGAGAGGAAAAAGCAGAATCAATGTTGTAGGAACAGACATATCACCGGAGCTGCGCAAGCTGCGGGCTTAGTCAACCGCAATCGGAGGCGGTAAAAAGCATGGCGGTGGGGCTGGGATTCTGGACGCGGCAGAAAAAAAAGTTACGGGGAATTCTTTCTCAACTCACAATCCAAAAGCGAAGAGCTCCTCTACGCAGCCGGGCAAAAAATGGAAGGAAGGCCCGTCTACGAGAGGACTCTGACAGAGTCTCAGCTGCTGGAGCAGCTACCGACTGGGATTGCAGATCTCATTCGGTCTGCTTCGGGAACTCAGCAGCTTCACGCGCTTGCGCTTGGCGCATTAAACAACGAATTTACAGAAAACATTTTCAGACTCTATGAACCGATTATAGTTGATCTGGCAGCCCGATGGCTTCGATCCGACCTTAATGCTGACCCTGCTCATATTTTGGCAGCATTTGCTCGCATCTTACCATTTGCGACATACCTACAGCCTTTCGCGAGCCAATATGCCTCGTCACAGGCCGGACCTCTCTCAGCACTGACTGGGTCTAAGGAACTGACATTACGACAGTTGGACCAGGAGAGCATCCAAACACTTCTCCTAGCCCTATTCCGTTTGCTCTCTCTAGACTTGGAAACATTTTCCAGAATCGTCTCGCCAATTCAGCTCCAATCTCTGTTCCCCCACGAAGACCGACGAATCAGATATCTCGCGGTGCGATGCTTTGCCCTCTATATGCATGCTGCCGATGCAGCAACCGAAAAGATGTTGCAGGTCAATACTGGCGTGGACCCCATCGAAGGAGAGTGGGAGGGGATCACAATCGACTACCGTCTTCTGGGGCTATGGGAAGAGCGTCGGTGGCAGACTCTGGAGAGGAATATCCGGAATGAAAGATCATCACAATCAGTCACCAACCACATGGCTCTGGTTGATAAGTTACGCGATTCCTTTACCAACAGGTCTGCTGATGTCTGTGGCGTCTTGATTCCTCGGCTGAAAGATGCCGAACCGACCTCTTCTTCTATCGTCAAGACACCCATAGCCACCGAGAACCTTCGCCGCATTGCAAGGTCCCTCTTGAGTCCCATGCCCATTTTATTAGTGGGGTTGCCCAATTCCGGGAAGACTTCTCTAATCAATGACATCGCTGCCACTATGGGTCAGTCGGAATCTATGGTGACGCTGCATCTCAACGAACAGACGGATGCCAAGAGCCTGCTTGGAATGTATGCTACATCATCCGCAACAGGCTCGTTTTCCTGGCAGCCTGGAGTGTTGACAAAGGCTGCAAGGGAAGGCCGATGGGTGTTGATTGAGGACCTGGATCGTGCTCCTTCCGAAGTCCTTGGCCTTATTCTCCCAATCATTGAACGCGGCGAGTTGACTATTGCAAGCCGGAGAGAGCGTATCAAGTGTGCAGAGGGCTTCAAAATCATTGCGACCATGAAGTCCTCATATAATATTGCTGGCGAGGAAATTGCCCCGACTACCTCGATGCTGGGAAGCCGGCTGTGGCAGAGAGTCCCAGTCGCGTCTCTTCCCGTGGATGAGATGCGGGACGTCATTTTGCAAAAATTTCCTTTGCTTGAATCTCGTGTGCCTATCATTATGGACGTCTACGGGAGGGTCTGCTCTGCTTTCCATGGAAGTCTGGCAATCAAAGGCTCCCAAGGGCGGACGCCCGGTTTTCGTGATCTAATCAAGCTTTGCAGTCGGTTGCACAGAAGACTTCAACGCATTGGCACAAAAACAGGCTACGAACCTACTCCAGAAGGAATTGAAGATGATATTCTTCTGGATGTTGTGGATATCTTCCTCAAGTACATTCCTGAGAGATCTATGCAAAATTCCCTCGCTGCTGTTGTGTCCGAGGCCCTCCAAATATCTCCCCAACGAGCACAATTCTGCCTCAATGAACGGACACCAACCTATACTGATAAGACAAACTCCCTCGCCCTTGGTCGAGAGGTCTTGCAGAAGATTAAAGTCCCAGCTGGTTCAGCACAAAAGCTTGCAGCAGCAGCATCCCGCTTTGCTTCTACGAGATCCGCTTTGTCAATCATGGAGCAAGTTGCAGCTTCAGTTCAAATGGCAGAGCCTGTTCTGCTCGTCGGTGAAACCGGTATTGGAAAGACAACAGTCATTCAACAACTCGCCACATTAATGCGTCAGAAACTCACCGTTGTTAATTTGTCACAACAAAGTGAAAGCACAGACCTGCTGGGAGGCTTCAAGCCTGTCAGTATTCGCACAATGGCGGTACCGATGCTCGATGACTTCAATCAGCTATTCGAAATGACGTTTTCAGCGAAGAAGAACCAAAAATTCCTTTCTTCAGTGTTAAAAAGCGTTACTGCGGGCAATTGGCCACGTCTAGTGAATCTCTGGCATGAAGCTGTTCGTCTGGCGAATGGGGTATTCAATCCCGCTAGTTCGAAGGAAGCTGAGAATGGTGATGAGCAACCCTCTAAGAAGAGGAAGCTAGATTCTCCTAAATATCAACACTTGCGCCAACGATGGGAAAATTTTGATGCACAACTTGCGGACTTCGAAGCTCAAGTTTCTCAGGGAGACGCCAAGTTTGCCTTCGCTTTTGTGCAAGGAAAAATTGTGAAGGCCTTGCGAAATGGGGAGTGGGTTTTGCTGGATGAAGTTAACTTGGCCTCTCCTGATACTCTCGAAAACATTGCCAGCCTTTTGCACCACGGCAGCGAAGGGTCTCCTTCTGTTCTCCTCTCTGAAGCCGGTGATGTCGAACGAGTGTTTGGCCATCCAGACTTCCGTATTTTTGGAGCCATGAATCCTGCGACGGATGCTGGGAAACGGGATTTACCCCCTGGACTTCGGTCACGATTCACAGAATTCTATGTACATTCTCCTGATACAGACTTGGATGATCTGCTGGCCTTGATTGAGAAGTATCTTGGTACCTTAACCATGGGCGATCCGCGAGTCGTGCCAGATCTTGCCCAACTATACATGGAGACCAAAAAGCTCAGCAATGAGAACAAACTCACCGACGGAGCTGGACAGAGACCTCATTTCAGTATTCGAACTTTAGTTCGTGCTCTCATTACGTTATTGATCACGCCCATGTCTATGGTTTGCGGCGAGCAATTTTTGAAGGGTTTAGCATGAGCTTTTTAACAGTGCTGAGTCTGGAGTCTGAAAGGTCTCTGGTTCCTCTTCTTGAAAAGCATATATTTGAAAATGCTAAAAATGCCAAATCACTCCTTGGACGAACCCCTCGACCGCCTGAGGACGGCCGCGACTACGTTCAATTCAAACATTATTGGATGCAACGTGGTCCGTTGGTCCCGGAAGAGCAACCACATTACATTATCACTCCATTCATTGAGAAGAACCTGAAGAACCTCGTGAGGGCAAGCTCAACCCGGCGATTCCCTGTCTTGTTACAAGGCCCAACCTCTGCAGGTAAAACGAGTATGATCGAATACTTGGCGAAGGTCTCCGGCAACAAGTTTGTTCGCATAAACAATCACGAGCATACTGATCTTCAGGAATATCTTGGATCATACGTTTCGTCTGATGATGGGAACTTGCGTTACCAGGAAGGCGTTCTTGTGGAAGCCTTGCGAAATGGTTATTGGATTGTCCTTGATGAGCTGAATTTGGCTCCTTCAGATGTCCTCGAGGCTCTGAACCGACTGTTAGATGACAACCGTGAACTATTTATTCCTGAAACCCAGGAAGTTGTTCACCCTCACCCCAACTTCATGCTGTTTGCCACTCAAAACCCCGCTGGTCTTTATGGTGGCCGTAAGGTTCTTTCTCGCGCATTCCGCAACCGTTTCCTTGAATTGCATTTCGACGATATCCCCGAAAGCGAGCTGGAGTACATTTTGAAGGAGCGGTCACAAATTGCTCCTTCTTTTTGCACGCGAATTGTCTCTGTTTATCGAAAGCTCTCTTTACTCCGTCAATCCAACCGACTTTTCGAACAGAAGAACAGTTTTGCCACACTGCGTGATCTCTTCCGTTGGGCTCTTCGTGATGCGGACGATCGCGAGCAATTGGCAATCAATGGATTTATGCTTCTTGGTGAGCGCGTTCGAAACCCTCAAGAGAAGATTGCCGTCAAGAGTGTGATTGAAGAAGTCATGAAAGTCAGCCTGGATGAAGATGTGTTATACAGTGCAGCGCAACTGGAGAAGAGTGTTCCCCAGATGGCCGAGCTGCCCTCTAGCATCGTTTGGACGAAGGCTATGCGCCGTCTTTTTATCCTGGTATCCAAAGCTATTGAAAACAACGAGCCAGTTCTTCTTGTCGGAGAAACTGGATGCGGTAAAACCCAGCTTTGTCAGGCCGTTGCTGAAGCATTCAAGAGAGAGTTGTACATTATGAACGCCCATGTCAACCTTGAGACGGGTGATCTTATTGGTGCTCAACGGCCTATTCGCAACCGTGCCGCGATTGAAAAGCAACTCGTCGAGGATCTTCAAATTCTTTTGCATGGATCAAGCTCAGAAGCTGTATCCCTGGAACAGCTAAAACAGGAGTTCTCGGCACTAGACATGGAGAAACGACATGATAAAGACCAGGATCTCTTGCGCAAAGTTGAAAAGAATCTTACTCGAAGCAATGCCCTTTTTGAGTGGTCCGATGGAAGTTTGATTACTGCTATGAAGTCAGGCCAGTTCTTCTTGCTGGATGAGATTTCTCTTGCCGATGACTCCGTCTTGGAGCGGCTCAACAGCGTGCTGGAGCCTCATAGGTCTATCCTTCTCGCCGAGAAAGGACCTATCGATTCCATGGTGGTAGCCGATGGAGGCTTCCAATTCTTGTCGACTATGAATCCCGGTGGTGATTATGGAAAACGAGAGCTTTCGGCCGCCCTTCGTAACCGTATGACCGAGATTTGGGCGCCACAACTGTCCGAGGATGAGGATATCCTCCCTATCCTTCAAATGAGGTTGACACTGAAGGACGAGACCATAGCTCGGGCGATGCTGCGATTTGCAAAATGGTTCAAGGCCACATTCCAAAACACTTCTACAACCTCTCTTTCACTTCGTGACCTTCTTGCCTGGGTCGATTTTGTCAATACCTGTCAAAGTACCGATAATATGTTCGCCATCATTCAAGGTGCAGCCATGGTTTTCGTTGACACGCTAGGAGCCAATCCCGCAGCAATGCTTGCCGTTTCCCTCCATAACCTCGAAGATAATCGACAGAAATGTCTGGACAAACTGAGTGAATTGTTCAAGGCCGATGCTCCCGGCATATATTGGCATTCTTCAGCTGTCTCCCTGGAGCCTGGATTTTTCCGAGTAGGCCCGTTTGCTCTCCCCATCGTTGCCGAGACGGATCTCGACCCCCAGTTCACTATGGATGCCCCAACCACTATAGCAAACTCTGTTCGCATTGCTCGCGGTCTGCAATCTTCAAAACCTATTCTCATGGAAGGCAGCCCTGGTGTAGGCAAAACCACTCTTGTGACAGCACTTGCTAAAGCACTCGGAAAGCCCCTCACTCGAATCAATCTCTCGGAACAGACAGATCTGACAGACTTATTTGGCTCTGATGTACCGATTGAGGGAGGAGATGTCGGCCAATTTCAATGGCGTGATGCACCATTCCTTCGAGCTATGCAACGTGGTGATTGGGTTTTACTTGATGAGATGAATTTAGCTTCTCAGTCGGTCCTGGAAGGTCTCAATTCTTGCCTAGACCACCGCCAACAGGTCTATATCGCCGAACTTGATCAGACTTTCAAACGCCATCCAGATTTTGTCTTGTTCGCTGCACAGAATCCACACCATCAGGGCGGCGGTAGGAAAGGCCTTCCAGCATCGTTTGTCAACCGTTTCACTGTTGTTTACGCAGATAGCTTCACAGATGCAGACCTGAAAAAGATTTGTGCTAAGCTCTTCCCGGGAAGTCCGTCCTCCCAGACGGAGAGATTGGTGGACTTCATCTCCATACTGAATACCGCAATTGTCACGGAGCGTCGACTGGGTGCTGTCGGTGGCCCGTGGGAAGTGAACTTGCGGGATATCCAGAGATGGCTTCAGTTGGCAGATCGAGGCGATCTGCAAATACCTACCAAACACTTTTTGGATATCGTAATCAGCCAAAGGTTTAGAAGTGAAGAGGATCGAGCATTGGTTTCTCAAATCTATGATCGCATTTTCACAGACTCCGATATTGGCCAGAAAAGTTACTATCACAATCTGACTTCGGAACATCTTCAGGTTGGCCTTGGTATCTTATCACGAGATCCTCTGGTACAGCGCTCCGTTGAGCCACATATGAGAATACTGCCCAAGGATTTGAAGATACTTGAGTCCCTCATCCTGTGCATCGAGAACTCTTGGCCGAGCATTTTAGTTGGACCTGCCGGTTGTGGCAAAACCACCCTGATCAGAAAACTTGCGGCGCTTAATGGAGCTGACTTGGAGGAGCTGGCTCTGAGCGCTGATACCGATACCATGGATCTTATTGGTGGCTTTGAACAGATAGATCATCGCCGAGAAGTCTCCTCATTTGTTCATGACGTCGAAATGTTCTTGCGCCAGCATATCATTCACGCCTTCGCGTCCGGTGACGTCTCCCAGGCGGTGGCTTTGGCTCTTCAGGTCTGCCAATACCTCCAAGGCTCCGAAAATTCTTTGGAAAGCATAGTTTCGTCGCTGTCCGATCTTTGCCAGTCATTCCCCGACCCAACTCTTCAACAATTCCTTGGAAGGGCCCAAACACTGCGGGACATTATCCGGGATTCTGATAAAATGAAAGTTGGGTTTGAGTGGACTGAAGGCGTTTTAACCCGGGCTGTTCAGAATGGATCCTGGGTGGTACTTGACAATGCAAATCTTTGCAATCCCTCGGTCCTAGACAGATTAAACTCTCTGACAGAACCCAATGGCACTCTAATCCTCAACGAACAAAGGACAGAAGATGGATCTGCTCGAGTCATCACTCCTCACCCCAATTTCCGTCTGTTTATGACCATGGATTCTCGTCATGGAGAACTGTCTCGAGCCATGCGCAACCGCTGCATTGAGATTTGTTTCATGCAAAATCAACTCCAGGAAATTCCTGCCGTGACAGGTCCGTCATATACTTGCGAATCCTCACTCTATCGACTGCGCCACCTCTGGAGCACCTCTCAAGATTTATATGAAGTTGCCTTCGACCATCTATCTCCCTCAGATCTGTCGTATCTTCAAAGATCGGTCAGCGCACAGCTGCCCTTGCCGATTGACACTGATGTGAATGGCCCCGAAATTTCCAGCATCTTGCAGCGTTACACATCCATTCTGCATGAGAATGAACAATGGAAGCCCTTGAATATCATAGCACCTGATATTGTCATGGGAGGATTGCCATTCAGCCTTACAGGGCCTTTGCAACCAATTCATCCGCTTGTCAATGAGTCTTTGTTGTCTATTTCTGGAGATGGTGATTACCGCTCAAGCCTTATTGTTTTAGCCTACTTTGAGGAGTTCCGACTAGAACTTCATCGCCTTCGACAGCGTCTGAGTAAGGCGAACGAATCTGCGATCCAACTTAAACCAAGCCAGATGACACGATTGGAGCGATCTCTAGCATCGAATCGGATACAAACATTGATGAAAGATACCACGCAGCCGGTCGCCAATTTCCTTTCCGACTGCGGCCAGGCACTATATGATTACATCCAGTCGCTGAAAGAAAATGATCTCCAATCTCCTGAAATTGTGACAGCTATTCGGGCTGTCATCTCCTTGTGCTGGGATATCTATCGGGCAACTGATGTCACTCAGGTTAACGACGGCGAGTTCCAGGTCTACCTACAAATAGGAAGAAGAATCTGCACATCCTTGATCAATTCCTCAACCAACTTGAATCTCCTCGAAGGCGCTCTTTCCAGAGCTCTGGCTCGCTTCCAAGCGGGTTGGGCTTTGTCAACAGGTCTGAGTATGCAAAAAATATGGGAGTCTTGGAGACACGTCACGCCTTCATCTCAAGAACAGCTCAGGTCTCTGATTGAGTTGGATACAACGGTCACTGATTTCACTACGCTTGCACTTCAAACACGAGTTGAGTTGCCTCAATTGAGCAGCGTTTGGAACTCATTGATCAATGCTCAGCGATTAATTCTCCTGGATGGCGCCAATTGCGATGCTCTCTTGCAGGGTATCAAACAAACAGTATCTGAACTTAGCCAGGCTGTCCGTCGTTCTGACTCTCCTCAATACCCCTACTTCTCGGAAGAGTTTGAAGCACTCTGTCAGTACAATGATGTTCCGTCATTCGGATTCGATCGAGGAAGAAATGAATCTGCTGTTCAGACACTTTTGCCATTGCTTGCCGGTCGTCGTGCTCGCCCTCTTGATGTTTCCACGATACAAAGTCGAGTCCCCGAATTACTGCACAGAATTGCCTTATTTTCTGGAGCAGACAGGGGCTCTAGCTCTCCTTTGGCCATCGGGGGCGTGTTGCCCCTTTCGTTGCTAGAGAGGTTGAGGTCTGTTGACTCAACAAGCTTGGGGCAGATGGACATGCTCCAAGCTGAAAAGCAGGCGCTCTCCAAAGCGATCTCGCTCAGCACACATCAAATTGCAACAGACCAATCATGCAATCTTCGAAAGGCCATCGCAGCCCTGGCAAAAGAATTGGTTTCTTGTCACCGTGAGCTATTCGCAACCGAGTCTTTCGAGGGGCTGATCTCAATTCTGCAATTGATTGAATCCGGCAATGTCAAAGACGCTGAGAATGAGAGTCTCTCCACGATTTCTCTGGATTCCAGCGTTAGCAGCGATCACTACTTTAAGGGGTTTGCTCAACAGGGCTTCCCCACCATTGTCCATTCATTGATTACAGCCTCCAGCAACGACAAGGAAAGTGTTCGTTATACTGGTATTGCAACGGTCCAGTTGGCTGTCATTCTCCTTCGCCTGTTCGTACCAGATAAGGCTTTCGACCCTTCTCTCGGTCTTGTTGTTCAACGCAAGCGACATTATCAACGCCTCAATGAGATTAGTGCCAAATCTCATTCCATTCTGTCTTTTGAGGGTACCTTCTCCGGTCAGCCTTCGAACCTTCGCTCTTCTCTCTTGCAACAGGAGATCCTTGAGCTGGGCTCCGCTCCACCTCCATCATCTGTGACACGCCCAGAGAAGTCCGAGCTCAGCCTGCTCCACGGGGAGTTCTCGAACTTGATCAACTCCGTCCTTAATCGAAACCCCGAATCAATGATTGCGTCAACCGAGGTCTTGTCTAAATCCCAGGAAATGATCCGACTTATGCGTGACAATATCTCCCAACTCAGCAGCCGTATAAGCACACATTACAAATCCTATGATGATATAACAGTGCCCGTTGTTCGCTTCCTCCAGTTACTTGACCTTGGTCTCTTCCTAGGATCCAGTCAAACCGAAAATTCCGAGGAACTTCAAGACATTCAAACTTTGAGCAAGCGTACCCCATTTTTGGGTGGTACTCTGCATCCGACTCTTTCGCAGGATAGCATTAGTCAGTCGTCTAGCGCAACCAATGCGATTGAAATGCGACTCCATGAACTGTCCGCCCTTTGGGCAGCCAACGATGCGGATTCTACCATGCTTGACCTTCGACCCGGGCGTGATACCATCCGTCGCGTTTTCGCGGACTTCCATCACCTTTGGAAGACGAAGCTCAGAGAGGACCAAGAAAAAGAGGCCGAGAAGTCGGAACTCTACCGTTACCGAGGCTCTTGGGAGGATGAGGAGGAAGTCAATGAAGCTGAGCTTCATGAGCTCTTCCCTACTTACGACGAGGGCGCGCTACCCGAGCCACATCAAGTTGGTCGCATTGACCCTCGACTGATCGCCGTACGACTTTCCTCGCTTCATGCAAAAATAGTGAGCGGTCAAAGCACGGGTCAAGCCTTGGGAACATTTGTTAAGCAGTCAGGCCGCCTTTTGGGATCGATGTGGTCTGCCAACAAGACCGCCTTCTCACCAGTATCACCGCAGCATCATCTTCCTGCTGTTTTCATGCTCCTGGAAGATGCTATTGGTAAAGAAGCCGAGGACCGACAGAAGAATTACAATTTCTATACGGACTCCAATTTTGCCGAAGCAAGAAAGCTTGTGACTCTTACACTCTCCGTGCAATCCCGATTTACTCAGATTCAAACTGCCTGGCCTGAGCACGCTGTCCTTCAGGACGTCATAACTTGCTGTTCAGAGATCCTTGAATTCAAGCATACTGAGCCGGTTGCCAAGTTCATGACCAAGGTGGAAAAGCTGCATTCCTATATACATGAGTGGCAGTTGGTTGCTAGCAGAGAATATACTGCCGCCCCACTGTATGACGAGATTACGAACACGATCATCGGCTGGCGTCGTCTTGAGCTTTCAACTTGGGCCAAGCTCCTTGATCTCGAAAGAGAGCGCTGCGATGATGATGTCAGCTCGTGGTGGTTCGTTGCATACGAAGCCCTCTTTGCTGTGCCTCTGCAGATGGCAGAGTCTGGCGAACAAGACATGAGTGAACACATCCAGGGTGTAATTTCAACTTTGGAACAATTCTTCAATTCCACCACACTTGGCCAATTCACTCGCCGTCTTCAGCTCGTGTCAAACTTCCAAAAACTGCTCGTCGTATTTGTCAACGACTATACCTGTTTGACGCCGCTTATTTCTGCACTGAACAATTTTCTTTCCCATTTTGAACCCTTTGAGCCGTCAATCAACAAAGTCCTTCAGGAGAAGAGGTCCGCGTTGGAGAAAGATATCAAGGAGCAGATTCAATTGGCAAGCTGGAAGGATACAAATATCGTTGCATTGAAGGAGAGTGCCAGAAGATCCCACGTCAAGCTATTCAAACTTGTGCGGAAGTTCCGTGCAGCTCTTGCTCTACCTGTTCAAACGGTTCTTGAACAAGGCCTTGCGGACGCCGTTGAAAATAGCAATGCGCCACAGGTTAAGGAGAGTGATCTCGCAACTATTGTCTCTTCCGAAGCTTTATCCTTCTGCCAAAATGACAAGGAGCTATGGTCCTTGAGAGCGCTCAGATTCCAGAACCCGGATGGTACAGCCCGCAACATGACGAGTGTCTACTCATCTATCACATCCGAGTTTGATATTGCGAAGGATCTTGATGGTTTCACCGTGTCCATCATTGAGACCATGAATGAGCTCAAGTCGCAAACTCCCAAGACTATGACCGAAGAGAATAAGGATGACGTGCAACATCTCAAAATCCAGAAACGCCGCCTTTATGCCGAAACTCTCAAGCGTCTATTTGAAATGGGTGTTAAGCGAAATGCCGGAACAAGCTTACTTGAAACCCAAGTATCGCTTGCGCAAGTACTTTCTACGAGCGCTGCGTTTAAACCTGGCACCGCAACTTCAAGTGGTATTCAAAGCGCCGATTCCTACTTCCATAGACTCCTGGATTTCATTCCTCGTGCTCGTCTGGCTTCGCGCAATTACTCAGAGGAGCTCAGCAATGTGGAGGTTTCCAGGAGTATGGGCTCAATTGAGCATCTTCTTTTCATAGTCCGACGCCAGAGAGGTGCTATTTCACCTGCGCTCTCTGGCTTGGGAGACCTCAAGTCTACTCTTGATAAGATGCGCAACCTATGGAATGTTGGCTCAGTCTCGCTCATCAAGGCTCCTGCCTCTGCGATGGAGAAACTTGCTTCTCTAAGCCGTGCAGTGGCTTGGCTGGGACCTATCCTCGGACTCGCTTCAAAGATCATAGAAGTGCATTCGAAATTCTCGGGGATTAGTGCTTCTGATCTCCTTCAAGAATTGCACTCTCGAAAGGCTGCGTTTGAGGATCTTCGCAAGTCCTTGCAATCCCTTCCCCCCCTTCCACTTGGAGTTATGTCTTCGGTCCAAGAGGGACTTATTCAGCGCACACAGGCACTGCTTTCCAAGACAGAAGTTGATCTAAAGGGATGGACTCAAGAACGACCAGAGCTCTCCTTTGTCTTGGACCAAATAGCCCCCTGGCTCCAAATGAACGTCAAGCTTGCGGAACTCGGCGATGAGGCTAGTATCTCTATTCAAAACTTTGATACTAAATTACTGTCTGCCGTCGACAAGATGCTTGTCAGCCTTCAACAGCTCAAGGGTATTCCTACTGAAATTACCTTTGCCGGTCTTCTCTCTAGAAGTGATGAGTTCTTTTCGCGTGCTTCCAAGGCTATCCACATTAGCGAGATTACTTTGTCGTTGACGGCCGTCCTCGACCAGCTGCAGAATTTGCACGGTGAAAACGCCAGCGCTCTGCCTATGGCCGCGGCTTTAGTCGCAAGCATACTCCCGATTGCCACCAAGTTCTATCACATTTGCCAAAATTTGATGGACCGCTTTATCTCTGTCCACCGCGAAGTTTCCAAGACTGCTTTCATTCTGACTAAGACCTTCACCCAGATAGCATCAGAAGGCTTCTGCAGCCCGGCTGAAGCTTCGCAGGAGGAAGGTAAAGAAGGCAAGTTGGAAAGCGGAACTGGCCTTGGCGAAGGTGAAGGCGCTGAAGACATTAGCAAAGATGTCGGTGATGATGAAGATCTCTCTGAATTGGCACAACAAGGACAGAAGGAAGATGCTGATGAGGAGATGGACGATTCTGCCGATGCTGTCAATATGGACCAAGAAGAGCTGGAAGGTGAAATGGGCGATCACAAGGAGGAAGACGGGGAGGAAGACAAAGATGAGAACCAATCTGATGAGGAAGACAACATTGATGAGGAAGTTGGTAGTGTTGACGATCTCGACTCTGGAGCTGTGGATGAAAAGCTGTGGGATGGCGAGAATGATGAGCAACAAAAGGAGACTGAGAATGAGGAAGGAAAGGGCCAAGCTGAAGCAGATCAACAGGCCGCGGCCAAGGAGCAGAAGAAAGAAGGCGAAGAAGGCCAGAAAGGCGAGGAGGAGGACAGCAATGAAGAAGATGACGAAGAGGAAGCTCCGGATGATGAAGGAGAGGCTGTTGGCCGTGAAGAAATGGATGTCACAGATCCCCAGACTAAGGAGGAAGAGACATTGGATCTTCCAGAAGAAATGCAGCTGGACGGCGATGACCAGGAAGGTGGTGATGAAGGAGAAGACGACGATGGCATGGACGACCTTTCTGATATGGGACCTTTGCCCGAAGACGAGCAGAAGGCCGAGGATAATGAGGATTCATCCGGCGGAGAGGACGCGGACATGGCTCCTGACGAGCAGGTTCCCGGCGAAGATGAAGAAATGGGCGAAGAGGGAGAGGAAACCAACGAAGGAGAAGGACAGGAGGAGAATGAAGCCGGTGGTGAAGAGCCTGAAGAGCCAGAGCAGGATGAGTTCCTCGCTCAGAGAGATGACAATGAAGCTGCCGGCGATGAAGTTGCGCCAAGTGAAGCTGTCACAGGTGGTCTTGGTGCCGACCAGGATCAGAATGAAGAAAAGGGTGCCTCCGGAGATGCGCAGCAAGAGAGCGGTTCCAACGATCCCTCCGCCAGTGCCGAGCAAAAGACTGGCGCGGCCAAAGACAGCGAAGAAAGCAAACGCAGCCGAGATGCTGGTGGTGCCGAAGATATGGCCCCTAATGAGCCTCAGATACAGGCCTTCAAGAAGCTTGGAGATATCCTCGAGCAATGGCATCGTCAACAGAAAGAGGTGATGAACCCATCTCAAGAAGAAGAGGACTCACAGCCTCTGCCTCAAGATACCGACATGGCGGATGCCGACTTTGAACATCTCAGGGATGATGACGATGTAGCTGACACTCAAGCTCTGGGCCAAGCAAATGAAGAACAAGCCAAGGCTCTTGATCAGAACAAGGGTGTGGAGTCCGAAGCCCAGGCAGGCGAGAATGAAGCCCTCCCTGATGTGACGGACGAGAACCAGGAAACCCTCGACAATCAACTCCATGATGAGATGCAGATCGACCGAGAGATTGTTCCCACAGACGGTCAATACGCCGGTGCGTTCATCCCAGATGGCCACGTCTCTCAAGACCGTGCAGATGGTGTTTCTGGTGTACAAGAAATGACCGAGGAACTGGACGAAGTCGACTCGCAACTCGCGGCCATTCATCTCTCCTCGACTCTTCCGCCATTGACACCCGAGAGCGAAGCCCGCCGTCTCTGGTCGTATTACGAATCCGCAACAAATGACCTCTCCCTGTCATTGACCGAACAACTCCGCTTGATCCTCGCTCCGACCATGGCCACCAAACTCCGCGGTGATTTCCGCACCGGCAAGCGTCTCAATATTAAGCGCATCATCCCGTACATTGCCTCTCAGTACAAACGTGACAAGATTTGGATGCGTCGTTCGATTCCCTCCAAACGCAACTACCAGATCATGCTAGCTGTCGACGACAGCAAGTCTATGTTAGAGAGTGGGTCCGGGCAACTTGCCTTTGAAACACTGGCCCTGGTAGCCAAGAGTCTGAGCATGCTAGAGGCCGGCGACCTGTGCGTGTTGGGCTTCGGCGATGAAGACCATGTTCGCGTTGCGCACGAGTTCGGCAAGCCGTTCTCCTCGGATGCCGGGATGCAGGTCTTCCAGCACTTCAGCTACCAGCAAACTGGCACGAACGTGCGCAAGCTGATTGCCGACTCGATCGCGCTCTTCCGCGAGGCACGTTGGAAGCGCTCCCCGGGCTCTGCTTCCGCTGATCTGTGGCAGCTGGAGCTGATCATCTCCGATGGCATCTGCGAAGATCACGATACGATCCGCCGCCTGGTGCGCCAGGCACTGGAAGAACGCATCATGATTGTCTTTATCATCGTTGATGCGGTTAAGGGCAGCTCCATTCTGGATCTGTCGCAGGCTAGCTTTGAGGCCGACCCGGACTCTGGCGGTGAAATGAAGCTGCGTATGAAGCGCTACCTTGAGAAATTCCCGTTCCCTTACTATCTTGTTGTTCGTGACGTGCGCGAACTTCCGGCTGTGCTGGCAACGGCATTGAAGCAGTGGTTTGCCGAAGTGGTGGATGTTTCTTCGTGAACCTGATCAAAAAGAAAAATGGACTTGCAATATTTGGAGTTTTAGTATTTTGGGATGGTGTTTTGGGATTGAATGTTTGATATATATGATAGATCTTCAAAGAAGTTTTGTACATGAAATCTGAATTCCTAGATGATTTATAGCTGGACTTGCCGTCGTTCTACATGCTAGAAAAGAAGTGTCTTATGGTAGGCGTTAATTGCAACTCTCTGCCACCTTAGGAGTATTGGCATTTGGTATCTCAATGATGCTGTAACTAAAAAAGAAAAGAAAAGAAAAGAAAAGCGAGGACAAACGCCAACATGCAAAATGGATGCAGTCTTTACCATCCGTATCTTGAACCTGCCTCCTTTTGTTTCCTCCTCCCCGACGCGAAGCTTTCTTCCAGGGCGTCCTTCTGTGAAGTCGCCGCGTTGACCAACTGCTGCAAGGAATGCTTGCCAGGGGCAATGGCACGAACGGGATTGTGCTGAGTCCCTGCCAGCTCAGTCTCCGCCAGAGCTTGATTATGTGCGTATTCTTTATCGGTGTTGAAGGTGAGGATCTGCGACTCGGCAGACGGGGCATTGCGGCCAAACAGTTGACGACGTTCTGATTTGGATAGGTTGAGATCATTGGCAATATTGTTGAGAGAAGATGATACCGAGGCATTTGTGGGATAGTATGCAGCGTCTACAGGCACCGAGTCAGGTGCAGCTGCTAGAGTCGTTGGCATATCCTCGGGTTCGGCATTGTAGACCAAAGGCTCGTAGCTCTCTGAGACTGACGCGCGCTCGGGTGCCGTGTCCTCCGAGGAAAGTGAGAACAGGCTCACCTTGGGCTTTGGTGCCTGCGGTACTGGCGCAGCGCTCGTAGGAGCGGGCTTTGCGGTAGATTGCTGGCTCGTCGCGGGTGGTATTGATTGGGAAGAGGCTTTGGTTGTCTTCTTCTTTTTCTGGTTGCGTGCAACGGACAAGGGTCGAAACATCATTGGGTTCCCTTGCAATTTGACCTCTCCACTCTCAGTCTTTTGTATCAGCCCGCCATCTGTGTTGGACGATGCTTGTCCGAGGCTGCCGGCTTTGGGGATTGTCTCACCCTCTCCATCCATATCCTCCGCGTTGGTGGGAAGAGTCTGGTCGCACTTGAATTCCGCGTCAGCCTCGCGATCAAAGCCTGGCGTTGCGCCTGTCTTCAAGCTGAATACTTTTCGGGTCGAGGCCAACGGCGCCTTCTTCTCAGCTGCCCGCTTGGGAGCGGGCAGCAACGAGTTGAAGGCGGAGAATGCTCCTCCCGAGGCTCCTCCGAGTCTAGCTTTCTTTCGCGCGGGTCCATCGTCCGAGTCCTGGCTAGTCGTATGTTCCGGTTTGAGCTCCGGAAGGGCAACCCGGATCTTACGTGGGTTGCTGCGATCAATCTGAAATCCGGGGCCCGACTCGGGCTTCTTCGCTTTATCGGTAGCAGGAATGGGTGTGGTGTCAGGCTCGGCATCTGAGCCTTCAGAATCAGAGTAGGCTACCAGCGCCATGATTCGAGTGTGTCGTGGGGGAGGCGGTGGGAAGGCGCGATGAGTTGGTCCCGAGCCAATCGTTCGATATCTTGTTCGATATCTTGCGGCTTCGCAGCGATGGCAAATCTATCGACACCTTGTTCACCAGGCATTAAGGCAGGCCTACGCTGACTCACTTTTTATCACGTGATTTGATCTCTGACATAATCGATCGCGGTGGCCCAAATCCCCAAGTCCCCAGCGTCCCCGAATTCGCCGGATGCGAACGAGCTGGGCTCATGGGGAATAATGACCCTTTCATTGCCCTTGGCCTCTCCTGCCCCCAGATATTCGTCGCCAGTCTCCCACTCGGAACCCCATACACCCGGGACATGGGGGCCTGGGGAACTTGCCGGGATGGCCGACCATCTCGTAACGTCATCGCCGTCATCCGGTCTGGTCTGTTCTTCGGCCTGTAGTAGAGAGCAGGGCTCAGCAGCAAGCACCCGCCTATCCAGCTATCCAGCTATCTAGCTATCCAATCATCCAATCATTTCCTCATCCTCACTAGGAGGCCATAGAATAAAAGAATCATAAGTTGAGGATGCGTGGTTAAAGACAGCCGGCCAAGGCACATGACGTCTCTGGTCTAAGATGGTCTCTTGATCGGCTTTTCACACACTTTCACCACTTCCCCTCGATTCACACACACGACCGTATCAAGAGAGAGACTCCCAATTAACTCTGGACTGTGGAGCCCAGGGAAAAAGCCGGCCAACAAGAGCCAAAACGGGCGCCCAAAGCACCCAAACGGTGAACCAGCGGACGAGCCAAAGATCAATGCGTCATTGTGGCCGTGGCCCCTCCCCACCTCCCACCTCCTCCGAAGCCACCCCGGCCCTACAACCTTCTTCTCATGGCCTTCGCTCTCGACCACCGTCCTCCATGCCGAGTTTAGGAGGCCTCTTAAAGAAGCGGCGTACGAAGGATTCACAAACCCTCTCGTCGGAGCTGCCCGCATCCGAAAACCACCCCACCCCCGACACCCACGACACTTCAGGCGCCTCCATGCAACCCGCCGTCTCCTCGCCAGCATCTCCGCAGCAACAGGCCCAGTCCAACAATGCCGCCAGCATCAATAACCTCATAAATGCCCCGGCCAATGCTCCGCAGAATGCTTCCCAGACCTCTTCCGCACAGAATGCCTCCCATGGCCACCATGGCCAGCATGCCCAACCCCAGCAGCAACAACAACAGCCGCAGAAGGAGCGTACCACCAAGGGCAAGTATTCGCAGGAAGACTTCCTCCTTCAACGTACCCTCGGCACCGGGAGCTTCGGTCGTGTCCACCTGGTCCAATCGAAGCACAATCATCGATTTTACGCCATGAAGGTCCTGAAGAAAGCCCAGGTGGTCAAAATGAAGCAGATCGAGCACACCAATGACGAACGTCGCATGCTCAATCGCGTCCGCCATCCTTTCTTGGTGACCTTATGGGGCACCTGGCAGGACTCTCGAAATCTGTATATGGTGATGGACTTTGTTGAGGGCGGCGAGCTCTTCAGTCTCCTCCGCAAGTCTCAGGTAAGTTTGACAATGGCCAGGGCCATCCCTCCTCTCCCCGCTTCTCGTCTCTTTCTCGGTTACCCATCCGCCGTCCCCCCCGTGTCCCATTTCCAACCCGGTACCCGCTATGCTCGTCTGCTCGTACACATCACAGTCACTGATTCGAGTGTCTTCCTTTTACGTTCACAGCGTTTTCCCAACCCGGTCGCCAAGTTTTATGCCGCCGAGGTTACCTTGGCCCTGGAGTATCTCCACCAGCATCAAATCATCTATCGGGATTTGAAGCCCGAGAACCTGCTTCTGGATCGCCATGGTCATCTCAAGATTACCGATTTCGGGTTCGCCAAGGAAGTCCCCGATATCACCTGGACCCTATGTGGGACCCCAGATTATCTCGCCCCTGAGGTTGTCTCCTCGAAGGGGTACAACAAATCCGTTGATTGGTAAGCCTACCTTATGTTGTTGGTGTTTTCTTCTATTTCCTTCAATTTTTTTTGGCATATTCTTTATGCATGGGGAGTACTTTCGTCTTAACTTTTATCCCCTACCGCAGGTGGTCATTGGGCATCCTGATCTTCGAGATGCTGTGCGGATTCACGCCCTTCTGGGACAGTGGATCGCCCGTCAAAATCTATGAGAATATCTTACGGGGCAAGGTCAAGTACCCGCCCTACCTGCATGATGACGCCGTCGACCTTTTGTCGCAGTTGATCACTGCCGATCTCACCAAGCGTCTGGGTAACTTGCACGGTGGCCCTGAAGATGTGAAGAACCACGCCTGGTTCGCTGAGGTGACCTGGGACCGACTTGCGCGTAAGGACATTGACGCGCCCTACATTCCGCCCATTCGTGGTGGTCAAGGTGATGCAAGCCAATACGACAAATATCCGGAAGAGACAGAGCATTATGGCATGGAGGGTGAAGATGCGTACGTTCTTGTCTTTCATCATTCTCTTCTCCAAGCTCATCCCTGAGACCTGCTCCTAACTTCTTCCTCCTCCAGATACGGCCATCTTTTCCCCGATTTCTGAAGAGTGCTTGTATGATTTAATGACGAGATGAAAGCCCGCGCGGCATGCGCGGGATTTGAAATTGGCACCCTCTTGGTGCACCTGCGCTAGGAGTCGCCGTGAAAAAACCGGAGTGATATCATCTTCGGAAAATCTATCTTACCCCCAATCTCATTTATAGCAATTGGACTCGATTTTTGCCTTTTTGACCATTCATCTTATCTGATTTGGTGTTGAATGTGTTGATTTTTTTTTATAATCTTGATATACAAGAAGGGGAGGTTAAAGGAATTGTTTCTCTTGCCGATGAAACCACGCCCTATACTGTACACGGGCTCGCAGGCCATTTCTATTCGTACACGGACCCTTCGTTTCCATTGTGTCGGATCCCTCGCCATTCATTCCTTTTCCGTTGTAGTAAGGCTTCAATATCACCAGACCAACTGTCTGCGTCCCGGTCTTGAAATTTGCGATGGTTCCTGAACCTTCTTACATCGTACCCATGGTGGCAATAGCAGACGCATCACCGCCCAGCTTCTTGCTCTCCTGGCTCATGCGGGCCATGTAGGTGCGGCTGGTGACGTTCCACATGTTGATATACTTCTCCATGCAGCTGGACAGGCAGGTGCTCTCCTTGGACGAAAGGGAGGAGCCGGGGGCGGGGATGCAGGCGTCGAAGCAATTCTCGTTGATTTTCTAGATGCGCGGGCTCGATTAGCAAAGCTTCACGGGGTTGCACTCCGGTCCGAGGGTGGTGACGTACTCCGATCAAGGCACGGGCATTGGACATGGCAGCCTCCTGCTGAACCTGCTGCAGGAGAGCAGTCTTGATGTCGCCAGACGACGAGGGAGTCGCGGAGCCGGAGCCGGAGCCGAAGAGAGACATGGTGGAGAGTAATTAAATGGTGTGAAAGGAGGGACGTAGGACGAGTCGGGAAGATTGCGAGAGACAAGAATTGAGAGCGGAGGCGGCGAGCTGGAAAGTGGCTGGTGCGGTGCGCCACACGTGCTTGGGATGTGGACACCTTAGCCTTGTGTTGACTTGAACTACAGGAAATCCCGCGAAACACATCCACATCAACTCAAGTTCTCTCCTTTCTTGGCCCCCGCAGGCTTTCACACTCTCTCGCTCGCTCGCGCCTCTTGTCTGTCTTCTCCCCTTTACTTCCGGGTCCGGGTCCTGGCGACACCGTCACCCTAATCACACCAAACCAACCCCAAATCCCCTCCCACCCCCGGTCTCTCTTTGAGCTGCTACTACCTTCCTCTCCCAATTGGGCGTTTAATTCGACCATGCGGTTCCCAACTCTTTCTTCTCTTCTGTGCCTCGCCGGCTTGGCCTCCGTTCCCGTCAACGCGTATGCAGGCGACGATACAAACATTAAAAGCATCCCGGTAGGTTGGCCACATTGATCCGCATGCGCGCGGCCGAGGTACTGACCATGACTCGCAATCTAGCTCCGAACCCATAGCCTGACATCGGTATGGTCTCCCTCCTAAGAAACAGTGAAGCTCGGGCCGATCTCGTGACCGTGGCCTCTACTTTGGGAAGCTATTCGTGCTTCCCTCGGAAGTGCCCTTGTTAACACCTTATGATAGCCCTACCTAGATTCGGATTTCCAGAGCCGCTGGTTCGACTTCGGAGGGGATACAGTCATTCGAGCTGACAAGTGAGTAGGCTCTCAGAGGGAATAGCGGCGTGTGTACAGTATCAAGTTGGAAACTTACAGTCGGTTGGGTGCTAGGTACATTCGTCTAACCGCTGACCGGCCGTCACAACAAGGATGGATCTTCTCTCGCGTGCCTTTGACCGCGACGAATTGGGAGGTGAGAACGCGGCACACACTTTTTGGCTCAAAGGCGGACAATTGGAAGGCGATACTCATGTCCTATTTCGCTCTCTAGATTGAACTCGAGTTCGAGATCCACGGCAACGGCAACTTGCACGGCGATGGCTTCGCCCTATGGCTCACCAAGCAGCGCGCCACCCAGGGCCCGGTTTTTGGGTCAACGGACCGATTTGAGGGCCTTGGTATCTTCATCGACACATATAAGAACAACCGCCCGGGCGTGTCGTTCCCCTACGTCATGGCTATGATGGGCGATGGCGAGACCACCTACGACCAGGCGCACGACGGCAAGGCCAACGAGCTGGCTGGATGCTCGGTACGAAACTCTCCCCACTTTCTTCCGCTCTATGGACTCTATGTCAAATCATTCCACCCAAACTAATTCAAATCTCAGGCTCGCGGTCTTCGCAACGCCCCCGTCCCCACCAAGCTCCGCCTCACTTACTTCCAGGATAAGTCCCTGACTCTGGATTTACAATACAAGACCGAGGACTCGTGGGTCAACTGCTTCGCTTTGAATGCCGACGAGGCTAGCATCGCCATTCCCTCCGTCGCATACCTAGGCCTGTCCGCCGAGACCGGCGAGCTGAGTGACAACCACGACATCATCTCCCTCAAGGCCGAGAACCTGTACTCCCTAAACAACCGTAACAACGCCGGCAGCAAGGGCTCTGATTCCAGCCGTGGTCGCGGCCGTGGTGGTAGCAGCCGTGCAGCCCAACAGGAGAAGGGCAGCTGGACATGGTTCCTATTCAAGATTATTCTGTTTTTCGGAGCCATTATCGGCGCCTACTTTGGCTGGACAATCTACCGGACCAAGGCGCGGTCGTCTAGGTTCTAGGTAGAGATATCGCCGGTAGGAGAGCACGTGTGATAATCCTGAAAAAAAGCAGAAAGAATTGTCCTTTCCGAATCTACACAGTGTCTTTTTTTCTTTTTGTTTGTTGTCGAATGATTGGTATTGCATAGCTTGAAAGCCTTTGTTATTGTTCTTTCCTTTTTACCCCAGGCAGCTTGTCTGCTTTTCGAAATGAATTCAGTCATGATGAGTCTGTCATCTTATTCTACTTGATTGTTCAAAACAAAATCCATACATCCAGCCAAGTTCAATGTTGTCTTCTTCTTTGTCTTATGATCTCAGGCATCTGTTTATGTCTAATGAGGAAATCTCCAAAGAGTCTGCCTGGAAGCAAAAAAAACTGGATTGTTCGTTAGCTCAACTCTTGAGCAAGTAGGTATCAATGTCATAATCTATGTCGTCGCAATTCATAAAAGCGCCACCCAATGCGATGATAAGCCCAGATCTTCACCGAGGAGTATCACTCTATCAAGCAAGAAAGAGGTGCATAGTGTACTGGGATCCAGGTTCCCGACTTCATCCAGCTCGCTCACGCTCCTCATTCCACATGCGATCCACGATCTGGAAGACCTCCGTCACACTGCGCATCACCACCTCATCAATGCCTAGCCCGCTATATCGATGCTGGATCTTGTCCGGGTGCCAGCGCACCCGCTCCACCTTCAAAGTCGCCAACAGACCCGCGGCCGCGGGCGCATGCCGCATAAACTCCCGTACCGAATCTGGCGTGACATCTTTCCGCTTGCCTGATTCAACTGGCCAGAAAAGCAGATTCCGTAGCGGCGTCGACGCAGCCGGAGCGTCCTCCTTCCCTGGCCCGCCAGATCCCTGCGCCCTCGTCGCAATCTCCTCCCATCGCGCCAGGTACTGCGTCCACGCACTTTCCAACTTTTTGCGGCTCTTACGCTCCGCGCCCCGCCGCAGACTCTCCTCCATCGCACGCTCAAAACCTAGCCGTTCCCGCTCCCGAGCATTGTGTGTGTCCTCGCGCGCCTTGGCCTTCCGGCGCTCTGCCCGCAGCCGCTCCTGCTCCTCCTGCATCCCCTCCCGTGTACGCTCCCACATCCGCGCCCGCACATACGCTGCATACTCCTCGTCCGACATCTGCTCAAGTTCGCCATCTGGGCCCTTCGGTACCCCGGGCACGGCGTATGTGTGGATCGGCTGGCCATACACGGACTCCCAGTATGCGGCGCCTTCGTCGTCGCACATCGCGTCAAAGAGTGATTCTCGGAAGGCAGCTTCGGGGTCTAGCGTGGGAGGCGCGTGCGGGTCCGGCGAGGGTGAGGCACGCTGCTTGTGGCGCCGTTTCGAGCTGCGCGGTGAGCGGTGCCGCCGGGAGCTGTGGTGTCGTTTGCGCTCGCGGGAAGGGGATTCATGTCTGCGATGGGAACGCTTGCCGTCGCGCGAGGAGCTGCTCTTGAAGCGGAATCGGCCTTTACTTCGGCTGGGTTGGGCGTAGTCGTCTGCGGGCATTGGTGCAGGCTGTTCGCCCAAGGGAGTTTGTGAGGCCATGCTCATGGAAGTCGGATGTATGATTGGATGGCCATATCAAATAAAGACGGGCTCTTGAGGTGTGAAGTGTGCAAGTTCCAAGGATGAAAGGACGAAAGTGAGTCCAGGCCCATTGTCAACCCTTTCACGGTGCCGGTTGCTCAACCAGAGGACAGCTCCATACCATCACGTGATGATAACGGTATACCTCCCTCTTGGCTCAACTATGTACTGTTTTCCCCCTTTTGGCCTCAAGACATATATCCAATCAGCACACAAAGGATCAGCTGTCACGAGTTTATTAATAGTGGAAGTAATACAACAATCCAGTTGCTAAAACCTTTAGTGTCCATGTTTTTCAGACAAAAAGGTCTCTCGTCGAAGTTAGCCTCAAATACGTTCAACCGGTGTCAGCCGCTTGTTTGAGGTACCTAAAGACCATGAAAGCATTGATAGGGTCAGAATAGTACAGCTAGCTGTTACTGATGATCTCAAGATCTTGTTCTGCAAATTCAAAATGATACTCAAGTGGGTTGCTGAAGGGCCCATTTGTGAAAATGTCCTTGTAATATTACCAATTATTTGAACATGGTATATCTAGATAAGGTTTTCAATATATCAGATGAAGAAAATGAGTGAGTCTATTTATTACACAGCTTTAATAGGGACATTCTATTCTACCAGCCTTTAACTCTTGGTTAATGTAATATTATCTGATACTGCTTATAATTCATCTTAGGCTTAGGCTACCGTAATCATAGAGGAAAATACCATACACTAGAACCTGGCTATGACGATTGAAAGTTGGACTGTTCATATCAATTGCAATCATAGATAAATACACAACAGAACGCCAGCCCCGCCTCCCCTAGCTTATCCAGCCCAAATAGAAGTTCGCCGTCAAAGCAAACAGCAAAAAAAAGACAACCGCTGGAATCTCAAATGCGATAGTGTGCCATATTCTTCTTAATCTCGTCCACGATCTCGACGGCCTCCAGAGCGTTGCGTGCTTCAAAATCGTAGCGCTTCTGCTCCGTGGCATCATTCCCGCGCAGTACAACAACGCGGAAACTCTTCGGGTGTCGCCGGCTGACCTTACAGCCCACCACGTCATTGAAGTTGATTGAACGCGATTTGGCGTCAGAGGCGGTCTTGCCTGTGTCGCCAGGAACGATGTGCATATAATCGTTATCAAATGTAAGAATGCGATGGTTCGAAGCAGTAAAGGACATGGGCTGCTTGCGGAACACGTGGTACCGACGATAGTAACCGCCAATCAGATCTTGTTTCTGTGTAAATAAAGGCAACCCGCTCTTCTTGCCCTTCTTCACAGCGGTGGGATTGTTGCTATCCACAGTCAGAGGTGCGTTTGGTGAAGAACTGCCAGGGGAGCCACCAGTAGCAAGAGGCCCGACCCCGAAGCGACGGCGGACAAGGTCCAGCTCGGTAAGACTACCCAGAGCCTCTACAGTACGATCAAGCGGTGCAATGGTATTAGATCCCATCACCTTGAGAAGATAGTTGCCCTTATCCAGACCCCAGCGCTTGCAGACAGAGTCTAGAATTTCGGCAATGTAGCTGTCAGATGAGGTATTGAGAGTCATCACATGAGCAGAAGCTTCCAGGTTGATAAAGCGGATCTTCAAGGTCTTGGAGACACCAAGTCGGGGAGTGGCATGAGAAATAGGTACCGCAGGTCGATCCGCTGGAGTCAGCGTGCTATCATTCAATGCAGATGAGAATGGCTGCCTTAGAATCGGGTTCACGCGACCCATGGCCGACTTTGTTTGAGGAGGCGGTTGTGACCCTGGCACTATGAGAGTTGGTGGCTGCTCGCTTTCGTCCGAACCCAAACTCTGACTGAACTGAGGGTATAATCGTTCGTTTTCTTCAAACTCGGACTTAGAAGCTTCCACCAGTGCAAATTCATCATAAGGTTTGCCTCGTGAGCGCCCTCGCGCCTTGGCTGCTTGGTTATTGTTGGAGGTAAAGTCGGTCATTGGAAGTGTTCGTCCGAGTGCAGGAAAGTCATACTCCACTTCCCCATCATCAACCATGCGAAGCGCCCATCGATTGACGGTTAACTTTCCCCGTTCCAGGGATGGGTCTCGTGCATCTTCAGCATACTTCCAGAGAGCAAGACCAATGGTCTCGGCTACAGTTACCGGAGCAGGTTGCTCCGCCAGCTTGACTCGCGAGTGACTGGTAAATCTAGGGGTTCCTCGGGGTCGGATGAAAAGGGAACATAGATTTTCAGGTACAATGGATCGCCCTGGCCACTTCCCGAAAGCACCATAAACTTCTCTACCGGGTTACTTGGTGCGCGTTTGCGGGACTTGAGTTGTTTTGTGAGTAAGCTAACAGGTTGTATTGTGCTGATCGGCCGTGGTGGAGGTAGATCGTGCAACTCTGGCGCCGGTACTTTGGGCTTCCGTGGAGAGGCATTGTTGCTGGGGCCCGTGTTGGTGGGGAGTTTATGCATCAGAGCCATTGGGGAGGATGAGTCCAACGGGTCTGTCATGCCCATTCCAGCCAGGAGCAATGAGCCGGAGCCTGCAGTACCGTCGAATTCGGATGAAAGTGCAGATCCCACGGACTCTGCGCCGGAATCTTCGTCCTGCTCATTTAGATCGCCCAGAGCAATACTATCCGCACCACGACTACCAGTTCTCTCTCGACGCTTGCGGGGGCGCTCGGCCGCGTGGTCTGTGGCAGAGAATTGGACGTGTCCCTGCTTGTAGCCATGGGCATCAATTTCGTTATCAGTGGACAAGTCACTACTTGTAGTGGTGTCCCGTCGGGGCCGTTGATTTTTGTCTGATACGGCTGTCCCTAGGGAGCCCGTCCGGTAATGGGATGCAACATTCTGTGTCGAGGGCGATGTAATCATCACTTCTGGTCGTTCACGCTGTTCGGACGAGCGAATCGGAGAGGAATCGGCGCGGTCTCGGCGCACAGGCATTTTGGAGAATTTTATCTGCTCGGTGGACCTTGTGCTCGTTAGAAGTTGTACCACGGATTCAGATCAATAAGAACAGCCCACCTGTGAAGATTGTCGGCGTCGTCATCACTGTCATCGCTCAGGTCACTACTATCATCCTCCTCCTCTGCCTCAACCGGAGGCTGCATCTCCGGCTTTTGACGATCGCGTCGACCCTTCTTCTTTCCACTACGCCCAGGGAGTCGTCGCCCGGTGATTTCCATGTGGCTCTTACCAGTCACCATGCCCCCCTCGTCATCCTCACCATCCTCGAGTCCAAGTCCTTGGAGCTCATCTCGTGCAGCGTTTGCATCGCGGACAGCCAGTCGGTAGTATTCTGAGGAGACAGCTGCAGTTGTCGGGATTGGGGGAGAATGGGTTCGCTTGATGTTGGCGCTGCTGCTGTTTGTAGAGACGGTGGACCAGCCCGCGGCACGAAACCCAGGAGTATTGAGAACGGCATTATTGAGATTTATTAGACGGTCTCCGATACCGTCTTTGATGGTTGAAAGATATGTTGAACGCAATTGCCAGATGGTAAAGCTGCGCCTTGGTTAGTCTCCAGCGGTCAAATGATCTTGAGACCAGGTGAAGGATCCGGGGTAGCGAGCCGGTGCTCAACTTACTCTTCATTGTGAAGGAGAGACATATTGATAGGTTCCCACGGCAAGGGAGATTTGGAGCACACAGAAAAGAAACCGTGTTAGTAATAGTGATTGCGTGGAAGGAGTCGGTCTTGAAACATTCGCTCCTCAGAGCTGACAGCGCATGCTCACGTGGGAGCGTAGAGAAGGGAGGTACAACATGCGCAGAGATCAAATCCGAGGAAAAGAATGAGTCTGGCTCAAGCAGGACCAGCCTGAAAAGGGAAAGAAGGTGATGCGCAGGCAAGCGATATGCGCAAGGTGTAGGAGAGGGCAGGGTGATCGGTGGCGGTTCTCCGCAGATCATTTCCCCGCCCGCACCGCCTTTTTCTCAGCCGCGGGCATGTTCCATTTAGTTTTCTATGTTGATGAGATACGGTACACCGAATGGAGAATATTATTTTGGCTCTAATTGCTCTAATGAGCCATTCCCAGACTCTGGAATGGATTGTCCTGTCTTGGAATAAAGGTTTCATATTAATTGCTACCTTGGGGCCTTTGATCTCTAAAGGTCTGTTCTAAAGACAGCTGGAGAGACTGGGGGTGATATATATAGGTAGTTTTACTTGTTCATAGACGTTTTGCATTCAGAACATTCATGAGGAGAAATCCCCGACTATATTTATGTATAGCTTCCGATTTCTTAATCTGGCTATCTGTCCATAACCAACTATATACTGTGATGATGAACAATTGAATCAACTCCTCCACGTTCATATATACCTTTGGTATTGTCGTCCATGTCTTTCTGAGAAATTAACAATGATAGCCTGCCAAATATCCTCATAGAGTTAAGAGATGTTCAAATCTCCTTCAACGTGAGGTTCAGAGCTTTGTGTGTGTATTCGCAACTCAGTCACTTTCTCATTTCTACAATGTCTGTGATACCTGTCAAATTTGGTAGCAATCGTACGCATCCGATATATCCTCCAATTTCAAACTTCGTATGAGTGTCCCAGGAATTAACATAAATGGCTCGGACAAGATCTCACTCACTTCCTTAATATCTCAAGTGCTCCAGAAAAGTATTTTATCATCGGGTTTCAGTGATAGTATTTGAGGGCTATTAAGCTGAGTAGTGTTGACCAAAATATCACCCATGACCAAGGTTGCGCCTCATTTCTCAACTCAGGAATGTATTGCCTCACGGCCAGAATAGCATTGACAATGGTAGCCACGTCGTCCATGCTGGGGTGAGTGAAGAGACCGTTGAAAATGGTAGTGCCATTAGACTTGACGAAGATTCTTCTTGTGTGTCCTTCCGGGGAGTGTCCCTCGTCTGCCATAGTTCTGGTGAAGCGGTCATCGAGCTCATGGCATGCAGTTCCTAGTTCAGAGGTGTTGGGCTGGCAACCATGTCCCCAAAGCTTTTTGTTGCATGCCATGAGCCAGAGGCTGGTCCCGACAGTCCGCCCTTTCATGTCCACACATGAGGTGGACCCGAAATCCAAGGACTATTGGGGCCGGTCCGCGTCCGAAAGGCTCGACTCAAGCTCGAACATCAGTTAGTGAACGGAAACAGAGAGCAGAAGGGTTGAGACCTCTCGTGTAGGTATGGCCCTTGTATAGGGTTAAACCGAAGGGCGAGTCTGGCTTATTTGAAGCCACTATTTTGATGACTACTGGAAATCAAGGAAATCAATAAGTACAGTGACTCGACGTACAGTTCGTGTGGCCCCGCTACTATGAGTTCTCGCTGCAAACCTGCAGGATTAGATTAGAGTAACCGAATTTTCTCGGCAAGACTATAGAGAAACTAGGGACGAAAGCCGACATCTCCTTCTAGCAACCATCTATCTCGAACGATAGGGTCACCAAGCGACGTCGTCTCTCGTCGGCCTGGTCCTCAAAAGCTGTCTCGCTTCAGGACGAGTACTCCATCCAGCCTCAAAGAGCAAACACGCTGACTAGCTAGAAGCGGATTCGTCCGAGCCTGTCCTGTCTTTGCCAATAAGTCACCGTGGCCACTCATTGCCCATCGAAAGAGACCCTGGTCATTTCTACCTTGTAGATAGGAGGCGTGATGCTTCAATCGCATTGATTGGTCACCCTCCGCCACCAAGATATTTGGACACGCGTCGGCAGTTGTCCTCCACATTCTCTGGCCTGTCGCTAGCCAAAGAGCTCCAGAATCCTGGCCCCGGAGAGCGATCCAGGGACCCGGGGAGGGCGGCTTGGGTAGTGAGATATTTCCATCAAGCTGGGAGGCCTCCATACTCGGTTCTGGCCTCGTCCTGCCAGTATCTACTCGGCCCAAAGCCGAATTCTCTGAACAACCGTGAATCCTGAGCACTCCGGTGAAGCCTGTGTCCCCAGGGCTCTTGAAATGGATTCGAGCTTCTCGTGCCCGAATACAAGTGGCCAGCCGAGCATCAGGGTAACCTGGTTGGTTCGTCGATCCATCTGGCCCCTCCGCTAAAAGGGATCAAGGTGTCATGTTCCCCGCGACTGCCGCCACGATTGGTCCGTCCAGCAGGGGAGACCAGCCATTCCCAACCACTCCGGGATGTGGACCTCAAAATCACAGCTACCCCGGACAGCGTCGACACTTGTGGGGCCCCGCGTGAGTCTGCGGTAGACCCATGCTTGATAGGCTTCGGATCCAGCATGGTTACTATATATCAAGGGGAGGAGCGCCAGACGCTGTACAAGGATCATCTGGCAATAGTTCCACCTCACAGGTCACTTTTGCGATGGCTAGCAGTCAACTCAAGGAAAAGACAGGGAAGTCGCAGGTGAAGACACTGGGCCACCTGCGTCTGCGAGACTCAGAGACGGACGAGATTATCTTGGTCCCTACTCCGTCGTCAGATCCCCAGGATCCTCTCAATTGGTATGTCTCAACCCGTGATTTCCGTTCCTTCTTCAGGACATTACCCTCTGATGGCTAAGTAGGCCGAAATGGTTCAAACTATACACGGCGGTGGCCGTGTGTTTCGCCATGATTCTCTGCAATTTCCTGGCGGCCGGTCCAACGCTGGCGATTCTTGAGACCGCAAAGGACTTTTTCCCCGACTGGCAGGAGACCGGCATGTCTGGCCCCATTTCGAAGACGGCATACTTCTTCAACTGCACTGCCCTCTTCCAAGGCTTGGGTAACTTGCTCTGGATGCCGCTGATCAACAAGTATGGCCGCCGACCAGTCTATGTGACCGCCTTCACCTTGTATACTATCACCGCCATCTGGTGTGCCGTCGCGAAGGGGTATGCGAACTTCTTGATAGCGCGGATCTTCATGGGTATCGCAGCTGGCGCTGGTGAGTGTTTGGCACCCGTCACCATTGCCGACATCTTCTTTCTACACGAGCGTGGTACCATCACGGCGTAAGTATCTCTGTTTCACTAGTTGACCTGCACCCTCCCTCTCTGACATACCCTAGGCTATACAACGCCTCGCTGAACCTGGGTGTTGCAAGCGGTGCTATTATTGATGGCTTCATTGTCAAATACCACCCATGGCGCTTTATCTATTATGTGGCTATTGCTCTGATCGGCGCGGTCACCCTCATTGTATACGTCACCTTCCCCGAGACTGCTTATATTCGAGACCTCGCTCCCAGTGACACCGTCACCACCCTGACTGCTTCGGGCGACCGTATCCGTCGAAGCACTAAGGGTGAGGAGGCCGGCACTTCTTCAATTCACGAAGTGGTGACTGCGGAGCAGACAAGAAAAAACGGGCCTGGATGGTTGCAGGGTCTGAAACTGTATCACGGGAGGTATACCCACGAGTCTCTCTGGCAAATGACCATTCGTCCGGTTGGCCTTTTGATCCTTCCGCCTGTCTTGTGGGCAACTCTGGTCATGTCTGTGACAATTGGCTTCATCACCGCCATTACATCCAACGTCTCATCGGCTTTCAACACGGCCTATGGTTTTGAGGCATGGCAGTCGGGTCTCTGCTTCTTTTCGGCTGTTATCGGCTGTCTCATTGGTATCTTCCTTGGTGGTCACTTCTCCGACTGGGTCGCCGACTACTTCACTCGTCGCAATGGTGGTATCCGAGAGCCAGAATTCCGTCTTCCAGCGATCATGATCGGTGTCATTACGGGACCTCTTGCATTGGCTCTGTATGGCTGTGGTATCAATTGGCAGATGCATTGGATCGTTCCTACTATTGGCATTGGGTTGAGTAAGTGATTCCTTTTCTTGGCACCTTGACATTCAGAACATTTCTGACGCCCCTTCAGTCAATTTCACCATCACCCAAGCTACGAACGTCTCCCTCGTCTACACAATTGACAGCTATCGTCCCGTTGCTGGAGAGATTGTCGTCACGCAGCTGGCTTTCAAGTCGGCCTTCGGTTTCCTGCTGGGTTTCTATACCAACCCGTGGGTTGACAAGCATGGTTACAATGTGGCTTACGGTGAGATGGCTGCAATCTGTGGAGGTGTTTTGATCTGTTGGATTCCATTCTTTTTCTGGGGAAAGGTCGTTCGCCAAAAGACTCTGAGCTGGAAAGTTATGTCTTGGGTGCGGTGGGATGACGACCGAGAGGTTGGCGAGTAAATCGTTGGAATGCTCTCGTTACCTTATGCTACCGGTAGGACTTGCATGGGAATATATCACCCAGATACCCAATTCTAGATTTCTTTTGGATTAATATAAGCTGGTTTTTTTCTTTTTCTTTTTTGAAGAAAAGAACAAACGATCAACTTGAAAAAAGAAGCTTCAAATTCCCGTGTGAGACTTCAAATGATGTGTAGTCATAGTTCATAGATTGGTAGCTCCCGGATTTACCAAAGCAAAAAAAGGGAGTTACAAGTAAGTGATATTATACATGGCAGCTTAAGCCTTGGCCTTGGCCTTCCGCCCCTTCTTTGGCTTCTCCTCGCCGTCGTCAATAAAATCATCATCTGCGGCAGCCTTCTTGCCCTTCTTGCCCTTTGCAGCGGGGGCCTTCTTCTTCTTTGGCATGCTGACGTACTTGTCCTTCTTCAGATCTATTTCCTCTTCGTCATCTTCCTTGATTTCTTCGACGACTTCTTCCTCGTCGGACTCCTCAATTGCATCTTCAATGTCTGGCTTCTCCTTGGGTCCCTTCTTCGGGGCGACAACATTACTGGCCTTGATGAACGGAAGTGGGTGCGAGCGCGAGTTGTACAGCCGTGTAAAAGTAGCCTTTGTCTGTGTCTCCAGCTTGACATTGGATTGATCCATAGGTCCCACTCCTAATTCAATCATCGCATCAAAATCGTCTCGAGTCAGGTAGTAGGCATCCATGAAGTCAATCACTCCATCGACACTGTCCTTGCCTTCATCCATGAGTCGCTTGACCGATTTCTCCCAAACAAGCGGCATGTACTGTTGGCGGATCTCGTCACGGTTGCCCGATGTGCGAAGGCGCATGTGTCCTTGGATTTCCTTAACGTAACGTGACATTTTGCCTGGGTAGATAATGTGTGAGTAAACATAGTACTGTAAAATAGGGCTAGGATGCTCTTGCATACCCTGTTTACTATTTTGGCCAAGCCAGCTCGTGAATGCTGGACGCTCGGTCATGTTTCCGAATTGATAACTGGCCGGTCGCACGAAACTAAAGATGGCATGTGTAGGCATGAGGCTCCACTGCTGCTGGGTCCCATGAATCATGCGATCAACAAGATCGCCATCACTGAAACTAGAGGCTGCATTATCTGCCAACTCAAGGAGCTTGAGCTTACGCTCTTTCCCCTGGTATTTAGCAGCAAGGCTGGGGTTTGTTCGAAGGTAATTCTCCTGCAGCATCAAGTGACTGAACTCGTGATCATTGAAATATAGCTGAATCTTGTCATCAAGTGTCGATGAAGAACTCTGAGAGAACATCTGGGCGCTAAGAATTTTACTCGTAATGTCCCAGGGCTTCAGGATGACGTGCTTCTCCCATGCCTTTGACATTTGTTTACCTTCATCAAATCCGAGGTCTGAGCGGTCAAGCTTGGCAGCAGAGAGCATGTTAATGAGCTGTCGAATGTCGGCATGGGTCCCTTCGATGAGAGCATCGAGCACAGGGGGCGGGATCTTGATTTTTTCTCGGAAGCAGATAGTGGACAACCTGCCCCGAATTTGGTCGGCCGTTGGGCGTCGAAAGGGAACGTCAAAGGTCACATGGTCAAAAGGCTTCATCTTGGGGCTCCTCCGCTCGTTACAGAGCAGAATGATTGGTATATTCGTCTTCTTAGCAATTGCTGCCACGGCCCCAACACCTCCACGGTCACCAGCAGACATGCCGTCAACCTCGTCCATGATCAAGACAAGATTCTTCTTTCCACTCTCGACCTTCTTGCCTTCGCCAGCGAAATAGCCTTGTAGAGATGTTGTATCTAGGATGTCCAGAGTGCCGCTCTCAACAAGCTTCTTACTTCTTGTATCACTAGCGTTGGTCTCGACGATATCGAAACCTTCTAGCTTAGCCACAAGATGTGCTGCCGTTGTTTTTCCGATACCCGGAGGCCCGTGAATCATAATTGTTCGATAAACCCCCGAGCCATCTTTGCCAGCGTTCTTGAAATTTAATTTGGCATTTCTGTGCCAGTTGCGCAACCAATTCTGAATCTTTTCAACGGCACCCTTATTGCCACAGATCATGGAAAGCGAAGTAGGAGCATACTTGGTGGTCCAGAGTTGATCGTCCGCCGAAGCGGAGGGTGAAGAGGAGGGAGGAGCACCGCTCAGTTTCGAGTCAGCCTTGGCTTTGGCTTCCCTCTGTTTCTTCTCCTCTGCATCGATCTCAGCGGCCGCTTTCCTCATCTTTTCCTCTTCGGCCTTTTGTTTCTCTGCATATTTCTCAGCTGCTACCCCAGAACCGCCATTGGCTGGTAGACGTCGGATGAGCTCAAAGAGACCATTTTCGTCGATAGTCTTGAGTTTGTGTTTGGCGATCGTTTCAAGTTTCTTTGGACCGGCATCTCCGCCGAGAACAACGTAGCTGGTCTTGGAGCTGGGAGCTCCCGTGACTTTGCCCCCGTATCTTTTCACCAAGGCCTGGCCTTCCTCACGGCCGAGCGTTTCCAAAACACCAGTGAATACGAACGATAGCCCTGCCAAGCAGTTCTCTGCACCGGTGGGCAGCTCGGCGGTACCTGTGGTTGGGGGGTCACGAGATGCTTGTGCAGCATAAGGATTGAATTTCTTGGGTGGGCCACTGGCGGGAGTAGGAGATGGAGGTTCAACGGATGGAATGCTGTCAAAAATGGCCTGAATCTCTTTGTTCTCAACTGGGGCGTCTTTCTCCTTCTTGGGTGTTGATTTCTGTTTTTTGGCGACTGGCGACCCAGGGGCCTTTGACCGGGCAGCTGGCTTCTTCTTTTCTTGAAAGTCCTCATCTTCATCCTTGTCAATCAGAGCCTCCGACTTGCGCTTCCGACTTGCCCTGTTAGGCTTTGGTGCTGATTTGGGAAGATCCTCCATCACTACATCGTCTTCTTCGTCCAAGATCGACCGATTTTTCTGTGACCTCTTTGAAGTGATTGCAGGTTTGACCTCGAGCATTTCGAAGTCATCATCATCACTGTCATCCGCTGCAACGTAATCATCATCCTGCTTCTTTGTATACTCCGATGCAAATATGTCGTCTCCCCCAAGGCCTTCGTCATCATCGAGAGTTTTTGTGGCCTTCTTGGTCGATGCACGCGGCACATTTCGCGATTTTACGGGGCTTTGATCGGCCTTGGCGATCTCAGCCTTGGGTGGCCTTCCTCGCTTCTTGCTGGAGGCGAAATAATCAGAGGTTGTCGTAAGTTCTCCCTTGGGTTCTTCAAGCTTCCTGTGACGAGAATTGAATCAGAGAAATTGCATTTGATAAAAGACTGGAGTACATCCGAATCATACGGTTTAGCTTTTGGCTTGGCTTTGGGAGTAGGTGCCTTCACAGGCGCATCGTCCTCATTATCATCGCTATCATCCACCACCTTCCGGCTGCCTGTGCAACATGTTAGTTGAGGAGTTGGGGATGAAGAAAGATAAAGATACGGGGACAGCCATACGTCTTTTCCTTGAGGTAGAAGAGTCCTTCGCGTCAGGCAATAGTCAGCAAGTTTGGTAACCATAAATTGAAAAATTAAGTATAGGTTGAAAGAACGGTTAGAGTGCTGTAATCAGTAAATCGCAGCGTACCTCTTTCGTTGCGGGCTTTGGGGCTTCGGCAGCACTCTGACTGGGCTTACCCCCAAAGAAGCTCCGGATATCAGAAGGCATCTTCAGCTCAAGCTCGACCCAACATAGGAGTTTGAAGACTGAATGCGTGAATATAGAGACAATTGGAAATAGAAGATGTCCGCAGCCTTTGAGGCAACACTGCCATACGGTTGACGCGCCCGGGGACGTGACTGCTGACAAAGAGGCGCGACATGCACGTGACCGATACTTAGACCGAATTAAGCCTAGTGCACGTCGGACATCGAAAAGTGCCGCTGCCCTGCGCAAACAGCCACTATCGTTCAATTCATCCTTGATCGCATCCCTCGGTCCCAATGGGTCCTCAGATGAAGTTATTCGCGGGGCCCCTGTCAGGCTGTGCCCGACCGACATGTCAGAATCCCCGTCGTTTGACTACCCTAACAGCATACTGTTCCCGGCTCAAAAACTGACATCTGCGAAACAGGCCTCTCGGGATCGCTAGCTACTTTCTCCCTCGCCCGATGCTTCTCTACCACGTCTCCTGCCCTTGATTGGCTTACTCCGAAGTTCGCCGAAAAGTCCAAGTCTCCCAAGGGTCGCCCGCATGTCGCTACCGGAGGCTCAACCCGCGGAACAACGGTCGTGTGGGGAGATTTCGGACTCCGCATGAAAGACCACGATCGCCGGATGCCTGCTTCAGCTCTCAAAATTGCGGAGGAGACCATCAAGCGCAGGCTGCGAGGCATGAATTACAAGCTTTACAAGCGGGTCGCTGCCAACATCGGTGTGTACACCAAAGGCAACGAGCAACGTATGGGTAAGGGTAAAGGTAAATTCGATTACTGGACGGTCCGACTGCCTGTCAGCCGTGTCGTCTTTGAACTGAAGGGTGATATTCACGAGAAAGTTGCCCGGGAGGCATTCAGATTGGCTGGCCACAAGCTGCCAGGTATGTTTTGAATTCCGATCACAATCTACCATTCAATCGATACTCATTCTTGCCTAGGTCTCTGGGAATTTGTCAAAAAGGACGATCCTCCCGTTGTTGGAATTACGAAACTTGGTAACGGTGTCACTCTCGAGTCTCTCAAACGCGCACGCAGAAACCCGCCTTTGGGGACCAACGACCTCCAGAATCCACCTTCAACCACCACCTCCGGCATTTCCCCCTCCCAATAAACTCAACATTTTCCCCACCTCTCACATGATACCGACTTCATGTTTTTTATTGCCCGTTTGGCAGCGTTGAGTCAACCTCCAACGTTGGAGCCAGGTCCATACCCCTGCTGTCTCCTGGTTCTTGCGGCTGCTGCATCGCCCGGGGTATCGAAATCCAGATCTTTTGTACATTATTGTCAGCCTTAAGCACGTCTTATATGAGGCCGTTGGGTACCAGCCCCCCGGCAAATTTTTGTCTTTATATCAGGAGTTCTAGACAGATGGATATGTCGTTCTGCGTTTACCTTTGTCGAGTTCTTCGGCCCCTATTCCCATGCCTAATTTCTGTGCCTGTGTGTACTCATCATTGTTGGTGGTAGACTCATCGGCTGAGCTCAGCGTAGTCGCAAGCTGGCTCTTGGTATGTTGCGGGCTTCCTACTGTCTCGGTTAGCTCGCCGGTACTGCGCTCCCACAACCGGGTAGACCTGTGTACCGCCTAGCTGGCCGGTTTGCTTTTCGGGCGTCTGTGTGTATATGCGGATAGATTCATACCTATAGAAAGGTCGTTAATAAGGGAGGAATAGACTGCGGCGGGAGCTTCGGGTTTACAGACTGAGTGCTCTCTCCTCCGGGCTCAAAGTCAATGAGTCTTGGATCGGACATCTTGAGCGCCCCTGGAAGAGACGTTAATTGGGAAGGAATATAGACAAAAGTATTGCCCGGCCTGTTTCTAAGTGAAGAATTAACGTTCGGCACGACGTCTGCAGGTGTTTCTAGCATCTGGTCCTGTGACGGTAATGTGATGACGTAGCTCCAACCACCGATGGCAAGGTTGACTAGACTCCTACAAATAGCTTGGTACCATTTCCGACCCTTTGTCCATTTGTGTATATCGAAAGTCGAGAAAATGCAATCATTCCATTCCGAACACTTTCGTGCACTTCCTCGGAGCTTCTTGTGGAACATTCAACTACTTCTTGCATAGGTCAACCAATGGCAAGTACATAACGCCAGATCCGTCTCGAAAATGCCTTTCATGCGCCGAGAAAATTGTGAAATGGGAGAGGGGAAACAAGGCGATCGGTCTGTTCATACCGAGACAAAGTGAAAACTTTGCATTGCTGCGGAGTAACAGAATCTCGAATCCAGGCGGACCAATACTCGCCCGCAGCCCCTCGTAGTGTACAGTCGTCATTCGTCTATTGAATTACTTTGGTTCTTGGGATTTATTCAAAATCCATTTCCATCAAAAAGCTAGAGGAGTGTTAGCAACACCACTTGGTCACAGGTGCACATTGGAAACTTACCTCTCGTAAATGCGCATGAACTTGGCGACAAACGCCTCGAGGTGAAAGATCACTTTCTATATAGGCAAAATTCATCAGCGCCCATATCACCAGTATCGATAGACAATGGAAGTCACTTACACTTCCCAACTTGAGTCGATGCTCGTAGAATGCAGACCATTTAATAACATCTTGCTTAAGTCCATCGTCAACTCCCGCGACTAGTTTAAATGTCAAGGTCTTTCATGCCCCCAGTCAGTTCCGCAATCGTCACATGATTAGAATTCAATAACATCGCACCTTAAGGATGGTCGTCGGGGGGATGCAGTGTGTCAAGAGGTCGTAAAGTCGCGCGCGGACTTGCAGCAGGCGAGCAGGAGATCGTTCCTTAATAATCTCATCCGCCGTCAAGGAGATCAAGGCTTCCCAGTCCGGCGGCGGAATTGGGGTCAGATCTGTGACTTTCTCACTATATTCATATAATTGTGAGCATATTGGAAGCTCGCGGTCCAGACATCACAAAGAAAGAAAACACATACTTCTGTGCATATATAGCCTCAAACATGAGGAGCGCTCGGCGCAAATTCCGCCCGCTTTCCTTCGCGATTCTTGCATTTAAACCGTCGGACTCTGTCCACCCTTCTCGCTTTGCAGCGATACGAAGAGCCGAGCAGATTTCGTTGTGGGTTGGCGCAGCCACCCTGACCAGCAGGGTACGCGAGCGAATTGGGGCGATGATATTGGAGGTACTGTTGGCCAGGAGTATCAGGCGCAAGTTCGGGCTGTACTTTTCCATGGTCCGTCTCAGCGCAGCCTGAGCATCGCGAGTAAGATGGTCGGCTTCGTTGATTACAACGACCTTGAACCGCTGCTTCGCAGATAGATCTACCTGCTGTGTCTGAGCAACCTCCTTGAGTAATTCCTGAACCACGACTCGGTCGTACGTTCCAACATCGGCGGGAGTGATCTCCATGTGGTAGACCGAGGAGACGATGTTGAATTCCAGCTTGCGGTTGCTGGTGGTTTGAAAGACTCTGGCATCGATCTTTATTTTCTCCACCCCCGGGCCATACAGTTCCTTCAATGTCGCGATGATACGTGTTTTCTTGCCGGCACCAGAAGGGCCATAGACTAAGAGATGAGGAAAGTCTCCGCTTTGGGCCTATATTTGGATTGAAGGTTGATTAATAGCTGTCAACGTTTTAGGTATTAGGTCAGACTAACCAAGGACCGAAGACGGTCTGAGAGCTCAGGATGATATGTAAGCGCATCAAGAGTACGTGGACGTAGTTTATCGACAAGAAGAGCCATTGTGAACCCTGGGTGTTCTTGAGGTAATTGTTGGGGTTGGAGTGCGCTTTAGAAAATGAGAAATTGGGGAGAACGCGTCCGGGACACGCGCCTAATTAATGAGTGGCCCGTGCGCTCCACAGGGAACCCTCCCATCTCACCATGAAGAGTATTGGGACAACAGACCACAAGACGCCCAGGATGACGAAGAGAAACGGCAAAGTAACTGAGATGTAGAATTTTCTTACTATATATACAAGTAGACGATTTATGAGTACTCTGCAGGGTTTCTGCGAAGTCCAAGCTATAATACAGTCACAAATTTTGCGGAGATGAGAGATGAATCCAAGGCCAGATAGAGTTGGCAAACCTTGCGCCCAGCCCCTTGTTGCAAGTCTATGATTCAACATGCCCTGGATATTCCTGTTGGCCCCCAGGAGGACATGTTGAAGAGAGAAAATTATGATTGAATGGGCTTCAAAACCCCATTGTCATCGTATTTTGCTTCTGTTCTGAGTTAGCGAAGTCACAAGCTAAAATGTGGATTGAAGAGGCCTTACTGAAGAAAGTATAAGAGAGAGTGATCGTATCAATGCCCTTCATATTCGGATCCGTAGCGAAATCGGGATCAATATAGAAGAAAACGGGCATGTCCACTGACTCTCCCGCGTTAAGCTTCTGCTCCTCAAAGCAGAAGCATTGAATCTTGCTGAAGTACGGGGCAACCTGACCCGGTGTTACACTGTAGGTTGCGACTCCAATGATATCCTGGGGGCCCTTGTTTGTCGCAGTGTAGAAAGCTAGGGCCGTCTCACCCGGTAGAACTCGCACTTCTCGTTGTTGCGGGGTAAATTTCCACGGAAGCACATCAGATACAGAGCCATTGAAGGTGATTCGGAGGCGTCGGGAGTCTGTCACGGGAGTCACGCGCGACGCCGTATCGCCGTCGCCAACCCGATGAGTAAGGATGGGTTGGCCACCCCACCCAGTTTGCTGGCAGATCTGTGGTCACAGCAATAGGTCAATTCCAAGAATTCTTTAAGCGATACTCTTCGAAATAGATTCACAGGGCAGGCCGTACCATTTTGTAGAGCGGAACGGAGCCGTACGCAAGCGCGACAGTACCGAGGATAAGACTGATGGTATAATACCTGGTTTAAGGCAATCAGTATACACAATGTGCCAATACGGTGATATGTAAGTCTAGCTCACATAGTAGACGTATTGCGCTGCTGCGATTGCGGCGTATTGAAAGGCGCGGCGGAGGCATGCTGTTTCTCGTGTAGTAAGAAATTCCTTGAGAAATACCTCTTTTCGGCCGCTAATATGCCTTTGCGAAGATATATGGAGCGTTTCGGAATACTTCCCGGCAGCGTGCAACGCCCTAATGAGGGGAACAGTCTGGAAAACATGGCTCTTGAATAATGAAGGAATCAAACCATTCGGCTCAACATGACTTGGAGAATCCGCACACGTGATGAGATGTCTTATCGATAAGCATGGGTCACGTTACTAGTACCACTGTTTAGCACAGCGGCCTGGTCTAATCAACAACGTAGTGTCCCCTGGAATTACGTTAATTATCCGACTAAAAAGGTGGAGTTAGAAACTGGTTTAAAAATGGGTCACTCTCTCTGTGATGAGATACAGCCGGCGGCTCAAGGCTGTTCCGAACAGTATGTACGCAATCTTCCGGATGCTTTTTCTGAACCATCCCCAGAATTGTATAGAAAATTGATACCAATTGACCGACGCGCATCAAATAAACAAAAGTAAGAAGGCTATTTCTCAAGCGGGCTATTGGAACAGAATGATATAATAGGCTAGGCACAAAGCAGTTCAACCCCATTGGAAGCCAGTTCGATCAGACCTCATCGATGCATATTAGACCCATACAAAGGGTAACTTCCTTCTGCAGTGGATAAAAAGACAAAAAACAAAGACATAGTTGGTACATGATTAGCATAAAAACATAATAATACAGCATAATGAGGGACATGGACATCCGGCTGCCAGTAAACCCGTCTCTAATGCATATTCTAATTCAAGACGCCGGAAGTGATACGGCCAAAAACTCCACGAACCATGCGGGGCTTCTCATGAAGGCAACTAAAAAGAATTGCGGCACTGACGGCAAAAGCAAGGCGCTCGCGATGTTGATACTGAACAGTAAAAAAAGTTAGCCCCGCGTGACTGGATGCGGAATGGTTACCGATCACACCCACGCATTCGAGGGTGTATGGGACGAAGGTTCTGGACCCGAAGGGTGTAACCTCGCTGGCCGAGCCAGACGAGGCTCGAACATACCTTTTTCTCATACAACCGTGGCAACACGGTGGCAGCAGCTCGGGGTGCCACAAATAGGGCCAATTCCTGCCTTTTCCGCGCTTTCTCGACCAATACGCTCCACCCACACATGAGACAACCTGCCCCGACGCAGAGGCCGGAGTCCCACATCAAGGGCGTGACCGTCTTTGGATCGAAGATCCTAGGGCCGAGCCGTGTCCGAGCCAGGCAGACAGAGTAATAGAACAGACTGACGAAAGATGCCAGGAAGGCAGATGACTGGGCGGCATCGAAGACCGCACGGCGCAGGACGGAGGGATTCTTCATCCCCCGCAGGCGCAGGACAATCTGCAATGGAATATAGGTTGCACAGGCAAATTTGAAGGTTTTGGCAAAACGGGAGACTGCGTGCCGCTCACAGCTGGGGCCGCAGCCCATGTGTACCATCTCACATGGAATGGGAACTGTTTTCGCAGGATCTCCCCATTCTTCAGGCCAGCCATAGTCCCTGCACATGGACTCCAAGAGGGGTGCTTGGCCTGTATTCTTCCCGTATACAAAGATTCCCCAACGAGCACGACGAAGGGCTTCGATTAACCGGGTGTCCACTTTCGCCACTTCGCCAATCCATTTTTCGTAAGTTCGGGGCAACCTCTCCGGAAGATAAAACCAGGCCCACATGACTACGGCAGCGCTCATGGCGAAGACCCCTGCGTCGGCCAGACCGGGCAGAAGAGTCTCCACTACGGTCCAGCGGTTTTGAGTCTTTCGACGGCGAGACCAGCGACTCCATGCAATGCATGCTATCACGTCTACTGCTCTTGTGACCGTGAACAGAGTCAGATCCATTGTCCTCCCGACCAACTCCGGGCGAAAGCGCTCGAGAGGATTGGCAGGAGTGTTGGCTGGGCCTTTGTGATCCGAAGATGAGAGCTGTCCAGCTCTGACATCTTGTCGTGGTGGGGTGCGATTCTTGTTCAACAGTTGGAAACTGAACCACGCCGAGAAAAAGGCCGCGACGAATCTAATCAGCCGAGAGATTGATTTAGAGGCTCGGATGTCACCTTTAAGAGGGCCGGCTGCGATCAATGCGCATATCCGATACACCAGAACGGGGAGCACAGTCGATCCACCAACGAGGGCAGCGCAGAAGGTTGGGAAGCTGTTCACACGTAGCGGTCCCGCTAGAACTCGAGCCAGCTAAAAGGTCCGAGGTCAGTATTAATTGTTCGAGGCAGCTATCAAGACCATCCAAATTCTGATATGACGAGAAAAGAGGATTCAGAAGCGGCGATATCATATATCGTGTCGCGCGCAACAACCACCTCCCTCTTCCTGCCAGGAGAAAGGAATCCTGTCATTTAACGAGTTGGCAGCATACCTCTTGAAATTTTTTGGGGGCGGACCAATCTCTACTGGCGAAATGCCGGGCGTACGATATTAACTTGGGGGTGAGCGATGACAGATACCCTAGTGCATAAGCACGTAGAATGCTGGAGGCGGATCAGCAGCCTTTCCCACAATTCCCATCGATCTTTAAAGATCGCCGTTGGAAGCACTCGGCAGCGCGTCAGAAGAGCTTACGGCTTTATAATCCGGGCTTGCAACTGCCTGTCACGAAGACCCAACCGGACCGCGGGTTCCATCGCGCCGGTAACCTCCATGTCTAGATCCGCAAGGAACGCGGATGAGCATTACCCAGGGCTGCAACTAATCGGCGGTTCCAAGACTTTGGCCGACGGGAATCAATGGGTGGGACAGTCCACGCCCAATTAGAGGGTCTGTGGTTCCTAATGACCACCGCAGGGCCTGGCCACTAGGAATCTGGGCTCTGGTGACCCCCAAAAGTTGGGCCAGCCCAAAAATTGGGTAGTATTTTGGCTTCGGAATGAAGTAATGAGGGGAGGGGACGGAGGGGTGCAAATGCGGGCGGCAGCAACCCTCCTGGCACCTGCACGATCGTTTTTTCAGGCCTCTGATCAACCGCGGATCTGTGCTACTGGGGGGAGAAGCTTATGTAGGGTGCACGTCAGAGACTGATGGGGGTTTGGACAATTTGGGATGAGGACTGACGGGGTCGACGGGGTTGACGGGACCTCGGTTCCTGAAGGGGAAGTAAGTCCCCGCCGACGGACCGGGTGTCCAGGGTATCCAGGGTATCCACGGTATCCACGGTATCCAGGCTATTTGGACAGTCCAATCCGGTTCAGGGGTACGAGCACTGGAGGCCGATCATCCGCAATGCAGCAGACGCGAGCGATGCGGGGCGTTGGCTGAACAAAGGCCCACTAAGTGATTCAATGACACGCCGAATAGGGAATGGATCGAATCCTGCGGGAAAAAGAAGCCAAGCTGACGGTAGACCAAGCCAAGCCTGCGAATAATGAAAAGTGTACAGAGTACTCTGTCCTCCGTGCTCCGTAGATTCCGACAGGGGGACAAGTACCTGCGGCAGGAGGGTCTGGAGGTCTCAAGGTATCGAAGTCTCGACGTTGGTTCCGACGACTCAAAGATGGGGTAACTCCACGAGTACCGAAGTCTGCTCGGTGCACGTTGTAGGTCACTGCTCCGTGATCCCGAGTCACGTGGCAGCCCCGGTGCGGTGCAGGGCTTGCGGTTCCTCCGAGGAACGTCCCGCCGTGCCAGGTACTGCCGTATACTGCCGTATCGGTGCCCCCCCGTATGGCCCGGCCGTAATGTCGCGTAATTTTCGTACCGCTGTTACGTCACGCGACCTGAGAAAAATTTACATGTGATCGCGATGCGGCTTGACGGCTTGGACAATGGAATCGCTCCACTTCCTTCCCCAGGCTTCACTCCGTGACTCCTCTTCTTCCCTGTTCCGTCCGATCGGTTTACCCCGGGAATTGGAAGCCTACTTATCTTTTCTGCGCTGCAATAACTGCTCTGCACATCTTCCAAGCCGCTATATCTAAGGCCTCTGCTTTCGTAAAGTCGGCGAATCGCAAGATCCAGAGATCCATATCATCCATCTCCACTCCACCGTGATTATATTCGCAGAACGGCCGGGCCATAGTCGGACACCGAACATCTTTAGCCAAGGCATGATCGTATCGTTCTGGTCCCCGCTGCTCTTGATCCTTCAGAGCAGCACTTGTTGACCTGGACGTCTTCGAATGCTCACAACCACCCAAACCTGCCTCCCCCTACAAACCTCTTTCATCATGGAAGGCTCCGGCCCAGATGTGCATCCAGGGCGCACCTCGCCGCCACCATCAGGCCCATTTGGCTGTGAGTCCTCTTTGTGGTCATTTCGCAATTCCCTGAACGTATAAAAGGAAGACTTGCTTATACTCTTCTCGTCCCCAAGACAACTTCCTCGCTCCGATGGACACTCCGTTTGAACAGGCTCCCGCTTTGCCCCCGGGTCCGTCACTTCTCGACGACAATGAATCCAACATGCTCGATAATTTCTTCACCACCATGAATGCGAACAACCTGACAAATGATTTCTGGCTGCGAGGCCCGCCGACCAAAGCCCCGGGCCTAAACTTCGATTGGTCTGAGGAGCTTCCGCCAACCTTTGAGGGTTCGACCACGTCCTTATCGCAACCGTCGTTTCAAGCACAGAATCTCAAATCCGGACTGATGGCTGGAAATAACACTGGACCTGACATCTATGCGGCCGCCTCGATGCTCTACCACCAGGTTGGTATCAACCCCTCGGATATTGGAACCGCACTTGCCCAGCACGCTTTCGCAGCGCCGTCGCTCTCGATGAATGGCGTACATGCTCGTCACAGCTCGCAACATCTCTCTCCACCTCACGCGTCGGCTTCGTCGCCGTCGCGCGCGCGGATTCCCACAGGGTTCCATACCACCGAGATGCTCTTTGATGTGCGCGACCCCATCCCGGAAGATCAACACCCATCCCGCAAAGTTCGTGGTCTACATTGGGGTTCCGATAACAGCTTCATGGATCAGGGCTATGTGGCTCCACCGGACCAGCCCGATATGGAGACCCGCACGAGGGAACTGCTGGATCATCTTGATTGTTTCGAACCTCAGAATAGCGCCGTCAACACTCGGGCCCCTAGCCCCGACCGTATGGCCGCCTCTCAAGCCCAACATACTGCTTTCCGGCCTCCCGATATGGACGATGGCTTGCAACCTCGAAAACGTCAGCGCACCAACAAGGATGGAGAGCTGGCCTCAGATGACGAAGAGTCGCCGATGTTGTCTCGGAAGTCTCGAACCCCCACCAATGCAAAGGTACGACGTACCTCGACAGATTTATCTCGGAAGGGACGAGTCACACCTAGCAGCAAAGCACCCCGGGAAAATCTTTCAGAGGAGCAAAAGAGAACCAACCACATTCTTTCCGAGCAAAAACGGCGGAATCTCATCCGCCAAGGCTTTGACGATCTCTGCTCGTTGGTTCCCGGTCTCCGTGGTGGGGGCTTCAGCAAGAGTGCCATGCTCACCCAAGCAGCCGACTGGCTGGAGGATCTCCTTCATGGAAATGACTTTTTGCAGAGCCAACTGGCGGACATGAAAAGCATTAATGGCCTCGTAATGCCTCGATAAGACCACGACTCTCGCAATAATGTGATCACGATCACCCCTCAATAACTCAATCACGTTTATTGGCGGGCCCTGTGGTCCCGGTGCAAATAATTTTCTCTCTGTCATTGAAAGCGGTTCAGCGGGTGGATGGGATAGGTCTGGAAGACCGGCAGGTGGGCGTTCTCGATAAGATACCAATTTCTTTTTTCCTCTTCAATTTTTAGTTACTTTGATAGGCCACGGCCTATTGTGATTTATCTGGCCATGGATCTTGTTATCTACTTCGTGGGAGAAGTCATACACGTGCAACGTTGTTAATCTAACGCGATATGTTGAATCACGCATATATGGGTACTGGATACCGGTATCCGACGAAATAACTATTCTATTCTCCTGAAGCCTCACGTTCACCACGATATACAGAATATAATGCATTCTATTACAGCCATCATCTCATATCCGTTAACTCAGACGACTGATAGGTGGCCGACCTTCGGCGTCGTATGAGATTGACATCATTCCGAACGCCCCAGGTGTAATAATGTGCATGATTACAATGTTGTAATGCTCTTTCTGACTGTCATTTACAGCGATTTTGTATCATATTTCAATTCAATTGTCTCCTACCTCTATCGAAGTCCCAAGCTTATCCTGCCTTGCTGCAAAAGTCTCTATTTCCCGCACAAGCTCCCCGACGTTAGCAACGGAGCCCTTGGTCCAACATTTGTCGATGATCTCCCCCATCCAGATGCCGTCCGTCTTGGGCCGAGTGTTTTTGGCCGGCCAGCGACTAGTTTTATTGGTAATGATATCTGGTATGGCGGGGAGGAAGGCGACAAATGCGCGGGTGACCACTTGATAGATGGCCGAGCCGAGTTGTCCAATATCCGTGTGGATCGAGTATCCTGACAGATTGACAGTCTCCATACACGTATCCATGGGCAGTACCTTTGATTTGCCGAAGTCACAGAAGCGCAGATTCATCTGAGAGTCCAGCAGCATGTTACGGCAGGCGATGTCGCAAATCAGCACCCGGCGGCTATGAATGAACTCAAGGGTCCGAGCCATCTGCAGGATCCATGAGAGCTGGATAGATTTGGGTGGCGATGGGCCACAATTCTCCAGATACGTGCTGAGATCCTTTTTGGGCATGAACTGGAGGCGGATGGTGTTCTCTGTCGCCCCGAGGAAGGGGACCACGCCGTCATGGATTCCGATGCGGCCATAGGCATCACGCTCTTGATGGATGTTTCGAATTCGGATTCGGGTTCTCTCCGCGGTGGTTCCAGAGTGTCTGAGTGGCAGTTTGATTGCTTCATTGTTTTCACGAATCACCACGCCGTAGCCCCCGGTGCCTATTATCATATCGTTGGGGATCGTGTGTCCACTGGGGTCTAGGAGCAACGGGTACATCTCGTATCCCGTGGTGGTCGAAGAGTATTCAGAAGGCGTCGAGGAGTGCCAAGTCGATAAAGAGGTCCGTCAAAGTCGTTTTTGCGAAGGATGTTGAGCTGTGTTCAAACAGACTTCTGGCGATCCACTTTCGAGGATATCATCTTTGCCAGCCGGTGAATGCCTGGATGTTGAAGAAGGGATGAGAAGAATAGCAGTTTCTACGATTCTAGCCTAGCTGCATAGTCTGATAGAACTTGATAGCTGGAGGCCGGAGTGTGATTGAGACGGCGACAGGTCCCGAGGGAACTTGGAAGACAAGAGGTGAAAATTCTGGGAGGCCTGGTGCCTCCTACTGTCTCCTAAGAACTGCAGGATGTATGGAACATGTTCATCTGAACCATGAGGATAACTACTCCAGCCGGAAACTAATTATTTCAGAAATATCAATAGCAGGCGATCAAGGATAGCGAAGTCTTTTTCGAAGTGTATCTAAGTTGTCATCGAAACCGAAAAATCGCGAACAGAATACAGACATTAGGCTGTCGTTGTGATCGACTTCCATACCCCCGAATATATAAGTTAGTTCTCCCCAACTTCAACCTTGTTTTCTCGGTAATCATTTTCAATCATCAGTTGAATTTCGTTAGATTGCAGTCTTCCATAGTGGGATCTAACTCTAGGCAGACTAGGCCTCCTCCTTTGGCCTCCCTTTCGACCTACCTATTGTGCTGCTCTTATTGTTCACCGACCCGGTCTACCTTCTCCAACGGGTCATGGTTTTGCTCCTCATGAGCTGATGTGATCTAAATATATCATTGATGTTTGGTCATCCGCTACGAGGTTCAAATAGTATATTCTGATGGTTTCCATTTTCGGCAAAACGGGCCGCCCGCACGTCCCGACTCCGATTGACTTCGGGATGACGAGGGCCAAGTGATCGACAACTGAAATGTCTAAATTATGCCTATGCCGCCCATCTTCCGGTGATCTACTTTTCTTCTTCTTCTTCTTCTTCTTCTTCTTCTTCCTCTCAGTAGTCATAGATATGTCTATTTTGAAACGCCTCTCGGCCTTTTTCACCGGCCCGACTCCCGAAGACATATCCGCCGCGAAAATCAAGGCCCAGGCGCTGATTAACGATAATGGTGTGGTTGTTTTCTCTAAGAACTACTGTCCATACTGTGCTGCTACCAAACGTTCATTGAACAAGCTCGGTACTCAATACACTTTGATTGAATTGAATGAAGTTGGTAAGTTCTAGAACTACGTCTAAAGTTGTTTCACTTGCCAAGATTCTTTCAAACATTAGGGTGGTTGTGATGATGATGATGGCAATGATGCCAATTTTACTATATACCTGTTCAATGAAGCTGACCCTTCGGCTCATGTAGATGATGGCCGCGCTCTGCAGAGTGCGCTTCAAGAACTCACGTACCAGACCACGGTGCCCAACATTTTCATTCAACAGAAGCACATTGGCGGAAACTCTGAGCTCCAGGACATGACAGAAGAGCTTCCCGAACTTCTCAGAGGGGCTGGTGCCCTTTGAAGAGGATCTATGGATTTTTTTTTGTTGTTGGTTTAATGACAGTAACCTCCGATGGGGTGGGCGCGGAAATAGGACTCGTCAAGACAGAAGGGCATTCTACTACGTTTGAGGTTATACTTTTCCGTGCGTTGAAAGGGTATTTGCATAATTTATGGTATCTAATTGTGTTCTCCACAAAGTCAGTTCTCCTAACAAATAGCCTCAATTGAAGCTACTTCAGCCCTGGGTGTCAGTAGAATTTAGCGGTAGACAGTTCCATAGGCAATGAATGTGTTCAAGCGGAGAATAGACAGCAGGGAAGGGTTTGATCTTGTATGGATTGGAGGGCCGCAGAGAGTGAATGGGGTGTCCAGCTCGGTGGGACAAGTATTTCAAGGCGCGAGCGCGATGACCTGCACCTTTTGTTGAAAAGAAAAGACAAGTCGTACGGGAGGATCTAGAAAATGTACTGAGATCGAGACGGGGAAACGGCGAAGTTGATTGGCTCTATGGGGTTCTTTGGCGGCCGCAGGAGCCCCAAGTCCCCCCACCGCTCTGTTTTGGGCAACGCGTCTTGAACTCAATCACCACCCCAACTGACGCCAACGTCCCGACCCAAACAATGCCCCCCAAACGAAAGCGCTCTGACGAGGAGCAGTTTGAAGACGACTCACAGAAACGCTTTGCCTATCTCAAGCCGCAAGTCCGTCGCGTTCCAGAGAAGACCATCAAGTCGAAATGGACCACTCTGCCCGACCCGGTCCAGGACAAGGTCCGGGACTTGTTTCAATCCTTGGAGCGCCCGGTGATTATGCGCCAGCAGAATGAACGCAAGCGCATTGAGGCACAAGGCGCGGTACAGGCGGTGGTGCGCAAGTTCGTCGACACCTTTGAGAACCCGATCGTGGAGTGTAGATAGAAGATGATGCGCTGGTGCTAACTCTTTCTTTGAAACTTACCAGTCTAAGCAAACGGCTCCCTCGAATGCCCTTTCCACCCATTACAAAGGACTCGAACTTTGACTACGAGTCCGCGCTAGACGAACATGTAGGTTGCGATACTGCATGGAACTGCAGCTTCTCTGCTGACGAGGTCGACTCAGCGTACCCTCGAAGCCAACCTTGCCACCATGAAAGATAGCATCGATCTGCTCAAAGCGGAAGTTGCCAAGGAAGAAGCTCTGCTTGCGAATGAGAAGAAGTCGCTCGAAGAGATGGACAAGAACGCCAAGAAAGCAGAAGCCGAGAGGAAGAGGCAAATGAAAAATGTATGCTGCGATATTCTCTTTCCTGCAAGCATCGTCATGCTAATAACGCTTCTTCTTGATACGAAAGGAACATCCTGTGCTCCGTAGACTGGATGAAATCCCACAGACTCAGGGTTTAATGGCCGAGTTCAGCCTGGTGGACCTTCGGGTCCACCAGGCCTCCTTGGATGAGGTACGACCTCTCGCCGTTGGTTTTACACGAATCCTCAGATTTACTGATCTTTTCTTTGAACTCTAGTTGGATGATGATCCAGAGATACAAGGGCTGATAAAGCAACTTCACGGTCACCTTCAATCCATGCAGGCCAACACTGCACCCCTGGCGGGTCTCAAAGACGCGATCACTCGATCGCAAGCCGCGTTAGACCTCTACTCGATGGCCAATGACTGAGTCGAATACGATTGACCGACCTTGTGAACTGCACTTTGAACCGTAAATCTCGAATCTAGGGATTTTAATCGGACAACGACACATGCTAACCTCGGGAACGGCAAATTCTCATCCCATAGAAATGCGACATGACCGCCTCGTGGTTGGCTCTTGGGTCTCCGGCAGTTGCCAGGAGACCCCTGTCGCGTGCTCAGATACCCCGGCACATTCAACAACGGCCCGCAGGCGCTGCCGAGCTCCTGTTGTCTCCATTGCACGTGAAGTGCTCCGTATTTAACATGCAAGGGACAACAATCTCCGTCGGACCCATCCAGCGCATGGAAATGTTCGTATTTATGCCAAGCCGATCATGCATATGCCATACAATCTGGAGAACTGGGTTGTTCAGGATCCGCGCCGCCATCCGGAACTCCACTTCCCCCTTCTCTTCTCCCGTGAGATCGAATTGCGATCTCCACCTTATGAGATAGTCTAAATTCAAATTCAAAAACCAAACATCTCTGAGCCCTCAAAGATACTTTCAGAAAACGTAGAGCTGCGATTACAACGTACCTCGGTCGTAGCCCAAAGCCCTCGCGGACTGGGTGGCGCCGAAAAAGATCGGGGAACCCCATGCGGAGCAGTTCGGAGGGGTCGGGTGGACTCCGCTTTCGCGACGCCCCCCAAGAACTTTCGACGTTTCAACCGCCACCAACCTCAGCAAACTACGGCCAATGTCTGCAGGCAGCCATTTCGCCCAGTCCTGGTGATATCTGATTTACAATGACCGATAAGGGTGCTCCTTCGGTCGCCGGCTCCGACAAGAGCTCTGCCGCTTTTGCCAGGTCCAAGGCCGCTGGAGATACAGGGAAAGACGCGCGCGCAAAGGATTCGCCAGCAGCATCTGCGGTCAAATCCGAAACGACCGGCACTGGCAGTCACTCCAGTCCCAAGAAGCGCCGCAAGGTCAATCATGGTAAGGCGCTGTCCGCGCAGCGATGCGACAGGGATTCCCACAGTGCGAGCCTGTCGGGGCCCGGTTCGCTTGAAATTGAAGACAGATGGAATGCTAACGAGAGATTTGAATACGAGTAGCATGCGTCTATTGTCGCCGCTCGGTAAGCCTATATATGTCCTGCTGCCTTCATGCACTCGGTCGTTTTTAGTATTTGCGACTCGCTCCCCGCATCCTAGGGATAGGAAGAAATCGATTTTTGAGGACCACACTTTGCTAACAGGAGGCGCGTGGGACAGCATATGACTTGCGATTCAGTACGACATCCCCTCTCCCGTTTGAGTCCCTTCAATCCCCTTTTACCGCCTGTGAAACCGATTGTCAACACCGGTTAGGAACCACAAAGATGCCCCTGCTGATCAGTCTTAATTCGTGAAGGAACGGCCTTGTACCCGATGTATAAAGCGCAATATCGGTCATTTGTGTCATGACGAGCCCCGAGAACCCGTAAAACGTACACAGAACCAAGAGAATTCAGCGGCAGACGAGGAGGGCTCGTCCAATAATGAGCTCGTCAGCGTCGCAGGCATGCCTCGGAATGTCGACGTCCCTGATGCTGCCGGTCAGCAAACTTTTCCCGATGGTACGATCGGAATTCCGCCCTCTTCAGTGCAGCCTGCCAGCATCTCTTCGTCTGGACAAGGCATCAACGCCAATCCTCAGCAGCGTAAGCGCGAGAGACGGACTTTGGATTGTGGATTGGCATTTTCTGTGAATATTTTACTGACATGGGATCCCAGTGATGGCCTACAATGACTGGATGGGCGGACAAAACCAGTTTCAAGACATGCATTCCCTCCATCCGTCGTACATGTTCAATGCGCCCGAGGTCACAAACGAGTACAACTTACTGGGTGATTTCCTCAGTAACAGTTTGCTGGATGATGGCGCCATGTTCCAAAATCAGGATATGGGAGGCATCTACTCCGACCCGTCGTTGATGAACTCGATGAACAACCTCGGCGTGCCCAATGGTCTCTCACAACCGGCTCCGCTTCCACCTCCAGCACAGACGCAAGCGCCATCGGGTGATTCAATTCAGCGACCGATGTCTACAATTGGGAACGATAAGGCTCGCGAGACGTACTACATGACTGCAGCCGACCCGTCCGGATCTGACCCGCCAGAGGAACGTATGAACAAGCTTCTCAAGGCTAAATATGACGCTGGACTTCTGAAACCCTTCAACTATGTCAAGGGCTATGCCAGACTCAACCAATACATGGAGAAGAACATGCAGCAAATCTCGCGCCAAAAGATTCTTCGACAATTGGATAAATTTCGGCCCAAGTTCCGCGAGCGTATGCAGAGTCTCACCGATATTGAACTGATCCTCGTGGAAATGTGGTTTGAACGGAGCTTGATGGAGTATGATCGTGTCTTCGCTAGTATGGCCATTCCTGCCTGCTGCTGGCGACGAACAGGCGAGATATTCCGAGGGAACAATGAGATGGCGCAACTGATTGACGTTCCCATCGAGAGCCTGCGGGATGTGAGTAATACCGTTATTAAACGCTGGGTTTGCCCTTATACTCATCCACCATGATTGTTCCAGGGTAAACTCGCGATCCATGAAATCATTGTCGAGGACCAGTTGGTCAGCTATTGGGAGAAGTTTGGCGCCATTGCTTTCGACAATACCCAGAAAGCGATGCTGACCAGCTGCACCCTGAAGAGCCCGAGCAATCCTAATGGGGAGGGCATTCAATGCTGCTTCTCCTTCACAATCCGACGAGACAACCACAACATGTAAGCATCCCCGCACTCGAGTATTGGAATGTCTACAGCGTGGCTCACATTTCTTGATATAGCCCGTCCCTCATTGTTGGAAACTTCCTTCCAACGCAACGGAACCACAAATAGCTAGCTACCTGGACAGACCGTCATTGATGCTTTTCTATTTGTTATTTGGGACTGAGGTGGATTGACCAAAAGAAAGATTCAATGTCTCTTCCTTGTTGCAAGGGTGTTTTGGCCCTTTGCTTGATTTTGATTCCCCAAGGCTTAAGACACAATCCTCTTTTCCTGAATATGTACAATGCCTGAGGTGTATAATATTATACCTTTTTTTCTGCGCGAGTTAATTGCAAGGATACCGAGTTGGTTTTTATGTGTCAATACCTTGAAACAGTAACAATCGAGGCCGACTGCCCAAGTGGCCGAGTAGATCACGTTCCTCCAAGCATGTCGTTTTCAGCTGCCGGAAGATTGACCAACTATTTTCTAACTTCCTTCTCTCTCCTCTACAACACAGCCTCTTTCAAATCTGCCCACCCTGCCTTTTTCATCTTGGGCTTGTTTTCTAGCCCCTTCATTTACTTTATTATTGCTGAATAGTGCTGAAATTAAACACTAAACCATCATGACGGCTTCAACTACTCGCTTGTTCGCTAAAACCGCAGCTTTGGCGGCCTCCGTCGGTGAGCTCCAAGGCCAGATTTCAGCAGGCGTTGTTGATTTCGATTTTATTCAATCCATCGAGCACCAGCTTAACCATATGCCGCGACTGGCCGACCGGGCTGTTTCAAATCGATCTGATCTTGATAAGACCGGAACGGCGCTGTGGAATACTTGTGTCGACACAATGAGTAAATGGAACAAACCCTATAAGGCAGCAATGATATGCAGAGGTAATGTTTTTGAGCATGGCTCATTTCTACTCCACAAGCAATAGACTGACGATTCTATTACTTTGAGTATTGTTCATTGCCTTCAAAGTGCTGGACATCGTGACTCTAGATGACCTGCCACGTATCAATTGTCCTTTTCCTACATGCAGATTTTGCGCGACTAATATATATATCCTAATACTAGATTTCCATGTCAGGGCTCTTGCCGTAGCATCTGCTACAGCCCGGCTTTGCCTCCGTACTGTGCTTACCCCTGAACAGAAAAACCTGCCACTGACTAACACTAAACAGAGACCCAATCAACCGAGCATGTCCTTGATGTTCTGACCGTGGCAGCCGAAAAACTAGATGCTTTGCAAAGCTCCACCCCCTCAATAGATCAAATTGAACTGGACTCAATTTCCACCGGCTATTACATGAATCGAGCTCATTTGGTGAGGCGTGTTGATGAAACAGCAAGAGGAATTTCGAGCTAATTCAAGATTCAGGCTTGGTTGGAAGACCATCCCGATCTCGCCGACCACTTCTTTTCTCAAGCGCCTCTCTCAGCTCAAATCACAAATCGCTGGGTTGTGGTGGAGAAGTGCCTCACTATTGGTCTGGCTGCTCTGGACAAAGTCCAATATAATGAAGCAATCAAGTGGTTGGAAGCGGGCATTGAACAAATACAACTAAGTGGGGAGGAAGAATGTCTCAGGGACACAAATTTGGAGCTGCATATTCGATATGCACTCAGTTAGTACCGGATCTAAAGTTATAATTATATCAATGTCTGACATATTTTAGCGTGGATTTACATGAAAGCGAACACCGGTGTCACAACTGAACAACTAGCGAATCAGATGAATTTGCTCAAGACAGTGAGCTATCTGTTAATGAACTGCTATTAAGTATGTTGGCTAACTATACAGAATCATGGAGATATTGTTGGTGTCAAAGTTCTCGAATTAGAATTCATACTACATTCATCACGGGACATTGACACGACAAAGTTTTTCGAAGGTGTGTGTAGCAAAGCTTCCATCCGTTTTTTATTGACAATAATTAGTACTCACAATGTTATGATAATAGTCCTAAAGAAAGTGATCGAGAGTATGGCGTGGACACGAGATTCTTACCACCTGTATGCAAATATTTGTCAGAGAAAATCTTTTGTGTACTGACTGTCCGGGATGTACAGAATTATCAGCTACTTGCATAACTCTAAGGACATGAGGTAGACTTCTTTGATCAACTTAATCTTTTGAGCTGTTATGTCTGACTATCTTCAGCTACTATCTAAATTTCGAAATGCATCAATTACTCATGACGCACTTGCCGCCTAACTTCGAATGGATTGAGGGAACATTCCTCCACCTTGCATCGATGGTAATTCTATTCAGAACAGACAGCAAAATTGGAGACGAATTGGCGATAAAAGCAATCAGAGATGGGGTCGAGGGAATGGAAACACGTGGGATCAAAAATCTCACGCTGCAAGGAACCCATCATTTGCTGACAGTAAGGTGCCAGTATTTATGTTAGTTTTGACGCACCATATTTACCGTGATAAAAATAGGCTATTCGCAACATTCTCAATGTCTTACATGCGGAGACAAGTCGGTCCTCCATCGCAATGTGGTGCAGTTTGGCGCTGGAAACCAATGCTTTTGCAAGATGCTCTGCATCTAATAGGCTCGAAATTCAAGAGTTGGGTTGATCATTCATGTTCGAAAACCAAGACTCACCAAGAGCTTTAGGAAATATGCGGCCAACTCCTTAGAGTGCAACGACATTAACTTGACTCGGGCAATATTGGATCAGATAGTCGCAGAAAACGACGTCAGACAGAATCTACAGATTGTGCTCCTTTTGGTCAAACTTGCGATGCATGAGGGGAAAGATGCGACCCGTGAGTATCTTTATATTATCAAAAACATCATTGAAACGGACCTTACTAATCTCTAAAGAAATTATATCTCGTCCTGCAGAAGCACCAATTGCCCGTTGGGTAACATTCCTCCGGGCATGTATCGGAGAGGCCCAGCACATGAAGAACTCAAATGTAGTTCATCATTGTCTTCACAAGTTGATCACAGAACTACACTCGCAAGATCTTGATGGGGCAGAATCCTGGCCGAATCAAGAATACCTGTGAGATTGCCTTCCGGTGCCTTCTGTCTTTGCCGGCTTTTTGAACTCATCAACGTAGATGGATCTTGCAAGTTATCGATGACGAGAGAAGAAAAGGACAATTTGTTGTAGAAATCGCGATCACTGTTCTCCAATCAGGTAGGGCAATATATTTGGCCTTTCTTTTTTTCAAGATGATTGCTGACTATTGCAGCTCTGATTTCCATCAAAAAACCCCCAGATTACTGTGCAGGAGGAACAACAAAATACGAAGTGAAGCTCCTTTTCTGTGAAAGTCTTAAATTGACTTACCATGTGCTCAAAACTGATCAGCTTGAGAACGCCAAAAAGCTGCGATACATTACGGAACAGGCATGTTGAGAGAAGCCCCGAATGGTATTAAACTGGGTTTTAACTTGAAATTCCGAGTCCAGTTCGCAGAAATTTGCTCGGAGAGCATCCTAGGCAAAATTGAAGAGAGCTTTCCCAAGACTGGCTGGGACTATGACATGGAGCTATACCTAGAGGTTCTTGGTCATCTCTTCAGTCTCCATTCCCAAACCGACCCCGGAACAAAAGTGAGTATCTTCACCTGGGAGCAGAATAATGTTTCTCGCTGATGTCATTTGCAGTCGAGCTTGAGCAAGAAAATAAGAGCGGCAATCGCGAGCTTCAATCCCGATAATATGGAGGCTCACATGTCTCGAATCATATGGGCCATCGACTTTGAGGCTGCAGTTATGCTCAGACAATGGGATTCGCTGGAATCAATAGTTCGAAAAAATACATACAGCATGAATATGGAGCTTCTCAAACACTATCTAAGCTGCATGTTTACGCCTAGCGTGCCCCCCAGCCACAAAATGTCAACGGTGAAGGTACTTGGAATGCGCAATTCTTTCGAGTATGAGAACTGACATTTGCACTAGAGTATTCTTTACTGCATAAATGAGCGGAGTAATACGATTTCGACAGAAATCCAAGATCTTTTACCAGGCTATCTTCGTTATATTTTCGCTTTGAGCTTGGAAGCAGCCACTGATACTGACCCAGTGACTTTCTGCGACTCATCGGAAATATACTTTGAGATTGCTGAATCAGTGATTGACCAAGTCGTTGTTCTTGCTTCCGCCAACGCCTTCCTTTCGACTTACCCGTATCACGAGACACCTGTCGAAAGCGAGCCAGCAACTGGGACATCGCCATACTCGGATTGTGGACAGCACGCATACCCCCCTGAAGAGCTCCAGTACCTAGCTGCGCGCTCTTTCAACCAGGCGATGGACTTCTATTCAGCAGAGCAGGATGAGAAATGTCGCAGCTGGGCTGGGATAGCTATGAACTTTGCAGGGCTGATGGCAAATGCCGAAGGTGACAGTCTAACGGCCCAGTTTCGAGAGCGGATGGATAGACTGTTCTAGTTCCTATGTGCGGCTGTATTCATAGTCTTTAATCAATATCAACATGGATTAAGTACTGTATGGGCTGCTATCATTGGACTGTCTCTTGTTCTACTTGAGCCCTGGGCTATTTTCCAATTAGAAAAGCTGGATTGGAAAAGACACGAAGAGGTAGGTCATGAATCATTACTTATGTTAAAGTAGAAATTCTCCGGAAGCATGCAACTTAGGTATCGACTTCTGGTGTGTAGATAAATAGACCTCAAAAGACTTTTATATGTAGTGGAAAATGAGAACATAGGCTTGCACTGTGCCATTGTACCTGAAAATGCAAATGGAATAGCTTGCCGAGAAATGGCGATCAAAGAATTCATATCTTGGTAAATAGAAGTCCAACGAGCTACTTGAATTTGTAGAGCAAAATTGGATGAAGGGCAAGAAATGTCTAATTTCAAATATAAGCGCAGGAGACATGACCTGGGCAATCTTGGTAATAATATGGGTATCATCAGAAGCGAAGACAATGGAAATCAGTGAAGAGAAACGAAGGCTGCCCTCTACCCAGTATTGAAGCGGACATGGGATGCAAGAAAAGAGAGAAAATTGAAAGAAAGATGCAGCAAGATTGCAATCAAGCGAAGAAGAGTAAAGGCAGCGTGAAGAAAATATGATAGCAAAAAATGAAAGCTGAAGATGCATTATCGCGAGGAATATGCAACCTTGAACACCAGAAATGCCAAAAGCCTCCTGGAAACTAAATAAAAGATTTATAAGAAAATGAAAGAAAAGAGGAAGGGATATAATCATTCATCACCATTCGCATCATATGACCGACTCCCTGAGACCTGCCCCATGTGTTTATGGCGCAATGACGGGGCTGAGGGCATATGGCGAGGGTGATGAGGAGACCGGGAGGAAAATCGAGATGAACTCGGGGAGTAGCTAGGCTTCCGATCCATATCTTTGCCACTGCTATCTGTTTCTGTTTCTGCGCTCTCGTCACTGTGTTGAGATCGGGCGCTCACGGCGCGCAATGTAAGGTTTAATTCTCGCTCCAGCTCCTTCTGTGCTTGAATTTGCTGCGTGGACCCATTCAGCTTCTTGCGATAAGCGCGAAGTGTTCGGCAGACTTGTTCTGTGGACATGTCCAGGCTACCGAACTCGCTCCGGCTAGAAGTCTTAGTGCGGGAGCGGAAGTCCATCGAGGCACGACGATTGGTGCTCCTTGTACTGCTGAATTTTTTGGAGGTGGAGGTCGTCCTTGTCTTGGGGCTGACTGGCGATGGTGACCTGCGGTTGTTGTCTGTAGGCGTGAAGCAAGTAGGCGAGCGACGATTGGGTGGAGATGGAGTCTCGGCAAGGGAGTTGTTTTTAAGAGTGGATGGTGTGAGAGACAATTTTGACATCTTTCTTGACAAAGTTGGAGACAGCTCGCGGACTGGTGTAGGCGTCCCTAAGGGGCTAGGATTGTCGGGCCTCTGGAATCCGGCTAGTTCGCTCCGCGAAAGAACTTTTCGAAGGGGCACCTTGGCCGCAGTGGCTTCTTTTATAGGACCTTCATCATCGCGCCCTGTCTGAACCAGATCTGGGCTCAAGTGTGGTTGGACACACAAATTCCAAATCATAAGAATACCATCCATACCAGCTGAGATTATGCTGCGCTTAGCGACTGGCTTCTCGGGATCTGAATTGTCATGTTCTTCGAGGAGAAGCGCATCGCTCACACCTTCTGTATGACCAAACTCTCCTGTGAGAAGATGATCTCTTTCCAAATCATATACCCGAATGGACTTATCCGTGCCCGAAACGCCCACCAGAAGCTTCGGGCTTTGCCCGGGGATTTCAGAGGCGATAGTCAATGAGCTCATGATCACAGCATCATTCGTTTCCGAGTCCGATGCCCGGAAGCAATGGAGTTGACGTCCAGAGGGGATGTCGAACTTGGAGATACAGCGATCCATGGTTGATACAAAAAGCAGGTTGGAATCATCTGGACAGAGTGTCATAGATACTGGGGATGTCTTCATCGTGATGATCCTGGAAATGAGATATGCAACAGAAGTTGCCCCCTCTTCTTCTCGAGACACACGCTCTCGGATCAAAATTGTCCGGTCTCCAGAGCTGGACAATAATTTCTCGCCATCCTTCGTGAACATGATCTGCCCGACTGCACCAACATGGTCGTCCATTGTTTGAACCAGCTGTAAGTTCGATTCAGATTTCTGAAAGAGCTGAACCATGCGATCACGGCCAGAGCTTGCGATCAAGAAAGAGTCGCCCGAAGGCTGTATAGCAATGTCCGTAATTTCTCCTCCATGGGCACGTGCTCCATCAATACAGCTCCAATCGCCACCAGAGAGAACTCTGCATTAAACGATCAGCTATCGAGTTCACCTGAGAGACTGAAGAGAAACATACCTTAGAACACCAAACTTATCTCCCGATACAAACCAATCCCCGCTATCTGCAGCTCTGAGGACCTTCAGCTCGTTTACCACATCCTCTTCTGCACATAAAGTCTGCTCAAGTGTCACATTCTTTGAATCTATGCATTTCCCCCGAGCGTCCCAAAAAATGACCGAGCCATTGCGAGACCACGAGAAGAAATTTGCGGACAGTCTGTTCCCTGCCTTAAGCTGGCGAATCCCAAGGACTGGATCTCGATGCGCAGGCATAGAGGTCTCGCCATTCTCCTGCTCGCCCTCGTCTGGTAATGATTCAATAGGATAGATGTGGATCTCTCGGGTCGCCTCCACCGTCACCAAATGCGAAGAAAGGGATCCCATGCAAGTAATGGGCGGTCCCTTGGACTTCTTGCTTCCCATGGCCATCTCGGGCCGGGCCGGTGACATAGAGGTAGGCACAGATGAGGATCGGAAGGAGTCGAACGATATCCGTTGCATTCTCTTTCCACGACCACCCAACCAAATTGACTCTCGATCGAAATCAACAGCTAAAGAAGTAATCCCAAAACCAAGCTGTACCACTGCAGATAACTTTTGAGACCCTTCGCGATCATCTAGGAGACACACAGCACCCGATTCTGTGCCGACAACTGCCTCCTGATCAGAGATGCTGCTGACACAGCTGAACGTGCTGTCTCCCAGGTGGCCCAATAGACAATTTCTTCCAGAGAGTGCCTTTGGGGCCGGGTTCGGGGATGGCGCTGCGCCATCCGCATTCAACCGAGATTTCGTGGGCGAAGCTGGCCGCACGATTGGAAGACGCCAGACTTTTACATGCCGCACGCCCGTGGTAACCAACGCCTGCCCCACCCAGCACATATCGCGCACAAAGGAGGTGCATTTGTTTGCCGAGTGAAGCTTTGCCGACCCATTCTTCAGATTGATGGACCATATCAAGAGAAACCCGTCATTTGGGTTGCCCAGTGTTGCCAGGTACTGCGAATCAGGACTGAATGCAATGCTTCGTACTCCAAATGTATGCTCGCTTAGGATCGAAAGGGGTACGTCCGGTAGAGAATCTCTCGCGGTCGAAAAGATTAAGACGCGGGGATTGTAACCGGTTTCACCCACAGCCAGAAATCTGCCATTGGGACTGATGGAAACGCTGGTTACTGCCTTGACCCTTTCTCTTGACGACCATGCCCGAGGACTCCCGTTATCTGCTGCTTCACTAGAGGGCGATCCGCTAGGAACGTTGAGATGCGGGTTCGAACGAATGTGGGATAATGATCGTGATCGAGGGTCGGGGGTCGCGGGAGGGGTGGATTGATTATAGAATGAAGTTGTAGGGTTCACACTAGTTGCAGAGGGACGAGCCCGAAAGAAGCGCTGGCTAATATTGGCCTCATCGTCGATCTCGGCGAGAACTGCGGCAGAGCCGGCACATAGGGCAAAGCTTTTGCTCTGATCATGACTGGAAAAGCCATTGGGAGTCGTAGTTGTCGTGCCTAGCACGGTTTGTAGGGACAATGATGATTGATGTGAAGACTTGCTTGGAGATCGAGCGTTCGGACGGAGAATGGGAGAATTGGAGGGGGTGATTTTAAGGGAGGCACTGGGCCCGGGCAGCTTGGATTTCGCGCTAAGAGGCGCGGTGGTGGCCATCGCCTCGGGGGACTGAAGTGTGCAACGATGGTGATTCAGAGTCCCCTCAGCGCAAGAGTTTGGAGCATTTCAATTCGTAGGCATACTCGTCCGCCAGGTCGAGTCGCAATTCAGGTGCGAATTGGGCGCGAATGGAGGTGGCGGGGAAAAAGAGGTCGCCTGCAGAAAGGAGGCGGGGAGGGGAAGAATATGCGAAGCGGAAGGACCGAGGATGATCTAAGCCTGCAGCTGCAGTAGGTCACAGGTTAGATGGTGAAAGCTGGAAGAGCCTAACAGAAGCAGGAAGGAATCGAGATCGGGGAAAAACCCAAACAGAGGGGAAACACAAACATGGAGCTCCCATTTCGCGCTAATGGCGTTGATCATTCCACAGCCGATCAGGAGGAATCCGACGACGAACCTTGGGTTTTCGCCGGGTCGGAGTGGGTTCCTGCACGCGTTCCAAGGTTTGTCCCGAGAGAGCGACAGATCCAACCTGTCATTTTTGCCCTTCCAAGTGTTCTGTGAATTTGTTTAAGGTATCCTTTCAAAAATTGCTCCATCGGAGAATACTCACGGCCCCGGCTTTTTGTTGAGCCCCTGTCATGAACAGGTGGGTCGAGGCCCAAGCACGCCCAACCTTGATGGTGCACTAGTCCGATCGCGACAGAGTATAGATCCTGATCCATACACTTGGCCGCTTGACCGACGTCGAGTTCTAAAATCCGGACTTAATGGACGTATAAGAGATGTTATCAAGGTATTTGATCTGATCATTGTAGTTGAGGAGGTCGCATCACGACTTTATCCTACATAAGCTTACATACCACGTGGTCGAGAAAACAGCAACAAAAAACAAAATAAAAAAAGAATAGAATCAAAACCAAGAATAGAAAGAGAACAATCTTCAATGGCTCTGATGATAATCAGGCTATACTGCGACGCTTCCCAAGATCCATGCTCTGTGTGTCAATATTAATTTGGTCTTCAGTCACCAAGTTGGTTTTCAGCGAGATCGGCTTGTTTGTGTGTTGAAAACTCACACTCGGGTAGTGAAGGTTCTAGATGAATTACACATAAAACAACAGACTTAAGAGGTAAATGTCAGCGATATCTCTGACATCAAATATTGTCCTTCCAACCAGAGCGACTGGAAGTTCATCAGGGAAGAAATCCCCAGGTCCTCAGGTTTCAAAAATGATATGCGATGTTGTTTCTAGTCCCAGTCAGAAACTATTGCTCGCGAAAATGAGTATAGTCCAACCAACAAATATACAGAGGCATTCAATTACTTTTCAACTTGTGGTATGAGAGATTGTATTTGAGAGAAAGAGTAAAAAGCATCAACCATCTGAATCATGTCTCTAGGGCTTATACAGCATCTCTCCAGTCTGCCAAACAAAATTAAGAAGAGAGGTGAGCCGGAGAGAAACTGGACAATATTCTCAAAACATCCCATTCTTGAAAGGGATTAACTATATGGGCGAATATTCCTTGGATTTCCCTGACGAAAAGCTTGGCGTCACGTGTTAAGTACCTGGAATATCAGGTGTCATCCCTATCTTATCACCACTTGGGATTTTACGTTCAAGGCTTCGGAGATTCATCTCTTTCTCACCTTGTACGCCTCCTGCAGCATTTTTATTACCATGGCGACCCAGTGTGTGGCATCTACTAGGTTGGCATTGTCGAACATGCTATGCAGTGTCCTTCGATCCGAGTTCATTTCCGCCGTACGCCAGTCTCCTCCGCGTCAACCTACCCGCCAGTTCTTCAAACCTCAGCATGCCCGTCTATTCAGCGTGACCAACAGACTCGCACGCATCGAGATTAACGAGTCTCACGATCTCATCACCATACCCCAGTCATCCGGCTCCCTTGCCAAGGCTTCACAACAAACCAAACAGCCTTTTAAATTTACTTCATCGCCACACGAAACCGCATCCTCGATTGATCAAGCACGCAAAGGGAACGGCAATGGCAAAAGCCGTGGCTCCTCCGATGAAACCAATGACAACAAAGATACAAGTAGGGGAAAGGTTAAGCACCAAGTCAAAGATATGAATATGAGAAAGAAAAAGAAAACCGAGGCTTGGCGCGTCCAGAAAGCGGCTTTGGAGAAGAAATTTCCGTCTGGTTGGAACCCGCCCAAGAAGCTCTCGCCCGATGCGATGGATGGAATACGGCATTTGAACGCGACCGCCCCTAGTCGCTTTACCACCGCCGTGCTGGCCCAGGAGTTTAAGGTTTCCCCTGAAGCCATCCGTCGCATTCTCAAGAGCAAATGGAAGCCCTCCACTATTGAATCAGAGGATCGTCGCGAACGATGGGAAAAACGGCACGAGCTCATCTGGAGTCGAAAGGCTGAGCTGGGCCTTCGACCGTCAACCAAGACTTCTCGGCCTTTGTCGGACGCTAACATCCTTTATAAGCCCGGCGAGGAGGAAGGGGTTTAGCTCGAGTCTACATTGAGCGATCGGTAGTCACTTTTCAACCGTGGTAAATAAATTCAACACATAATAATCTGTACAATATTATTCACTTCGATCACAAAAGTCATTCCAAAACGTGTATGTAGCCAGAAAATGAGTTCGTCTTAGTAGTAGATCGTAGAGATCCAGAATTAGAATGTTTGGAAATCGGCAAGATTTTTAGAAACGACGAAATACAATTTACTAGAGATTCAGACGTCATTGAAAACTAGTATATACATTCATGGCATTGAACGAACAGGAACCTAAAAGGACCTAAAGGAGGCCGCGGGGCATTGGAGTACCAGAAACACTGGGGTCGGAGCGGCTGTTTAGCTCGCAAGTAGCCGCCACTAACTCCGACTCCTCTTCATTCAACCTTCCAACCCACCTCGGCACAGCACATGGTGCTTCACCTCGAACGCGTAAAAATTCACCATGCGCCCCCTGATCTGACAGAATGCGGATGTCGACATACCCTGTGAAGCTCTGTTCCCATCCCTTGTGACTACCGCGCGCAATTATCCCGCCCAGACCTGCCCCGGAGTTGGTCTGCACACCACATGCTGACATCGCGTCGCCATGCCGTCGAATATCCAGGTCTTTGTGAAGTGGAAGGACCAGACTATATTCGCGGGGGAGAATGTGGAATGCACAATTACTTTCAAGAACGTCTCAGAAACCGCGTCGGAGATAGGTCATGGAGGTGAAGCTGGCCAGCACCAGCGGAAGCTGTCTCGGGTTGCCAATCATGCCAGCAGCTCCAACTCAGACTCCTTCTTCTCGTTGAAATCCCCCCAGAGTCTCTTTTCAGGGCGACGATCCTATTCCATCAGCTCCCAAAGAAAATCTTACCATCGAACCGCATCGTCATTGAGCTCCCCGCTTGTCTCCTCGAGCAGCTTTCCGCCGACCAGCAGTCCCTCTACCCCTCGAACTTGGCAGCCAGGCCATAGTCACAAACGATCCATCTCCATTCTCTCTATTGAGAGTGAAAGCCCATCTGAAAAAACTGCCCAAACCTCAACCCCCCGGCAGGGCCAGGCCGGCCAGGGGTCATGGACGCTCCACAAGTCTCCAAATAGGCCCCATGAGGGCTGATAGCTATGACGATTCCTACAGGAAAAGTATTTTACCATAATTCTATTTTATGTGTTATCAAAGACTAAAAGCGGTTTTCATGCAGTGACAAGAGCTCCCATCCGCGCCACTCCATTGGCAGAGTCCCCGAACGAGTCGGGCCCTGGCAACCTCAAAGTCGACACATCTCACCTCGGACGAGCAAGTCGACCAGAATCTGCCGCAACCAGCCCAGTTGTGCCGCGAGAGCAATTGCGCCAACCCTCACGAAGACCTCCACCACCTCAATTCGATTTCCAATTCCCGGCTGCCCCTCCGCCCAATCAAAACAGCCGTCCTGCCCTGTCCCCCTCGCCGAAGTCAGCAGAAAGGGCGCCATCGTCGGGGGCGAAGCCAGTGGCAAAAGAGACGGCAGGACTAGCTGGCCCTTCGCACCAGCAGCTTGCGCGGGTGATATCAGCCTCAAGCGTGAACGGAAGCAGCCGAAGCAGTGGGGAGTTCTACTCGGTCAGTGACCATTCGAGCGACACACTAGCATCAGAATATACAAACTACTCGGCACAGGGCGCACGCCCACCTCCTTCTGCACGACATGCCAGACATTACTCGAGTGCGGTGGCTTCATCAGCCAAGCTCGCCGACAGCCAGGCGCTGTTGATGGGCTACGCGCAAATCAGTGCATCATTTACTGTCGATGGTTCTTTAGTCAACCAATCCGCCTTTGATGAGGTCAAAAGAAAGGGTGTAGTTGGTGGTCAAGCCGGTTCTGGCGGACTCCCGGGACGACCAGGCTCATCCAGTGCCGACCGCTCTCGCAAAGGTGGAGGTAGTGGGTTCTGGGGTCAATTCAAGTGGAATGCCATCGAGGAATCAATAAATGGATTCTTGTCGAATAACGAACTTGATGGCCTGCGAGAGATGCGTGGAGTCGTTTCCTCTCGATCAATTCCGCTGTTGTCCACACCACAGTCGCTCCTTTTTGTCGACCTCCGACTGGCACCAGGAGAGGAGCAATCCTTCTCTTTTTCCTTTGCCCTTCCTAGGGGCCTTCCAGCAAGCCACAAAGGAAAAGCCATCAAAATATCCTACAACCTAGTCATTGGCACCCAGCGACCTAGCGGGCCGAATGAACCTCAACGGGTTAATCGCATAAACGTCCCATTTCGGGTTTATAGTGGTGTCAATGGTAAGAACCCGTTATCTCGATAAAATTTTGGAAGCGACTCTCTAACATTTAGTAGACAAGGGAGATGTTCTCGGGCATGATCTAATGTCCCCATACGTTATTCTGCGCGACGAAGCCAAGGTGCAGAAGCTTGGCCCCGGCACCCCTGTGATCCCGAAACACCAAAGCATCAGTGGGCCATGGGGCTCAGCAGGAGAATTTCTGTCCTATGTGGACGACATCCTCGAACAGCGCGCACGCTCTAATTCACTCTTCCCACCAGGCGCTCTTCAGGAAAGACGATCAAGTTTTGACGGGCTTCCTCCTCATGCGTTGTCTTGTAAAGATATAATTGATTTTGCGATTCTGCGGAGCAACCAAGCTGTCCACTCTCGACGCAGCCCCAATCGATTTGAGATTGCCCGTGACGGCCAACGCATTGCTGTGGTTGTCCTCAATCGACCAGTGCATCGCCTCGGTGAAACTATCATTGCTACTGTAGACTTTGGTGAGGCCTCCATCCCGTGCTATGCGGTGCGGGCGTCCCTTGAAACATCTGAAAAAGTTACCCCCACCATCGCCGTTCGATCGAACGCAAGCATTCACCGAACCACCCGCCGCATCCATGCCTCTCTTTTCGAGAATACCCTTTATGCCACTCGTGTGGTCTTCAACCCTGCTATCCCTATTTCCGCTACCCCTACGATCCTGACGAGTGGCGTGACGCTTGATTGGGACCTGCGCTTCGAGTTTGTCACGCCGAATCTGGCGCATGAGCAGGAACATGAGCATGGCCCCTCAGGGACCGGGCTTCTTGAAACCCTCTCATCTGACGACCGGGGCAAAGTCTTGTCTGCGATGGAGCATCTAGGATGCGAATCCTTCGAGATTTCTATCCCGCTGACAGTCTATGGTGAAACCGTCCGAGAGCAGTTGCCAGAGGAAAAGGAGGGATATGCCATCTAAGCCCACGATATACCCAATGTCCTTTGGTGCTTGCCGTGCAAGCTTATTCTTTGTGTTTTTGATCTAGATATTCCCCCTATCCTACTCTCCCCGTGGATATGTTCTCCCCGAAAGCAGAGTGCTTGCTTCACTCTGCTTGCTTACGGCTTAGACATAGCATCCTTGTTGATAATACGGATTTTTTTCGTTGATTCGTCCCCTCGCAGTACTAAAAACCCATACTAACTTTATTGTTCTCGTCGTATTTGTAGGTATTTTCCACTAAGGACGGCCTGTTTGTATATAATGCGTGTTCACTCCCTAACACTTGGTGGTTTTCCAAATTGCTATGACCTGCCGAAGGCTGGTGGATTGAATCGGATTGAGTGGTGTAATCAAGTCTTCTTTACAAGCACACCCTGAATTCTGGGTAGCAAACTATATGGGTCTTCTGGCTCTTCGATCTCGTGCGGATTTTCCCACTCTCCACTGTTGAAAATGTCCCCCAGCACATTGCGAGTCAAATCACACCCGACAAATGTGCTCCAGGCTGGATTCCAGCAAGCTACGGATTCTTCATATTAGCCGTCCTGCGCCATCACCTAGTCCCGTTACTCGAGCAGTCACCCAGAGATAGATGTAAGACATACCTTGCACACCACTCGTCAACCGGTTTCTACTCCACCCGTGTTCCCAGAAGATGAACTTGCCTCCCGGCTTGAGCAACTTCCATACCTCCTTCATCACATTTTTCGGATCCTTGACGGCACACAGGACCTGGATACACAACACGGCATCCAGGCTCCCCTCCGTGATTCCCTCTTTTCTTAGAACATCGCTATCTTCCACACCGCAAACGAGCAACTGATACTTATCCCGCAAGCCATACTCGTCCAATTTGGCCTCTATGCGGTCTTGGAAATGGGGATTCGGGTCGACGCCATAAATCTGTGTGACGCGAGAGGTATCGAAACGGTGAATCTGATTACCTGGCCCCGGGCCCAGTTCGAGAACCACGCCACCAGCGGCTTGCACAAGCAAGGGGACAATTGTGGTGTCTTCGTAGGCAACAAACCCGGCCGCTATGCATGATCGATTAATCTGTCGGTCAGTGGACTGAATTCACGTGTTCAGTGAGGAGATGGAGAGTGCTCCGCTTACAGGTTATGTTCAGCAATTTGGCAGAGGCGGCATCTCGCATTTGTCGTGGGCGGGCCAGCGCTGCGAGACCATCCCGACGAACCGCTTGCGTCAAAGCCTCCCAGTGCACTATTGAGGAGCAGTGATGAGTTTGGAGTGAAGGGTTTGGGGAATCTGAGGTGACAGTGGCATACAGCAGATAGAGAGCCAGATCAGGCCCCATGGACGGAGAAGGGAAGCAAGACGGCCAGGTTTGGGAGGCATTATTATGTATGTGATAGATGGTTCTTGATTATGTTGAAGCTTTTTCTTTACTGGAGACTTTCAAGACCAATGGGAAGAGAGAAAGTCGAGGTTGAGGTCGAGGCGTAGAGAAGAAATGGAAGGAAAGCAACAGAAAGAAGTCAGATGGGGGGGGGGGGGCGAGTCGAGTGTTTTATAGTCGGGATGACTCCACGCTATCAACTCATGGTTAGTCCCGAATTTGTCCCGTACCAATATCAGGCCCCAGAATGGTGTATCCCATAACCTCCTGCATTGGCACCCATGACCCATGGCCTAGTTCAGAGATGTGAACTAAGAACCGGATACGAAGGATGGAAGCCGCATTTGTCTCAACAGAGGCGGAGGGTCTGCTCAGGAGCTTATCTTACGCAATCTAGTCCCTGGGAAGGACGCTCTTCACTAGCAATTCGTCGATTTCGATCTGTGTTTCATATATGTCTAAGGGCTCCTCCTTGAGACTTCTGAGTGGAAACAACTTGAAAGATGTAAATAGCTCCGGCCTGCCGACAGTCGATTCGGGGAAGGCTTTACCACTGTTTGCTGATATTGGTCGATCAACCACGTTAGGGAGAGGGCTGGTTCCACTTTGAACCCCGTCCTTCGAAAACGATCCGATAAGGCAGCACACGATCCACAAAAGCGAATTCGAACTCAAAGAAATATCAAGCCTGACAACAATGATTCTGTAGCTTTGTCGAGTCTTTGCGTCACGTTCCAACCAAAGCTTGTTAGAGGTCAATTGTCTGGGTCTGGGCACAAGCACAAACACGAAAAAAAGACCCCCCATAAATAGATTTCGATGTATACAAAGAGCGATCCTTTCGCTTGATTGGCTCTTTGTATTAAGTTTTAAGATTAACCAGTGCAGGAACCAAGACAATATATAATGGCCAGGGCTCACGTCTAACTGTTCAACACAACTCATCAAGCGATACTGAGAACCACAAGATCAGTCCTTGCTTCAGAGTGTTCCCGTGGCTATTACCTCCCCAAATTAATCCGCACTCTATATCAAGCTCAAGCCCATTGTACGGCTCCCCATCGCCACCATGGATGACACGCAGAGACTGAAGAACGACTTCGACAATTTGAAGTTCGAAATGAAGAGGAGTCTCGTTGTCTGGACAGCGCAATTTGCGCAGAACCCCCTCTCCGTCGCAGCCCAACTACTAGCATTCCATGCAGCACTCAAAGTCTGGAAAGGCCATGCGGCATTCCGAGACGACCCCGCGTCCGCATCGAAATGCAATGCGGTCCTCAATGACCTGCTCCTCATCAGCCACGACCTTGAGAGACTGCACCATGTCAAACTGGACGGTCAGGATCCCCAGAAGACTCTGTCAGCACTTAAAACTGCTACTACTAATATTCTAGATAACATGCGCATCCTGAGTGTGCGAGTTGAAAAGCTCGAAGTGCGGATGTGCTGGACTGAGCAGAATGATTCTGTGGGGTGAGGTTCTAGTCAGTATGGCTTCGCTTTAGCGATTGCTAATCACCTTCTTCCTCTTTCGATCCATTCGTCGTGATTCGCGCTAGAATTAACTGCACTCATTTCCTGGCTAGGCATCTACCAAATGAAATTAATTGTGAATCATGCGCGCGCATCTTTAAAAAAGTATAGTTGGGGCCCATTTAGGTCTCTAGTTCCCTCTGAGAGTAGACATATTTGATGTTCATCAGTCCAAACGCTGTTTCAAGGTCACCTATAGTAGGTAAACATATAGCTCGTATTGAGATCTGGATGAATAGGTCAATCTTGTTGATTAGCGGCTGCTTTAAATCCACTATCCGTGATCGGGACTACATTATTCCAATACGAGACAATCATGAATTGATGCCTGTTTGATATCCAAATACAACGACATATAGTAATATTCGAAATTAGTTATACCTCTACACTCTTACAACTTCTATCCCGGAAAATACACCCGGGATACACTAATCTCGTTTAGTTGCTTTAATTGGTTCACCCCTAGCAGTAGGGTTGGGACAAAAACCACGGTTGGCTGGACAAGGCGGGGTCAACTACTATTGATCACCGGATCACATGACTTAACGTATTTCACTAGCGTTCCGGTCACACTAGCATTCCGGTCACTACACCAACCACTACTTTTTGAAAACACTATTTTTCCACCACAACACTAGATATTTGATTCAACTATCTAGTATTACATTGATTAATCTTATGCCCTATATTCCCACATCCGGAACACCGAAACACACGCTTGGTAGTAGGCTCAGCGCCTATAGTAGGCTGCTGAGCAAGCTCTGCATCATCGTTTTGAATAGCTTCAACGCTTGCTGGCAGCGTTGAAACTAGTGATATAGATTCGCCGACCGTAGGATCTTGCTGCCTAGATATCTGGCGATTGGAACGTGTGCGTTTTTGACGCTTCTTCTCGTTGAATCTATATAGTTGCCGAATCTCTTCCGCTTGTAAAACAGTGTTATGAAACGCTAGTTCAGCACCTTTGACTAATTGATCTAGCGCACGCTCTGTAGGGCTTCCTAGCGACCGCGAGCGCTTGCGTAGTAGAGCTTTGATAGATGAAGCTTGCTTGCTAAGCTGCTTGATCGTATATAGCGTAGTAGGCACGAAAGCGCTACTCCTACTACTAGGCCTACTAGTAGTAGGTGTAGGTGTTCGAAGCGATATATTAAGCTTTGATAGGACTCGGTCGGCATCTAGCGGAACTAGGCCGGCGCTAGCGAAGCTTGATTGTATAGTGCTAGGTAGGAAGGCTTCCTAGCGTGCTAGGGCGTAGGATTCTAGGAAGTCGAGCTTATCAATATGGTTATAGCCGAAGCGGGTTTGGGCCTTAGTTAAGCGACCGTATAAGCGTTTGAGGATAGCAAAACATCCTATATCTAGCAGTTGTAGAAGATACGATGAATACGGTAGCATACAAAGTGGTATAACGTTGTTTTACTAGCAGATTTGGTCGAATTATAGTGTTAGATAACTACTATAACTATCTAGTATCAACAAGCGATATTTGCCTTGCGTACGACTAGTAGTCGCTAGTATAAATAGCTTCTCTAGCTAACGTAGGCCTATATTATCAGTAGTCCAACCGTTCGGTGATATTTTAATTCGCTAATCACTAGGAAGGTTATTAAACTAGCTTTCAATATAAACCTTCCCTTTGAATACTATACACGGCGGAAGCGAGTAGCCGGTTGCCGATATAGATTCAATTGCTGTTACCTACTCCCGATTTCCAGGTTGTAGTAGAGGCTTCCGACCGTATAGATCCTTCCGTGTAACGATTCTAGTAGTAGATATCAAGCCTATTGCAAAGCCTGTTTTATCAAAGTTATAGATATCGTTAGGAAGGATCCCGTTTTTATAAATCGTACGCTCTACTAGCCTAAACCACGCGCGTAGGCTAGTAGGATCTTCGTTTTGCGCACGTTGATAGTCGTAGCGTCTAGAGAATCGTGTACAAAGCTCTAGTCGACGTTTAATATAACGTGTTACCCAATTAACACTAATAGAAGAAGGCTTGTTATCACCACGCGTTGCTAGTAGAAGATTTGCTATATCTTGAATATGCGAAGGCCTAGGGGAAGCGCCACGCGTATCTAGTGATAGGATCCACTGGCAAAGCGAATCCTCTTCTTCTTGTGTTAATTTAAATGTTGCTGACCGTGTTTCCTGTTGAAATAGGGTGCCATTGATTCGGTCGCGTAGCGTTGAACGCGGTATATTATAACGCGCTGCAATTGTACGTATAGAATCGGAAGACCCTTTTTGAATATCTTTGATAGCGAGTAGTATCCTACCCTCCCTATCTAGTGATTTTGAGCGCTTTTCGGAACGTTTTGGTGGCATGGTATATGGTAGAAGATAGATGGTGACGTGTAGGAACAATTTTTTGATGGGGTGGGCGGAATGTTGGTGTAGGCGGAAAGATAGTGAAATAGTTAACGTATTCCACAAGCGAGCCAAACACACAAGCGAGCCGAACACCCTATCCAAAACGCGCTTCCTACGCGTCACCTACTATCTTCCACCATATACCATGCCACCAAAACGTTCCGAAAAACGCTCAAAATCGCCAGCTAGGGAGGGTAGGATCCTATTAGCAATTGCCGCTATTCAAAAGGATCCTACCCTATCTATACGCAAAGCGGCGGCGGTTTATAGTGTGCCAGTCAGCACGCTTTACGGCCGTATGCGCGGTGTTTCAAATCGCCAGGAAATACGCGCACATAGTCATAAATTGACACAAGAAGAAGAAGATTCGCTTTGCTAGTGGATACTATCGCTAGACGCCCGAGGAGCGTCTCCTAGGCCTTCGCATATTCGAGATATAGCAAATCTTCTACTCGCAGCACGCGGCGATACTACACCTACTACTATAGGTATTAATTGGGCTTCTAATTATATTAGACGACGATCAGAGCTTTGTACACGATTCTCTAGACGCTACGACTATCAACGTGCGCAAAACGAAGATCCTACTAGCCTACGCGCGTAGTTTAGGCTAGTAGAGCGTACGATTAATGAAAACGGGATCCTTCCTAACGATATCTATAACTTTGATGAAACCGGCTTTGCAATAGGCTTAATATCTACTACTAGAATCGTTACACGGAAGGATCTATACGGTCGGAAGCCTCTATTACAACCTGGAAATCGGGAGTAGGTAACAACAATTGAATCTATATCGGCAACCGGCTTCTCGCTTCCGCCGTGTATAATATTCAAAGGGAAGGTTTATATTGCTAGCTGGTTTGATAACCTTCCTAGCGACTAGCGATTCGAAATATCACCGAACGGTTGGACTACCGACGATATAGGCCTACGCTAGCTAGAAAAGCTCTTTATTCCAGCAACTACTAGTCGTACGCAAGGCAAATATCGCTTGTTAATATTAGACGGTCATAGAAGCTATCTAACACCACAATTCGACCAAATCTGTCAGCAAAATAACGTTATACCACTCTGTATGCCGCCGTATTCATTATATCTTCTACAGCCGCTAGATATAGGATGTTTCGCTATCCTAAAGCGCTTATACGGTCGCTTAATCGAGGCCCAAGCTCGCCTAGGATATAACCATATCGACAAGCTCGACTTCCTAGAATCCTATACACTAGCACGCCAGGAAGCCTTCCTACCTAGCACTATACAATCAAGCTTCGCCAGCGCCGGCCTAGTTCCGCTAGATGCCGACCGAGTCCTATCGAAGCTTAATATATCGCTTCGAACACCTACACCTACTACTAGTAGGCCTAGTAGTAGGAGTAGCGCTTTCGTGCCTACTACGCCACATACGATTAAGCAGCTTAGCAAGCAAGCTTCATCTATCAAAGCTCTACTACGCAAGCGCTCGCGATCGCCAGGAAGCCCTACTAAGCGAGCGCTAGATCAATTAATCAAAGGTGCTGAACTAGCGTTTCATAGCACTGTTTTACAAGCGGAAGAGATTCGGCAACTACATAGATTCAACGAGAAGAAACGTCAAAAACGCAGTCGTTCTACTCGCCAGATATCTAGGCAGCAAGGTTCTACGGTCGGCGAATCTATATCTCTTGATTCAACGTTGCCAGCAAGCGTTGAAGCTATTCAAAACGATGATACAGAGCTTCCTCAGCAGCCTACTGAGGGCGCTAAGCCTACTACTAAGCGTGTATTTCAGTGTTCTGGATGTGGGAATATAGGGCATAAGATTAATCAATGTAATGCTAGATAGTTAAATTAAATATATAGCGTTTTGGTGGAGAAATAGTGTTTTCGAAAAGTAGTAGTTGGTAGGGTGTTCGGCTCGCTTGTGTGTTCGGCTCGCTTGTGTGTTCGGCTCGCTTGTGGAATACGTTACGTTAAGTAGCTTATCTAATTCCAGCAGGCAAGCCTTTCCGTCTCCTTGATTGGTTGATTTCCTACATCCCTCAGTCGCGTTGCGCTCAATGTAGCTCAAGGAGCGACTATGCCGTCGCAAAGTACCTGCTCTTTAGAGATAAATCTCTCTGATATTGACATCAAACGTGAGCTTAGTCGTTTAAATGCTTCAACTATCTATAAAATCCGGCTACTTGGGAAGCTATATGTTATGAAACTTGTGAGTTCAATTATTGCGTCCAAGGATGACGCTAACCTGCCAGTTCCACGACAACGGCGACCCCGGATACAAGAAAAGGCCGAGATCTAAATCGATTTTGTTGCGAATTGAACGCCTATCACAATCTCCGTGAATTCGGAGTGTGCAACCGAGGCTTTGTTCCCGCTTTCTACGGCCACATTGATCGAGTTGATCCGTCAGCTTTCCACCCCTATCTTAAGCATTTCGCCGACGATAAACACTAATCTAGCGCGATCCTGCTCGAATACTTGCCTTATTCTGAAGGACTAAATAGCGAAAATTATTTCGAAGATCTTTTTCGCAATACTGTTGAGGGCATAAAACAGATCCATAACGCCTTTGTCTATCATTGTGATATTTACCCCAAGAATATGCTTGTTGTATCTAGCACAAGGATCGTTTAGGTTAATTTTAATGTTGCGACAATATTCAGCAGCATAGGTCCTTGCGAGAAGGCATATTGCGATTATGAAACCGAAGTCGTCGAAAGTTTTGGAAAGCTTCTGGTTTGTATAGCTTCCTTTACTTAAACATCAAAACAGTAGCTAACAAGAAAAACTATAAGAACGACGACAAGAGACAAGGTCTTCCACCCAATACAAAGTACTACTAAATGAAAAGCCATAAACACGAACAAACTGAACTAGCACAATGTCAGAACGTGAGACGGGTATTGCGCAGGCATAACGCTCTTAAATACGACATCAATCATATCTTCTCTATAGAAATACCTGAATGTCGGAAATGCCCTTCAGCGCTGTCTTATTTGCTCCAACTTTATATACACGTCGCCGAAGAAAGGCATGAAACCCTTAGCTAGGATTCTCTTCATATGCTAACCAGGATTTCTTGATATCGGCCTTCGGCTCGGCAAAGAATTCCTGGATGGGGTTAAAATCTGACGCGGATTTAGGGATTTGAATTGATTAATATTCCGTTCTATAAACTGTTGGAGGCACGGTCACTCCGGAGCTGTCAATCACATGAAGGGTATTCAAATCACTACCACTTTTGTTATGCAGAAGATCAATTGTTATAGTCTTTGCTATCCATGTATAGTATAGAAGATGACCAAAATTTGAAAGACAATTTCTACTTCTTCATGCAGAATGGACTAGCGGCTTACGAAACAGTTCACATGTTTGTCGATAGTATATATAATAGATTGAAGTGTAGCATCTATATAATACCTTTTAGAAAAATTACGACTGCAGTAGAAGTGTGCCTACTAGTAAAAGGGAAAACATTTAGCGATGATATTGTAAATATTGTAAGAGATAACTATATTCTGTAAAAAGACTAGGGTAAAAAGGGTGAGCATCGGCAAAATATTTCGTTAATTCTATTAATTGATGCAGAGATCATAGCAGACTAGAGAAAGTCTTAACGAAAGCCCCTAAAGGAGAAGATACCTGAGGCTTAGAAGGGAATTCCAACTACTGTAGACTTTTACTTTTAGGCCCGTATTCGGAAATGGCCCCTAGCACTTTCTTCTTTCGCACCCAATATGCTAATACACTAGTCGAGGAAGATATCAAATTATTGATCTGGATCTAATTTATAAAAATTCTAATTACATTTAATAAAGCTGTTAAGCTTAGCGAAGAACTCTTTATTCGGATTTAGATCCGGTAAGTAGGGTAGTAGATAAAATAACTTAATCTCTCTATATGTATTTATCTATGTAAGCTGTTCTGAAGAGTAAAATAAAGTATTATCTATAACTAGGATAGAATTAGATTCTAGCTATCTCCCGCAATATTAGAGAAGTTAAGCTATAAACTCCTTAAATATAGTAGTATCTGTAGTACCGCGGAAGATACGGAAGAGAACTATCCTATCGTAGGTATAGGTAGATATTATTTAATATCTCTAATCGCGGTAGAACTAGGCTATTGTGGTCCAGACGGTAGGTGGAAGTTGCGTGATATTAGAAACTAGTAAGAATATGGTAGATATAGTAATAAAAGGCGGTAAATGGTGACAAAACCCTCTGTGAACCTTAGTATACTCCGGATCACAAGATTATTATTCGTCTCTTAATATACGGTATTAAACAATGTATAAAATATAGACACTACTTTTAGAAAACAGTCTAGAACTAGAGGTATCGTAAGTATCTAATCAGAACTCGTATTACTCGGAATTATTATCCGGCAAAGAAGGTGTAAGATTTTAAAGGTATAACTGATTTCGAATATCACTATATATCTCCCCTAATGACCTTATCCCTTGCAAAAATAAGAGAAAATATAGATCTGGGGCTGGGCTGAGAAAGAAAATAGGATAAACCGTATACTAAGCATTGTTAAATGGAGGCAGAATTCGCCACACCTGTATCGAAGAAAAGGCGAAAGCTAAGTCAGACTAAGTGTAATGAAAACTATTCTTCAATTTAGGTGCCAGCGCAACGACAATTCCCTTTTGAAATCTCATTTACGGACGGAATTTTCTCCCCTTGGAAGGCGATGGGGTCCTGTATCAATAGCAACATCAAAGGCAAATGCGGGGTCAGCGCATTTGGTTTTTCTCTTTCGCAGCTTGTAAGCTAAGACACATTAATGCAAGCTTGTGGATCTTGTGTCCCTTTAGGCTCGATGAAATTATTCTCATACTCGATGAGCCCGCCTCTGGATATTTGAGGCTTGCATCGGTTACCACTTCAAAGTAGCCCTGGCACCTCCTATGTCGTCATATAGATGAGTTCTGGTTATTTCATTGGTCTAACTTGGATGCAGCCCTGTTAAGGTCGCTTTTATGTTGCTGTATGAGGCCCTTAGCCACTATGTACGGGGTTGCAGTGACCGTACGCCACAGCCTATACCGGAACGCCATGTCGAAAAGTGGAGGGTGTCAGGGCCCTTCGAAGGGCTCTTCAGTGTTCTATAAATGAATCATAGCGTCGGTCTTCGGCGCCTTGGATTTCCCGGTCTATAGTGGAACTTGGTCTTTCTATCTTGTTACTTGATTTTCTTGTGTAACCTGCCCCCTGGGCGTAGCGACATGCCAATACTCTCTGTGCCTCGTTTGGTAAACCTCAGAAGACCTCGAAGCTAAATGTTTGTCTTCCACCTTAGTAACTAGTTGAGCAGAATGCTTAAAAAAAGGAAACCCGCGGTAGTCTTTTGGTAAAGGCAGTCGGAAGCGAGCGGTTGGTCAGGTGAATGGTTCGTGCAGGAAGATCGACAGTCTCGCTTAAACTAGATATGCAATACAGTCACTCTATGAGCACTCTATGCGGGGTTATCACTTTTTCCTGGATTTGAGAGGGTACAATACAGTACAGCTAGCAGGAATCGCTATTTGAGAAGAAAAAAAAAATATAAGAACAAGATGTGGTCGAGGGTCTATCTCATCGGCCACATTTAACATAGTCCAACACAACGGGCAAGATGTGGTTTAGCTTACCAAAAGTTGTCTTTCTTTGTTCATTCATTCCCTCTGCCTTTACCGCTGCAATCACTCCACCCTCCCAGGATTCGTTCTATGACCAACCTAGTAATATAAGCGAGTACCTGGCCGGAGAAGTGATTCGCTCTCGCTCAGTAACTCCTCAGCTAGAGTCCTTCTTATCCTTGCCCGTGAATGTCTCTGTCAAAGCGGTTTACCAGTATCTTTTTCGGACAACAGATAGCTTGGGTGATGCTGTTGCCTCGGTCGTTACCTTGATTGAACCGTACAGCTCAGATCCATCCAAACTCCTGGGCTATCAGGCATTTTACGACAGCGCCAATGTGGATTGTAGCCCATCTTATACACTGCGGACTGAAAATCAAAACCTGGGGTTCTCTGTTTCCGGTCTGAATGTTTCTGAGGATATTCCATTTGTGAGTTGATGTCCTCAATTGAATACATCTTTTTAACCCTAACCTTTATTAACTCCGAGGAAAGATTGGTGCCGCTCTTAATTTAGGTTGGTGGGTGTTCACCACCGATTATGAAGGACTGGAGGCCGAATTCACAGCCGGGTTGCAATCTGGACACGCGGTTTTGGATTCCACTCGAGCTGTTCTGAGTGAAGGCCCCTCGGTTGGTCTATCGCGCAATCCAACTTATGCGCTCTGGGGGTACTCGGGAGGCTCTTTGGCGTCTGGTTGGGCAGCAGAGCTGCAGCCGTCGTACGCCCCTGAGTTGAATTTTGCAGGAGTTGCACTTGGAGGCACAACACCGAATATTAGCTCCGTGCTTGAGACCATCAACAAAGGCTCACATGCAGGGCTTGCTTTTTCTGGTATCTACGGCCAGGCAAAAGCATATCCCAATCTCACGGACTGGGTAAGCTCGAATCTAATTTCTTCTAAATCGGCTGAGTTCTATTCTATTGCAAGTGGCTGTCTGTCACAGGCCAGTTCAGATGGCGAAGACAAAGATCTTTACACATACTTCAAGAACGGGGAGGCATCATTCTATGAAGCAGTGCCCAAGTCGATCTTCCAGTGGTCTGGACAGATGGGCTTGCATGGGACTCCGAATGCTCCATTATTTGTGTATAAAGCAATAGGAGATGAAATCAGTCCCGTGGCGGATACGGATGCCTTGGTTAGTAAATATTGTGCTGAAGGTGCTCGCATTGAATACCACCGGGATTTAATCGGCAACCATGAATCGGAGGCCATTTCGGGGTCAGCAAGTGCCTTGGCGTGGCTGTCGGACCGCCTGGATGGAGAAGATGTCAGTAGTGGCTGTAGCACGGAAGAGGTGTTGCTCTCATCTTTGAGCGTTGATACGGTGCTCCTTCTCGGAGAAGAACTGTTTACAATCCTTGAGACTACGCTGGGTGGGATGCTGTAGGCTTCTCCGCGCAAAGTCCAGGTCTCCTGGATTTACTCTTAACTACTGAACAAACGTAACCAAGCATTTCACATTATTAATTATTCAAACATACAATATCCAAACCGAAGCCGGTCGCCTAGTGCTCGCATCATGTAGATATATCAAATAAATATATCATGTACCCAATATTGAATGAATCAGAAATAGACTCTCATGGCTTATCCAAATTCAAGCCTGAGCTCTATTCACCGTATAATCTTAGTTCTAGCTAGTTTCTGAAATGATGATGTTCATAGTGGTTGTGAGGGATGCTTATGCTCGGTGCTCCTTATCGCTATAGCTGAAAATATGGACCGTCTCCTGGGACCTAATTGTAAAATAAAGAGAGATTAAAACCAAAACAAAACGAACCCTGTATATTGCCAAATTGAGACTCAATCGAGAAATTGGCCTGTTGAAGTCATCCTCAATACAGAGTATACAACGCTGACGTCGATGCCGGTCACTGGGGCAACGCGACCATGGGAACCCGATTTGCTTATCACGAGTGGAGCAGCTGAAACCCGATAACCCTCCCTTGCACCGCTTCGCGCGCATCCGTCGATCTTGACTTGATCTTGATTCTTTGCTGCTTCTGCATCGCTTGCTGATTTTTCGAAATCATTCCAATCATCCCTAGCACGGTATGTCCCCCATTCCCCGCTCGAACGCCCACCCTTCTAGCCCTTCTGACATCGGAATGCAGAGACGCGGCGCCCTCCCCCACCACACATAACATCCCAAGGGATCAGTCAGAACGAATATGGCTTCGTTCATCACCACCATGTCGGTTCCAACTGCCCCTGCCCCTGCTCATATTGCGACTTGCCCTGAGTCCCCATCTCCCTCGCTGCCTGCGCGCACCCCCTCCCTCAGCCTTAGCCCCTCCGGTCTCTACCAGACCACCCGCACTTCCCATGTCCCTTTCTTAGAACCCCCCTCTTATCTATCACCCGCGGTGCGTGCATTGAAACAAGGCGTATTTGGACTAACCCCTCCCAGCAATGCACGCACAAGAGCGCCGTTCAAGCCTCGGTCTGCCGCCAAGGGGACCAGCAGCTATCAGCTGAGACAATTCGCAGAGGCTACGCTGGGAAGTGGCAGCCTGCGCAAGGCTGTAAAGCTTCCAGATGGCGAGGATTTGAATGAATGGCTTGCAGTCAACAGTATGATCTATCTCGGGTGCTTTCCATCTGACAACTGCGTCAGCTGCTAATCATCCTACACATTCCTCCAGTCGTCGATTTCTATAACCAAATCAATCTTCTATATGGCTCCATAACCGAGTTCTGCTCACCGCAGTCATGCCCTGAGATGAAGGCCACGGATGAGTAAGGCTTACCTCTTTGTCTGGCTCCATGTTTCTTCATAACGACTGACCGCATGTGCGACCTAGGTTTGAGTATCTGTGGCAAGACTCAGAGAATTACAAGCGACCGACCAAAATGTCTGCGCCGGAATATATTGAGCACCTGATGAGCTGGGTCCAGAGTAACATTGATAATGAGCAGATGTTCCCTAGTCGCATTGGTTTGTGCTCTCCACAATGACGTTGCATCACGGGGGAGTCTTAGCTGACTGCTGGCACTATACAGGCGTTCCTTTCCCTAAAACATTTCCAAGTCTCCTGCGACAGATTTTCAAGCGCTTGTACCGTGTCTACGCTCATATTTACTGCCACCATTACCCGGTCGTCGTCCATCTCGGTCTCGAGCCCCACCTGAACACGAGCTTCAAGCACTACGTCCTGTTTATTGATGAGCATAAATTAGCCAGTGGGAAGGACTACTGGGGTCCACTCGGGGATTTGGTTGATAGTATGCTGCGCAGTGATTGAGATCCTCCATAGAGGAGAATGGGACGAAATCAAGGGACACTTTGGTGCATTGGAATCCCGCTTGTTTCTCAGTCTCGGCAGCCGGCAATTCTGCTGAAGGTATGGGGCAGGCAGGATTCTCAAATGGCGTTTCAGGCGTGGCGTATGCATTGCTGCAATTGATATGTGATTAATGTTCTCGGCGGTGTTTTGTTGTCCTTGTGTTGAATCAACCATTAATCCGTTGAAATCAGGTCATCGGTCATGCGCTCTAGGTCTTGTAGGATAATTAAAGCGATCAGGTGATGTCTCATGTATGATAAATGGAATTATACAGCTTGCTATGGTTCCAATACTATAGCCACTGGGTAAAGAAGCTCTTGGGCTCCGCACTCCGAGTCCTCCATAGTTGTATATGCCGCAAGGCCCGGAAAGCGGCAGCTCCACTTTTGCAGTGCGAAAACCGAACGGCTGACTCAGCCCCTAGTGCACCACGTGACTCGGGAAGAAGTCGGACCTCGAACTCAACCTGCACTCACGACGCCAGCACTCCGACCGTCGCTCGATTCTCCTCCACCCCCATCAAAACTCCTCTCTCCCCCCTCTTCTCGAGGCTCTCCTTACATCCAATTCTACCATGATGTCTGCTCGTGTCGCCCGCAACGGCCTGCGTGCCGCCCAGCAGTTCTCCGTCGTTCGCCCGGCCGTCAACGGCCTGCGCACCTATGCCACCCCGGCCCAGGAAGTCCGCCCTCCCGTCGCGCTGTTCGGCGTTGATGGCACCTACGCCACTGCTCTGGTATGCATTCGTCCCTTTGCCAGCCCCGAAGCTTGCAGTATCGATTTTTTTGGGTGGCCCCGTGTTGCCCCGACCCCTCCCGCCCACCCCCTCTGCATTTCATGCTGGGGTTAAGACCGAAGGGTTTGCCGCAATGCTAGTGAATGACAGTTCTAATGCCCTTTCTTTCTTTCAATTAGTACACTGCTTCCGCCAAGTCCTCCGCCCTTGACCAGACCGCCAAGGCCATCGCCAACCTCGGCCAGACCCTGAAGGCCGACCAGAAGCTCGGCACAATCCTCGGCGCCCCGACTCTGAGCGTTGCCGACAAGCAGTCGATCATCCAGGAGCTCCAGAAGGTCGCCGGTGCCGACAAGGCCGACATCCTCAAGAACTTCCTCCAGACTCTCGCCGAGAACAACCGCCTCGGCGCCCTCGAGGGTGTCTGCGACAAGTTCTCCACCCTGATGAGCGCCCACCGTGGTGAGATCGAGCTGAACATCACCTCCGCCCAGGTGCGTTTCGTCTTTCCCTTCTTTCCGAAGAAACCCAGACTTCAATTGCTTCTTTTACCGTCATATGTGTACTAACCTTAATGACAAATGCAGGAGCTCGATGCCAAGTCCGTCTCCCGTGTCGAGAAGGCCGTCGCCAAGTCCATCTACAGCCAGGGCAAGAAGCTCAAGGTTGTCACCAAGGTTAACCCCGATCTGGTTGGCGGCCTTGTCGTCGAGATCGGCGACCGCACCATCGATCTTAGCGTCTCCTCCAAGATCGCCAAGATGAACAAGGCTCTCACTGATGCCCTGTAAATGTAAAATAGCCCCGAAAGAGTTGTGTGGGAGGATTGGTTAGATATAGCATGTCGTCCCGCATGAACGGTAGCGTTGTGGTGAAAGCCGAAAGAGGGAGGCGGGTCTCTTTTGACTATTGTGGACCTGCTGGTTTAGGTGGGCTTGTTGGACGTTCTCCTGTCCTCCCTTTTTGATCCTTTCATTTCCATTTGTTTTCATTATCTGTGAATTGCACAATACACATCCCATTTTTCTTTAGATTCTACAAATGGCCGTAAAAAGGGAGTTACTGGCTTGTCTAGATCGCATATCATATTGGTCCTCGTCCTACCTGATCAGTACCTGGAATGACTGAGCCGGGAATATTAAATATGAAAAGAGGTACATTGATACGGAAATAACGCAGATTTCATGCATGCAGTCTTGGTATTCATTGGCTATATAAGAAACTAACTCTCGTCCAGAAAAAGAAATGGATGGCATCTCCTCAATATCTATTACTGTATTGTTGTGTATCCGCAGGCATGACCTTCACAAATCAACCCAGGCGTCCCAATCAATCTGTTCGTCTCATACTATGTGAGAATATTCGGATTAGGAATGCCCATTCTGCTTGTCTGCTTGAGTCTCAAGCTCATCTTCATATCCCTCGGCAATCGAAGCTGAGCTACGCACGCGCTGCAATTGGCTCTCAACGTAATGGTGCAAGTGTTCATCTCCATCTCCATTCGTGGTAAGAGCGGCGCTGCTATCGCGGCGGCTGATGGGACTTCGGATTTCGTCATCATCCAGAACAGTCGACGCAGCTGGTGTTGCGTCACCGGCAACAGTGGAGTTGAAGTCACTCCGGTTTCCAATTGAGCGGGTGGTGGACGACCGGCGAACGGACGGACGACCGGACTGCGAGCGACGTCCAGAACGAGAGAAAATATCATCGAAGTAATGGGAAGCAGCGGCAAAGGGGGAACGGGGAGTTTGCGGGAGACGGCAGTTGATGCTACTGAGCATTAGTACATGACCCACGTTTGGGAATTCTGGGACGTAAAAAAGAGCTAAGAACTTACCCTGTATCGTGGATGATCTTTGCGATCAATCCCGTCCAGCCACACTGATGTGATGTGCCCAAGCCGCGACCAGTGTCGCCATCGAAGAATTCATTGAACCACAGATAATCCTTCCAATGCTCATCGAAATCGAGCAGGTCGGATTTGCCGTTAATGGCACGACGACCGTCATCATTTCGTGCGAACAAATGCTGCATACGATGTTGCAGTTCCTCGGCAACATGTCCAAGGTGCATGTAATCGCCCGACCCAGTTGGACATTCCACTTGGAATGAGTCCCCATAGAACATGTAGAAGCGGAGCAAAGACTCGACGAGCAAGAAGTTGACACACAGCCAGATCGGGCCTCGCCAGTTACTGTTACCACCAAAGAGGGCACTATCCGAGTCCCCGGGAACATATCCGACCTTAAATGTCTGGCCGTTAACCTCCATGGAATATGGGTTCTCTTCATGGTACTTGGACATGGACCGAATACCGTGCTGGGCGAGGAACTCGGTTTCGTCTAGCATGCGTCTCAGAATCTTCTCTAGACGATCTTTGCTAACGAGGGACAGGAGGAGTCGATCGTCTCTGCCTCGTCGTTTCATACTGGCGATGTTACGCTCGGCAACATCTTGCTTATTCTCAATAAACCAGTCCAGCCGTCGCTTGAACGAGGGGAACTTCTTGATGATCTCCGGTTCTAGAGTAAGTACGGCATAGAGAGGAATCAGTCCGACCAGGGATCGGATAGGCAGCTGCTGAGTCCATGGTCCGCCATAGGAGATGGCATCGTAGTAGAAGCTGTAGTTGGTCAGCCGATGTATATTATCCATAGAATGTACGTTGTAACTTACTTGTCTTCCTCATTCCACAATGACTGGATACTGTCCTCGCCCGACCGAAAAGTCATTGCATCGCTGATGAGAATGAAGTGCTCAAAGAACTTGGATGCGACTAAAAGACATAAATTAGCATGGAAAGAACTCAGTACTTGTGGGTAGTAAGCTCACTATCTTCATATGTGCGCCGGTGCTTGGCCAGTTCCAAAGCGATGTTGAGCATGGTCAAACAATAGAAGGCCATCCAGCCTGTACTATCTGCCTGCTCGAGAACACCGCCTGTGGGCAAAGGCTCGGAGCGATTAAACAGACCGATGTTATCCAGGCCCAGGAAACCGCCCTCAAAAACGTTTTTTCCGTCAGAGTCTTTGCGGTTCACCCACCAGGTGAAGTTAAGAAGTAGTTTCTGGAAAACGCGTTCGAGGAAGTCCAGATCCTGGCGGCCGTACATCTTGCGCTCGATTTTGAACGTACGGAATACCGCCCACGCATGGACAGGTGGGTTGACATCGCCAAAGTTCCACTCATACGCAGGAAGCTGGCCGTTGGGGTGCATGTACCATTCGCGGGTCAGAAGATCGAGTTGCTTCTTTGCAAAATCAGGGTCGATCATTGCTAGTGGGATACAGTGGAATGCGGTATCCCATGCTGCGAAGAACGGGTATTCCCATGAATCTGGCATCGAGAGGATATCATCAATGTAGAGGTGTCGCCATTGCTCGTTGCGAATGCCCTTCCGTCCCGCCGGAGGTGGAATCTCGGCTGGATCACCGTTACTCCATTGGTCCCAGATGAAGTTGTAGTATTGCTTGCACCACATCATGCCTGAGAAAGCCTGTCTTTGAATGTTTCGTAGATCATCGCTCATGGGGAGCGGGCTGATGCGATTGTAAAAGTCATCGGCCTCAGCACGGCGTTGCTCAATCACATCATCAAGTTCCTCCTCGTCCACAAACTCTGCCTTCTTTCGAGAGAATCGGAAACGAACGACAGCACATTCGCCGGGAGGAACACCCTCACCTTCATTAAAGGCATACCAGGCACCCAACTTGGTTCCTTCGTTGGCAGGGTTGATCGCGTCCTTCTCGTCGTCAACAATGTGCCTATGGAAGGCATCCTTGACGTAAGGTTGCTCATTATCAGTCCCCCAGAGCTTCTTATTGTTAGTCTCATTCTCGGTGAAAAGCATTTGAGGCTGAATATCTTCGTCACTGGATCCCACTGGAGGGGATGGGGCAAAGCAAGCGTATCGCTCGCCAAGCTTGCGATGCGTCGATTTTGCTATCCGGGAATCTTCTTGTTTGATTGATGGTTTGACGTTCTCCTTCTCGTAGCCCCATGACCAGGTGTTTCGGAACCAGACATGGGGGATAATATGCAACGGAGCTGGCTCCGGCCCGCGATTGTAAGCAATCACTCGAAAAATGAGCTCTTCTTCATCATCCCCCTCTTTGGCCATCTCAATAAAAATATCCCAGTAACGATTGTCGTCAAAGATTCCAGTATCGAGTATCTGATACTCACGCTCCTGGCGCGACCGCCGGGCATTCTCGTCGATCAAATCCTGGTAAGGGAACTTCTGCTGAGGGTATTTGTAGAGGAACTTCATGTAGGAATGCTGCAGGGAATTTCAGGTTAGATCAATTTTTTCCAGCGAATGTCGCTAATTTCCATCGTGGAACCTACCGTCGGGGTATTATCAACGTGAAAATGTGCCTCTTTTATACTCTCGCCGTGGTTTCCTTGCGGGTTAGACAATCCAAACAGACGCTCCTTGAGAAAATCACTGAGCCAACAATGTCAGCATTTTGTCGCAAATAGGGAAATATGGAGAGGGAATGGACTTGCTCTTTCTCGTTCCAAAAGGCAAAGGCGATATTCTGGACGCCGTGGGTGTCCGATACACCGGCGATGCCATCTTCACCCCAACGGAAGGTCCGCGACCGCGCATGGTCGTGCGAGAAGTCTTCCCACTGGTTAGCTATTGCCTCTCTCTAGTGTTGGGTTCCCTAATGGTCGCTTACAGCTCCAAGCGTCCCCATCCTCACTAGTGAAGCCGTTAGGTCAGTGAGAAGGAAGGGAAGCGAGTGTTTGCGATGTAACGGTCACTTACGAATAATCCTCGCGTACTAGATCCCCGGCGATGAAGTCATTAGCAGGCGCTTCGAATTTGGTCAATTCTGGGCTTCGAACTCACCCGTGGCCCATTGTCTCTCGGCCACATAGGGGCCCCATCGCTTCCAGTAACGAGTGCGCTCTCGATCTTCCTTCAGACGCTTCTCCTCCTCGGTGAGGTACTCGTGCTTGTCGATCAACACCATGGTGGGACCGAATTGCGGAGCGGAAGAGGGCGGCTTGCCAGCAACGATTAACGGAGAAACCAGCGGTGCAAACCCCAGTCCAGACCAGCAAGCAAGGAAGAAAACAGAATGAAAGACAGGAATGAGAGGGGGGAGGGTTATCTCAGCACGCAGCAAAGAGGGGAAGAGGACGAAGGAGGAGGAGGAGAATTAGAGGAGGGGCAGGGTCGTCTTGAGTCGGTAGCTTTGGCAGAGTTGGGGGAGGGGCGACAAGCGCGGATTACCTACTCCGGTCCTAGTTCCAACGTCAACTTCTTCTACGGCGGTTCCTGTTCCTACGAGCTCGTCTTACTGACGGGCTCTCTGCTAAGGGGACCGGAAAACCAGGGAACGGGCACGACCAACCATGCTACACACAGAAATGACAGCTCCACTGGGTGCTATCTGTGCCAAAGCAGGGACAATGACGGCACCGGTGGATATCGGGCGTTCGTGCTTCGGGTTGCGCCGCGGTGATTGGCCCGGGCGGGCGAGTCTATGAGGATCTCGACTGCGGGAACAACACATGCATTAGGGGGATTATTGGCGACAGGGTTGCTGCATGGATAATGGCTTCGAGCTCCGGCGCACGGCTCTTCTGAGATTGGAGAGTAAGTGCGGAATACATATCCTGATATTGGATGACTCGACCGCAAAAGGATCGTGTACCTGGTGTGTACCTGTTGTGTACCTGGTGTGTGCCTTGGAGGTTCTCTCAGCCCAACTGAAGGTACGCAGCTTATGTCCCGGAGAATTGATATACACACACATCCGCTGGCTCGATCTCTCATAGCGCTGTCCTATACTTCGGGTAGAGCGATTCCCCCTCAACCAAGCCATGCTATCACGCCATCGTCCTGTAAATCCTGATTCTATTGCACATACGCATTCGATATCTGTAAGACAAAAGCTCAATTACGCCGTAGAGTCTGCCAACGAGGGGCTCCGGACCCGCGGGGGCCCAGATAGATACAAGGGTTAAGGAAACGAGCTGCTGCAAGTATAGCCAACCACGCAAGAAAAGCCAGGAAAAACACCAGACACAGGAGGGATGAATGGAGCTAACAGTCTTCACCAAGTCAGCATGCGAGGATCCGGGGGCTGGACCATCTTCATCGGGTGGCCCGTCTTCAAATCTAGAAGGCTCCGACAAGATTTCCCTCAGCCCCATTCAGGTCCATTCGAAAAGAGGTATATAACAAGTCAAAAAAAATAGAGAGTGAAAAAAAAAAAAAACAAAAAGAAAGACAACCATCTTCAGCTTCTCTCAACGATCGGACGACATCATCACGGCTCATTTCCCTTTGGGGCGGACGCTTGCTGTGGCCCTTCGGTGACCGTCGACCCTTCTTCGGGAGCTGTGTCTTCGCATCAGTCCCATCTCGCAGAAACAAGAACAACCAAGCTTCCCAGCAGCAGATATTGATGGGAAGAAAGCAAGTGAAATGGATAAAAAATAATAATAATTATAATAATCATAATAAAAATTTCAACAAGAAATCACGGCGGGGGGATGATCAAGCTGAGCCATCCTTACCGGCGGTCTGAGCCTCCCCACTGCGGTCCGTCTGCGGTGTGGGTGCGGAGTGGCCATAGTTGACGGACTGCCGTGACTTGAGGCGTTCCTCAGCCTCTCGAATGCGTTGCTGCAGAGCCTCGAGCTCCCGGCTCTGGATGATCATCTGCTGCTTCCTAAATGGCAGGCGTCATTAGCTAGCTCTGACGCGACCGGGCCGAAATCGCCAGGGAGGGGGAGGAGGGGTGGGGGCCCAGTGTTTCAACCGTCCCGAAGGAGGACCCTGGGCGAGAATCGGTATGATTGGTTTTGTGCCCGGTCGACTTACTTTTGGTCAATGGTTTGAGAGAGGTGGTTGACGTCGCTGTCCAGCATGAAAGCGTTGTCTAACGCCGACGAGAACGCCTGCGCCATTGTCCTGTTTGAATGTCAATGTCAACATCCGCCATTCCACCCGACTATCATTTCGGAGAAGCCTTTGAGTTATTGGGGGGGGGGGCGCAGAAGCCCACGTACGACTGGGGCCGAACCTTGCCCGAGGGCTTCCATTCCTGCTCGGTATCGGACATCTTGGTTGATTTGAAGAGGTTGAAGCTGATCTTCCCGATCACGACTCTGATCGGGGTTGGAGAGAAGGTGTGTGTAGAGTGTAGAGAAGGGGGGAAAGGGGGTTGCAACTCGTCGAGCGGGGGCAGCCCACGGGGCACAAATTAGGGATGCCGTGTCGGAGATGGGCAACCAGAGATGGTGAGGTGGTTGAGGGAGAGAATCGATGACCAGGGCTAGCCAAGAAATCAGCGGAGAGAGGATTGAAGTTGACGTCTCGGATCAGTCTCGAATCGAGGACGCTGCTGAGTTGTTAGTTTCACGTTGGTCGAGAGCGTGTTATACTTCGCACCCTCCCGACAGCCACCACAAGAAGTGGTGCGCCGCGAGAACGGGAGGGGAAGTCCTAGGCCCCAGGGGAAGGAGGGGGGCGCAGATGCCATACTGGAGAGATGCGGACGGCAGGGACAGATCGTGGATTCAAGGAAAGGCGTTGTACGGGCTGCCAGACAGCTGGGGAGAGGGGGAGGGAAAAAAGAAGTGAGTGATGAGAGACGATCGTAGCCCACCGACTATGTTACTAGTCGCCGTAATCGCGGAGGGACCGGTACATGCGTTCGATATCCACCGCAAGGGAGGGTCACGGTATTACAAGGGGGCATCGGGGGTTCTAGTGCCATTGAGGGGCAGCATGGACAGACGAGCCCGCTGGTCATCGTCCCAGCCCGAGATCTGATGCTCTGTCGAGTCGGTTTGTCAACATTTGGAGCTGTTGATACTGTCATCCCGGGAGGGGAGCCTTGGTACCTGAAGTCGACCACACTCCACTCTGGACTCTATAGATATATGATGGCCCGCATGTCACAGCTATATACTGAGAGCTATATACTGAGAGCTATATACTGAGAGTGATCGCATGAGTCTGCATGCCCAATCGCCGGTCTTATGTTTTGAGCAGCCCATGAAGTTCCGATGCTGGAGCTAGATACTATACAGATCCTAGACTCTCAGTCCTGGACACTGGTCGGCATGTTAAGTAACAAGTGGGTTTTCGAGGAAGCTTTCGGAGCCACATTTAGCCTTAGCAGTCGGGCTAGGAGAATAATTTGGAGGGAACGGACCGTCTGCTTCTCCTTCCTCAGGGGCAAACTAACAGATGCCCGCTCCACTTCGAGACCGAGTCAGAAAAGGGGGCGAAGGCAAATTTGGGTCAAAGAAAACGCCCCTGACGTGGGGAGGAGGGGGGGGGGAACCCCAGTCAGTCGGAAATTAGGGTCAGAAGGAATAGATAGGGAGCCACGAGAGTATCCAGGTGTGCTCTCCACGAGGATTCAACTCTCGAATCTATATTCGATACCGTCTATACTACTATCTACGATCTACAATCTACAACCTCCTACGTTATACTTCCCCATTGCCCAGTCAGCCAAGTAAGCGCAGGAGTTCCATGGTTCGCCCCAGTAACCAGTCATGTGACCTTGTAATTTTCAGCGACCATGTAACGCGGCCCGTCGAAAATTACCAACTTACCTAAACTTGCAAACTGGCAAACTGGCAAACTGGCAACCGGGAACGGAAGATTGTGAAAGGTCCATCACCGCAAAAGTCACCTGCACCAGCACTCAACTCGGGTCGCGTCCCATCGTCGTCCAACTGTCATCCCAATCTCTATCATCCCCTCCCCTCCCCCCCCCCCTCCTTCTGTCAGCAGCCTTGTGGTGGATGTGGTCGAGAGGGCCTCGGTCGCCTGCTATCTCCCTCTCCCTCAACCTCCCTTCGAACCCTTCCACCCCTTCCTTGATTCTCCACCTCCACCTCTCCCGACCGAACTCGCAAATCTTCGCGACCTCTTCCCCGAGAACACGCTCCACGCGTTCACTCGGATCCCACTTCTCCTCTCCCTCTCTCCACTAACCACCGTGGCCCCGATCCCTCAGGCTCTTCCCCCAGCGGCCGACCAGGCGGACAATGGGGGATGCCTCCTCTGTCGGCGTACACTCCATTTGAGTCCCTACTCTTCTTCCAGTCGCTGGCCACGTCCGATGTGCGCCCGGCCAGTTTCGCATCCATCTCCACGTTGCTCAGCAACAACCCGCTTATTCGTCAGAATGTAGCCTTCAGCGCCGATCGCCTTGCTCCGGAAGCCCTTGAGGACCTCTACGCGACCTTGCTCCGGGACGGCTTCGATCGCGACCTTGTGCCGACCGGCCCGAACGGGCGACCGACCGACAACTCAGGTCCCAGCAACCCGAAGAAACGCAAGATCTCGAGCCCGCGACCGGACAGCCTGACCCATGCAGTGCTGGTTCCCGAGCTGGTCTCACACCTCTACGCGCGCTACAAGGAACTGGTGACCAAAGAGATCAAGGACGAGGAGAAGCGATATAGGGATATCAAAGAAGAAATTGAGCGTTTGCGGCAGCAAGAGGCCAAACCGACTGCATCGGGCGTCGTTCAGGATATCCCCGCACCACCAATAACCAAGGTCGAGCGGTCGGAACCGTCGCCCATCGACGTGAAGCAAGAAACACCGCGAGCGGAGCGTCCCGCTGATCAGTTCATCCCTCATCCGAAGCCTTTCCAAGCACACCAGGCGTCCTCGACAGGTCCTCCGCCAGAACCCGATCAGGCGAGAGAGGCACAACGTCCGTCCACCACACTTGCTGGGACTTCTGGACAGCCCGGTGGTCTAGTCCCACAGGTGCCGTTGCCAGCCCAGCCCGCCCAAGGAAAGACTGGACAACCACTGCATCCCCAAACGACCAATGACCAGAATGTGGCACAGATCCCAGTTCAACCGTCACTTGCGCCTCAGAATCAGCAGACGGCTCCTGCGACACCTGGTGCAGCTACACGAGCGCCGCGCGTGCATCCATCACAGCTTGCACCACGCCCTCATGCCCCCGCAACTACCCCAATTGCCCCAGGGAAAGCCTCCCAACCACCCTCTGCTACTCAACCAAGTTTCCAGCAATGGCAGCTGGAAGCTCCTCCCGATTCCCCTTACTCTGGTACCTCACCTCATACCGCCTCCAAACCGCCTCTCCCCTCTTCTTCCCAAGCCCCATCAAGAACCCAAGCCAAAAACTCCATCTCATCCGCTGTCCCAAGCACTCCCGGTCCAACTGCTTCTGCGGCTCAAACCCCCGTCCCAGTTGGCTACCCACAGGTCTCGCAGACTCCAAGCGTCGTTATTCCAGTTTATTCAGCAACCCGTGGCTCACGTCCACGGCTGTCAATTGACACACCGGGGTCCTCCACTCCATGGAAGCAGACGCCTCGTCCGAGCGTTGCGGGGTCCCCTGCATCTCCCGCTCGTCCAGGCCCAGGAGATGTCAGTCCAATCAGTGACAGAGCTCCTTCGCCCGATGCCATGGATATTTCCCCTCCACGGGAGAGAAAATCTCGACGTGGTCAAGGTAGTGAGGCGGATTCCAAGACTGCGCCCACTATCAAGCTCGAAAAAGGTTCCATAACTCGGAGAAAGCGAGCTATCAGCTCCGCCTCCACACAGAGTCGTGGGCGCTCTGTAGTTTCGCGAGATGAATCCCCGGAACTTCCTGGGCCTTCCGGTCGCCGCAAGGGCGCCGCTGCTCCTGCCGATGATCAGACCCCCAAGGGGCGATCGAAGCGCAAGCGTGGTGCAAGCGAGTTCCTAGAGCAGGAATTCACCCCTCCAGAACAACCCAAGGTGGATACATCCAAATATGTTCTCTGTACGCGTGGATTTCATCGCACTGCCGCACCCATCATGAACGACGTGACCACTCATAAACTTGCCTCCATCTTTGCCAAGCCATTGGGTGAGCGAGATGCCCCTGGGTACCATGACCTTATATATCGACCACAAGACCTGAAATCCATCAAATCCGCTGTTCACCAAGGTAGCAAGGCTGTCGCGGCTGCAACAGAGGCTGTCAGCACTCCTGCTGGTGACGGCGAGTCCCCCATCCCAGCCACGGGAACACCTTCTAAGAATAACAACATACTTATGCTGCAGAAGAGCGAGGATCTTATTCCTCCTCGGGGGATTGTTAACTCGGCGCAGCTGGAAAAGGAGTTTATCCGCATGTTTGCCAATGCCATCATGTTCAACCCTGTTCCTGAGCGTGGCTTTGGCCCTGCGTTTCCCATGGAAAGTGATCGCGGCTCACGTGAGAGCACGCAGTCAGGTGATGGCGATGAGGGCGGCATTATCCAAGATTCCCTGGAGATGTTTGAAGATGTGGAGCAAGCTGTTACGCGGTGGCGTGCCGCCGAACGGACCGCAGAGCGCAACGCCGATGACCTGGCTAATAAGAATATCCTCTCCCTCCGCCGTGGTAGTGCAAGTGATTTTAACACTGATAGCGCGGATGATGTTAAGGGGTGACAGCCATGCCTGAATGTTATGTATACTGTATGATTATTTTGAATGTTTGATTAGAATTTTTTTTTTTTCACCTCGATCTCTCTGGGTGTATCCGCCATTCCTGGTTTGGATTCCGGGTTTTTTTTTCTCGTTTGAGATATTCCCTTTGCTATCAGTTAAAGCATAAATCGTTCATAATGTGGTCTATACCTGTCATGTCTGGAACGGTATCTTTTCTGAATTGCGCGAATCCTGAAATCTTCAAAATAATACACCTCTTGAAGTGACTCCGATGGATAGATATACTTCCTCTATATATACAATGAACCGTGTGACATGACATCACTCCTTGATGATAAACCGCACTGCATACTCAATCCCAGCTTCATAGCCATATGTCCCTAGCCCAATGATACAAGCAATCGCCTTATCCGAGAAATAGCTGTGGTGTCGAAATGGCTCTCGAGTGTGGATGTTCGTGAGGTGAACCTCGATAAAGGGAATCGACACTCCAAGCAGCGCATCTCGAAGTGCAACGCTAGTATGCGTGAATGCCCCGGGATTGATAATCACGATATCAACCTGGCCGCGGGCTTCATGGAGGCGGTCGATAATGTGGCCTTCATGGTTGGATTGAAAAGTTTCAAGTGAGACTCCTTTGGCGGCGGCTAGGGTCTTTGCGTTGTCTTCGACATCTTGGAGGGTTGTGGTGCCGTACAGGTGTGGTTCACGGGTGCCCAGTAGATTGAGGTTGGGGCCGTTGATGAGAAGGATGTTGGACATTTTAAAAATGAAGGAGTCTTTTGTCTGAATTAAAAAAAAAAATTGAACAGATGGACAATGCATTGTCTCTCTGTTATGGGTATCATGGATTTATATTATGTCTCGAAGGGAGTAGGTCCCGGTGTTCGGCTAGGCCTTCAGCCGACGGGTGGGTATTATATACATCGCGCTCATGAGCCACTTCCAGAATCTATCATCGCAGGAAAACGACTTCCATAAGCAATTTGTACCTCAGTTGAGTTTCGAGTCTTAAATTGCGGGCGGCTGCTGCAATTGAGCCAAAAAATCAGTGTCCAGGTCTCCATCATAGAAACCTAAATTGTGTGCAAACAATGGTTCTTGTCTAAAGAATAGTCAGTTTTTTGCACATGAATAGGTTTTGTAAATGAGAAAAATGTACCCGGTGGAAGGAAATGATGTGACCATCTCTTCAAATAGTGCATCATATGCTTCTTGACCGATGAGTGATGTAGAATTTATGTCCTCGCTGGACCTGGGAAGGTCTGGCAAGGTCATGATAGACCCTCCAGAGTGAGATGGCAGGGTTGAATAGATATTCAGGCTAGAGCTTTCTTCATTCATAGCAACTGAGGTTTCACTGCCGGGTTGTTGAACAGCTAGGGGCAAAGACGGTTGACTCTGAGATTTCGAATATTCGTTCCATATAATCTCGGATTGCTCTTTCCAATGGTATGAATGCTTTGTTTCAAAAATTTGCATAAACCTGGCGACTTTTCTTTCGATATTGCCCTTTTCTAAAGAGATTAAGGAATTGTTGGCGCCGAGACACTGGAGACATTGGACTGCAAAGCAATGAACTAACGGAGAGATGCCATCTGCTTCAGCCATGTCCAAATAAAGTTCCAAGATCTCGAGCATATGGTGGATTGTCCGGATGCAGAGATTTGCAACTGCAGCTGATACTGACTCAAACTTGCGAATGAGTGATAGAGTTGTGAACGAGGAAGTGAGATGTAGAATCAGAAGCGGAGGATTCATGGGAGTGAGTTTGTTGTATGGTCGGCTTCGAAGAACAGCTGCCTGTTTTTCATGTAATGCCTCAAGGATATCATCGATGGAATTATGTTCCAGAGATTGATAGGATATCTGAGACAGATATTGCATAAGCTGTCGGACAAGATTGAAGCTACTCAGGGCACGGAGCGGAGTGGCTTGTATTCGTTCCCCATCGAGAGTACGGGAACGAGGTTGAGACCATACATCCCATTCATCGACATCATCTTCTTCAACCAGTCCTTCCTGAGATTGCTCTTCTGATGATATACAAGGCGTTTTGCCAAGGAGCGCCGAGAGAATGTTATCAAGGAAGACGCAGCCGTGAAAGGTGTGGAGAAAACGGCCTTTTCGATTAGACAATGGAAGCACCATCAAGGTTCGAGTAGCTTGGGCAACGAGTGTCCATGCCCGTGAAAAATTTCCAGCCGATATGTGTGTCAAGACAAAGATCAGAATCGTATGAACATGATTGAGATTGCAGGATTTCCATTCAGTCGATATTTGCTGTAGAATGGCAATCTGAATCTCTGAAGGGGTTGGTAACGTAGGATCACTTTTGCCTTCCATGGCAAAGACATATGAAATAACTGCCCAAAGCAATATGCGGCTAGATAATTCCTCACTAGTCTGCAATTGATCTGAGCTGATATGCATAGCTCGAAGTAAGTTACGGCGTTCAAGAATTGGAAACCAGCAATGAGTATAGGTAAAATAGAATTCAAGAAGATCCGGTGTAATATCTGGAACCGGAAGATCTCCCAATCCCTGGGGTTTATTGGATGGCTGTGGCGGATTTGAAAGAACCATCATGTCATTGTTCACAGACATTGATGCAGTGGCAATCTGGTCGTCCATGCTTTCGTCTAAATTGCGCGTCTCGATTGCCTCCCAGTCCGAGTCATCATGATCATTATCACCAGATCCAGACGTCAATAAATGAGAAACTTCACGAGATAACTTCGATTTTTGCCAAATTAAAAGCGACTGGCGGGCTAGGTCGCTGGCCAAGAAGTTGTCTTTGGCTCGAGACTCTCGCAGAAGACGACGGATTGTGCCCTCACTGTTCGGTATGTGCCGGAAAGCAAGACCTAAAACAATCTCCAGGCTACGCACATATCCGGATTGAAGGCCTCGGCGTCCACCGCCGCTCTCATAGGTACACGCCCGATTAGCCGAGTGGCAGATCTTGCATACAGGTTGCTCTCCATCACACTTGGACTTGCGACGCCGGCACTGGTCACAAGCACGATAGATACGCTGCCTTTTCGAAGGGCGTGGATTGGACATTTGGATAGGGCATTTCACGAATGTAGAGCCATGAATCAGCATCAAACTAATTGTGGATGTGAGGCATTCCACGTTCGAATGAGGGTGGCGAGTGGTCATGTGATCGGTGATGTATTTAACCGACCAGAAACTTACAGCCAAAGTCGACGACCAGCGATGGCAAAGAAGCATTATTCAAGCCAGAAAGCTTTGCAAGATCCCAGCAGAGACCTAAAATCAGGATCAATGTCGAAATGAGCGCCGTTGAGGCAGTCGGTGACCATTCGAGGGTCAGCAATTCAATTCCAACGCTTGAGGAAAACCTTGACGTTCGACGCCAATATAGCGCCGATGCTACATTGTTGCTCGTGGGATGCTTTGGTGCCGGGAAAAAGACCCTTGGAATTATTGCTTCGGTTGCTTTGCGACGCCGTTTTATTGACTTTGATTCCTTCTTCAAGCAAGAGGTTCAATCGTCCCCCCAAGAATTTATTACTCGCAACGGCTTGGCTCGTTATCGAGACATCGAACTAGAAATTTCTCGGAATCTTCTGACAAATTACGAGAAGGGATGTGTCATTGTCGGGCTGGGAGGGACTGCTAGCTCTTCGCAGCGAGTGTTGCTGACTGAATTTTCTCGACAACATCCAGTTGTCTATGTCAGAAGAGACGAAAGAGACTTGCAGCAGCTGGCAGGCACCTCTCCTGAGAAGTTCACTCGTATATTCGATGTTTTCGATGAATTTTTCGAGTCATGTTCCAATTTTGACTTCTTCAATCATTCGCAGGGTCAGTCTGAGAACCCGGCCTTGCCAACTTACCTTAAGCTCAAGGAGACCGAAAGAGTGTTTGTGGCATTCTTACATCGTCTATTTGGCAAGATCCAGCGTCCGATATTTTCTTTCGATCCAAGCCCTGCATCACATACGTACTCTTTACAAGTACCCCTTGCGTGGTTAGATGAACCGAACCAAGACTTCGAATCGCTGGAGGCTGGTGTTGATGCTATCACCCTGCTTATCAAATCTAATGATCTTGAATCAAGAAGACCTCTGGATAAACTTGCACGCCACATCTCGAAATTGAGGACATATTCAAGAGTCCCCATAATAGCTGATGTGACAGCATTAGCTTTTGAACCGAAATATCTTGATTATTCAAAGATCTTACTAAATATACCTCGACTTGCACCTGATGCACTCGCATGTTCCCACGAATGTGGTCTCGAGTTCATGTCAAAACTCAATTATGAGAAGGGACATACGAAGATCATAGGCACATTTCATGAGGCCTCACATGTTGGTTCTAAGCAAAGGTCTCTTGGAACTTCAGCGCTCCTTCAATTGGCTGAGAAGTTCAAATATGATGCCATACGTGTAACTGGAGAATCAACGTCTGCGAGCGAGAACCTTTCTTGTGTATCCTTTTCACAAAAGATGAAAGAAGAATCAAAAATCCCAGTGGTCTCCTACAACACTGGTCCTCTGGGCCATACCTCAGTCTGCTTGAATCCTACTCTATCACCAGTAGTGCTTCAGTCCATGCAAGACTCAGGTATTACGGTTCGAGAGGCACAACAAGCTCTTTCTGCCTGCTTCCTTCTGCCCAAGAGAGTTTTTACCATCTTCGGTAAAAGTGTGAAGTACACTCTTTCCCCTGCAATGCATAACACGGCATATAAGGCATGTGGACTACCGCATATATATGAACCGCTTCAAACCGACGACATATCAGATGTTCACAAACTTCTCGACGCAGAAAATCAAGGTGGAGTCATTGTTTCTCTCCCCTACAAGTCGGCAATAATGTCGTTTCTTGACGAAGTTAGCCCTGATGCAAAGGACATAAACGCGGTGAATACGGTGGTTCTGGACCACAAGTATCGGTCCGATGGACAGCGGGTCACTATTCGAAGGGGCTATAATACTGATTATATCGGCATTCGGGATTGCATCGACAAGCATCTTTCGCCCGCAAATGCCGTGCGCGATGGAACAACAGCTCTCATAATCGGAGCTGGAGGAATGGCTCGTGCGGCAGTATATGCTTGCTATGAATTAGGCGTTCGCCGAATATGCATCTACAATCGGACAACTGAAAATGCCCAAAAGCTCCGGGACTACTATCATCGCTTGGCGAGGTCAAAGCTCGGCGTGGACCTGCGTCTGGATATACTAAATTCAACAAATGACCCTTGGCCATCAGACTGGCGCTCACCCGCCATTGTGACATCTTGCATTCCACCATACGAAATCGGAAGTGAGCGCACCATAGATTTGAGGATCCCGGAGCAATGGCTTACGAGCCGAACTGGTGGAGTGTTTCTCGAGGTATACAGTCGTCATCCCAAGTTGAAAATTACCATTAACCATATCTCAGGTGGGTTACGGCCCTTTGCCAACCAAACTCATGGAACAAATGCTGGCGCGTGCATCTAAAGGGTGGGTTGTGGTGGATGGGCTTAAAGTTCTAATTGAACAAGGCATTGTTCAGTACGAGATATTAACTAAACGACCAGCGCCAGTTCATCTGATGCGCCGTGTCATTCAAGAGCATTCTCTTGAACATGGCTATGCTCATAGATAGATCATTTCTGTCATTTTTGTGTATTATTTTGCTCTATATTCAAGATACCCTATTGAAAAACTATTCAGCTTTGTATCACAACTCCTTATTATATAAGACATAGAAATTTCAACCCTGCTAATCAGACATCAATATAATAGATTGTGCATTTGTAGCTCTTAGTCTAACAATTAGACTTCATTAGACTCGGTTAAGAATTTGCCCGTTGTTCAAACTAGGTTAAGGCTTTATCCCATCCGTCACCGATGGGCTAGATATATCGGCTCAAACCCCGCCTATTCCAGTGAGAATCATCATCCCTCTCTATCGGTTCGAGGCTGGCCGACCTGCATCCAGCATGAAATATCAACCCGCAATCATGAGTGCGTCCCTCGGGCGGGCCTGGCTGCATGACCTAGACTACAAGATTCTGCACGCAGCAAAGGCAGGGTTTAAAGGAATCGAGATCTTTTATGAGGATCTGGATTATGCCGCCAGAAAGGTCTCCAGATGTGATTCGCCAACATCGGATGATATCCTGCAAGTGGCGAAACATGCTCGTTCTCTATGCCAGGAGCAAGGTCTGGAAATTATTGGCCTTCAGCCATTCCTGTTCTATGAAGGCCTCAAAGATCGAGATGAACACAACAAATTGATTGAAAAAATGAGGCTTTGGTTGAAGCTTGCTAAATGTCTGAACACGACAACCATCCAAATTCCTGCCAACTTTTTACCTGCGGACCAATTGACAGATGACCTAAATGTCATTGTAGCCGACTTGCAAAAGGTAGCCGACATGGGTGCCGCAGAGAAACCTGTTGTGCGCTTCGCATACGAAAATCTTTGTTGGAGTACTATTATCGACACTTGGGAAAAGCTATGGGAGGTGGTGAGACGCGTTGATCGGCCCAACTTTGGCATGTGTCTTGATACCTTCAATATCGCCGGTCGCATTTGGGCAGATCCAGCTTCGCCAACAGGCAAGACACCAAATGCTGACACTGATCTAAAACAATCAATTGAAAGGCTCGTCAATGAAGTTGACGTTTCGAAGGTCTTTTACATTCAGGTAGTTGATGCGGAAAAAATGGAATCGCCGCTGGTGGCTGGCCATCCCTTTCATGTCGACGGCCAGCCAGCGCGAATGAGCTGGTCGCGAAATGCCAGAACCTTTATGTATGAAGATGAAAGAGGGGCATACCTACCCGCCGAATCTGTCGCTAAAGCCATCATTTTTGGATTAAAGTACGAAGGGTATGTCTCCATGGAGTTATTCTCACGAACAATGTCCGAAGCAGGAAAAAATGTGCCTGAGGAGCATGCAAGCCGAGGAATCGCAGCATGGAGGAAGTTCCAACAACGGTTAAAGTTGGTCTAGATTGTACTTTCAATTTTAAAATAGGCTTATTTGAATTTATATACCATTATTCAAGCTTCGACCGACAAAGCAAACCCTCAAATTTGAACGATTGATTTAGACTTGACAATGTACAAATTTCCCATTTTCAACTTTAGGTATCTAAACATTGATATTCTTCCCGTCTAGCCAGTCCTTTGCGAGATGATAAAGTAAATCATGTTTTTCACCACAGACAGTGCCTACATGTCGTTTATGACCGGGCATATCCTTAAGGACCGCAACCCCCATTGTGAGTTCTTGGCAATACGCCAGACACTTATAGCCTTCCGGGTATGAATTCAGCTTTTCCTCATTTATGCGCGGGATTTTGTTCGGGTTGACTGGGAGAAGCTTATCCTTCTCGTACCAGTGTCGAACGAACTGGGCACCCCAGCGACCGTCGATTTTCTCGAAGAAAAAGCAGAATCGACAGTCTGCTTCGGCATCGACTTCACAATCATCGATTGTGAATCGCTGAGTAATGGTCGCTTTCATTTTCGTAACGGCACGGCTTCCATCCTTCGTGATATCCGTTGTAACACCATGGCAGCGGTGCATGATGAAAGCCCCATTATCCATACCCTTCTTTGAAGCTGCGATGAAGTCTTTGTGGTGAACTCTGCCAGACCAAGTAGTGTAAACATGAGCATCCTCATGAAAAATCGAGAGAAAGTTCTCCCACTCGCATGCATCCCTAATGGAGGTTAGCAAGTACTAGTCATGGGGCTATAGAGGAGATTTACCGGTAACACGGCCAGCCCTCAGCTAGCTCGCGTAGCTTTGCTCGTTCCATGACCAGGTTGTCGGGTCCATTATTGCGAATCGCATTATCAGGACGGGTGCCTGCTGGAAGAGAATGGAGGTCAAGCATTGTGTGGAATTAAATTTCCTTTTTTAGCAGACTGTTGTTCTCATTGCGAGATCTGGGGTACCCTATATATTGGATTCGGCTTATCCGGGATCGGCTGAGTCCATTGCCGATGAACGACCCGTTCTCTTTGGTGTGACGCCACCTACAACGGATAAATGAGGGGGGGAAGAGAAACAATTGCCGCATTATGCATGAACCTAGTCTGTGTTGTCACAAGGAAATCCACCTAGGTCTGACGGTACTTGTAGTAAGTGGTGTGGAAATGTACAAGTGAACGACATAGGTATTTCGGTTAATAGGCTACCTAAGATTGGAGGAAAAGTATAGTACTATACCAATGTCAATTGTCTCACTCACTCAATCTAGAAGTTGATGCCTTTGCTTTCTTCCGCAGCTTTTAGTAGAACTTTCCAAGCCCCCTCCCTATCTAACTTGCGAACATGCTCTTCGCCAGCCCACAGACGCCATTGTTCTTCAATTTGGTATCCGATAACATGCGTTCCCTCTACAGAGGGCCACCCTAACTTCTCCGCCAGCTTGATCATCCTTGTTCGTCTTGGTTTAAAGCACATGTCCAATAAAACCCCCTTATCCTCTCTGGCAAGGAAATGCTCCAGTACCGAAGCGACAGCAAGCTCGGATTCGGTGCTTGGTTCGAAATCCGGCACAGTTCCGACGACATAGTATGGACTTGGGAGACTCTTGGCTTCGTTCACAGATTTGATGTGCCTAATGTTGGGAATTGAAGGCAACTTTTGAGAATCTTGAGTCAGATCAAAAACCTCCTGGTCATCTCGATTCAGCACATAGATGGTCGGACAGTGGAGGTGTGTTGTGAGCGCATAGACAGCCGCTCGACTTGCGCCACCAGCCCCCACGATCAAAGCAGTAGCAGGAGAATCAGCGGAAGGCCTATCTGCCATGTTTCCTTTCTCCAGGAGACACCCCTTGATCCCCCGCCAGTCTGTGTTGGTGCCACACAAGCGTCGTACATCCCCATCTTTGAAATACACGTTATTGCAAGCACCAATGACTTTTGCTAGCTCATCTATTTCCTCAAGATGTTTCATGACAGAATTTTTGTATGGCATTGTAACCACAAGGCCAGCTGTAGTAGGCTTCTTGGCTAATTTGACAAGGTCATTGATCGTAGAGCATTCGGTTGATGAGAATTCCCATGGAAGGCCAAGGGATTTCGCGATGTAGTTATGCATGTCTGGGGCGATAGAATGGGTCACTCCCACCCCGACAAGATGCAATGTCATCTTTTGTGATTGGGTCTGGCATGCCATCGCTATCAGCTATTGGATTTGGTGGAACCTATTGTCTTTGGTCAAGGTTGTGTTTGACTTTTTAAAGAACTTCGGGAATAATTTCGATAATAGATCAGGATTCATGTCTCTTCATATCGGATATATTCATTTCCAGCGGTTGGTGGTGCCAGGATATTCGATCTTGAAGTTTGATCCATTGGGATCAAGGTTAAGCTCATAGCCGAATGCAAAATCAACACAACTAATACATTATGTTCACATATACATTCTACTTCAAATTGGTTCTATCTCCCACTAACCTTTTTCATTTATCATTTTATGTCACTTTGTCGTCTAGCACGCGTGTCTTTGATTCAATGGCACTGTCAGAAATCTCTTCTAAAAGGTTCAGCGAACCAAAGAGCTTCCACATCTTTGGAAGCGGTATTTCATTCAGCATTTCACCAACAATTCACAATGCTGGATTCAAGCATTATAATCTTCCATACTTCTACGATATTCGGGAGTCGGCGACCATCAATGAGGTGGCTGGGTTGATTGCGCAGGAGGAATTTGGCGGAGGCAGCGTTACCATGCCCCACAAATTGCAAGTTCATAAGTATTGCGATGATCAAACTGAGACGGCTAGTTTGATTGGTGCAATCAATACCCTGATTGTCACAAGAAAGGCCAACGAGCGCAAGATCATTGGCGACAACACCGATTGGTCGGGGTTGTACAACATTATTGTCGATTACGCTGCGCGAACAATGCAACAACCGAATACTGGCCTCGTCATTGGTGCTGGAGGAGCTTCTCGAGCGGCATTATACGCCATGCACCGGGCTGGTCTCAAGGAAATCTATCTCGTCAATCGAACCTCGACTGTTTCCGAGAAGGTGAAGGAGGATTTTAAGGCTGTCTTCAATATCACTGTTCTTCCATCTCTGGAAAATCTGCCGCAGAAGCCCGATATCATCATCGGAACAATTCCCGCAGAGACTACCAAGGAAGAGCAATTCCATTCAATCTTTGGTCTTCGGGGACTTTGTATCGAGATGTCTTACAAACCAAGGCAAACACCGCTCCTCGCAGTGGCGCAAAAGAATGAGATGTGGGATACGGTGACGGGGGTCGAAGTGCTGCTTGCCCAGGCATATGATCAATTCAGGCTGTGGACTGAACTTGACCCGCCAAAGGAGAGCATGATAAATGCAGTTGTTGAGCACGAGCACCGAATGATGTCAGCAAACAAGGGAGGCATGCTATAGAATGGCGTATAGCTTGAATTCGTTTTAATGTCTCAAGGATAGAATAAAGAGAGACAGACATCTTCCGATTTTACTAGAGGAACCTCAGAGGAAGTAGGGATTTTTTTGATGCATATACAGGTAACATCATTTTTGGGATTTAAATGGAGGGCCAGGCCGGCTGTCCTCAGCTCTATATTCGGGGGTATAATATTTTTTTTTGAAAAGAACCATAGAATCAAATCAATGACTCCTTTGATCACGCCGCACGAATCGCTTGATCCGGTTTTGTCCGACCCAGTCCGTCCTTAGCATAGAAATCCATAGGGTATATACCCTTATTGTCAGTATCCCAGTTCTCACGTACCCCCAGGGCAATGAGCGCCTCGTATGGTGTCAGCAATGGACGCGAGAAAGCATATCCCCAATCAATACTCAAGCGTGGGCATGCAATTTGCACCCAGCATTCGACATCAGACATAGATGCCAATTTGCCAGGGAAGATCTCGCTCAACAAAAGATTTACAACGGGAATGCCTCGCTCTGATAGATGACGTTCAATCATCGCCATCGTGTTCGGATTACCCTGTCGGCCAAGTGAGCCCAGAATAATACCCCACTTGCGAGCAGACTTAGCAGTTGCAATCGCGTCGCGTCGAATGGTGTGCATCTCCTCATGGTCGTAATTTTCACGGGTGAGTGTGCGCGAGTACGGATCATAGCGATAGGCTGGAATTGTAGGGTTGTGAATCATAGCCGATTCAAGGTGGAAGCGGCCATCGCCAAGGTAGAGAAGAACATCAATCTCGGACTCAGGGAGCTGAGGTGATGTGCAGCCAAGGATTTCACCTTTTGACAAAGGCATGATCTGTGGGATGATGACTCGGAATCCTGCGCGCTCCAACACAGACTTGAGTCCGTGTAAAGTTGCGTTAAATTGGATTGTACCGACTGTGGCGATGGTCTGACCTGGTTTGAAGTTGCGCTCCAGGGTGGCGATCAAGTGGTCGGTGTCGATGCTGATGTCGACAAAGATATAAAGAGTCTTGATCTTGGTTACATCCACGGGAATCAAACAGCTATGTGCGTAGTGAACCAGCAAGTCACAGCCGAGGGCCCTTGCGGTATAATCGTCGATGCAGCACGCGCCGTAGGTGACATCTCCCATGATCAAGGTCTCAATCCCAGGGCAAAACTGGGTGAGGATGTCCGAGATAGTTGTGGCAAATATCAACAGCCCCTCGGGAAATTGAAGGGCGACCCGCTTCGCTCCGGATGAGCGTACTCGATGGATGGTTTTTGGGATCTCGAAAGAGTAGTTCTTGGGAAGAAGTTCGATTGCTGCTTGAATTTCCGGGTCGTTCAGGATTTCTGGGGGTACTTGATTCAGTGTACGAGGTGTGCGTCTAGGTGCAGCTACATAATATCAGATTAGCCATCTAAACCGAATTTTTACAGCATTTTCCACATACCTTTCTGCACCGCTGTCGATTCAACATCGTTTCCGCTCGTTGACTGCTTCTGGGCTTGGGCATCTGCGGTCCGTCGGCCCACAAATCTTTTCTTGGGCTGACGCAGGTTATTTTCCGTAGCAGCAGGTGTCTCCTCCATGCTTGGGCCGTGCTTTGCGTGAGTGTCTGGGGGTTTGAGGATTTGAAGATATTCCTAGTCAAGAATCACCCCACTATCGCTTTTTTATCGTTTTTATCTTTTTTTCCGGTGGGGCGTGACTATTCCCGTGCTAGTCCCAACTAGGCAAGGCGCTCTCCGCATCGAACGAGCTCCCCTCTCTCTCCGGCCTCTCGTCACTTCTTGTACTTCGAGAACACTACAATACGTCTACTCAACTACGTCCGATGATATTGCGATCCATCGTAATGGCCTCTCGTCCTCAATTACGTTTGCTATCAGCTTGCAGGACGTCCCTAGCCGCATTTTCCACACGCCGGTTTGCGACCGAGTCGCGGTTAGCCTCGGACCATGTTCGCATCGTGGAGGTCGGTCCTCGAGATGGTCTCCAGAATGAGAAGAAAGCCATTTCAATGGAGACGAAGTTGGAATTGATTCAGAGACTCGCCAAGACTGGCGTAACAACCATCGAGGCAGGCTCTTTTGTGCCGGCCAAATGGGTACCACAGGTGCGGAGCTGAGGCCAACCCCGACAGAGAGAAGAATTGCTGCAAAATACTGACTCGAGAACCCCATGAAGATGGCCAGCACTGCTGAAATCTGTGAGCAGCTTCTCACATCCCCGCCTCAATCACAAAATACCATTGCATACAACTACCTGGTCCCCAACATCAAGGGTCTCGAGAGCCTTGTGAAGATCATGGACGCCACCGGTGTTCCAGCAGAGTCTGCCGGGTCTGAATCAAAGGCCGCAACAACAACAGAAGTATCTCTTTTTGCTGCTGCAACGGAAGCCTTCTCGAAGGCGAATACCAATTGTACCATCGACGAATCCCTGGAGCGAATCAAGCCCATTGTGGCCCTGGCCAAGACCAAGAATATCAGAGTCCGGGGATATGTCTCTGTTGCGCTTGGCTGCCCATATGAAGGGCCGGATGTCAGCCCTGCTAAGGTGGCGGATATCACCGCGACGCTCCTAGAAATGGGGGCTGATGAGGTCTCAGTAGCGGACACAACAGGCATGGGAACCGCACCCCGCACCATGGAACTTCTAAAAGCCCTCAAAGCTGCTGGGATTGCCAACACTGATCTGGCCCTTCACTTCCATGATACCTATGGACAGGCCTTGGTAAACACAATTGTTGGTTTGGAGCATGGAGTTCGGATCTTCGATAGCAGTGTCGGTGGACTAGGTGGCTGCCCTTATTCTAAGGGTGCGACCGGTAATGTGTCGACTGAAGATCTCATTCATACCGTGCACAGCCTAGGAATGCATACCGGTATTTCCCTGGAGGAGATGTCACGAATTGGATCGTGGATCAGCGGGGAGCTGGACAGAGTAAACGATAGCCGGGCTGGCAAAGCCACACTGAGTCGGCTGGCGGAATAAAAAGCATCGGCCAAAACCTTCGTCCTTTTGCCTCTTGTATCTTCTAACTTCTATTTTCATAGTTTCAGCGAACCCTCCATTCATCATTGAATGCATTCGAGCTGCAATATCTGTATCTGTATTTCTTGTGAAATAGTATATATTTTATAACTTTTGCAATGGCATCTCTCTTCTTGTTCTCGAACTTTCACGGCCCGTTTACTATAATTACATGCTGATGAGCCCTGCGACACAATGGAAATTGAACTTTCAGAGACTCAGTGAATAGCGGAATCGAGAAGGCCAGAATTATGAACCAACGCCAGTGTTTATGCACAGTCCTTTTCTTCATGACACTTGTTTAGAAATCGGTGACCCGTCCTCCATAGCTCCAGTCTCCTCCAGATCCCCATCGCAAAGGCTCATTCTTCGGACCTCCGACCTCACCCGTCTTGGGATTTTTCTCGCCCTCAAATTCAGGCTTCAGGCCTGTAGGCGCATCCGGATGAAGCTCCTCGCCACTGCCGTTGACCTTGATCTCGGCCTGGCTGGCGGATTGTGGGGACTGATTGACCTGAGGTGTACTGAATGCACCCGTTGAGCGACGTTGAAGGTCTTCGAAAATATCTTGTTCTTCCTTGGAAAGACGAGGAGGAGCGGGGGAATTCTTGAACGAGAAGGATGGCTTGCCATCCTCGGCATTGCGCATAGCGGTGGTGGAGAGAGACCGAATAACGAGTCGGTTTCCGAGCGAGGGGGCGCATGCGCGGCGCAGGCAGACAGAGGACAACATGGCGAGAAGCAGAGAGCGGAATGTCCAGGCAGAGGTGTTTTTCTGCGTCAATGGGAGTCGGGGAAGGTTGGATTCCACTCGGGCTACGGGTGATGGGCTCGGACGGTGGCGCCGAACTACAAATGACTAAGGCCTGCCGATCCCGATATCGCCGTTTTTTTGTTTCTCCGTCGAGTCATCCGCTTTTCTTGACTCTTCCTGGCCTCGGGTCGACGATTAATTCTTCCTTCGAAGATTGAAAATTTCACTTTTCAACATGTCTACCCTTCGTCTGGCTGCGCGTCGTCTGCCTCGCGCAACCCGACTGGCCCCTTCTCTCCAGTCACCGACCCAGCGACGATTCGCGGCCTCGGCCAGTGCTTCACAAGATGCGAAATCCCAAGCACCAGTATGGAATAATAGCTCAATGATCTTGTCTACGGGAGATCTTGGAGATTCAGTTCTAATATCGTCCTATAGAAAGGTCTCACCCACCCCGATCCCTCGCAGGACTCCATCACTCAGTCGTTCATCAACGAGCGGGCTCCCTTCATGGTCCCGACATACGTTCGCCCGGCACCTATGATGATGAAGGGCCAGGGCTGCTACCTGTGGGATATGGAGAACAGACGGTATCTGGATTTGACGGCCGGAATTGCGGTCAACTCTCTTGGCCACTGTGACCCCGAAATCGCCAAGATTGTTGCCGAGCAGGTCTGCCCCCCATCGGATATTACAAGCATATTCTCCAACGCGACCACTAACAAGGGACCCTTGTCTGTAACAGGCCGAAACCCTCCTCCATGCCTCGAACTTGTACCACAACCCTTGGACTGGCGCCCTGAGCCAGCTGCTGATTAAGTTGACTCGTGACTCCGGTGCTATGCGCGATGCCTCACAAGTCTTCATTTCTAACTCGGGAACCGAGGCCAATGAGGCCGCCATCAAGTTTTCTCGTAAGGTTGGCCGGTCTATTGACCCCTCGGGCGCCAAGCACGAGTTTGTTTCATTCCATAACTCTTTCCACGGCCGTACAATGGGCGCTCTCTCTGCCACCCCGAACCCCAAGTACCAGACCCCGTTCTCGCCTATGCTTCCCGGCTTCAAGTACGGAAACTACAATGACATTGAGCAACTTCAGACCCTGATCACCGATAAGACTTGCGGTGTGATCGTCGAGCCCATCCAGGGTGAGGGTGGTGTCAACGTGGCAAACCCGGAGTTTCTGGTTGCACTGCGCAAACGTTGTGATGAGGTGGGCGCCGTCCTGGTTTTCGATGAGATCCAATGTGGTTTGTCCCGAACCGGTAGCTTCTGGGCCCATGGCCACCCCTCTCTTGCTCCGGCGTCCGGCGAGGCCGCTCATCCCGATATCCTGACCACTGCCAAGGCCTTGGGTAATGGTATCCCTATTGGCGCGACCATTGTCTCCGGCAAGACTGTCGCCTCTCACATCAAGACAGGTGACCATGGCACTACCTTTGGTGGTAACCCCATGGCGTGCCGTGTTGCCTACCATATCCTTGAGCGCCTTGCCGCCCCCGAACTCCAGAGCGCCGTCAAAGATAAGTCAACTCTGTTCACCTCTGGCTTCCAAGCTCTGCAGCAGAAGTTCCCCGATGTGATCTCAGAGTTCCGTGGTCGGGGCCTGATCCTGGGCGTCCAGCTCTCCCCGGCTTTCTCGGCCAAGGCTGGTGATATCATTACGGCCGCCCGTGAGCGCGGTCTGCTAATTATCACTGCTGGCGACGGTTGTATCCGTTTTGTGCCTCCGTTGACCATCACAGAGGAGCAGATCCAGAATGGCTTGGACCTCCTCGAACAGGCCATCGAGTCAGTTGTGACCAAGGCTTGAACTGTCCAGTCCAGTCCGATTTGAATGCCGCCTACGATGTGTTTGCCTATATACCATTTCGCTGTTCATTCCTCAGACGCACAATTTTTTTTGTTTCGGAGAATTGGGGCATGTGCAACCCCTGGTATCCTATATATCCCATATAGACGAAGAATAAATAGCGATTTTTCTCTAAATTTCGCATCCTCCCAAAGGATTCAATGGGATGACGCGTGTAGCGGAGCCCGGGCGGTGGATCGTCGCGTGGAACCGCAACCCGCGTGGATTCTCGGCTGCTCAGTTCCCCTGTTCGGATGATAAGTGACCCTCTCAACCACCAACCACTAACCGCCGTAGGGCACTTCCTTCGTCAGTCGCCCCATGCGCTTAGAATAAAACACCATGGCCCTGGTTTTACCTCGGATCTTTCTCGTCTGTAGCTTCTGATCTCCCTCACGCGACGCAACGACCCCTCAGAATGCCTCGCTCCGCGTCCGCAGAGGACTCGCCGATGGCTTCTGCCGACAACACCTCACGATCTTTGTGGGTTAGGACTTACGATCGGTTCAAGGGGGTTTTCCGCGATGCAGACCCCCGGGTTTGCGTCGCTTTCTGGCTGTTTGGTGTGTCTTTTATCAAGGGCGGCGAGTTCGGACCAAAGGCGACTAACAAACTCATCAGGCCTCATTAACAATGTCCTCTACGTGATCCTCCTCTCTGCGGCGCTAGATCTCGTCGGCCCCGATATACCAAAAGGCATCGTTCTTCTTGCGGATATCATCCCGTCGTTCGGCACAAAGCTGATCGCCCCATACTTTATCCACGTCGTACCGTACTCCACGCGTGTCATCATCTTCGTATTCCTATCGGTCATGGGTATGTTTGTCGTCGCCATGAGCCCGCCCTATACAGATGGTGGAACTATCGCATCCAAGATTGCTGGCATTGTTCTGGCGAGCTTGTCTGCTGGAGGCGGCGAGTTAAGCTTTGTTGGCCTCACCCATTTCTATGGCCCATTCAGCCTGGCGGCGTGGGGAAGTGGGACGGGCGCAGCTGGTCTCATTGGAGCTGGTGCCTATGCTCTTGCGACATCCGTGATGAATATCTCAGTCAAAGCCACTCTCCTGGCATCTGCAGTGTTACCTGCTGTTATGGCCATTAGCTTCTTTGCTGTCCTGCCTAGAGCTGCTCTGCACCCTCAGGCTTCTGCTATAGATGGGTATCATGCCGTTGAAAGGGGAGAACACTTGATTGAGAATGAGACAGATGAGGATGGCCATGAAATAGAACGTGGGGAGAATGAAGGGCTTCTGGGAGTGTCTGTGCGTTCCACAGAGACTCACAAACTAGTCGATGTCAATGTAGCATCGGCACGCTGGGATCATTTTTGTGAAAACCTACGTCGCTTGAGACGGCTATTTTTTCCATTGTAAGTCTTTGCCAGGATGTAGAAGCTCTGTTTTCCTGCTATGCTAACTCGCAAATGCAGCATGGTCCCACTGCTCTTAGTGTTCATCGCCGAATACGTGATCAACCAGGGTGTCTCGCCGACTTTACTGTTTCCATTATATGCAACGCCTTTTAAGGACTTCCGCTCCTTCTACCCAGCATACAACGCTATCTACCAGGCTGGTGTTTTCGTTTCCCGTTCCTCAACCCCGTTCTTCCGAGTGCACTATCTCTATCTTCCATCCCTGCTGCAGATACTGAACTTAATTCTATTGACACTTCACTCGATGTTCAACTTCATTCCCAGTGTCTATATCGTTTTCTTGGTTATTTTCTGGGAAGGCTTACTCGGCGGCCTCGTCTATGTCAACACATTTGCTGAAATCAGTGACCGCGTGCCCAAGGAGGACCGGGAATTCTCTCTCGGAGCCACAACTGTCAGCGACTCAGCGGGTATCTGCATTGCTGGCTTCCTAAGTATGCCCTGGGAGGTCCTGTTGTGCCGATGGCAGCTTGCTCATGGCCGGGAGTACTGCAGGCAGGTCTGACTCCGCTTTTCATTTTTTTTTTTTTTTTTTTTTTGCCTCACTTAAAACCAAAGATCTATGACAAGTGCGGAGAATATGAGAAATAAAATATAGATTTTGCTGTAAACAGTGCATGTCGTTCCGCCGTAGTGTTTAGCTGTTTTTGAGGTTTCGTATTCCACCCTGCATAGGTAGGATATCCACTTTATAAAATAGACTGACGTTGAACTGTGGCCCTTTTGACTAAAGCTGAGTGTTTTGCCTTTCTTTTCTGTTTTTTTTTGTCCATTCTCATCAACCCATCAAATAGAATCCTCTACGTGATCGCTGACTAGACTTCGCCATAGTCCACTTTCGTCGTACAGGGGAATCTGTCGTCTAATCTAACATTCGCTGTGATATCATCTTTTATTCAGGATCTGTGGTAACTATAGACAGCTGCATTGTGATAAGATGAAAATCCATTCTGTTGAGGGAGGTGACGCAATTACATAGTAACTTACTAACAGAGTGCCACAAAATGGAGCCGATAGAGGTCTAGAATGCGAATTGTGCTAGCGTGACATCAAGACGGCTGTTAACGGCACTAAAATCTTTTGTTTGGTAGCAGAGATCGGCTACATACTTATCCAGCAGACGCTGTCATCTCTCAACCTGTAGATATAACAAAGATGCCTCCTGGCTTCGTCCCCACAGGTATACCAAGTTCTAGCCCATTTTTTGGAAAAGCTCAATGACCCCTACTATGTTCCATCCCGTCTATCAACAGGGCGATCCCGGTAATGGTATCGGGGGCTATGACTTGAAATCTCGTGTCGATCGTGTGTTCGCTTTCGACTATAATCATAGCGGAAAATTGAACTATCTTGCCCTATATCGACCCGGTACTGGAACCTTCTGGATTCTAAAGAACAGAGACGGTGTTTTCTCTCCCGTCTACCAGCAGGGTGCTCCCGGTAATGGTATCGGGGGCTATGACTTGAAATCAAGCGCCGATCAGGCATTTGCGTTTGATTATGATCATAGCGGAAGGCTAGACCATCTCGCCTTATACCGACCTGGTACTGGAACCTTCTGGATTCTAAAGAACAGAGACGGTGTATTTTCTCCCGTCTACCAGCAGGGTGCTCCCGGTAATGGTATCGGGGGCTATGACTTGAAATCAAGCGCCGATCAGGCATTTGCGTTTGATTATGATCATAGCGGAAGGCTAGACCATCTCGCCTTATACCGACCTGGTACTGGAACCTTCTGGATTCTAAAGAACAGAGACGGTGTTTTTTCTCCCGTCTACCAGCAGGGTGCCCCCGGTAATGGTATCGGAGGCTACGACTTAAAGTCAAGCACTGATCAGGCATTTGCTTTTGATTATGATCATAGTGGAAGACTAGACCATCTCGCCTTATATCGACCTGGCACCGGAACATTCTGGATTCTAAAAAACAGAGACGGTGTTTTCTCTCCCGTCTACCAGCAGGGTGCCCCCGGTAATGGTATTGGTGGGTACGATTTGAAATCTGGTGTCGATCGCGTGTTCGCTTTTGACTATACCCATAGCGGAAAACTGGATCATCTTGCCTTATATCGACCTGGCACCGGAACTTTCTGGATTCTTCAGAACAGAGACGGTGTATTCTCCCCTGTCTACCAACAAGGGGCACCCGGTAATGGTATTGGTGGTTATGACTTGAAGTCAAGTGCTGATCGGGCGTTCGCCTTTGATTATGGTGAAGGGAAGCTCGACTATCTTACTTTATATCGCCCTGGAACCGGGACAATCTGGATTTTGAAAAGAGTCTAAACTTTTCATCATGTTATTTGATTTCCACTATGTAAGATCTAATTCTCAATACCTTGTCTATTTGCCGCACCTAGTTTTCTCTGTGTTGCCAGCGGGAACCTTGCTTTGGTCAAGTGCTTTTTGCTGGAAAATAAAATCTGTGTTGTATTGTCGCTAGCCTTAAAATTTCAATCTTTTTAACCAATCATCATGTCCTGTTCATCATTGATAATTATTGAACTCAGGTCAGCTGATGGCGTCATTGGCATGTGAAAGTGTGGGGGCTCAATCACATGTGATGCTGAGTTATTGAAGGATGCGAGGCGCTGACTCCCCTCGACTCGCTTCTCAACCCGCTTTGTTAACAGGTATCACATAGCTGGCGCTTATATTTATGGTAATATTCCATGCAATTTTTTTTGTTGTACAGCAGTTGCAGTTCGTGAGCCAGAGCAGCGTTCTTCCTGTCGATTGAAATGATAGGTACGGCTCACCCATGGCTCTCAGGCCCCTTTCGAAGCTCATTTCTCGATCTCTGATCTAGATCATGTCTTGGGACGGCCATCTACTCGATTTCGGAAAATTCAAGTCTTTGCTGTAGTCTCATTCTGGTCTGTCTATCTACTGCGGTATGTCATCCCTTAATTTAGATCTATTTTTGAATCTACTTCTAATTAGCGTTCCATTGAAGAGCCGACAAACATGGTCCGCCTATTATCCGATCTATCTCTTCTCGCCTGACGGGAAAGTTGACTTCCTGGCAGACTACGGTGGTCATATTCCTATGGCTCTACATCTGTCGGAATTTCGGCAAAATAGTCGGGCTTGAATGCCCAGAGCCTTTGGCAAACCTTTATTCGCGATCCTTTTTCCGAGCGACATGGATCACAACTGGCCTGGATGCAGGGTTTTGGACAGCTATGAAGATAAAACCCAAGTGGCTCAGGGATTTGGCCTCCTTGGTCTTCACGGTATACTACTTTATTGCCGCCGAACAAGCAGATGAAAAAGTCAGACGTGTCCGCGGAACCCTGACCTTAGAGCATCTTCGTGTATCCTGGAACAAAGCAACCACACCATATCTATGGTTTTTAGCAAGCTTAGTCCGACCTAGACTGACTCGACATGATCCTCGGGCAATCCGGATTCCTCGCCCGAAGAATTCAATTCATACCGAGCCAGTGGATGCATGGCTGTACTTTGATGGGCCTCTCAGCGCTTTGCGAGAACAAAAGTCCCTAGTGTTGGATGTTCCTGGAGGTGGATTCGTTGCCATGAGCCCTCGCAACTCCGAGGATAAGCTACTTTCCTGGGCAGGACAGCTCAAGGTCCCAATACTCAGCATTGATTACAAAAAGGCTCCGGAATACGCTTATCCGTATGCCCTCCATGAGTGCTACGACGTCTACCATACCATAATGACCACGAATGGCCGTTGTGTGGGGTTTAGCGGTTCGACACGTCCTCGGATCGTGGTTACTGGCGAAAGCGCCGGCGGCAATCTTGCAGTAGGGATGACATTGATGGTTCTACAATCTGCCATGGCGCAAGGCTGGGAAGGTGATCGTGTCTTACCACGTCCGGATGGTGTCGTGCTAGCATATCCTGCACTGAATTTAAGGGTGGAAAGCTGGATGACTGATGAGCAAATGTCTCTGATTCAAGACAAAAACTCCAGTCAAACCAATCGAAATATCTTACAACGAAAGCAAGACCAATATCGGAAGCTGACACCCTTCACTTCCCCTGGTCATTCGGTTGACGACTTGACTGCAGTATCTCCCAAAATCAATACGCAGAAAGACGAGCAGACCAGTATTGCGTCTGAAGCCTCAAAGGCCCTCCATGATAAATTAACGAAGAGCCAAGCTCTAAACGGGCATGCCGTGTCTCCGACCGAGAATCAGATCCAACCACTAAAAACCAGAATTGCGGTCTCATCGATGATATCCTACGTCCATGACCGAATTTTGACACCGGAAATGATGCGTGCTATGATTATTCTCTACATTGGCCCTCACCATCGTCCTGACTTCAACACAGACTTTTATCTGTCCGCCGTTCTTGCACCGGATGCACTTCTCTCTCAATTTCCGAAGACCTATATCTTGACAGGGGAGCGTGATCCACTAGTCGATGATACTGTCATTTTCGCCGGTCGACTGCGACAGGCAAAACTACATCATTTTCAAGAGCGTCAAGATTTAGGACTTGAGAAGTCCAAACGTAATTTTAATGAGAAAGACCATGTTGAAGTCTCTCTTATCCCTGGGGTCTCCCATGGATTTTTACAAATGGCAGGATTTTTTCCAGACTCATGGAAATATATTAACCGTAGTGCACAATGGATCGAGAGCCTGTTTGTGAATATCAATGTTCAAGATCCGGAATACACTCTTCTCCAGCTCTCACACAGCTTGAATTTGAATACTTCTCAGAGGTGGAAAGGCGTCGGGAAGGGCGACGGTAGTGCCAAGGAGGGTAGGCGACACCACCACCGCAGTTTTACGGGCGAGTCTTCTGCAGATGAAGACAGGCCACTGGAGATGGGCTTGACTAAAATGGCACCGCTTTCCAATGATGAGCGCAAATCTTCCATGTCCGATCTTTCTCTACGTCGAAGGAAGTCTAGATCCACCTTTGCGTCTCAATTAACGGGATTGACTACTATCGCTGACGAGAACCGAGACGAAAACGAATTCCATGCAAAACTAAAGCATTTGGACATGAACAGTGTTATTCGCGATTCTTACTTCCCATATGAAGCTAACAGCGCCCCCGATAGTCCTGTTGCTCCTCGACCCCGTGGACGAAGCATCGCATCATTGGACAGCGAAGAAGACATATTGGATCGTCGCATGAACGGGCTAGCCGGGGGCCTGATGGGCCTTGGCGAAAGAGCCCAGACGCCTGGGGCATGAGATTTAGTGGATATACTAGATGCATGACTGATGATTGATGAACGATGTCTTGATTATTCAGCTAAATCTAGAATTGAAATTTGACCGGAGAAATCAACTAAACTCTGCGCGCGTGTGTTTCTTGAAGGCTTTGGCAAATAATGTATGGCGATTTACACTTCTATTATCAATCAACGGATTCTATTGCGAATATCCTCGATCGAGATAGGGTATTACGGACATTCGGATCAAGGTAAATTGTTATCTACGGTATCTGGCAACACAGCCCATCTCTCTTCCGATGAATCGATTCCCCTCTTTCTCCAACCCCCACTTTTATACACAGCTGAGATTCCAGGGCAGCCAGATCCATTATGTTTTTTTCTGTTGTATTTGCTCGGATACTATCTATTCAGCACCAACATAAAGATCTTGCAGGTCATATTTAATCCCAACCACGAATTGCCGATCAAGGCAGAATTGCGCTCTAGGCTTGAACGTGTTAGATGACGCATGATGGACTCACTTATGCAAAGAACTCCTTATCATTCGCCTCGGCAAAGGTTTGTTGACGTTCTGAAACGGGATGGTTGCGTCATCGTCCAGAACTTCACGACATTAGAAGCTTTCGAGGATGCGAGGCGAGAAGTAGAACCGTGGTTAGGGATGGAAGTAAAGAACAGCGAGGTTGGGGGTGAGCAATCTACCATTCTACAAGCCCAGGAGCGGTGCCAGCACTCGAAGAGTTTATAGCAAAATCCCTTTATAGCACTGAACGGAGGCACTCGCACCTGTACCCGCTTAATTGGTCGCAGCAGAACAGTTCGTGAGAAATTCTTCTCGGATCCGTTGTATCAGGTAACACCTGCCTAAGGAAAAATTAGAGAATATAAAACCGACTTAGAACACGACCTCGCTGGGGACTTTATTTCAATTAAAACTACCAACTGGTATAATGAAGAGCCATCAACCAACATAACTCACCCTCTACTTTCGATATCCATCACCATGGATATTAACCCTGGGGCAAAATCTCAAAAATTGCATCGAGATGACAAAAATCACCATGCTCGCCATGCTAAAGCTGAGAGCTATCATGACAATCGTGACATGCTTTTTGGCTTATTTGTTCCAGACTGTGACACAAGCCTGGAGATCGGGGCTACTCGAGTTGTTCCCGGCAGCCATCTTTGGGGAGATGAAAAACCTGACTTTGATCCCGATGGCGACAAAGGGGTTTTTGATGCTGAGCTCAGAGCAGGAGAGGCTTTCATGATGCTTGGGAGCTTATATCATGGGGGAGGTGAATTTCGAAACCTTCAGGCCATCGAATGATGCATATCATGTTCATGTGCAGTGGGATATATCGCCAGGAGGTATGTACTGCTTTGCTTGCCTAAGGTATACCTGACTGAGACAAAAGAAAATCCAAAGGAGATCTCCTACTTGTCTTATCCTATCGAGGATGTCAAGAAGTACTCTGCTTTGGTCCAGCAACGCCTAGGATGGAATCAATCTGAGCCTAACTTGGGATGGGTCGATCTCGCCTCCCCAGACGCATTGCTGCTAGCTTGAGCAACGATTGCGTATATACTTCAGTCTGCACTGATTTTGGCTCTTGATAAATTTCAATTAAACTTCATACTGGGAATTCCATTTATCACGTAAAATTAGGACCTGTGAATTACTACATCGAATTAGTTTTGTCGTTTCCGGGTTAGTACCCCAATACACTGACCTGTAACCTCTTCACTCTGCCGCCGAACACATTTGCCTTATGGCAGTTGCTTCACTCAGAATGAGGGCTCCGGAGACCGCAAGAAAAAGATATGTGGAAACCGTCAACCCGCGAAGCCGCCGATGTTTCATTATTTGGAGCCCCCAGGAGATACCGATCATGGAAGACGCGAAGCGGCTCGGCCAACTGGGGATTACCGCGTCTGTTCAGCCCGTTCATTCCGATCCAGTCCTCGCCAAGGCCTATCCTCGAAAACATCACCGTTCGGAAATCGGCCCTCGAGCCAGAGTCCGATCAAATGACTAACCCTCGTGGCACGATCACACTGCTACAGGCGGTCACTGCAGCGACCCTTGGAGCAGCGTATTCGCAATTTGCCGAGGGCTGGGTAGGGAGAATTGCTACCGATCATTGGGCGGATTATGTAGCGCTGGAGAAAGAATGGACACCCGAGACGTTGCTAAACGCAACAATATATCAAACCTGGGCCAGAGGAAGAAAGGTGTTTGAAGGTCCAGGGATTGGGTAAAGGATAGAGAATAGCACTCGGAAATAAAAGAAATGGCATTGCACTCTTTTGATGCTCAGGACCCACCTGCCCTTCAAAAGTGATGATTTAGCCCGCTCTGTAGCCAGACACACTCTTAGAACCAAGCGGGTCCCATGGAAGCGTACCCAAGAGTTAAAGTTGCGTACCCACGGAGTCCGAGGAATGAATTATAATTCCGTGTTTCGGGGTACGCTACATATGCAACATGAAGTGTAGCCAGAAATTTATGCTATGCAGATCATTTAATTATGTTCAAAATTGAAACCTAGGGGTTCAACCAGGTTCAATTTTGGTAACGTATTTCACTAGTCAGTGGCCCACACTAGTGAGTGGCCCGCCCCATCCGAAACGCGCTTCCTACGCGTCACCTACTATCTTCCACCACACACCATGCCACCAAAACGTTCTGAAAAACGATCAAAATCACCAGGTAGGGAGGGGAGGATCCTACTAGCAATTGCGGCTAGTCAAAAAGATTCATCTCTATCTATTCGCCAAGCAGCAGCTATTTATAACGTGCCACGCTCTACACTTCGCCATCGAATCAACGGAATGCCAAATCGCGAGGATACACGATCACCACGTCTTAAAATGACACAAGAAGAAGAGGATTCGCTTTGCCAGTGGATACTATCGCTTGATACGCGTGGTGCTTCCCCTAGGCCTTCGCATATTAAAGATATGGCAAATCTTCTACTAGCAACGCGTGGTGATAAACAGCCTTCTTCTATTGGAACTAATTGGGTAACACGCTATATTCAACGTCGACCAGAGCTTTGCACACGATTCTCTAGGCGCTACGACTATCAACGTGCACAAAACGAAGATCCTACTAGCCTACGCGCGTGGTTTAGGCTAGTAGAGCGTACGATTAATGAAAACGGGATCCTTCCTAACGATATCTATAACTTTGATAAAACAGGCTTTGCAATAGGCTTGATATCTACTACTAGAATCGTTACACGGAAGGATCTATACGGTCGGAAGCCTCTACTACAACCTGGAAATCGGGAGTGGGTAACAGCAATTGAATCTATATCGGTAACCGGCTACTCGCTTCCGCCGTGTATAGTATTTAAAGGGAAGGTTTATATTGCTAGCTGGTTTGATAACCTTCCTAGCGACTAGCGATTCGAAATATCACCGAACGGTTGGACTACCGATGATATAGGCCTACGCTGGCTAGAAAAGCTCTTTATTCCAGCAACTACTAGTCGTACGCAAGGCAAATATCGCTTGTTAATATTAGACGGTCATGGAAGCCATCTAACACCACAATTCGACCAAATCTGCCAGCAAAATAACGTTATACCACTCTGTATGCCGCCGCATTCGTCACATCTTCTACAGCCGCTAGATATAGGATGTTTTGCTATCCTAAAGCGCTCATACGGTCGCTTAATCGAGGCCCAAGCTCGCCTAGGATATAACCATATCGACAAGCTCGACTTCCTAGAATCCTATACACTAGCACGCCAGGAAGCCTTCCTACCTAGCACTATACAATCAAGCTTCGCCAGCGCCGGCCTAGTTCCACTAGATGCCGACCGAGTCTTATCAAAGCTTAATATATCGCTTCGAACACCTACACCTCCTACTACTACTACTAGTAGTAGGCCTAGTAGTAGGAGTAGCGCTTTCGTGCCTACTACACCTTATACGATTAAGCAGCTTAGCAAGCAAGCTTCCTCTATCAAAGCTCTACTACGCAAGCGCTCACGGTCGCCAGGAAGTCCTACTGAGCGAGCGCTAGATCAATTAATCAAAGGTGCTGAACTAGCGTTTCATAACACTGTTTTGCAAGCGGAAGAGATTCGGCAACTACATAGATTCAACGAGAAGAAGCGTCAAAAACGCACACGTTCTACTCGCCAGATATCTAGGCAGCAAGGTTCTACGGTCGGCGAATCTATATCTCTTGATTCAACGTTGCTAGCAAGCGTTGAAGCTATTCAAAACGATGATGCAGAGCTTGCTCAGCAGCCTACTGAGGGCGCTAAGCCTACTACTAAGCGTGTATTTCAATGTTCTGGATGTGGGAATATAGGGCATAAGATTACTCGGTGCCCTAGTAAATAGCTGAATTAAATATATGGCGTTTTGGTGGAAAAATAGTGTTTTCAAAAAGTAGTGGTTGGTAGGGTGGGCCACTCACTATCAGTGTCTCCGCCCACCCACACCGCTTCCGCGTTGTGGGTGGGCCACACACTAATGTCAAACTACACACTAATGTCAAAATCTTCCTATTTCTCCTATCTACTACTGCATCCCACTAGTATCTAAAAAGAAACCCTGCCCGTTCTGACGTGCTTCCTCTGCTCTATCTAATGATGCCTGGGATTCCTGTGTAGGTTCTGGTGGTGGTGATGTTCCATATGCTTTCTTCCACTGCTTCCTCACCCGCTTCCGCTCTGCCTCTGCTTCCTTCTCATTTCTTTTAGCAATAGAACGATTTGCATCTCTAATAGAGAGCACCCCTGTTTTGCTAAGCGGTGTTTTAACCTGGCGCTTAGTGATTGGGCGCTGTAGTGGTTGTTGAGCTTCTCTAATCTTGCGAATAGTATCGTTCGCTAGATTTAGGTTCTCTATAGCAATCTTGTTATGATGAAATAACCGGTCAAGATTACGTTGCTGCCTAGGTGTAAGACCTTCTTGTTGATATCTAGCAATCTTCTTTTGATTCTTCTCTAGATCCTGTATAGATCTAGGCGGCGATTTGTCGATACTAGAAGAAGATATAGTAGTTTGTGGTGGCGGCGAAGGTGTTGTATGAAGCGTTGAATAAAGCGGTAGATCTGGCGCTATAAGACTAGGGTAATCTTGGATAGGAAGGCTATTAATAACCTTTCTACTATCGACTGGATATATCCTACGATCTTTAAACGATTCACGAATGATTCGCTGGCTAAACGCTCTATTCCGAATATCACCGATTATTCGAAGGAACTCTGATCTTCCGATAGGGCTTCCACCCTAAAACGCGTAGTCGTTATTCGCTAAGCGGAAGTGTTGCTTATAGCTTAGAAACGGCTTACCGTCTAGCGGCTGGCAAAGATGTGTAGTATGTGGTAGGAATCCTATAGGTAGGATATTATTCTCTTCGCAAAGGTGTAGGAATTCGAATGTAAGATGCGAACCGTGGCCGTCGAATATTAGGATACGTTTTTCACCCGATTTCGTACGGTCGTATGTTGATTCTATAAAGAATCGAAGCTATTGAACTGCTATACTATCGGTTATCCAACCGTTTGGCGATGTAGTGATAGTAGTTCTTGGTGGTAGGTCGTCTGTTTGATTAAACCAAGATTCTATAAAGACCCCGTTGCCTTTAAAGATGAACCAGGGTTCCATCTGCCACCCGTCGGCAGCTATATACTCGATAGACGTGATATTTTCGCCTTGGTCTGGCTGAGGAAGGTCTACTACCTTCCTACTACTACTACTAGTAGTAGTAGTAGTAGTAGTAGTAGATATAACGTTTCTAGACCTTCCTTCGCCTGGTTGAAAGCCGCATTCATCAAAGTTATAGACTAGACGTGCAGGCGTAGTCTTCTTGATAGTTTGGGCTAGTAGATCGTACCAATGTCGTAATGCTGCTGGATCCTCTGCTAGAATTCGCTTTGACTCCTTCGTATACTGCTTAGTAGGCCCTAATTGAAGATGTTTAGGAAGCCTATTAATAAAGCGATACGCCCACATCTTGCTAACCGACGGCTTCCCGACGCGTTGGCATGCACGATTTGCCCACGCTTCTAGAATCCTAGGAGTGATAGGCATATAGCAATCGTTCATATATTGAATCCAGCGAATCAGGGCTTCTTCTTGATAGGCTTCTAGAGCGTATCCAACCCCGCTTCTAGCTGTACGAGGCCCTGTTTCCTTTTTAACACGACGATAGAGTGTGCGTTGATTAACGCCAAATTCGCGTGCTAAACGTGCAATATTCGGCTTCTCCTCGCGTGACGCAGCTAGCAAGGCCTCAGCCATACGAGATTCGTCAATCTTAGGCATATTTAGATAATGGTGTTGGATAGGGAAGCAAAAAATAGGGTAGTAGGAAGATTTTGACATTAGTGTGTGGTTTGACATTAGTGTGTGGCCCACCCACAACGCGGAAGCGGTGTGGGTGGGCGGAGACACTGATAGTAGTGGGCCACTGACTAGTGAAATACGTTATTATACTACTGTTATGTAACAACCGAATCTATAATACTCAAGCATTTCTACCTAGTAGTCTAGTCCTATAAAGACCTTTGTAAAATATTAAATTAGAGAATAGTCAATTAGCCAGAAAAGAGCGAATAGTAAGAAGCAGAAGGTAATAGCGCGCGTATTACTCGCGCTGCCATAACTTGTATTCTATGTAACTGGTCTCCCGCCTCACAAGGGAATCGCTGTAATTAACTGGGGGCCGGCACGTGAAAAATCCCGCTATTTGACATGTGAAGATAGGTCGGACGTTTCTCCGCGCATGTGCTAGAGAAAAGCGAGCTTCTCAAATAACCTTCAAAATCATTATCAGGATCTCAATTGATGCCTTGACTTACTCTAGAAAAAATTTGCGGGCTTCGAATTTCGGCAAAAGCGCCATCGGCCCGGCCGAAAGGACGGCATAAACTACTTGATATTTTATTAAAAAGGCTGCTGTCCTTCCTGATGTTGTGAATTTGACACTGAAAGAACACTGAACTAAAACAGTAGTATGTCTCAATTAATATGCGACTAATGTCACCAATCTTCCCCAAAAATATCCATGATCGTCTAGTTTCCCGCATATCCAAGCTTCCAGATGTCTGATTTGGCTGTCCATTTTCTGCACCGCTTACCCCAGAAATGAAACACAATGCCAAATGAGCACCAAAGAACAGTGAGACACATGTTCATCATAATGGCTGGGATATAGCCAGATTTCTCGGTCCAGGGAGTGATGAACTTGCTAAATCCATAACCCCAAACATTCTTGTTGACGGTGATAGCAATGAAGACAGAACCAACTACGGGTTTGTAACTATCAACCGCATAGGTACTTGCAATTGCAGGTAAAGCCGTTACTTGAATACCGGCAAAGGTGTACCCAATGATGACAATGGCCTGTTGATAAATCGGAGACCGGGTTAGCATATATAGTCACGGCGATCCTGAAAAGGATGATTGAATATGATACACACCCTCCAGTCCCAGTGATACTCATATCCAAATGCAACAACAAAGTTTCCAATAATCGATATCAGCACGTAAGGAATCAGGGTTGTTAATCGCATCTCTGGCTCTCGAATCCCACGATTCTTTTTGGTGGCTCGCATTGAGATCCAGTCCGATAGAGGCCCATTCGTGACGAGCCCAATCATAGCGCCCGCAAGAGTTGCAAAGTTTGTGAACCCAATCGACTGGCTAGACCAATTGTAAGGGGGAGCACCAAAGGCTTGGCTCTGGGTCAAGTTGGCTGTCAAGAAACAGCTTGCCGACCAAGACACCACAAAAGCTGCGAACTCGACGATCGGAAATGCAAGCAGGCGCCAGGGAACCCAAAACGCGAGAAATAAGGACTTTATCCAGTTTTTATTGGGTTGGTAGATGTGGAACTGGCTTTTCGAAGGACATCCTCTGTGTAAAAATGGATCGATTGCTGTATCATCGGCTTGGTTGGGAGTTTGAGTCGCGGCTGTCGGTTGCTTGGAAGAGTTCTCCAGAGATATAATGTTGTCCTTCTCGGTCGTCAATCCTGTGTTAGAGCCAGCTGAGTCCGGCAAATTGTTGACTTCATTTGGATGGGCACGGTGCCATTTTGTCTCCGGGAAGATAAAAACAGCAGCAATGATGAGGACGCAAAAGCATGCGACGTTAAGCCACCAAAAGCTACGCCAACCAACATGAAGAGCCATAGACCCTGATATTATAGGTCCGACCTAGCGAGGAAGTATCAGACAATCTGACGTTGATCTTGCTCCTGAATCATTAAAAACTAACCATGAGAGACCCAAAATAAAAAGCGAAATAGATGGTATTATATAGACCTCGTTCATGAAGAAAGAATATGTCGGTGATAACTTGAGGACAAAGAGTCTGCGGATACAAGCTCAATATCTTAGCCAATACTCTCGAGAGTATAACAAGGAAGAATGCCCACCACATACCTCGCAGGGACCCGCTCCAAACCCATTCAGAACACAGGCGCCCATAAAACTGCCATATGAAACAGCTTTCGCGCGCCATATATTAGAGGCTAAGCAGACTAGTGATGAGAAAATTATGACGGGCCGTCTTCCAAAAGTATCGGAAATGGGAACCCTAGTGCACAGGCGGAACATTTAGCATTTCACTGCCCCATAGTTCAAAGTAATGCTCACCAGAAGAAATTGCTGAATCCAAGAACCAAAATACAAACTCCAGTAAATTGCACTACAGCGGCCAAATCGGAATTAAATGCTTCCATAAGATCGGAGAACATGGGAGATAGTGCAAGCGGGCCAATTCCCATAATAAAATTGCTCGACATGGCGATGAATATGGTGGTGAATTTCCAATATCTGTTCCAGTTCTAGTATTTACGAATCAATTAGCTGACCTGGGGCCTTATGGTGGGATTCATTTTGAAATTTGATACGATACACACCAGAGGATCGTTGAGATCCTTGGAGGGCTGAGGAACTAGGACACTCGAAGAAACTCCCGACTGTCTGACGAAATGATGCGACCCAACATCGGTCATGATCTCCGTTCCTGGATATATCTTCGTATTCAGCTCCTCTTCAAGTCTTTTTTCAGGTGAGGTTCTAATCAGCTTTGCCCGACGTGATCGAAAGCAAGAATGAGAACGTACTGGCGAAGGGTCTAGATTGATCGCGTTCCATCAGCATTACATATAAACAGACGAGAATTTAATTTTCAACCTACCGCCTCATCATAGTTCATCTCCATGATGGGAGATATAATTTGGTCACTTCTGTCACTTCTGTCAATACTTCAAAGACGATTGAAGCTTTTGAGCTGGGGAAGGGGGAAACGTGCTGTTTTCATTTTAAGTTTCTTTTTTTTTGGGCGCCCGCGCCGAGGATTCTCAGTCAGCACAAAGAGAAAGCTTGTCCATTGTACACATGATAAAGCACATCGTATTTTAAAGGTTCAGTACGTTCAGCCACAACCAACATGGCAGAAATCACCTGGTTCCATGTGGATGATGTTAACCCCAAGAACCACCAATAAACGTGCAGTGGCATTTAGTTTTCTTGCGGGGAAGTCTGGGGGCGGGCCTGATCGGGAATGGTCTGTGTATACGGTTTCCAACCAGCGCCTCCGCCATTGGTTTCCCCAAGCAATCAAGGACCGGCAGTGAAGCCCGGCATTTTCAAAACACCTCTGGGGGACAAAGCTCCCTATTAAGCTCCTGGGGCCCCTACAGACTGTACGAAACTAGTAATATTCGGCATTGTACTCGGCATTGGCTAAAAGGTGGTATTTCTTGACGGTTCATCGAAGATTAGTTCCTAGGATATAAAGCAGAATATTTTTTTGGTATTCTTGATTCTTGATAGAAGCAAATTATAGGTTTTCTGACACATCATGACGTCCTGCATATAGGGAGTGCAAACAAAATTAAGGAAAACCGAAATAGTACACTTACGGAGAACCACAAATCCTGCCGATCATGTGGAGCACGGAAAGATAAGTATTCAGGCACAAATGAAAACACATTTGATCTGCGTATCTCATTCCAAACGAAGGCGCATTTCCATGTTTCTGTCACGAGAGCAACATCTACATAGTTATTTCCTTAATCTAAAGCGAATTCAGGAATCCAAGACAGTCTTTAATATTGCCATCCTACCAGATAATAGAAATCGAACAATAAACTCGTGATACACCACGAAGTATGGTAAAATAGTCATCTAAGTGTTACTAGCGCTTAACAAAGCGACTAGATCTCCCCGCTTACAACGCTTCGCTGGTTCTTTCAACTAGTGTAGTGGGGAAATGGCCGAAGATGGGTGATCCTGAGTGATCCCTGATTGGAGGATATCTTTCCTGGCATACAGTCTTTGCAGAAAATAGCATGCGTCCCCAATAAGGGGGGAATCAACTTTGACATATCTTTCGCTGAAGCAGCATCTGTTTCCTCTCTGAGAGGCTTCCATCGTTCCATCGTGGCGTGGTGTGGTTTGTTGGCTTGTTCGCTGGTCCATCTCATCCTGCCTGCATTCGCAGGCTTGCCGTAGAGCGCCCTGGTTCACTAGTTACCCAGTCAGCTGACCAATTAGGCGAGCAAGCGGAAATGACCCCGTAAAGTGGTGTATTATGCGTCTCAATTTCCAAATATTGCCCCAAATTTGGGATGATGTCTTTCGAATGCCATTCACTTTTTCTGCTACGGCACATTTGGATTCATGTCAGTCTACTTTCTAAACCATGTCTCATTCCCCGCCATAAAGGATCGAATAGATCATAGATGAAAAAAATGATATTAACGGTTTATCGAGTTTATTCGAAAAATTCTTTTTCGCTTTTGACGGAATATTTTTTTTTCAATATAGCATTAAGGACCGTTGATACAGGAAATTCCAAATTATGGAGAAGAATCCAAGATCAGCAGGCTCCATTGACTAATTATTGAGTCTGAAAGATCCTCTTTCTATGTTGTGGAAGCGGAGAAAATGAAGAGAGAAGAATTTCATTGTACAGGGCCGGTGGGATGGAGAGGCTTCTTCAATACTTTTGACTCAAATGCAGTGGGTGAGTGACCTTACTGGGTACATACCCTGTAGAACTACATCATCCACTTTCGTCGGGGTCCTTGTCCACCGTCCAATGTAATGGTTGCTTCAATCCTAGCCCAGAGGACTGCAAAAGTGGCTGCAACCAGCAACGCCCCGACCATAATACTAGTATTTTCATAGCTCTTGGGACTAGCATTCTTGTGTTGACTACTCCTGATCAATAAGCCGGCAATTGGAGTGCCAAGCAAAGTCGCAAGCCCTCGAACCATGTACAGCACCCCATTCACGCTGGCAAAGTTGTGGACACCAAATAATTCCACCAAGCTAGTTGGGAATAGGGACACATAGGCTGATGCAAAAACGCCATAGAAAATTGTGAATACAATGAAGAGGTTGCTACCACTGGTCTGGCCGGTCGATAATGCCGATGGCAGCCAGAAGGCCAGAACGGCGATTGCCGAAATCAAGGTCGTCAAAAACAATGTGTTGAGTCGGCCCATCCGATCTGCGACATATCCGATTGCAATCTTACCTAGCGCATTTGCAGCATTTGAAATGGCTATAAAATTCGCCGACGTTGCCTGGGAATATCCCAAAGTACGGGCATACGAGGCAAAGAAAAAAACTGGAGTATAGTAGGCCGCCGATTGTAGCGCAGCCCCCAACGCATGAGCCGCAAATTTTCGGGTTCGTGCAACGCGCCAGTCTACCAAAGGAATCCGCAGGATACTCATCTTGTGCGTCCTTGCGGTATTTTCTGCCTGAATTTGGATCATTTGGCTAGCATGCCACTTCATGAAGCTCCCCGACCCTAGAATAAGCACCAAGCAGATCCCAGAGGTGATGCGAAGGCAGTTGCGAAAGCCCACGCGCTCAATGAGAGACCGGAATGCAAGTGGCCAGACCACACCACCCACTCCAGTTCCGGATAGAATGATTCCCATAGCAAGTCCACGATGACGTGAGAACCAGGTAGGAGCTACTGTCACTGAAGGCATGTAAGCCATGCATGTCCCGATTCCAAGGAGAAGGCCTTGGGTCAAAATGAATTGCCAAAGAGCTTGACTGAAGCTGGCAAGAACTAAAGAAAGAGAGTAAATGAGTCCACCACTCCAAATTACCGCCCTTGGAGAATATTGTTTCGTCCAGGCCGTGGTGAACGGAGCCCCAATCGTCATGAGAGCGATGGAGAGGGTGCCGATGAGATCGATCTGTGCAGGCGTGGCCCCTGTGAAGGGTGTATTTGGAAGCTTTGACATGGATTCATATAGTTCTTGGAACACTCCAAAGGTGAAATTTATGCCGCAGCCAGTGAACACAAGTGTTGTTGAAGCGATCAGAATGAGGAATGGTTGTCTCAAAAGAGGTCAGGTATATGTTTGTTCGGATCAGCAGACGTTGAAAACTTACAGACGATCCGATATATTCGGCTGACCGGTGCTAGCTAGTTGCATAGGCTCCGAAGGTCGAGCCATGATGTTATGTATATATGTGAAAGGAAAGAAGATGCCTTCGGCCTTTCGGCAAAATTTATCGAGGCCGGTGTTTAGGGTTGAGTCACCGGACGGTGGGGACGGCGGGGATTGCGGGCCGCCGGGCGGGTCTTGCGGAAGCCTTGAGGCCATCGACGGCCTTATTTCTCATGCTTCCTTTATTTAAACTGTGGGAGTGCAAGACACAACCACAGGTCAATGTACCGTACCGTACCAGGTCTAACTCCGGATGCTGGATCCGACACACTGGTACAAGAACGCGACAGGAAGCAAGTGCATCTTGACCAGCGTCAGTGAGGCAATGTCAATAAAAGAATAGTCCGGCTGGCTTGGATATTGACCTGCAGTGTATAATTCAGCATAACCTAGCTTAAAGGATCGCCCATCTAGTTCTTCAAGGTGTCATATAACAGCTTCTCACCCTTATCCTGACATTTTTCGGCTCGGCTACAGCAGTCGATAAACTGTCAAATGCGCAAGGTCGAGAGCGTCAACCTGCCTGGCACCTCGGCTGCATACTATGCGCCTGCATTCTCGTCGTGTTCAATGGTTCCTAACGGTCACCGACTGGCTATGATCTTTATACCTGTACCCAAGCTAGTAGTTCCTTTCTGGCTCATTGAGATTGATGCCGGGGGTGCTTCAACCTGAATGTCGATTCCACCAGTTCTCACAGCTGCTACTGAGAGCTATGGCGTTACTATTGTCGGTGCAGGTCTCGCCGGTCATACAGCAGCGTGGTTTTACATGTGGTAAAGACGATACCCTCTTGTATGCATCTTGATAAACCCCAAAAAGGCGGCTGCAGGTAGTCAGCGAGGTTGGCTGATCCGTCCTTGGACTGCTTGTCTTTTCGAGCAAGAGAAGGTCGTCATTGGCTCGGCTTTTCAGAAGGCTCTCCCGAAGCTTCTAACTTACCGTCTTTCTTTTGTTAGAGAGAAAGACCCCCCCCCCCCCCCCCCCCATATAGAGAATAGAGATCAGAGCAAAAACACCCTTTGTTCCTAGAGATATCCTGATATCTTAATGAAACATGCTTTTGGTTATTATTCATTCAACTAATGTCATATCCTATACGACACCTGATAAGTACCAAAGAATCACCGCTGCTCCCCTCACTCTAGCGTTCCGAACTCTCGGCCCCGAGGCTTTTGATTTGTTCAGGAATCACAATTGGGTGCGCTTTATCTCCATTGGCGTGTGCTCGATTACCCCGCATCTTGTCCCTTCTGGTCTGTTGATAAGCATGATAACGTATAACAGTATCCGACACGGCTTGAAGATCCCTGAAGTATTTGCACCCTCCAGCTGCGAAAAATCATACAAACGCCGATAATCAAAGGCTAAACTAACAGTCCCCATGTCCCGAGAATACTGCGCAGAGGTTGATTTACGCGGGAAAAAGCGTAAACACGATGGCGCGAAAACGAGGCGCCGCGCTTCGCTAGCGTTAGTCAACCCTGGCATCCTTGCACTCTATCCATATATCTTTCTTTATTGACTCTGTGAAGCTGTGATATCTGTCGAAAACAAAAGGAAAAATGTGAAGGAGGCCCGCCGTGCTGGAGGTGTCAGCGATTGGGTCGGCCATGTCGCTTTCAGGAACCCTCGATGGCCAAAAAGCCAGATATCACAATTTTGCGAGATGCTCCAAGTCCTATTCTGGGAAAGGACAGTCAACGTATACAAAACCTCGAACATGTTGTGCGCTATTTCCTCAGCGATGTACCGCTAGATGAGGAAAATCTCAGCCGGATAGCAGCAAAGTGTACAATGAAAAACGACGAGATAGAGAGCGCTCTAGATGTGAACGAGACCTTCGATGTCCAATTTGTTTCCAAAAATGTTGCGTGTGAGTCTCAATATCATCGAATTCCTAAGGATTGTTTGGTTGATTCAAAGTAATATCTAGTTTATTCTGGCGAGTTCTCGCACTGGAATTTCTCGGAGAAATTGCGACGGACTATGCCGCATCGTAGTGAGATGCTCGATTCAGGGGTCCGTGAGAAAATGCATTCAGAACTTAATTCATTTTCTTCTTTCTAATGGATTTTTTCCAGGTCAAGGAATATTGGCGCCCAACGCACCTCCAATCCTTAACCCCGGTGGTTGCTGAGGCAATTTCCCAGCTACCTCCAAGACCAATTACCGAGTTCCTGGTCGGCGTGTTTTTCAAATATGAAGAAGTTAATTCTTTCTACTTAGAAAAAGGATGGATACATGACAAGATACAGTATTGCTATGATCCAGCAAGCGAGTATACAACCAGTGATATTCCTTGGGTCTGCACATTCTTCGCTGTTCTTGCGATCGGCACCCAGATGGCTCACATGGAAGATGACTGCTCAGGCCCAGATTCAAAGGACTCTGACGAGTTCAATGTTTGCTCGGAAGACTCGGTGGGGCTGGAATTCTACCACGTAGCGTCTAAGCTGGTTCCAGACGTAATCCTAGCCGCCTCCTACGAAAGTGTTCAAGCCTTTCTTCTTCTTGCGGCATGGGCTTTACCAGTCTCAACCGGCGGGTTGTCATATACTTACTTTGGGCTGTCCATGAAAATGGCCATCCAAAATGGCATGCACCGGAAGTACATCGGGGGGGATTGTGATCAGAGAATCCTTGAGATGAGAAATCGTCTTTTTTGGACAGTCTACACCCTTGAAAAGTAAGCTTCCTCCTCTCAGTCTAGGCCCGAGCACTATTAACAATTTCGCAGGCGAACAAGCATTCTACATGGCCGACCTAGTTCCCTCGCACGATCGGAAATCAACGCTGACTTACCAACTGACTGTGCAAGCTTCGAATCACCGAATTTTAAAAACATGATGGCATTCATCAAATTGGTGTCATGGATGAGCAAAGTGGCTGAGACATTGTAAGCCACCATATTCAATCTAGATCGTCTATGGCTTCCTAATACGCTTCTTTCTAAAAGATCGCAGTTCAAGAAATGTCCCAGGGGGCTGCTTCTTGAGCATCTAGAGCGACTTCTTAAACTAAAAGATGACATTGGAGAATGGTGGAACTCGCTTCCAGAACGCATTGAATGCCGAGATTACACTCCCTGTGGACCTCTTTTCCGACAGAACTTACACATGAAATTATGCTACCTCCTAGTTTACATATATATGGGGCGGCCTTTTATATTCGGGAGAGAACAATCGTCAAGAGAGAGCCTGCATAAGGGGAAAAATCATCGAGAGAGACTAGTTGATGATTGTGTACAAAGCGCGTTGGAAATTCTCGCAACATTACAATCACTTGCAGATAACTTTCGTCTTTGTCGCGCTTCTTATACTGAGTTCAGCTCATGCCGAGCAGCGCTTCTAGTTATCCTCGCCGAGAGCCTCAATTCCGGAAGGTCCCTAAAGCTACAAAACGGCTTAAAGTGCGGCATGGCTTTGATACGGCAAATGATAGGTGGTACTTCGTCTGAGTCAGAGATCTCCTACATTGAATCATTTGAGTCTGCAATCCGTCAATTTTCTTCAAACGAGGGAGATAACGACGTTCTTACGACAACTCCAGAGTTGAACTCGTCGTCTGCCTATGCCAAATTCAAGGACTGGACTCAGTCTATGAAAAAGGACAAAGGTATTTCCAGCAACCTAGACCTTGCTTCATTCAGTCCAATCTCACTCTTTGCCTCTGGGGCTGAGACTTCCTCACTCTCGAAGTTCAGTGACCTCACTGATCTTCTGAATCCAAATTGGGTTCCTAATGAACTAGAGCTTGATCTAGATGCTTTATTGGCCCACCGATAAGCATGAATATATTTTTGACTGTGACACTATTTATTTTATCCAAATATCAAATATCGTGCACGTTTCAGCCATGTCTCCTTTCCGCGCGAGAATGCCCCTTTCTCCTCCTCTTGTGCTGCTAATTCTTGCAAGTGCTCCTCTTCGTCGAAGTATTGTGCCTCACTAAAATCCATATCAGTTGCTCTCACAATTTTTGTTTTATAATAAAACTATTTGGACTCTTGTCAACAGAGTGTGCTGTGAAAACCACAGGTTAAAAACTTACCTTGTATGCAAAGTAGTCAAAAACAAACAAGGGAGCTGCAAGGTAGCTGGAGAAGAAAGTTTTCGCGGAACCTTTCTCTCCAAATGGCCAGCATGATAAGTAGAATTCACAGCCAAATATAAATGCCACGATAATGAGACTGAGATATTGTGCCCACGGAGTAAGGAATCCTTTGAATGGGAGGGTCTGAAGATCTTTTCCCTGCGCTTTGAGCCCCTGTCTGAATCTCAGGTGAGAAATATAACAGGATGACCATTCAAACAGCGTCGCAATGGCAACCTATTATCAGTTTAGCAAATCAGTCCTTGCTTTGGTTTTCACATGCCAGCCTACTAGAGCAGAAAACCATCCATATACCACAGTGCCCACGCTGCTGACATTAAGATAGCACAGGCCGCCTCCGAGTCCTAAACTTATAATGATTGACACCCATGGCCTTCCTTGTTTATCTTTGGTGCCAAAGAATGGATGGATAATTGTCATGTCGGCCAAGGCTGTCAGACTACGACTTGCCACGTAGACGCTTGTAATGCCGCAGCTGATCACACTAAGGAATATAAATCCATTAATAGCGTGTGCAAGGCCGTACACATCCGCGCGTTTGATAGCTATGACGAAGGGGCTCCCGAGTGTTCCGCTCGCAGTCGCAAGATCTTCATCATCATAGGGTACACACATCCCTACTAACCAGATGTTGACCACAAAGAAGGTGAACATGCGCCAAAACACAGGCCTAACTGTCTTTTTTATCGTTTGCCGCGGGTTGGCTACTTCACCTGCGATAACAGCGATGTGCTCGCCTAGTATTCCATTAGCATTTCTCAATGTCGAGATTCGTCTGCGTTGTCATACCACCACCAAAACTAAATGCAGCCTGTACAAAGGCTTTGGCAATACCCTTGATGCCATTATTGAATGCACCTGGGGATTTCCAATAACGAAACTCGATGGGACCGTTCGTAGCCGCAATACCCCCTGATGTCATGATAAACATGAAGAAAATCATCAAAATTACAGCAATGCATTTGATGAACGACATATAATATTCGATGTAGCCATAAACACGGACATGGAATACGTTTCCCATTCCTATGACTACCAAGAACATCGTGATATATGCTGCAAGAGGTACGACGTTGGTCTCGGGCCAGAATTGTAGAACTGAAACTGCCGCTGTTATTTCTGCGGGTATAATCATCACCCACTATGTCCAATATCATTAGCTTGTTTCTAATTTATGATGAGGGGGAATACATGCGGCGAACCAGAAATTCATCCCAATTGCAAATCCCCATGCCGGGTCTATGTACTCAATGCATTGGCGAATAAAGCCCCCGTGGACTGGCTTGTATGTTGTCATCTCACCAATCGAAGAGTATTGGGCATAAACAATGATTCTAGCCATGATTATTAGCATTTGTCCTTATGAGATGAATGGCCATCTCTTACGCAGTGAGTGTATACGCCACCGCAGTACCAGCAGGACCAGCTAAGAGAAATTAGTATAAATTTCCAAATCTGGAACTTGCAAATTAATCATCATGGCAGAATGATTGTATACCATAATGTAGTGCCTGTCCAGTTCCTACCCAGAGTCCAGTCCCGATTCCAGCTCCGAAGGTCATCATCATGACTTTGCGTCTCGTGAGGGACCGGTGATATCCCGCAGTCGGTGCTGCAGACGATAAATCCATGGCGCTTCCATGGGGTTCAGTCCCTGATGTGGCTGTCCGCTCAATATCAAGTTGAGCATTTGCAATTGATTTCATATCCGTTATATCGTGGGATATGCTGTCCAATGAATCATCATTCATCGGGGCCATTGCTACAAAGAGAATCGACACGCTGCTTGTTAGGCCAATAGTCCCAGGAGATCAATCTCCTAGGAAATCTTTCTTCTTTAAGTTACGCATTTTGTGAGTAGTCCTCAATCTCTTATCACAGTGTCTTTTCGGATGACCCAATCCTTACCCGGCGGGAGAGATGATCTTCGCTCGGCTTTCCCGCCGGGAGGGCGAGCGGGGTTGACTTGGGAAGATGATGACTCTGCTACATACCTCCTATGACTTCCATCTCAGCGCAGAATCGTACTTTGATTGTGACTCATTTGAATAATCTGTATCTTTTGTTCAGCATAAATTGCCCAGAAGATCCCGCTACTGTTAAGGGTGCTATCAATTTGAATACATATTTTTAAACAAATCCCGAGCTCTCCTAGCTCGAACTAAACATGGCTACCTCGAAGAATGTTGTGTTTGACATCGTCGGCACCCTCGTATGCTACGAACATCTTTACAATGCCATTGATCGACGGCTAGGTGATCGCTTGAGAGCAGAAGGCATCAAGCCGTGGCTTCTGGGTCAATTGTGGATGGAGACAGCCGAACGCGAATACACAAATCTCAGTATCTCAGGCCGCTATCTGCCATATGGAGAAGTTTTCGAATCTCTCTGGTATCGCATTCTTTGGATGGGTGGTATCCAGGAGCCCCGTTCATTCTCGTCACCCGAGGATCTTGCATGGATCATGCAGGAATACAAGGGCCTCACGTTGCGGCCCGGGGCAGCGCAGTGTGTTCAGAAGCTTCGCGACGCCGGTTTTACGGTTTGGGCATTCACGGCCGCTGATTTGAAGCGTGTGAATGGATATTTTACACAGGCCGGTATTGAAATGCCGGCTGAGAATTTGCTATCTTGCGACTCTGCGGGTGTTGGAAAGCCCGATCTGGCGGCCTATAAGCCACTACTGGACAAACTGACATCGGAGAATGGAGGCAAGAAGCCTTGGTTTGCTGCCGCTCACATGTGGGATGTTTCTGCTGCTCGAACAGCTGGGTAGGTCTTTTCTCGCTGAACTGCTGTGTGGAACATTGAGTACAACGCTAATCATCATCTTGCAACAGATTCCAGGGAGCGTATTGCACGGTACTGGAGAAGGAACCACTTCACAGTCTATTTGGCGATATGGATGTTGTTGACGATACTCTGCCTGGAATGGCTGACAAGATCATTGCTAGCCAGGCTTCAAGTTGATATGTAGAGTAGAAGGGCCTATTCACTAGTACAATCAAGGCCGAATGCCCCTGAGATAAATGTGTACTAGGTAGATTTTGTTAGGAACTCTCTTCGTCCATAAACCAACATTGCGCATCGAAAATCTGCGTTCATCCTGATCTCTATTGTTGACTTTAAGTCAAGCAGAAGGCAAAATGACGCCACTGTAACATCTTACTATTAGATCACAGATCAGAACTCCGTTGCGGGGTAGCATAATTGATCTCGATAATTTCGATGGTTTGTAGCGACTGGGTCCGTTATCTGGCACGTTTGTAGTTGATGATTGAATCCCGTCGTCTCGCCGGGGCCCCGTTGCGTGGCCCGCCGGTTTAAGGACGCCCGGCCCGGCGGGAACAATGCCGGCGGGAGGAGCAGCTTCCCCGCGCAACATGGCGGAGATTCGGATGAAACGCTAGACTTCAATAAATAAGTGTTTCTGTTGGGCTCATTACACTATCCAGTATTAAGTGCTACTCTCTAAGAAGTCGATATGCCGTCAAACCCTGTGCCTGTCCCGAATGGGATGCTGCCCTACTGGCGGACAGAACCTCATCCTCTGGATAATCATCGGTCTAGCGAGGACCTACCGAAGCAGAGCGATATTGTCATTATCGGGGCTGGCTATGCCGGCGCCTCTATCGCGTATCATATTCTGAAACAAATCAAGCCGGGGTCGACGCCCCCTTCGATCACGATCTTGGAAGCACGCCAGGCTTGTTCCGGCGCGACGGCTCGCAATGGTAGGAAAGATAACTACGCAAGCCCCTCAACTCAGAGACTGAAAAGCAAATTTTTTCTGCAGGAGGGCATATGAAGCCCGATCTATATAACTGGATTGCTACGGTGGCCGCCGATCACGGCATTGAGGCTGCGGCTGAGGCTGCAGCTTTTGAGGCCAAGCATGTCCCCATGATTAAGGAATTCGTGGATCGGGAGAAGATCGATTGCGACTATGTCGTCACCAAAGCAATCGATGTTCAGCTCAGCTCTGATCACTACAAATGGCTCAAGGCTGGGTATGAGAAGCTGGTCGCTGGCGGATGTGAGCCAACCAAGCAAGCCCGTTTCGTTGAGGGCGAAGAAGCACAATCAGTAAGTCCTGTCAATCCCATAGCCCTTGAGGTTACTTTTTTTCTGTCTTTTGATTTTTGTTCTTTGTTTACCATTTTTCCTTTCCTTGCTCATTTTTGATTAGTTTTCTGGCGTCAAAGGGGCCGTAGGCTGCTTCACATACGACGCGGGCAGCATCTGGGCGTACAAGTTCGTCCTCCACCTTCTCGACCAAGTTGTGTCGCAAGGCGTCAATCTGCAGACGCATACGCCTGTTTTGAAAATTTCCGAGTCGTCTGATTCCACGTCTGCTCACGGCTGGGCCGTGAAGTCCCCGAGAGGATCAGTTGTGGCTCGAAAGGTAATTCTCGCGACCAATGCCTATACTTCAGCCCTTGCCCCCCAGTATATGGGCAAGATCGTACCCGTTCGAGGCACCTGTTGTCGCATTGCCGTTCCGCCCGGCTCAACAGCATCTTTATTGACTAACACATATACTTTGCGCTGGGGCGGCTGGGACTATGACTATTTGATTCCTCGGGCTGACGGTAGTATCGTGGTCGGCGGCGCTCGGTCCGCTTTTATCCACGACTTGAATAACTGGTATAACGTCAGCGACGATAGCCGGGTCCTCCAAGGGGCGGTACGATACTTTGATGGGTACATGCAACGGAACTTTATTGGATGGGAAAACAGCCATGCCTATACCGACCGCGTCTGGACAGGCAGTAAGTGAAGACTTTCGTTGTTTCGTTTTGTGTTTCCGCTGCCATTGAACCATTTGAAATTGGTTGTATTTGATATCTGACCAAGGCCCCCTTTGTGGCTAGTTATGGGGTACTCATCCGATGGAATCCCGCACATCGGCTGTATCCCAGGACAGAGAAATCAATATATTCTGGCCGGTTTTACAGGTCACGGCATGCCTCAGATCTTCCTTGCCGCCGAGGGCATTGCCAAGATGGTCGTCCACGACGTGGCGTTTGCGGCGACCGGTCTACCTCGAATCTTCCAGACGACTGCATCTCGACTTGCAGCTACCGAGAATAAGATCCTCAAATCCACGCCCCCGACCGGGCCTGCGCAAACCAAACTATGAGGTGAGAGGAGAATTCCGACATCCCTATTGGACCCAGATCTGTAGTTCAATAGCACCAGTCGCATTATCGGAGAGAGAATATAGCCACTATGCATTTCCCGTGCCGCGGGTCCCTCCCCCGTCTTCCCGTTCCACCTGTTTTCCTGTATAGAGATGTCATCCCGGCGTTGATAGCGTGGTCAGAGAGGGTATTCGCACTGTAAGATATCAACCACAAGCCAGACTTCCCATGCTCCCCAGACGTCTTGATGGCCCTCTTTTTTTTAGTCTAGTAAAATATTGCCTCAGCTACGGGGACTGGGATTCTCATCTTCGATGTTGTGGGCTAAGCGGATATCGGCGGTTTCTGTTTGGTCTTCCACCCCGAGCGTACGGGAGATGAGGCCAGGGAAGAAATTTGAAAAAGAAAAAAAAGGAAAATTAAAGAGATGAGATGTTGGAATTGGGACTCGAGGAAGCCAATAGTATGCCGGTTTGAGGCCGGGTAGTCTGACCGGGACTCCTGGTGGTACTGGGCTCTTGGATAGAGTTGGGAGGGTTTGCGGGGGCCCTGGACTGCTTAATTGCTCGACGCCGTGACTGTGCACTGCTTACTAGTGCTTGGCGTCTTGGCATTCAAGTCGTCAGCCGGGCGGGCGATGGTGTGCGGGTCCACTCGTCCCAGAACTATTGCACTTGTGGGCAGTGGATTGACTGCGATATTGCGATATTGCGTTATTGCGTTATTGCGTTATGGCGGTCTGGAGAGGACAGGAAAATCGGAGACGCTCTTCACGCGACCGAAACGAGCGTCTATCTTGTTGCCCTGTCCGTATATCCTCATCCTGGGACTCCGGCGAGGCGTCCGAGCGATGGTGGGCGGAGACCCCAGACTTTTCAGGCGGACCATTCGTCCACTTGCGCCATTGTCCACTCCTTCACCGCAGGTCATCGTCGATCATCCGATAGCTCGTGTTATCATCAACCACAATGGCGTGCTCCTCTTGCGCGATGCGACCCGCTCGTGTCGAGTGGAAGTCCGTCCGCCCTGGCTTTTTGGCGAGATCTTATATACGATCGCCTGCATCCGCTCGTTCCCAACCCTCCTCCCCTCCTCTCTCCCCTCCTCTCACCGCTATAAATTGGGACTCGCCTGGGGGACAGACACCGACTGTTGAGGGAAATTTCTCCTCCGTGTCCTCGACACTTGACAATTGATACTCGACCATTCCCATCACCGACAGCTTCTCCTGTTCCTATTTTCTTTTTTCCCGGCTCTCCTGATGGGCGCCCCAGAGATGCTGCTGGCTGTGCCCAAGGACGACCTGGAAGTCGAGCCCAGTATCGCTCGGTACGAATACGATCCCTGGCTATTGGATGACCATCCACTCCGATCACATCCAACCCAATGTATTCCCGGCTTGGGGACATTCTTCACGGAATGGTTGAGCTCCACTCGCCGACGCTGGAAGGAGACTCTATGCCACGCCGGATGTCTGGTCCTGATATGCCTGTAAGTGGCCACGCCCGATCTTATACTACATCATTCTCGGACCGAGCCCAGCGGGTCAAATTCCCCCTTCTCCCTTTTCTCCCCCCACAGGCTGAGATGGAGAATGATGGCTCTGGAATCTCTCGTGTTCTAATCTCGCATGGCCATTAATGCAGGGCTGTATTGCAATGCTTCCGCTTCCTGCCGTCACCCGCCTCTGGGAAAGGCCTGCCGCGCCCCCCAGCATCATCATCACATCTCGGTCCCCGCGAATGGCATGTCAAATGCACATTCCCTCATTCGGATCCCCGTCACAATGCCCTGGCGCAGTCACTTGCTGCCGGCTGCGACGGCCTTCGAACGGACATGTGGCGAAGTGGCCAGCAGCTGCAGATGGGCCCCTTCCGCGCGACATCGGAAGCGGCCCAAGACCTGTCTTTTCATCTGGAGACGTTGCTGACCGGCCTCGAGAGCCATAAGTCGCAAAACTTTCCGAGTCGAACTGTTCAGTTGTCGTTGCCCCCTTCAACCGGGGATCTGGCGGCCCCTGCCGAACCAGCCCGGAAATTTATGCTGGTACTGGATGCCAAGTCCGCTCTGGACGACCTGTACCCATTGCTGGTAGCACAGTTAGACGCTCTCCGCCAGCGGGGACTTCTGACCCATTGGGATGGGGCCCGTATTATACCCCGGGCGGTCACGCTGGTGGTCACGGGTGAGTCCGTGCCGGCCTCTGACTGCTCGATCTCTGCCTATGCCGACGTGTTCTGGTCGTCAGAGGACGCTTTTATTTTCCCCGACGATGTGTCCGCCGGCCTTGGATCCCCCATCTGTGCCGTATGATCTGCACGCGACTCTCGGTCCCTCTATGTACTTGTCTGTTTCTTCATGTCGATATAGTGCCAGTCTGCTTTCATGATACCCAATTGTCTGATCTCAAATTCAAGTTCACTCCCAGTTCTTTCTCTGCATTTTGAGTCCATGAGCTTCCACTTTTTGATAATCCGTGCCTCATTTTTTCCATGTTAGCAATCGGGGATTGACTTTGTCCCCGTCTTTCCTTTTCTCCAGTAACTATGATCTGACCTCAAGCCGAGTACCTGCCACGCCACTCGTAAGGGGGAGAAAACCCGACCTGAATGGGGTATGTGGTGGTACACGGCTGCTGCAGCGCCCATGTTGGTTTTCGTCGATCAGAAAGACATTGGATCCCACCAATAAAGACCCCTCCCCCGAGCTGCAAATCAGATTCCAATGCTCAAAACAGATCCCGTCAGCCAATTCAATGGCTTGCATGCGAGTGTTGGTTTGAGTTGGTGTCAGCGTTGGTGTTAGTGTTAACGTTGGGAGTCACTGTGAGGGGCCGAAGGGCATGAGGGTGGGGGGCCATCACCTCACAGAGTGCAGCCTCGTTTGCATAGGCTCAAGTCCTCCGTAGTAAAATTCCCGATATCCTTCTCCCTTCGGATTCGGATTTGGATTCGATGAGCGTAGAGCAATCGGCCACCATCCACTCAGGGGCGGTGCCTGGGAAGTAAATTGGGAACTCGCCCGTTATCGATGGTATCCGCTCCCCACATGCAAGATATCTCGCCCAAGCCGCGCTAAGGCGCTCACCGTTTTTTCTCCGCCCAGCGTTCGCCCTTCTCTTCTCATCTTCTCTTGCCCTACTCCAAACTGCGGTCCCTTCGCTCCATTCTCTGCACCTCCGTTTTCCAGGTCAACTGGATTGTATCCGGTCTCGCTAGTACCCCTGCACTCGCCTCCGCACCTCTCGCACCCGGGCGCAACGATCTCGGGGAGGTCGCGCGATCAACCGCTGATCCTCAACGTCGACTTCAGAGCTCAAGCATCGCCTCTCTATTGCTCGCAACCGTGTGTTGTGATCAGTCGCTTTGTTGCCCTCGTCTCGTCGAATCCACCCCTCCAATCCCGAATCGCTGCACTGTCGCATTTCCAATCACAGCAACAGGGCGTCACCTCGGAGAGGGCGCCCCCTCAGCATGGACTATTACCGAAGAGTACACCAGAACTCCTATCCCCCCCGTCCGTCTCCTCTCAGCAACTCCCAGCAGCCCAGCGATGACCGATCACACTCCTACTCGGCGTCCACCAGAGCCCTCGATCCTCGCCGGGTCCCCGACAATGAAAAGACCCGCTCAACCGGTCGGTATGAATATCCACAGACTCCCAGCTCCCATCTTTACTCGCCGGGCACTTCGCGGCCTGGGTCGCATGCTCTACGGGCCGAGAATGCCGCGGCGCAGATTTCTCCGCCGCGGAATCACCACGCGCACCGCCGCCATGCCAGCCTAGAGCGACATGCCAGCCTCGACAGTCGACATCATCCGTATGCGCATCGGCGTAACAACTCCCAGCCTCTACATCGAGAAGGTAAGAAAATGCACTGTTGAATTCATTTTGTGCTCTTCGTGTTTGGTTTCCTGTCATGTGTTTTGTGCGGTCCCCCCGGATTCAGGGCGAGTTGGGGTCGGACTTGTCCCGTGGTTCTTATTCCGTCTCTCCACTTGCCGGCTATACAGTGTCCGGGGTGGCATGCCTCACATCCTACATCCAGGATGGCGGGCAAAGGAGGCAGAACCCTCCCCAACTCTGTTGTGAGCTGGAGACCCCTCCTTCCCTCTCCCCCAACCTGCCCAGCCTCTTCGGCGCTTTGCTCCCCTGATGCCTTTTTCCCCGGTGGCGCAGATCCATCGGGAGCACTAGTCCAAATATGGCCTAGCACATGCAAATTACACTAGGCTGTTCTGGGTCTAGCGGTCGAGCTTCCGGAGTCACGGGTTTCCCTTGGGTCCTGGGTCCTGAATTCATCATCCGCATTTCCCCTTGGGCGTCAACGCGAATACTCCTGGGATCGCGCGAGATGAACCACCCGCCCTCTGATCCTGCGCGACGTGCATCCCAGGGTAGCAGTGGGAGCCCGGTGCATTCTGGTGAGTGATTTGGACGCGCACCCATGCACGCCCGCTGCAAAGCGCTGCATGGGCCAAGCCGCCTCATCACCTTCTGACAACATTGCACATCTGTCCTTGATTTTTTTTCTTTCACTGGTGACCTGGTGGTCCCTGCCCATAATACATCTACTGACACTTGCTGGCACGATATAGGACACCAAGAACACTCTGCGCCACCCGCGTTTGGCAATCGCCAAATGCCTCCTCCCTCCCCCCCACACTCCTACGGCTCCCGATCGCAATCAGCGAACGCGCCTGCATCATCCCTGCTTTCCCGTGATGCTGCTGGGCCCCCCCCATCGCCCAGAAAGTAGCATGTCGATCTCAGCCATGCTAGGATCAGATTCAGAACGCCCTGCACGAGATTCAGGATCACTGTTTCCCCGCCCGGCATCGTCCCTGTTCGGCCATGCGACAACGTCAGTCTCAGCTGCCATGTCTCCCCCTACCGCCCCGTCACGACCCGACCAGTCCTTCTTCCGTCGGTCACATACCCCCGAGAAGGCCTTCTCAAAGCCGGCGCCAGGTCGGCCATACCGATCAGGGTCAGGTGGTGGATCCAGCCTGCTCGGCACAGAACAGTCTAAGTTCGGAAGCCTATCGCGTGCGTCACTCTCGCAGTACCCCGAAAAGGCCCGTTCGACACATCCTTCACCTCAAATATCACCCGCTGAGTCACCATACACGGAGCCCCGGCGCATGAGCTTCAGTGGGCCGATCCCTCGACCAAGTAGCCAACCTCCGAATGCCGAGCCATCCACGCGCCCTCCTGGCTACAGTCCGATCTCACGTCCAACCGGAGGTGCAGGAGACCGATTCGAGCCAGCCCAGCGGGCCAGCTCTGCGTCATATACTGGTCTTGATCCCCATGGTCGGGACCCGCATGGTCGGTTTGGCAGTCTTTTTGGTGATCGCCGCCCTGAAGAGAGCGCGACTTCTCGCGACCGTGATCGGTTCAACCATGGGAACGACCCCAAGAGCTCGCTGGCAGGGTCGGCGCGCTTTGGATCACTTTATGGCGAGCGGGACTTGCTCGATCGTCACTCTACTCCGTCGACTTGGGAACAGGGTCGCTCTCATCCATCTTCCCCCGAAAACAAACGCTTCCCTCCGCCAGAAACTGGGTCTGCGTTTGGATTTGGAGCTATTCAGAGTTATACCAAATCTCTGGGCTCCCAGCCAGGTGGTGCTCGGCAGGCCACGCTGTCGTTGCAAACGGGACACGGACAACAGCCAACGCCCTCTCCGCGCGAGTCACCTTATCTTAGCAAGCCACAAACACAACCTTCTCGACTGGGATCGACCCCTGTTAGTGCTCCGCCCACCGGATCAGGATCGCTTGGGCTTCTTTCCTCTGCCGAGGAGGGGCGACGAAAAGGCAGTGATGAGCTTCTTCAGCACCGAAATCTCCTCGGAGTTGGCGTCGACGGTAAACGCGGTGGTCGAGCATCTCCCCTCCCCCAAGCTGTCCAGGGCGCGCAGGCTCCATTCATCGGATCATCTGGAGAACCCAGCATAAAGAATGAGCTGGGGCGCGTGTTCTCCGGCATTGGCAGTGGCGTCGGAGGCGTGACTGGCGGTTCGTCTGGCAGCGGACCATCCACCCCACTGATCTCAAGCCCATTCAAACGCGATAGTGTAACCGGCCGGTCGGTAAATGGAGATGCTGATGATAAGGTTGCTCGCCCGGCTTCTGCTACGGGCACCAGGCGATCGAGGAAGTCGCGCGATGAAGACGTCCAGATAGACCTTGAAGGCGGCCGTGGCAACCGACGAGTTCGACACATGCATCACCACCATCATCAGTATGTGCTCTCCACTTTTGCCCTTTCATCAATCAATTCACTTTTTCCTTTCCTCTGTCGTGCGCTTTACTAACTCGTGAACTCTTTCTTGTAGTCATCATCATCACCGCCACAAGGCGGATGAGGACGCTGCCACACTCAGTGGACTGCACCGGTCAACATCCACCAACTTCATCAATCGCACCTCTACCCCCACCGAGCCGCCAACCGGACATCATCACCATCACCATCATCACCACCATCATGTTTCTCGACCTGCCACCTCCATTGCCCCCGCCTCCCCCGTCCGGGAACCTCGTACCGTCGTCAATCTTGAGCCACTGCTATCAAGCGTAGCGCACCTGCCGCGGCATCATCTTGGCTCCACCCTCTATACCCCTCGCGTTGGGGTTCCCAGCGCCAAGGCGTCTGCGGAGAGTTCCAAATTTGGCTACACAACGACCCCTCAGCCTCTGCCACGATTTGAGCAACGCGAAAACTGCACCTTCACCGTACGGGTGCCTCGCTTCCGCATCGACGCAGTGCGGCGGGAGGAAATCTGTGCGCGGCGAGCCCTGTGGGGAACTGGCGTTTACACGGACGACTCAGATCCCGTTGCTGCTGCCATCCACTCGGGCTTCATCCGAGGCGCCTGGAGCGAAGATGTGGATGAATCCATGCTCGATCTGGAAATCAAAGACACCTACCAGCACGCCCCGCAACCATCCCCCGCGGATCCCAGTGCGGAAGCCTCTTCCAAAGATGACGAGAAGCCCCGCAGTCCCCGGATACCCCCCGTCCCCCCGGTGGATCGAGACTTACATATCACTCTCCTGGTTCTTCCCCGCCTAGAGGAGTACGAGTCTACGGTGATGTTCGGCATCAAGTCCCGCCCGTGGGATGGTCGCCACGATGGCATGAGCTTCAAGGTGCACCGGATTGACTGGGTCGACGACGGGGTTGGACGCGGCGAGGAGCGAAGCGGCGAGGCCCGACGGAAGCGTCTGCGCACGTTAATGCAGACTGGCCGTATCTGCACGGGCCCAGCCATGGCACGAATGGACGAGCTTCGCCGAAATGGCGTCCAGGTTCCCCGGGCCGCCATCGATGGCCAGGAGCAACGCACTCCTGTCCAGCCCGTGTCCTGATGGAATGGTCTCTGCGAGGGGCTATCTTGATCTCCTCGTTTCTAACGTAATATCTTTCTTGTTGCTTTGGAGTCCCCCGTGGCGTTCTTATTTCCTGTCATTTCTGCCTTGCCCTTTCTTCCATTTCCAATCTAGGTCGTTTTGGGGCTATTGATACCTGCGAATAGCGAATCTTCTTTCTTTGCACCATGATCCCTCTTGAGATGTGAAACTTAATATGCTTGGCTTGGCCTTTTGTTTATTATTCATATTCATATTCATATTATTATTATTACCACCGTCATTATTGTTGTTTTTTTGTTTTGGCGAGCGCCTGGTTCCGGGTCACCGGAGAACCGGATGAAGGGATGCCTCGTTGCTTGGGTTGAACACGTCTGCCCCTCTTTTGTTCTGACCAACTAGCATGCTTTAATCTTCAATCTCCTCTTCTCCGGTATTCGTAGCAGTCCTCGATTTGCCCGCGGAGAGTGAACCGGGCCAATCGTTCTCAGACGGTTTCCATAGTTGCGGCTAACCCCGGCGCGCTAAACGCTCTCGAAGCTCTCCCCGCACTGCGTAGTGCCTCCATCCGCCGTGCTCCCGGTGGGATCGCCCCGGCCGCGTGTCGGAACCCCGGACGGGAATTTGGGCTTCTTCGGATGCTTCGTGTTTTCCCTCCTCTATCTTGTGCAAATCTCTAGCTCGGCATCTCTTCGGCGAGCCGATCCTGCCTGCTCCTCTGCGGTCATGGGTCATCTCCACCTGTTCCACTTATTCCACTTGAGACCCCAGACTCCCCAAACCAGCCGAGGCCCAGCGGGTGGTACGGGATACGGTTCTCGTAATTGTATTCCCGTCTGTTCGCGTTTTCCACGGGAAGCCTCCCCGCTCTCATCTGCCTTCGGTCGGGGCCGAGCCCGCATTGCGTGACAATACCTGACCGAACCTGACCTGGCCGTACGCACCGCTTCGGTCCTCCTACACAGCCGAGGCATTTCAGCCGGACCACCGTCCTTATTTGGTCTTTCTCCTGGCAACCAACTTCCTGGCCTCATCTCGCCCTTCTCTTTCTTCCCTCTTTATACCCTCCGTTCTTCTCCTTTCCTATATTGCTGGAAGGGATGTTCGCTGCCTCTGCGCGAAGCCGTCTCTCCACCCTGTCAAGGCCCCGGCTCCCTCCGACACAACTACTCGCCCGCTCGGTAAGACGGCCACCTCCGGTCCTCGCTGTATCCTCCGCCGTAGCTGGCGGAAACGATCATGCGATGCCATTGCTTTGCAATTTGCCCCGGAATCATTGAACTGACAGCTCTCCAGACTCTCGCCATGGCTCGAAAGGCATCGTCCGTCCCTGAGGGTGAGTTATCACATGCCCCTCGCCCGGAGGTCGAAGGAAGCGAGGAAGGTCGCCAGCGTGTCACGGGCATCGCCTGCACTTCCGAAGGATTTCTCGACACGACCGAGCTGTGCGCATATCTGTGAAATGCCGGATTTAACTAACAACCCGTTCAGGATACAAGGAGGATCTCTCCAAGGGCAAGATGCTCCGATTTGAAGACTCCCTGCCCCGCCTTCCCGTCCCATCCCTGGAGGAGACCGGTAAGCGGTACCTCAAGTCCGTCCATCCGCTGGTCTCCGAAGCCGAGTTCGAGCGCACTAAGAAGGCCGTCGAGGCATTCGTTCGCCCCGGCGGTGAAGGTGAGCCCCTGCAGAAGCGCCTGCTGGAGCGTGCCGCCGATCCCAAGATCAAGAACTGGTTGGCCGAGTGGTGGAACCAGGCTGCCTACCTGGGCTACCGTGACCCCGTCATTCCCTATGTCTCCTACTTCTATTCCTACCGTGACGACCGTGAGCGCCGTAACCCAGCCAAGCGTGCCGCCGCGATCACCTCCGCTGCGCTTGAGTTCAAGCACCAGGTCGACGATGGCTCCCTGGAGCCCGAGTACATGCGCGGCCAGCCCATGGCAATGAGCTCATACGAGTACATGTTCAACTGCTGCCGTATCCCCGCCGACGGCGAAGACTTCCCCCGCAAATTCGCCGCCTCCGAGAACCAGCACATCGTGGTGGTCCGCAAGAACCAGTTCTTCAAGGTCCCCCTCGTTGTCGACGGCCAGCCCCTCAACGTCTCGGAGCTGGAAAAGCAGTTCGAGCGCATTTATGAGATTGCCCAGCCCGCCCCGCCAGTCGGTACTCTGACTGTAGCAGACCGAGACCACTGGACTGCTGCCCGCAAGCAGCTTGTCGCGTCCGACCCAGCCAACGAGCAGGCTTTGAAGGACATTGAGTCCAGCGGCTTCGTCGTCTGTCTAGATGATGCCAAGCCCGTTACCCTGGAGGAGCGTGCTCACCAGTACTGGCACGGCGACGGCAGCAACCGCTGGTTCGACAAGCCTCTGCAGTTCATCATTAACGATAATGGCACCGCTGGCTTTATGGGCGAGCACTCCATGATGGATGGTACCCCCACCCACCGTCTCAACGACTTCATCAACGCCCTGATCTTCGGCAAGAAGATTGACCTGTCGGCTAAAGCCGTCCGCTCACAGCTTGCTGACCCCAAGCCCATCAACTTCAAGCTCAACGAGGAGGCCAACGCCGCCATCGATGTTGCGGTCCAGTATCACCGCAAGCAGATCGGCTCTCACGAGCTTGTCGTCCAGGCCTATCAGGGCTACGGCAAGGGCCTGATCAAGAAGTTCAAGTGCAGCCCCGATGCCTATGTCCAGATGGTCATCCAGCTGGCCTACTACAAGATGTATGGCAAGAACCGCCCCACTTACGAGTCTGCCTCCACTCGTAAGTTCCAGGAGGGCCGTACCGAGACCACTCGTACCGTCTCCGACGAGAGCACTGCCTTCACACGCGCTTTCTGCGACCCCAGCGTTCCCCGCGAGGAGGTTGTCAAGCTCTTCCGCGCCGCGTTGGCCCAGCACACCAAGTACACTCTCGAAGCCAGCGATGGCCACGGTGTCGACCGCCACCTCTTCGGCTTGAAGAAGCTCCTCCAACCCGGCGAGAAGCTGCCCGCCATCTATGAAGACCCCGCCTTCTCATACTCTGGCTCCTGGTACATTTCCTCCTCTCAGCTGAGCTCGGAGTTCTTCAACGGCTACGGATGGAGCCAGGTCATTGACGACGGCTTCGGCATTGCCTACATGATCAACGAGAACAGGTAAATCACTCTGCTCACATACACTCCTACCGTTTCCCCGGCGATTTTAGTTCCTATATGCTAACGACTCGGCTCCAGTCTCAACTTCAACATCGTCTGCAAGCGCCTCGGTGCTCACCGCATGAGCTACTACCTCAACGAGGCTGCCTCCGAGCTGCGCGACGTCCTCCTCCCCGACCTGGCTGCGCAGGCCGAGAAGGCCAAGCTGTAGAGAGCCTTGTTTACGCGCATCTAGGTTTCTGCTCTTTTCGCCCTTTCTTATTCCCCCCCCCCCCCCCCCCCTCTTCTGACGATTTTACTGGCTTGGAACATTTCAGTTTCCTGGTTTCTTTTCTTGGGTTTCAGCGCCTGCCATAGATGAGACTATATCTCTTTTTTTGTCGTTGTGGCATACATATCTGTACAGTTGTGTGTATACAACATGAAATGCATTTCTTTATTTCCCATTCAATCTTCATCACTCGGGTAGCGGACCAGGATTTTTCGTTCGGGATGACATGACTATATTGCTTCCATTCGTTCCCCCTTTCATATTCCATGATGTAATTTCCATTTTCGTATCCTGGTAGATGCTGCAATATAACAAAGGGGGGTTCATTTCATGGCTCCCTTTCCACATCATTTGCTTCCATATCTACACATATATTGCGATGCTTTCTAGCAGGTTTTTATAACATGTGAAAGGCTATCAAGAACATGTTCAGGAACACGGCAGCTCCCCTGACGATGGTTTGCCGACGAACATACTCGCGACAAGTCATCAATCTCCGCGAGCTGGATTGTCCGTGGACCCCTACCCTCGGACCCATGGGATTCGGCTCAACGTAGCGCAATAGTCCCTGGTCCTTGTTTTCGCGAACCCCGGCACTCGGAGTGACTCCCCGTGTCTGGTGACCCAGTAATCGCTTGATATGAAAGAATTGCTGGATCTCGATGCTTAATTCCAAGGCTTCCGTAGTGGCTCGCTATTTTTCAGGCACTAGCGAGTACTTGGTATCTTATTTTCTTATTTTTGTTTTCATTGATGATCATATTGGCACTATACGGATTTGTTGCGGAGAGCAAGGGAATCTGATAACGAGACGATATCTAGTCTGATGCAATAAAGGAGACATCGGCTGGTAAAGACAGAAACAGAGCGAGGAGAATTAGATCATCAGTCAGAATTCAGATTCGGTATCCTCTCTCCCTATTCGAGGGCGATCAGTACATTCCATGCGTACGCACATGCCTTGCTTCGACAGGTATAGGCGGGTCGAGTGGCGCACAGTACCGCAGAGCCTCGCATATGACGAGTCCTCGGCGTGCGAGACCAGCCGACATTGGCGATGAGGGGTAGAGCAAGCACAAACATGAGCACGGCAAATGTGGAAAGCTATCCTATGCACGGCCATCTGGCCACAGGAGACCAGTGTCGGATATCGAGTCTGTCCACCTACGGCGATTTTTCTATCGGTCAGGATCACATAAAAATAAACAGCCGACGGCATTTGCACACAGTTCTCCGGGCGCCTTGAACATGCAGAGATCCCTCAATCGAGGGCAACTTTCTACTTGGTGCTTATCTGACGACCATTCCCCGTCTTCGAACCTTCCAGAGTTCCGGTGTTATGGGAGCAAGCTGCGGGGTTAATCGAGTGAGACAATTCCTAGGAAGCCGAGAAGAAAAAATCATTCGAAGAATCAACCACGGCCGGTGTTGTGTAACAGCTACTGGTCATAAGGTTTGTCCCAGGTCGAGAGGTCTACTGTTCAATCCTTCCCGTCTGCCGATCTCACGGTATGCGGGTCGACCGTTTCGGCCCCCTCTTGCCCCGGCGCTGAGCCGCCCGATCCGGCCGCAGTAGTGCTGGACGGTCTTGTGGAAGTAGTCAAGTCGCCGATCTGTCGTTCTGAAAGGGGTAGAATTAGTATGGGTTGTATAAGAAATTGGGGTATCCCCACTTGAACCCTCCGCAAGAAGGATTTCAACAGAGACCCTGGAAAGGCCACTTACCTAACTCGCGAATCCGGTGCCGAAGCATTTGATTTTCTCGGCTCAGCATGGCAGCTTCGGCTTGGTAGTATGCACTTTCATCTCGGCTACCCCTTCGGGATGTACTCTCTCGCCATCCCGGGAAGGCCTCCGTCTCGGATGATCGCGAGGCATCTTGTGGCCGTAAGTTCGGAGAGGTTGTTTGGCTGGATGGGCGAGATGATCGACGGTTCGAGAGAGACGAGGAAATTGACAGTCGGCTACCAGTGCCTACAGCAGGCGGCGGGATAGGCGGGAAAAACGAAGTTGACCGTTCGGACGAAGGGGTGGTATCATCGATGACTGCCGTGCCCGACGCCTGTTGGTTCTGTTGGTTCTGTTGAAGTTGTTGCAACTGAGCTTGTTGACTGCGAATCATCTGCAGCAGGCGGTTCTAGCGTGCAGAGAGGCTGATTAGCTTCCAGTCCTCGGGTCGGCTCCTCCCGCATTCAAGATACACTAGGGATGGCTCCCATGACAATTAGAAGAGATAAGACCCACCACTTGCGCTTCCTGCTCCTGCTCCAATTCCTGGTGCAGCTCTCCAAGTGACGGCGCCCGCTGGTGGTGCGGGTCGGCGGTTGCGAAGACGGGGCTGCCGCCGTGACTGGTGGGACTGGCCGTGCGGAATGCATGGCCCATCGAGCTACGATGCTCGGCCCAAGGCGCGTCACTGTTATTTCCCGAGCCTTGTCCAACTGCTTCGCCGAGGTTCAAATGCATGCCTGCGGCGGAGCGCCGTCGTTCAGAGACCGATAATCGGCCCATACTGGACCCGCGCGAAGGTCGAGGCGAGGTCGTGCTCGGGTTCACGGATGCGGGGATGGTGCCAGGAGACGCTGAGGGCGGGTTACGATGCGGTAGAGAGGAGGAGGAGGACGACGAGCGGGATGGTGGTAGAGAGTTCAGGTCGGGAGACATGGTGTAGAGAGTAACTGAAGGCAGTGATGGTCATGACCCTAAGAATGACAATTGAAGCTTGAGGAAAGCTTGTGGATGGTCTTTGGGCAGCGGGCGTGACGGGGCGCTGACTCAGCCCTATCGCGGGGAAGTTGATCACGTGTTGCGCTGTGAACAATTCCTGATGCCTCAGGCCACTAGGCCGAGATCTGAAGCTGGCGACAAGTTGAACCGGCCGACGAGCCGTGACTAAGGCCGATCCACCGAATCCACTGCATCAAATCCACTTTTCTACGAGGGAATCTGGAGACCGGGACCGTGCGAGACAATGCCAGTGGGGATCCTGTACTCCGCAGAACGGCGGTACAACCTGCGATCAGGAAGTATATGGAACACCATCAAGCACCGGGCGAGACCGAGTGCTTTTTTGATCTGCATTATTTCACTATGGAAGATCTCGACGTCTTGATATACAGCCCCATCATGCCCTTTCTTCACTACCCTGAACAAACCCAATCATAAGAGGCGAGCCCGACCTGGCAGGTCAGAATGTCCTCTTCATCCATTGGCTTCACAGCCGTGATTCAGAATCATACCAAAGCGCCCGGGGTACGAAGATGCCCTATACTCTCCGCCTCCAAGCCCGCCGAAGCTACCGGTGCAACCGTCAGGAATCCCCTATTTGCAACTTTACAGGCCTCAGGAATAAGCCCGCCTAGACTGGACCGCTTTGATGCAGCCCCGACGCCGTCCCAGGGATTAAATTCCAGCCCCGGCGACCGAGCCGGTCTGGCCGCTGGGCGTGCAGGGCACGTACCAAGCAGAAACAGTCGGCGTCGCCGGATGAGACGGGTGGCGTAAACCCTACGGATTTAGTCTGGTCACCAGACGCGATAGCCCCCTCTCCTCTCGTCTATTTCTTGGGCTCGCGGACGAGTTTCTACAAAACACAACACATATCCCAGTGCCTTTGTCGCTCTCACCGATCTACGCAAGGCCTCTCGCGTGGCGTCGTGGATCCGATCCTGTCGATCTTCCAGATCAGATGCAATGGCCATGTGCGGGAGAATGTAAGGTCGCATCCCGTAAACCCCTAGATTGAATCCAGGGAGAAGACTGGAAGGAAACGACAGGCCAGGGAGTGCTGTACAGGTACGTACAGCGTCGATGCGCCGGAAGAGAGACCCTGGCCTTACGCCAATGGTCGTTTCCGGACAACGTAGATGCGGTCCACCCTTGGCGATGTGACTTGGGAGAACCAAACTCTGGTCCCCAGCCTTTGGCTCCACGGGGTCAAAAAGAGGGGGGAAAGAGGAAAGGGCGGATCCAAAACACCTTTAGACAGAACAATTTGGGACCCCGGGAAAGGACAGAAAACCGGACTGCAAGGGAGTGCGATCGGCCCTTCGTGGTTGACATCGGCGCTTTGACGGCCTTCGATACAGTCTTCTGGAAAGTCGCGGGCGCCGTGGAGGCCGAAGGAGAAGAAATAAAAACAAATTGAATTGAAAAAAAAAAAATTGAAAATTTTTTTTTATTATAAATGAGTCCCACCGGAGATGTTATTGTGGAATCCTCATAGTAATCAAAACTGGTCGGGGCCTGGCGCGACTGGAACAAAATCCATCTACGTACGATCTGAGTAAGTGTATCCCGGGGCGTCTGAACAAGACTTCTGGGTCCCTGTTGGATGACGATCGCCGCGACGCCACGCCCGTAATCGGCGGCGCCTTGGCCGGTCGAGCCCGGCCTAGTGAGTGTTTTTGGTACCTGCTCCTGGATTGGAGCGCCAATCGTGTCCATCAACCAGGATGAACCATGGCCAGCCCTGGGCAGTGATAGGTACACCTGCCCGACCGCCTTGACGTCACCCAGGGTGACTGGTGCAGTATCCTTGGCCCGGTCGATCGCAAATCCTGTCCAGCTCTGCCAACTGCCCTGGCGGACGCAAGTATCTACCCATCAAGCCACTGAGGTTCAGCTCTATCGGCTTGCTTCAACCAAAATGGTCGTGGATCGGCCGGCTGCGTCATTTTGAGAGGCTCGGATGGAGAACCATGCGATCCCGACACACCTGGTCATTAAATCCCGACTCCTTGCATCGTGGGGCGCCACACGGCCGAACCCCCCATCTTCAATTGGCACTTGAAGGATGAATATTGATATTCGGATAGCCTCCTCGATCGGTTGGATATGTATGGGTGTAGATTTCAGGTTGCATGCATCTCAAAGGGGGAGAAAAAAATGAAAAATAAAAAAGAGAGTGGAAGAACGGTTGTCGATGGCTTTCTGAGCCGCCCGATGCGGACATTCCTTGGCCGATTCTGCCCCCCAAAACGGTCCCGGTCGGGCGTTGTCCGGGACGCTTTTCAAGAAACTGGGCCAAGACGATGCCATCGGCCTTTGGGGGTCATCGGCGCTCTGACAAGTGGAGCCGATATGCCCAATTGCGGACGGTACTGGCCCGTGGGGTTCCTCTTTCCGGGGCGTAAGTCGAGCGTCTTGCAGCCGTATCAAGCCCCGGGAAGGCAAAGAACGGAGGCGCAGGATACAGATGATGAGCACGGTATTTTCCTTCAATCGCTGCAGGATCTTCTGATCTTCTGCAGTCCAGCATGCCCCGGTACCCTTGAACGCCTTCGAGGTGCGTTCTGCATGAAGAGTCTGGGGCGCGCATCCCCGAAAGAATGAAGTGTGGGTATGGGCCATTCTACCCACGGGGAAACGATCAGTCGGCATCCCGCGTCACTCGGTGAGCCCAAAGGATACCTAGCGGCGAAGTCAGTCTGGAGAAAAATTGGAGAAGCGGGACCTCCCCAATGTCCATGGATGTGGAAAGTGAAAAGAGCGGGCGAGAGGTTGGAGAAGGGGAGAAGGAAACAGGAACCAAGGAATGCCCCCCGATGCGGCCAGCTGCGTCGTATTTTTCAGAGGTTCATGGTCTCATGGGGTTTTTGGCGAAATCAGAATGGGCTTGCTCCAGACCGTTCTGGTAATTTTGGCAGGAGTCTGCGTTCCGAGTCGCATCGAGTCTGTAATTTTGGTCGTATTGGATCTAGTGGCAGATTTCATCTTTCCTATTTAATAGTTGGACTATTTCCTCTCCTGCTTTTCCTGGATTTGGTCGTTTCTTTGCTGCGTCCTGAGTCCCGCTTGCTGCTTCTACTCCGACCTGCCCTACGTCCTCTTCCTCCTTCCTCTTTCTCTTTCTTCATACTCCTCCTCGCTTTCCCTTTCTCCTTTCCCCAGATTCGCTTCAGTCTGCACGATCCGTGAATCCCTCGCCCTAGTCTCCAACCTATCTTCATGTAAGGTCCCTCCTGCGGCGCATCGCATAGTATGCGCCGGTCGAAATCAAGCGCTCTCCCCCAATCTAATTCATCTTGTCGCTAGAAGCCTGACACCATGGCGACCACCCTGGAGAAGCTGGGTGGCGGCCGCGATGTCGTACATACATCCGAGGCGTCCAGCACTACCCAGCAGGAACCCACCATGGTGGACATCTCCATGAGTGAGAAGCTGGATCAGAAGGATGCACAGCTGGAAAACGCGGACCCATCGGCGCGGATCGAACTCACCGAGGACATGTGCTACGACAAGCTCGGTTACTCTTTCAGCGAGACGCGCAAGTGGATGATCATCGCTGTCATCTTTTTGGTGCAAACTTCCATGAACTTTAACACCTCTCTGTACTCCAATGGACTGGACGGCATCTCCGAAGAATTTGGGGTCTCGAAGCAGGCGGCCCGGTGCGGTGCTATGATCTTCCTCGTTCTGTATGCCTTTGGTTGTGAGCTGTGGGCGCCCTGGAGTGAGGAGCTGGGTCGCAAGCCCATTCTCCAGCTTTCGCTGCTCCTCGTCAATATCTTCCAACTTCCGGTCGCTCTAGCACCCAACTTTGCATCCCTCATGGTTGGCCGTGCCCTAGGCGGTCTCTCCTCGGCCGGTGGTTCGGTCACTTTGGGTATGATTGCGGACCTATGGGAGGCCGATACCCAACAGTATGCCGTCGCCGCAGTCGTCTTCTCGTCCGTTGGTGGTTCTGTCTTGGGTCCCGTGGTGGGCGGGTTCGTCGAAGCCTTCCTCCCTTGGCGCTGGAGCATCTGGATCCAGCTGATCTTTGGTGGCTTCGTCCAGATCATGCACCTGTTGATCGTTCCGGAGACACGAACCACCGTTATGATGGACCGCATTGCGAAAAAGATGCGCGAGAGTGGCGAGAACCCCAACATCTATGGCCCTACCGAGGGCATGTCCTTCCGAGAGCGATTCCCACCTCGTGAGCTCCTCGTCACATGGATTCGTCCATTCCGCATGTTCTTGACAGAGCCGATTGTCTTGACTCTGTCTCTGTTGAGTGGTTTCAGTGACGCTCTGATCTTTATGTTTGTTCAGTCTCTGTCTCTGGTGTACGGTCAGTGGGGATTCAACACCTGGGAGAAGGGCCTGGCATTCATTCCCATCCTGGTGGGTTACTTCATTGCATGGATCTCTTGGTTCCCGATTATTCGCCGTAACGTGAAAGAGCGTCGCGAGAATCCCGACAGCGAACGTGCGCAGTACGAGTCTCGCCTATGGTGGCTTCTATACACAGCTCCCTGCTTGCCAATCGGATTGATCGGTTTTGCTTGGACCAGCTTACCGCAGTGCCACTGGATCGGCTCCATGGTTTTTGCCGCTATCATCGGCATCGCCAATTATGCCATCTATATGGCTACAATTGACTACATGATCTGTGCCTATGGCCCCTACTCAGCATCTGCTACCGGTGGCAATGGATGGTCTCGAGACTTCCTTGCCGGTATATTGACCATTCCAGCTACGCCATTCTTCGAGAGTGAGTTTTTCTAGAATGTGGAATCGAAACTACCTACGAATCCTTCAAACTAACCACAATAATCTGTGCCTAGATATTGGCGGGAAATATCACCTCGAATACGCTTCAACTATCCTCTGTAAGTTCTCCATTTTGCAGGTTGTGACCCCAGTTACATCAACTAACCACTCTTTAGTCTGTATTTCGGTGCCGCTGGTTGTTGCCGTTTACATAATCTACTGGAAGGGTCCTGTGCTTCGCAAGCGGTCTCCCTTCGCCCAGCAGCTTGAAGAAGCCCGCCACGACATGGCTATTCAGGGACGACGACTTTCCAAAGTCCCGGAGGCGTCGCGTGCCAACTCGTATGCACGATCCCAACAGGACCTCCGCATTCGGCAGACGATGGGAAGCCGCCCGGGATCGCGCGTCAACTCCCGCGCCAATTCCCGAGTTAATTCGCGTCGCAACAGTCTTGCTGCTTAAACCTTTGTGATTTGGAGCTATTAACCGAAGAGAGAAAAAAAAAAAAAAAAAAAAAAAAAAAAAACAAGAAGTCCTCAAAAAGGCTAGCCCAGCACCCGTACATGGAATTTGCAATCGGAATAATGATGAGATGGTGACAAGAAGGATTGGGGTTTGCTGTCCTGTGAATTTATTGGCATTTTCGCATTTTCTTTTCTCTGTGCATGTCTTCGACCACATGAATCCTTTGCGCTGGGCGTGGTGGATTCTACTTATTTCCCTTCTGATCAGCGTGGATATCAGTATCCCCTCTAGCTGGCGTGGATGACCTTTGCTTCCTTTTCTCTTGTTCGGAAAAGGAAGCGAAATTCAACCTACGCGCAGTTGATACGAACCTGCTTTTCTAATGGCTTGGTATTCTGTTGCTTTTGACTTTCATGCTCCACCCTGAAATAACGAGCTTGGGGATATCAACATGTACGTTTAGGACCCTTTGCAAACGGGGTTTTGGTCGATGCTGGTATCGAATTCTATCATATGGATTAGCTGGATATTCTTTTCCAAAAATGGGCCATTCGCTGTCCATCTGTTTTACTCTTTTACTCTTGTCTCACTTCAAAACTATAAATTGTGCACCCGCACATGAGCGCAGCCGCCTCTGCCCATTACCAAAAACCAAGACCAGCCACTGACATACTCCCCATCCCTCCGGTTCCCTCCAGCAAGGTTCCTGCAAGTCTGCATTCCTGGCCGATTGATCTTGTGCATGGGGCAGAATACCAGGTATCCCCACGACCCACGAGACCGGATCGTCGATCCCTGCGGAGTAGTCGTGCGGCTCGCCCAGATACTGGGGCTTCTGCAGCTGGGCCCGACAGCCGAGAGCTCCGTTTCCAGAAGCGGTGTGTCTCTCTTGTTGTGGTCGTGTGGCGCTGATGTCCATTGGCTGGGATGGCAGTGTAGCATCGCCTACACTGAGTAGCCGCCGTCTGGCCGCTTCCGGGGAGAAACCGGGGAGGGAGAGAGGATAATTGACCTTTCGATGGGTAGGTAGCATAACGCTGGTAAGCACAACTTTCTTAGAGGCGTTTTGGAGTGCCAAGGAAGCGTGTGAAATGAAATCTAAGGTCGCATCTGGTTTTATTCTTGTGGTCTTGTACCATTGTCTGTTGCCTGAAGGAGCGAGTAGAATGCGTAAAGGAGAATTCACGGCGAAGGCAGTTGAATCGCTCGTGAATTTTCAGGATATCACTTCATCTGTCGAAATATCAGTCAGCGTCTGAAATTGCATTTTCGGTCACTGCATGACAAGAGAGCTCACAAGTCAAAGCTTCGTTTTGTCAATTATTGTAAACTGAAACAACCAGGTAGCATGCAGATATTTCAAAATAATCTTTCAATTTCAGCAAGTATCTAGTATCGCATGTGCGATTGATACTACACGGTCTTTTGCACATATTATGAGAAAAAGAAAGTAAACAAGCAAACCCAGATCTCGACGTTTCACATTCTGAAAATTGAGCAGAAAATAGGGTATAAATAAAATACAAGTCTCAAGAAAAGTATATAATCAATATGGTAACAAGAATAATTGCCAGGACGGGTATCGCCATTCTAGAAGAATGAATATGAAAATATATATATATATATATAGCCAAGAAATGAAAGGGCTCAGATGGACATCCTATGATCCATGCCGGAAGACGTCTGCGTGAGGTATATGATACCAATTGGACAACTGGATAGTGATGGCGACAAGGAGCATGCAAAGGCGTGATAACGCGACAGATACACAGTTGGAAAGCAGGAATGGGGTTGTATCTCGAGAATTTCTTTCGTCAGGTTAAAGTATGAGAGGTCGCCAAGATGAAATTTTTGAATACAAGACGTGATTGGGTATATGTGACAAGAGGATTAGGACATTGAAAAGGTCGAAGGTGTCAAGGGAGATATCATCATATCCATTTGTATGCATGATTTCGTTCATTGGATCATCCTGGATTGGCGCGCAGCGAGTTTTGATAGTTTGCCACTGCTTGGCGCAGGTATCTCCGAATGAAGACCACTTCGCCGTCGATCTTGGACGTGATCGCGAATCGACTGCGATTTATAGAATCGGTCCCCTGGAGAGTTTTCAGACACAGACAATGATGGAGAATCTTGCACGGCAATCGGAGAAGGGATTTTGGGAAGTGGGCAGTTGGGTGGAGGTGCGACTGGAGGGCCAATCGTCAACCCCGGCATGCTCTTGCGGCGAGCCATGTGCTGGAGCGTTTGGTCCATATGGAACGCCGATACACGATTGCGCAGAACCGGGACCGGTTCGGCACCAGGAACGGTCTGAATCTGCGATTCGCTGTTCATCTGGATACCTAATCCAGGACGACCAACTAAGCTAAGAGGTCGAGACGGCGGGGGACTAGTTTCAGAGAGCGTGGCACGTGGTACGCGAGAAAAGTTGGGAGGACTTTGAGCCGGACGTATGGTCCGGGTCAGAGCATCTTCAGACATCGATGGTCGCAAGATGCGTCGACCGTTACTGTCTCGTAACACCACTTGTTCGGATGAATCAGTATAGCGTGAGCTGGCAACGCTGTAAGTCGGCGATTGCTGAGGGGAAGAAATGCTAGATATGCTGAACGTCCCTGTGCTCTCCCCGCGCCGCAGAACGCCAGCTACAGATGGGGGCGAAGAAGCTTGAGTGGATGGAGGAGGCCCTGGCCTCGACGTGAATTTTTTGCTGAACGAAGGGACGCTAAAATTGGGGGCCGGCGGAGAGGCGCAGCGGATCACCGAGTCGGGGACAGTGGGTGGTGATTGGGCTGGTTGAAAAGCCTCCGCAAGGGGAGGGACAGGGATATCCGACGGTGTAGACATGTACAGGGACTGCCGCTTGATACTGTCATGGCTGGAAGGAGGGGGGCTGCGAGTAGATGTAGAATCCACATCCTTTGCCGGAGACTCATCTTGAAGCGGCCCACTGCCTTGGGGAGGTGATTGAGGATTCAAGGAAGTGAACGAAGATGTGCGGATATCAGAGCCGTTCAGAGGAGGGGTAGCCTCCGTCCATCCAGTAGAGACAGACCCAGAGCGAGAGTCAATGACAGAGCGGCGGTTCATCGACACATAGGAGCTCCTTCGGGATTGCCAAGTCAACCCACCAACCGACTGCCCGTCTTCCTCTTCATCAGGCGATCGGAGACCCTGAGGTTGAAGAAACAGGCTCGAAATGCGGTGGGGATCCTTCTTAACAATATTCCGAACACTTGATTTACTTCTAAGTTGGGGCCCCAGGTCGTCATCGGAGTGCTTTTCCGCAGTAAATTTGGGACCGCCACGAGCCTCAATTTCCGCCCGGACTGCCATGAGCCAGGAAATCATGGAATCAGGATTGTCGAACACTAAGAGAAAACTGCTTGCCATGCGCCGCGCGTTAGATCGATGAAATCCGAAGCGCGAGAATCGGGCCTTCGGCAATTCGGTAGATGCCGAGCCACTATCCGTCGCCGAGCTTTGGGAAACTTGTAGCACCCAATGTTTCCCGGGAATGGCGTCGCTAGCGAATGCCACGGACTGGGGACCCAATTGCAGCATCTTCTCCGGTAGGCGATCATTCTTGCCCTCGCCGGCATATTGCAGGATAAATCCCGCGGTGGCAAGGACGTATATTTTGTTTATCCATTCGACTTTGTTGATGGTCCCAGAGAGCGTTCGTAGGTGTTTGCGCTCCTTCTGCTCTCTCTTCTTCCTAGCTCCATCAGCCACCTCGTCTTGCACGAGGTCAGCCTTCCCACTTGTCGCGTAAAGACGCAGAATTGACTCTGCAGACATGGCTGGTATCGAGAGACACTCATGTTTAGTCGATTGTGGGTATACTTGGAACAGCGGTGGGGGCTTCCAGCCATATTGTTCTTGAGAAGGCGGCTTGGGCTCGCTGGGTCTGGATCTCGTCGTTTTCAGCGTTGCGCGGGCCCGTGGGGTGGTAGGGGACGTCAAGGTTGGGGTCGAGCCCGTGGTATGCGGGCTGTTCAAGGAGGGCGATAATGGTATTTCTTGGATGGCAGGAGTTTCGGCCGTGGGGAGGTTCTTGGGTGGTTGGGATTCCTCAATTTCGGCCAATTTGCTATCGGGGGCCACGGCGATGCGCGTGGTCTTTTCGCGGGTGAAGAGATTGCGCAGGCTGGATTTGGAGGATTGTCGCTTTACCGGGCTCTGGAGAGGAACCGGCCCCTCCTGGCCATTGGTGGTGGAATAATCTGATGGGCGAGGACGCTGCAATCGCGACGGCTGCGCTTTCACGGTCGCGGCCGTCGGACGGCTGAAATTGGTCTGTAATGGCGCCAGCCGGTGACCTCTGCGTTCGCCGAACGAGGGCGACGGCTGGCCGGGACTCATGGGCATGGAGGAAGACATGGTTCCCTGCGTCCCTTGCTTCCCCTCAGATCGTGTATGATGCCGTCACGCTTCAACAAACCATGGCACCAGCTTCAAGAAAAGGAGAGACGGGGGAGCGATTCAAGAAGGAAAGGATCATCGGATGAACGTGGGCACGTCTGCACGGCCGTTTCGCAACGTCATGCGCGATTCGGAATTCTATTGGGACCAGTCCAATTGGAAAGAAGTTAACAGGCCAGAAAGAAAGCGAAGAGAACGAGTGTCAGCCGGAGAACAGAAAACACGAAATGGATTGGACGTGCCGAATGGTGAGAACTGGTTTTTGGGGTGGGGGAAGAGGAAGGAGAAGCAGGATCGACTGGCGGGTCCAGAAGTTGAACCGACGAAACCCAGTGACTCCCAAGTGACTCGACGTGCATAAAATTGAGGCCGCTAAACCAGGCTGGTTCCTGTTCCCCTGAACAGCCTTTCATTTCCGGCCACTCGGTACTTTTGTCTTGGACTCGTCGACTTGAATCAGACTGGAAGCCTGATTGGCCCCCATCGTGGCTTTCCAGGGCGCATTCATGTCTTGAATATCTTTAATACAGAGAGTAGTCAACCCAGCCCCGATTCCCTACTTTGCAACAGCTATGACTCTCACTAGTTCTCCGTATCCCGCCTTTACCGAAACGTTCTCGGGCTTCGGGTCTGATTCTAAATTAAAGACGTTGGCGCTAGCCCTTCGCTTAGAGGCTAGGGACTATCTGAGTTAGTCCCATGGGACTTCCATCCACACTTTCCCCGAAAGCAGGAAGTATAAGCCAATGCATCGGAACTCCATAGCAAGCCCGAGAACTATGGCCCTGATCTATTGATTTGCAGATGCGCGTACAATCGAAGTTGGCTGTTTGAGCACTCAAGGCGCCTCCTTGCAGCGATATAGATGTTAATGTACAGTTACGATGTACACACCTCCCAATACCTCCTAGGGCTACCACCAGGACAGAGAAATGTCCCTATACGACCTAAACGCTCATCAAGGAGGCAGTTCATTGTCTACACCTGTCTGAGTCCATCACACATAGGTTCTATCCCCCCTATCAATCCAATGACTCCCCAATCATTTTCCCGTGATATACTACGTTGCGGCATTCTCCACGATGGGCCAGCCCAAAGGCCAATACGAGCGATGAAGGCTCTGTGCCACCAGATCCGTATTGATAGAATCAATCGATGAGGATTCGAGTCCCTCCACCGTTCGAGGCAGAACAGTAAATCGCCCCTTCCGATAGGCGATCCTCGCGGGCGGCTGGGGCTTTCAGGGGCACAACCGAGCCCTGGAAATGACAACCGAGTGCCCAAATCAGGAGTCTGTAAGACGAGTTCAATTCCGAGCTAGTCCCTAGCGCCACTAGTTTGCGGGAGTCTTGTTCCCTCTCCATCATGGTTGGAAAAGTAATTATAGCCACACGAGGTACGAATCTACAGTCCTACGAGAGAGTAGCGAGATCCCACTCAAGAGTACCTGGATACGGAGCACACGATGAAAACAAGAATACGGCAAATCATATCGCTCACCGAAGTGGAGCGACACCGTTTCGCTCCACCGGGTTGATCCAAACTTGCCTCTCTCGGTAATCTGTCATGCCACATTGAACGATGCTGGACATAGTTTGCGCATTGCGCGAGAGAAGAACCCCCCTTCCCCCGGAAATACATTAAATAAATATAAAAAGCAAGCCCGATCCTCCAGGAATCGTTTCTAGTCAATCGCGTCCCGATGTCTATGGAGTCGGTCCACATTTCAATCCCTGTCCGGCCTCCACGACACCCATTAAGCCCGCGCCATTGTCGCAATGCCGGGCCAGGGCAATATCTTTGTGGGTGAGGCCGCGCGGGCGATGCGTCGTCCAGTGGACATCCACGGACCCGATCCGCTTTGTTTATATTAGCATGGAGGTCTTCGTATCCGCAACCGATGGGCTTTTTTTTCTTTGGGTGTTTGTTCTCGCAAGATCCATTTCTTCTTGCTTAGAGACAACTTACCACGGTCATAGTGGGGTGGTGCTTCTTCACTGAGCTTTCGGCCGCAATGAAATTCACAAAGGACTGTATAACATCATGTCAGCAGAATGGATCCGCAGCTCCGAGAGACTCCAGCCGGTCTAGGCAATTTTTCACTCACAACGGCCTTGAAGTAGCTTTTGAAATGGAATGTCTTGCCCACACCCATCCCGTCGGCGTCGAGCGCCCATCCTTGTTGCTGTAGTGCCTGCGTATCAGGTCCGAGCTGTGCCGCGTCTTCACCCTCGGCGAAGCGCGGAGTTGGCACGTTGGAAGCCATTCGGATAGGAGAAAATGCAACTCGTGACCACAGGGCCGGCGTAGTTGATGCTAGAAGAACAGGGTGAGACCGGGAAAGTCTCCCAACAAGACAAGCGGGGAAGCTCATGGTTGGTGCAGGGGCGGCGTTGATGCTGGCGGCGATTCGAGAATTCACGAGCTGACACGTGCACGGACCTCCGTATCTTTTCAACCCACCGCAGTTTGGACGGAGTATGGAGTATGAAGTATGGAGACTCTGACTCGAGATCAACAACCATCAGTTGCCTTGGCCGAGCTTGCGTCACTGACTTACTTATTATATAAAACCTGATCCCAGTACGGAGCGCTTGGCTTGTTTTTAGAAAATTGCCCGACGGGCATCTACAAGGCCCGGCGGCAACGTCCCCTTATCCACTTCAAATATCAGGATAGCTCGAGCAGAATTCGCTCGAAAATGGGAAGAGCGCATGAATCCCGGCACGACATGTTCATTGGTGGGGAAATTAAGCCAAATCAAATATGCAAAGGAGCTGGACTTGCTATGGATTTTGCATCGGAGTGGTGTGGTAAAATGCTTTTTGTGAAAGAAAATTAAATACTGAGTTCAGCTGGAACATATTACATATGCGATCATGTCAGTCCAGCTGGTATGGGACCGATCTGTTCTCGAGTATATGAACAAAATCCAAAAAAACTGCCAATTTTCTTTTGATACCGAGGAACAGTAGCCAAGGCCGGGGCAAAGAATTGAATGCCGGAACTAAGCATTTCATGAGGGATCTCGAGAGCTTGCCACACCAGTGGCAGCCACTAGCACCCACATCCTACATGTCAATACCCAATTCTACTACACCATTCTAGCTCACAGAAAAGCACTACTCCTCCACCTCTTCCACGCGCGGAGTCAAGTCCCGTTTCACTGGTGTCGCACTCGAAGTGGCTGCAGGTTCGGCAGAGGTGGTCGTCGCGCTTGGAGCGGCGTCTGGTGATGCGGCTTCGGCCACACCGGGGACGGACTTGGTCTTCTTGCTCTTCTTCTTCTTGCTCTGCAGATTACCGAGTTAGTAAGTAGGCCATTTTTTCAAAGCTAATTGATTGGCACATACCTCCTGCCAGCCCCACACGGGCTTGAAGCTGTCGAAGAAGCCGACATCCTCGAACAAATTGGGGAACAACCAAAGACCTGGGGGCACAGCAAACACAGTGATGCAGAACAGAATCAGACGGAAAATAGACATGGCGAAGAACAGGCCGAGAAGGCCCATCATACCCACACTGAGGTACCACACGCCTTGACGCAGCATAATGGGCCAAAGAGGGAACAGCACAACGGCAAAAATACCGGCGACAACGGCAGCAGCCATGGCCTTCTGTTTCCATTGGGGACCATCATACAGCCATACATAGTGCATCATCGGATCTGTTTCCTGATGCTGCTCAATTTTCACGGTCCATTGCCCTTTAACTCGGTTCTTGGGTTTGGCGTGGTTGTGCCCCGCATGCGGATCGACCTTACTGACTCGTAGCGCCAACAGAGACAGCGGGAGCAGCTTGAATACATTCTCAGCAGAGGCACGGTCTGTCACTGGGGGGAGAAGGGAGTTCTTCTTTGCGGCGGCCTTGGCGTAGGCAGGGGACTCGATGGCGCGAATAGCTCGCTTCACTGGAGTTATCAAGGAGATTTGATGAGCCACTGTATCCGGGTAGGCCTGGAAGACACGAGGAAAATGCTGTTTAACTTACCTTTGAACATATCCTTCCGCTGTCCATCCAAGATACAAGTTCGAGGCTTGAGGTTCTGCGACCGAAGGAAGTTGGCCACGGCGAGGGCCTTGGGATCCGCCGGTTGGCCTGGTTGAACGGGCACCTGGTGTGTTTGCTGCTGCGGCTGTGGCTGCTGCTGAGGATTTCCCTGTTGCTGTCCTTGCTGTTGCTGTTGCTGCTGATCCTGTCCAGGCTGTGGTGATCCTTGAGCCTGCCGCTGTGCTTCCATCTGCTTCTGATGCGCCTGGAGCGCCCGCATTCGCAACTGCGCTACATACTGCTCTGGCGTCAATCCAAGTTTCGCAGCATCTGCGGTCAACTGTTCGCGCTGCTTCTGAGCGAACTGTTCCGGAGTCATCCCTCGTTTGGCGGCCTCGGCGGCGAACTGTTGTTGCATGGCCGCCATCTGCTGCGGACTGGGCTGACCGGGAGCGGCCATGGTGAAAGAAGACTAAACAGGAGTATAGAGCAAGAAGAAAACCGAATGGCCCAAAAAGGAGAGACAGCCGAGTTGGGCGCGGTGGGCAAGTCGGGGGTTGCGAGCGATGGTTGAAGGAACAAAGTGGACAGATCGACTCAGGTGATCTGCGGCCGCCCTGTAGCTTCTCCCGACCTTCGCGATCGCAACACTCAAGACGACCCTCAACGCCCCTCGCATGGAAGCCACCATGCCCTATGCTTCTTCATGTCTGTCTCGTATGATTCTGAGAACGAGCTTAATGATCCTACATCGGTAGCTTCATTACTGGTACTGTCCTACTCTATGAATGGTTGAATTGGCAGAACTAATGACAACCTAGAGTGAACGCGATGTAGCCGGCCAGATCCCGATCAACTTCGTTACCAATCCCGCCATATCACTGTCATCTGCTTGCTTCGGAAATGGCCTTTATGATCGAAAAGATGCGGCCAAATGTATATCGAATCTCCTTGCAATTGGTTATCGACGGTTAGTCGTCGACATCTACTGGTCGGTCGAACGCCGGACATGGACTTTCTGCCCCGTCGAGATCCCGGCCACGGCCGACGTGACGGTATCTGCTTTCACCTCAACAACGACTGAGGCTGAGACTACCCTGACGATGACAACAATCGAATCCAGTTCAACAACAGACGCAGCGGCGGCAACCGTCACTGGTTATTACGATTCCAACGGGGATACCGTATACGAACTAGGACCTTACAGGTGTACCGATAACCTTGACTTGGACACATTGTCGGAAGTACTGGTTGGATACTTTCAGGACACGACATCTCAACTACTTGTATACACCACATATCTGGTCTTGAATCTTCATGTGGCCGGGAGCGATTCAACGCCAACTGACCCTGCAAAAGCCGTAACAGGTGATGACTTGCCTTCATCGGAGACGGAACGAGCAGGCGGCTATCTCAACTTGGCTTTACGAAACTATCTCTACAGCCCTGCTCAGTTGGCCAAAGACCGAAGCAACTTAAATGAATCGTGGTACGAAGTTGACCAGAGCTATATGCCTATCACCGAATACTTTACCATCCACCGAGACTCCTCTGGGAAACAGAGTACCCCAGATGGATGGCCATCCTCGAAGTATATTCAGCTAGCAAAATCAGATCGTTTGTTGATCGAGTACGGCTCGGTAGATCCTCAGCTATCGGACTACGATCTGACCGAAGATCAGGATGCGATATTTCCTGCTGGTTATATCTCACACGGTCTAAATACATCTACTGCCACTAACGGCACTGTGACTACAGGCTGTCTGTACCAAGCTGGAGCGACAGCAGTCTCCCAGGCCAACTCATCTTGGGCCTTCACCAATCACATTTCCGTCCGAAATGATCTCTCTACAGAACGCGCCATGGGATCATTAGCCGACGAAATCACCGGAATAACAAGCTGCGGTATGTCTCCCATACTTAACAGTACTCTTTTCGGTCATACGGCGGACGATAATGTCGACTACTACCGCAATTTCTCTCTTTCCACCGGATGGGCCTGGGCGATTGGCGAACCTCAAGGTGCGAACTCCGGCGGTGGTACGGAAGACACGCCCAAATTCAATCGCTGCGCTGTCATGGATGTGTCCTTGGAAGGCCACTGGCGAGCCACCAACTGTTCCGAGATACGACGCGGTGCCTGCCGTGTCGGCAACTCTCCTTTCTCGTGGACTCTGTCCAATGCCAGCATGGATTACTCTGATATCTCAGACACCTGCCCCCCAGGATCCAGCTTCGCTGTTCCCAGGACAGGTCTAGAGAATACCTACCTCTATACGTACTTGCTCACTCAGCCTCAAGACATCATTGATTCTACTTCCACCAATATGACCGTCCGCGAGGTCTTTCTCGATTTCAATTCTATCGATGTGACCTCCTGTTGGGTCACTGGTGGCTCTACTGCTGAGTGTCCATACTCCGCTAATCCACAGCAATTAGAGCGCAGGACAGTGCTTGTGGCAGCCATCGCCGGGATTGTCATCCTTATTATTACGGCCTTGACTCTGTTCGTTAAATGCAACGCCAACCGTCGGAACTCCCGTCGCCGTAAGCGCGTGATCGAAGGCTGGGAATATGAAGGTGTACCTTCGTAACCTGAAAGCTTCTCGATTTTGTGATATTTTACCTGTACTTTTTATTTCGTTGCCGCTTTGTGATACCCTAGTTGTCTTATTGTCTATTATTTTTCTTATCATGACCAAATATGCCAGTACCACTAGTCAATTGATCAAAATTCATCGTAGATGTCTGCTGTAGATGAATTTTCTATAAATGTTGTTCTAGATGCACATACATGAGTCAATGAATAGTCAATGAGTAGAGAAGGAGGTTCCACTTGTATGTCAAATTTGAAAGTATCTGAAGTATTGGCACTGAAAAAGAAGATCCGTACACCAATATTGAATGACTCGCAGAGGACATTCCATCACGATCCATATGTCAAATGGGGCCGTTGAACACCCGAAAGCAAGAAAAGAAATGAACAAAGAAATAAAGATCGCTACATGCCGTTCATGAAACACAAGTTGTAAAACTCCGTATCCAGCTCAAGAGATGATTCCTTCCATATCCCATCCAAATAATCACTCGATTTATTCAATCACAGACCGGCAAACCGTGCCCAGCCTGCAGCCCGGATAGGTGCAGGTTTCTGGTTTTCACTCTGATGAGCGCTTTCTTCAAGCGGCTTGCCTCCTCGGCCTTCCTCGGCCATTTTGCCGCTCACATCGCGACGTCGGCCTACACCCAGGCCGGCGATATAGCTGCCATATGAAGATAAGGACGCACCAACACCGCCCACAAGGCCAAGGCGCGTGGTGTCGGCACCAGAGTTGCTCACGATACGACCCTTGCGGTCCACTTCGGCGACGTCATTTGAAGATGGAACCTGGGAGTCTAGGTGACCTTCGTCATCGCTGTCGTTTTTCTTGAGCGATTGGTATGCCGCCATCTTCTTGTTGCGTTTCTTTGAGAGCTTGGTCGGTTTGCGGGACATTTCCTCCTGACGACTGATTTCGCGGGACAGGTCGAGGCCTGGCTTACCCTCCTCTTCAAGGTCACCATAATAGCGTCCCTTGCTTGGCGAGGAATTGGCATCTTCACGGGGTACAATGACCTGGGCCTTTGAGTTAAAGATGCTCGGGTTCTCCCCCAATGCGCTGCGTCGCACTGGGTCTGTATCTTCGGATTCTTCGGTGAGGACAGGTTGCGGGGTTGGCGGGTTTAGCATTAGCGGGTTAAAGGGGAGGCCGTGAGAAGGCTCGTCATCGTCATCGTGGTCGTGCTCTGCAGGATCAGGGAAGATGTTGAAGCGTCGGTCACCCAGATCCTGTTCATGCTTCTCTTCATCATTTCCATAGAACTCGTGCATCGCTAGTGATGCATATTCTCCTCGGGTATCTTCTGGGATCGCGCTTGCGATGCTTGCGGGCTTTTGGCCGTATGAAAACCAGTCTCGAATGCCATTGCCACCTTGTGAGGTGGCAGTTGAAGTAGTCCGGCGACTATACACCGAAGATGACTGGCGGAGCGCATTGTCATTCTTATCGTTGGCTTCATTCATGGGGGAAAGAGACCGCTCCGAGTATGCAACCCAATTATCCGACATGGGGCTTACAGAGTTCGATCTGTCCGCAGTTCGAGATTCCAGATGGCGTGTTTGGATACTGGGGCTCACAAACTTTGGCGAGTGCATGCTGACATTTCCATATTCTGGAGCCGGAGTCTGCGAGGTGATGTCGTATGGCTGGCTGGGTGGCTGGTGGAATAGCATATCCGGGCTCGATGGTTCCATGTAGGACAAGTGATGTGCTTGGGCTGAGATCTGAGACTGGCGCTTGTCAGTCATGTCCATTGAACCAGAGTTGAAGTTGCCAGCCAAAGATTGGCCGCGCGTGTGCATGAATGGCATTGAGCGAGGTGGGCCGATAAGAGGGTCTTCCAGATTTGAATGTAGCGTAGATGAACTCATATGCTTCTCATCTATTTCGACTCCTTTGTGGCTCCTGCGGGGGCGTGCAGTTAGATTGTCTTCCAACGGGTTCATATCCGGAGGTAGCTGTGAGATCTTCCGGAAGATGATGGCTAGAAAGATCGACAGGGAAAGCGATACGAGATGCAATCCGCCGTTGACCAAGGCACATAAAAATGTGGCCTCTGCTACCTCCGTCGTCGCATTGCTATTTTCAAATAGAGTGCCCCACTGGTAGGCATCGGTGGTCCACTCTCCATGTGCCATAAAAGCGGTAAACACGTAGAACGGAATTAGCCCCGCATCGAGAGTGGAGGCAAAGAGTCCATAGCTGGCCTGGGAAGCTGGAGGACGATTTACCGGAGAGCGGCAAAGATGATAGATAGCATAGATTGTGTGGAGAATTGCGACGATTGGCTATTCAAAAGTCAGTAAAAAGGCCCTAGAGACAACGGATAGTCCGACCGCACTCACTCCAGCCCGAATGATCCAAATAGCAGTCACCGCAACATTTTTGATGACTATGGAGCAAAAGAGAGACCCAAGTGCACCCAGTAGAGCAACCACACGCAATCCAAGCTGTGTTCCTCGCGCATATTTTACTCTGTCCTTTGTTTTGTGGCTCATGGGACTCCACGTCGACTTGGATTCAAAGCTGCCCCACTGTGGCTACAATTAGAAATGATATAAATGCTTCCAGGAGGACTATAATGCATACCGAGTCGGGATGTCGATTAATGTTGACCAAAGGCCCTTCGAGCTTCTGTTTCGGTGGCACGCGAGTCCGGCTTGCCTCCGTCACTGCTTTTGGGTTGAACCCCGAGTCGGTCGGGCCATAGAAGGTGTAGGTAGATGGACGATCGTAAAGGAATGGAGGCGACGACCTGCCCATGGTAGCGACTGAAGTGCTCCCGTGGAATCCACGCGAGAATTAAAGGGAATGTGGGCAACTAATGGAGGAATGCGATCTGACGGCAACTGATGGCGGTTCGAGAGCTGAGCAATGCGGAGTGCGGCTGTCAACACGATAGTCGGCCCGGCAACCACGTAAGATCACGTGTCAACAGTCCCGATAAGCCGGCGATAATGTAACCGACAGGTCCGAATGATACATTTGTTACTCCCTACAAGCCTCGAATCATGCTAGACCGCACATTTGTCTGTGCCCAGTGTACAGCGCGATTGTCTCATCGCTCCACTCCACGGGTGAGAACATCGGCGTTCTACTCAGTATCTCGGCGTCTGAGCAGCCATGCCGCCCCCGATAGCCGCTCTCCCCGCATTGCTATTGTGGGCTCTGGACCAGCGGGATTCTACGCGGCCGCACGCCTCCTAAGCAAAGAGCAAAGTGCCATGGTTGACATGTATGAAAAACTTCCCGTACCATTTGGGCTCGCTCGATATGGTGTAGCCCCGGACCATCCCGAAGTGAAGGTACGCACATCCACCGTAAAAGTCGATGCGAACAGATGGATTATGGTCCGGAACAAGTGCAATTGGTTGAGGTTAATAGCATTTTGGACTAACTGATTCTTCCTCTTCACAAAAAAGAATTGCGAAGACAAATTCACAGAAGTCGCGACGTCTCCCCGCTTCAACTTCGTCGGTAATATCGACCTCGGGAATGACCTGCCCCTCGCCGCGCTTAAGCCACATTACGATGCTATTCTCTTCGCGTACGGAGCTTCAAAGGACAAAGAACTGGAGATCCCTGGAGAACAAGCTCTTCGCAGTGTTTACTCGGCCCGTGCCTTTGTGGGGTGGTACAATGGTTTACCGGAACATCGGGATCTACAGCCGGACCTGACTAGCGGCGAAGATGCTGTTATTGTCGGACAAGGAAATGTGGCCCTCGATGTGGCTAGAATTCTTCTGTCGGGTGTAGATGCGCTCAAGAATACCGACATAGCGGATTATGCCCTGGAAACACTATCCAGAAGCAAAATCAAACGCGTGCGAGTGGTTGGTCGCCGAGGACCCCTCCAGGTCAGTATAGAGTCGATATCACAGCTAACCAACACCCCCTACAAGAACTACCTACTAATGTCTCTTTTGACTCAAGGCTTCGTTCACTATCAAAGAAGTGCGTGAACTCCTTCAGCTTCCTTCTGTCTCCTTTGACCCGATCCCGAAAGATGTCTTCCCTCCCGAGGAAGTGATCAATGGCCTACCCCGCGCGCAGAAGCGATTGATGCAACTCCTTGGTAAAGGCTCCGCCAATGATCCCCAGACGGCGACCAAATCTTGGTCGCTGGACTTTCTTCTCTCGCCCGACTCACTCCACTGGTCTCCTATTCACCCTTACCATCTCTCACATACCAAATTCTCTCGCAATGAGCTCGACCCTGCCGACCCCCACAGCCCGAGCGCTAAGGTATCTCCCAAATATCTATCAAGTGGAAAGCTAGCTATGGTCAATCTCTCTTCGAGCGTTTTTTTCCGTAGTGTGGGTTACAAATCCCTGCCCCTGCCTGGCCTCGAGGATCTGGGTATTCAGTTTGATGCCAAGCGTGGTGTAATTCCCAATGACGGGTTTGGTCGAGTCAAAGGTCGTTCAGGAGATGGCGAGCCCCGGGAATTACCGGACGGCTCGTTAATATCCTCTCTACCTGGCTTATACTGCGCCGGATGGGTCAAGCGCGGCCCGACCGGAGTGATTGCCTCGACGATGACAGATGCCTTTACCACGGCAGACACTCTGATCCAAGATCTGGCTAGCCACAGCAGCTCGGGAACCTTACTCAATACTCCTGAAAATAGTAGCGGTCTGGGATGGGACGGGGTCAAGCCGGAGGCTGCACGCCTTGGTCTTCGCCCGACGTCTTGGCAAGACTGGCAACGCATCGATGCTGTTGAGCGGGAGCGTGGGCAGCAAAAGGGTAAGGCTCGGGATAAGTTTGGTCGAGTGGAAGATATGTTGGAGGTGATTGACTGATTGAACGAAGTTCATTGATTGACCATTGTACGCTATGTATATTAACACTTTAGACATCCTGGTCGACATATCACTGGCCCAACCATCTCCTCCCCTCATGAGAGGATCCATGTACTATCATATCTCATATAACTATGCATTCATAATCACTTTCCTCTCTCTATCCAATGCTGTTGCCATTTTGAGCTCCCCATCAGGCGCACTCGGAGATATCAACCTCGGTGTAAGTAGCCGTCACGCGGCCCAGCTTCTCGGCCTGGCCATCGGTGAGCTGGTTCATGGCCTGAAGGCCAATGTTGAAGCCACCGGGGGCAGTATCGATGGCCAGAACGTTGATGGTTTCGTCGACCCCGTTGCCTGCGTAGTGCAGCGAATAGCATTTGCCGCAGTTGGAGCTCGTGCCATCGGGGATGGTCAGCGCACCGCCAATGCGAGGGAATCCGGGCAGAGAGCCGAAGGTGGAATATTGAGTATCCAGCTGACTCCCACATGCCACAGTGTCTGTTGAGGAGGCCGAGACGTCGTAGACAGGGTCGTAGGAGACCGAAACTGACCCGGAATCTGCAACGGCATCGCTTGGGGCAGGGATGGCGCTGGCGAGGTCGAAAGTGGCCAGAATGGCGCAAGTTAAGGCAATAAAAGACTTCATTGTGAAGTAAAGAAGTGGATGGGGGGTTTAGCTAGGTTCAAAAAAAATGCGTTGAAGAGATGGGCGTGTTGCTTCGTTCTATCAATCTATATTTCGCTGTCGAACCCTCGATTTATATATCTACAAACCAGATGTCAGGCAACCCAGGCACACTGTCATTTGTGGTGAGATATCGAAACCGACTGCAACCGGTGCAGGTCTTAGACACCCAGCGGATACTGTTGATTCATCCCCTCCTATTGATCTGGCCGCAATGGTGAAGAGCGGAGACGACAGGTAGGCCTCCCGTGCGGGGCGTGAGAATGCGGTCGCCGAGCCCTGGACTGAGACATTGGGACTTGGAACCGCCAGATGCTGGGCCGGAGAGAGGGATATAATGTGGCTGAGGGAGATCATCTGCAGCTTGCCGCACTGGTCTATGTCGCGGGTCGCCTTTATTCTTGTTTTCTTGTTTTCCATGTCACGGTGTACTCGCAGGTGTACCCGAGTGGTGATATGTGCGGTGCCGGTTTACTTCCGAATGACCTGAGGTTGCATTTTCATCATAGACGGAATGGGAATATTAGGAAACGAGGCCGGATCGAGGGGCATGTGAGTCAGAGCCGGGCAAAATGCAGCTTGAAGGAGTCAAACCCTGAAGTTAGAAGCAGAAAAATACAGACCGAAAAGATCACCCAAAAAAAGTCGATTGGAAAACAAAACAAAAAAAAGAACAAAAAGAAACGTCCCCGGGAAGGCTCGAACTTCCAACCTCCTGATTAACAGTCAGACGCGCTAGCCGATTGCGCCACGGAGACACTTGCTTGAAATGTGAGGACATACTGATGATTCAAGACTCTTCATACCTTCTGCGCCTTAAATTTATAGTTGTTTTAGTTTGCAACATCTAAGCAGGTATGGGAGAGAGTAATTATCGTTGCAGTCAGCTCTAGAGATCGCAACTATACAGATTATCCATCGCCAACAGAATTTGCTCATTTTCAACCTTGGGCAATAGTTTCTTTGAGAGATCTTCCCAGATAGTCCTCAAAGAAACTCCCTCTATAGTGACAATATATTGTAACTGGATCTGATTCCTCCTGAGCGCCACGGCCGATCGTCCCAGGGACTTGGTTGCATTTGCGACATGTAGAGAGTCATTGGTCGCCATCCGTGTTTTCCGATGAAAACCTTGCTCCGGACCTCCACACAAATTCAATCGCCGTTCTTCGTCGGTGAACCCTGTCCGGCCCCAGGGGAGAAGATCCGGGGCAATCTACGTTTTGGGCACAAACTATCCTCTTATACTTCCCTGTTCAAGTGGGATCATCATCAGAACCCCTCCACATCCCTCCCTCCCCAGAACGCTACGATCAGAAAATGACACTTGGATAATTTTCGGAGGATACAATCTTCAAGTTCATAGTTCCGATCAGAAAGCCGGCCCCCCCCTCGGTGTCAAGTGGACACACGGCACAACTTAAAGTTCAGGATTCAAATGATTTGGGGGGTTGGCTTTTGGGCCCCTTGAGAGCATCGACTACCGGCTGGACTATTGTTTTGATGTCAAAGCGCACACAATGGACCTCGTGCAAATGATATTGGTAGGCTTTTTTGGCTTTTCCCCCTCTTCGGTGGATGTGGATGGAGAATGGTGGATATGCTTCTAAGCCAATACGAGGGAGTCCACTTCTGCGGACACTTCACTAAAGCCGCCGTCGAATCCTAACTCCTTTTTTTCCGACTCCCGATCGACGCCAAATTTTTCAGATCCCATGGAAAGCACCCTATCGCGCTTGAACGGTGGAGTAGGCCCCCGCCAAAGGTTGCGCATCTCCTCTCCAATGGATCTCCCAGGCTCCGAATTCCGTCCAATGCGCCCAGAGGGGGGCGACAGCCGCGAGCCTCATCTGGCCCATCTCTCCTAAAAAAGACATACGATTCTCCCTGAGCCCAAACTCTTGACAAACTATCGGGCCGCTACAGCGGTAGTGAACCATGGATTTGCCTCGTCTGCCCTGGCTCGTGGTCCGAACTGGAGTCTGACAGGACGACTTGCCGCTGAGCGGAGCTTTTGATGGAGAGAAGCTAGGGTTCCGGTTAGCAAAACACAAAGGCTTTTTTCAAAGACCTGGAAGTATTGTGGAGACGTCGATGTGTGCAGCCCCCGACACGGTTTCAAATGGCCTTGATCAAGAGCCGAGTCCTCCAGATTATCATTCTAGTACTCCATATCTTTCTCCCTGACTCTTATAGAAGCGTGGGCCTTCCTCTTTGATTTATGTTTTGCTTCTCCTTTGAGTCACAGCCCTTCACCCTCCCTCGTTTCTATGAGCCTGTTAATACACGTCCTGCGTTCCCATTACGGCGATGGGGGCGATGGCTCTCTTGCTCGTCGCTGGGAATTTCGCGAGGACTATCCGCTTGAGGGGAGTGAACGATCGCTCTTTACTGCTATGGGTATAATCGCCCTGTCCTCGTTGGTGTCTACGCTTGGGCTCCTTTCATTCCTTACCTATCGATTCATCTTCTGGCAGCGGTACTACAAGCATCCGCTCGCAAAGAACCAGTATGTCGTGCTCATTTACAATCTGCTACTTGTCGACTTGCAGCAGGCCATTGCCTTCCTTATGAGTCTATATTGGGCTTCTCAGGGCAGTGTGCATTTTGGCACACCGGCTTGCTATCTCCAGGGATGGTGGATCCAGACTGGCGACCCGGGTAGTGGGTTGTTTGTTCTCTCAATTGCTTTGCATACTGGTGCTGTGGTTCTGCGTGGCCGGCAGCTTCCATTCAATACTTTCGTGTACTGTGTGATAGGGCTGTGGATGTTCATTCTCATTCTGGGATTCATCCCCATCGGTCTATACGGCTCTGAAGCATTTGTTATTTCCGAAGCTGCTTGGGTAGGTGCTCATCCATGGAGCTTTATATGGCTATCCTTGAAGCTAACAAAAATTAATACTTTGCAGTGTTGGATCAGTCCCAAACACGAAAGTGAACGATTATGGGGCCACTATATCTGGATTTTCCTTTCTGAATTCGGGACTATCGTCCTATACGCCATCATGTTCTTCTATCTCCGACGCCGTATGACACAATCGAAGATGCTCCGCCGAGGTCAACAAGAGAGTCTGCATAGACTCAACCGGGTCGTCATTTACATGGTTATCTATCCGTTGGTTTACCTGGTTTTGTCGTTGCCACTTGCCGCAGGTCGAATGGCTACTGCCCGGGGCGATTCTCCAAGCAAAACCTATTTCGGTGTAGCGGGCTGCTTGATGGCTCTGTCTGGCTTGATGGATGTGGGAGTCTACACATTGACCCGCCGTCATCTGCTCATTGATACCGAGCACAGCACTACAGATCGCAATTATGACATTACGGACTCTCAATGGCAAACCCAAATCACTACCACCGCAGGTGGGGGTACCGGGAATCGGTCTCGGAAGGGAGGATTCAACATGGGATCTCGCTTGGGCTCCAAATTCCGCCGAAGCATTCCTGCAGCCGATAAAGAAACGAGAAAGAGCCCATTCGATGATTCAACTGAGGACATTGTTCCCAAGGATGACATGGAAATGTCTAATTTCGGTGCCGTGTACCAGGAGACCACCATTGAGATCTCCCATGAGCCAGCCACCTCGGCAGAATCAGTTGATGGCACATCGCGCCGGAGCGGCTAAGACTTTACTCACGCTAAATGATTCTATATCGCCTTATAAGGCTTCCACTGTATATATGACCCGTCCTGTACTTATTCCACCTGGCAAAACATGCCGCAATAACATAATTTCTTCCATACTTGAGCTAAGAGGAGCTCAATCTTATTTTCAACAAATTCAATTGTCGTCTTCAGTGGCTTCCTGAGGTTGCAGAATTTAGTGCGCCTGGTGGGTATTTTGGAACCAAACTGGCGGTTCTGCATCGGACCACATTATGGTATCATTGATTAGCAATAATTCTTGTGGAATTTCGGGCTTGCGACCGCCGATGAATCCAACAGCGAATCCACTCCCTCCAAAGCTCGCCTCTTTCGCCCTGATTTTGCAAATCCGCCGTGGGTCCAGATTACTACCGCAGCACGTTAGCTCGTTGCTTAGCTGGTGGAGAGGAGTGGAGTCGGGCTTTTCCAGCCGCGCAAATCTGTCCAATGTCAGTCAGCTTTCTCCTGTTCCCGACAGGAGGCCTCTGCACCGTGGGCGTTTTCGCGCTTGCGCTATTCGACACGTTCTGGGGCATTTGGCAGATCTTCATCTCGGTGGATGAGGATGATCCACAAACCAGATTAGGGAATCGGTGCATACTTCGGTACAAGAGAGAAGATTGCCAAGCTCCTCAATTTATGAATCTTGCAAAGAACTTAAAAGTATAATCGAATTATCAAATCCACCGATAACCTTTGATCTCAAGAGAAAGTTTTGAGCTGCAAAGCTCCGAAAGTCTATATATTGGATACGAGCTATATATATGAATTTTAAGATGTGTCGATCTAGTGGACCTTCCGCAAAAACATTCCAAAACCTCGGGGAGAACGATGGTGTGCATGTGAGAAGAAGAGTGGAGATATAGCCTAAGCCGCAGGTTATTTAGCTGAATTTGCAGCTAAAGTTTATTTGCCTTTCTCGATGCGCGGAGTTTCCGCCGCCGGCTGCTCCGTCTCCTGGTTCGGACCCAGTTTCTCCTTTTCTCGTCTCTCGCTTTCGAGTTTCACATTGCGCCATTCCATCCCTAGTGCCGGTAGGGCCATCGCGCATGATAAGCCCAACGGGACAAAGAAAGCTCTGTGAAGAGCCGTATTGTAGATCACTAGTACGACGTCGAGCTTCTCTACTGGTATCATTCTCACTAGATCGGTTGCACCAGCCTCTAAAATAGCCTTTGAGTCAATGCCAGAAACCATGAGCAGCTTATCTGTCAGGTAGTTGGTGTATAGGTTCTGAGAAACCGCCACAAAAACACCGCCACCGAGGGACTGAAAGAAAAACATTATTGCAACACCAATAGAGACATCGGCTTGATCCAAAACTGTCTGTGCAGCCAATGTGGGCTGCTGCATCCCTGAGCCTAGACCTAGACCGAACAGGACTTGATACCCGATCCATGCTGGATGGCCCGTGTCTACCTTGAAGGTGGTGATCATGCCGGCACCAATCGCCATGAAGATTGACGAGACAAGCATAAATGGGACATAGTATCCTGTGTGTGAGACCGCTGCTCCCGAGAGAATACTGGCAATAACCAGAGATAGCACCATCGGGATATTATCAATACCTGATTGCACTGCATTCCGGTTTTTGACCCCTTGAAACCAGAGTGGCAGAGTGTATAAGATAGAAATCATAGCACCGGATATGCAAGATGTAAAGATTGCACCAAGCAGGATACTGCGGTTCTTAATGATCCGTGGCGGGATTGTGGCGTCCTCTTTTCGCCAAATCTGAACAGCCGCAAAAGCGAGAAACATTACACCTGCTAGGATTAGCAAGGAAATAATGCGCCCACTGTCCCAAGCATAAGTGGTTCCACCCCACTGAAGCGCAAGCAAAAATAGAATAATGCTTGAAAACACTAATACTGTTCCGATTGGATCGAGACGGATCAATTGTCGTTTTAGAGAAGCTGTTGTAGATCGACGCGGTGCTTGAAGAAAGAAAGCCACAATAACTAGAGTTAGACCTCCAATGGGAAGGCTACGATGAAAAATAAAGCATTAGCTCAACTGCAGCTCTTTGTTGAAGAGAACTCACTTACTTGATGTAAAAGCACCATCTCCATGTTGCATTATCAGTGAATGCTCCCCCAAGCAACGGTCCGATAATTGATGATACACCAAACGTAGATCCTATGAGACCGACAAATAATGGGCGCTTGTGTAAAGGAACTACTTGCGAGATAATGATTGTTGACCCGTTGAAAATTCCTGCGGAACCAACTCCTGCAATCGCTCGCCCAATAATGAATACTTCAGAGCTTGGTGCTGCACCACAAAGTATGGAACCGACCTCAAATACCACCACAGCTACTACAAAGAGAATTTTTGTTGAATAGAAGGTATAGATGCGCCCCCAGAAAAGCTGGGTCGTACAGCTCGTCAGGAGATAGGCACTAGCATACCAACTGATGTCATTGATAGCATGGAACTGATCGGAGATTCGAGGAACTGCTGTCGCGATGATGGTTCGGTCCTACCAAGAAATATTAATATGTGGCATAAAAAGACTGAATGAAGATGGTTCTTTACCAATGCAACAAGGAACATGGCGCTGACAATTGCCACCATGACTATGGCAAGCTTTAAACCCGAAATATTTTGCTCCTCCGACATAGCTTTTTGTCTGGCCTCATGGCTAGGTTGAGGTTCATCTGCATGCCGTTTAAATTCTTGTTCGTGAGGGTTGGTCATCGTGTGGGTGTCTCTTTATGCTAGAAAATCCAAAATTCGACATATGTAATTGAGAATTAAAACATGTTATCCTAAAAACAACTTTTTCCTCATGCAGAAGAGGAAATCGCATATTTATTACATTTTGGAAGACGCTTTTCGACCCGCAAAGTAATGTGCCTCGGCGCCGAACGTGAACAAATAATCTTGCTTCGGCGCCGAAACATCTTACATAGGGGGCTAAAGTAAGAATGGCCAGTAGAGCCCCGAAACGATCAAGAGTCTTTTGTTAAGGCTTATATAGTTATCTAATACCATAATTCTCACTTTTGAATTTATTATGCTTTAGATTTCTGTTCTGCTCATTGACACTTTTCGTCTTGCCTTGTCATTCCAAACACAACTATGACAGGGTCAAATAGGAATTATAAGCTGACGTGATTGAGGGACTTTTGAAAGAATACCTTAGGGATTTCATCGTCAGGTTATCCTATCTAGAGAAGACTCGATGAGATCCTACTCTAGGCCCGGTGCGGGGATGTAGACTATATAAGTGGTTGATCGCGTTAATTTGAAATTCGTTACCAGTTGCTTATTCACATACGAGGGGTTCTATATAAAGATACAGAAATTGGATGTAAATACCATGTGACTACATCATATCTAGCTTAGCATGTTCACCTTCCGTGACAAAATAAAACTTCAACTTCACATCTGCCCATGATCCTAACGGATACAGTTCATTGAGTTACCACTTGGTAGCAATTACCAAACCCCTTTTTCAGACGGTAAAATTAGTTATACCATCTTCAACCCACTATTATTTTGAAGATCACGTCTAAGTTCTAATATATTATAGCTCCACTAAACTAAGATCTAGCGAGGGAGGAGGCGCCCCCCTCCCAAACCCAAACATCGCTCCTCGAGGACCGAAGGATATATGGGACAGAACAGCACAAAACGTCAGAAACTAAAGGCAAACGCAGCGCAATCCAAGATCAGGATACAGAACTAAAGATACAGGAAAATAAGAATTAGAAAAGCTGCAGTGGGTGACGGCTTAAGAAGAAGATGAGGGCAAAACTTACCACCATAGTGTGATAGGAAGAGATTATACAATTATAGAGTAGGATTTAAATGGAATATTTACATAAACTGGGATGTAATAGACCTCAATAGGAATCTAATTGAATACTAGGATTGACGATGGGAATAATCTGTCCTCGGCGATTTTTCTCCAAATGCAGCTGCCTATCTTCTATGCACGTTACATTTTCTTTTCTTTTCTTTTTCTCCCATATATACAGCATAGCCTCAAGAAGGAGACTACAATAAAGTTCTCGTGGGCGAAGCATAGCCACACTTTTTCTCCTCGGGATCTTTGGGCTGTCCTGCAGATCTATGTCTCCGCCAAGGCGAGTCTGGTCCAGAAGAGAATTTGCATGCATCATCCTTACCTTAAATCTCTGATTCTGAAATTCAAAGAAAGGTCAGACGGGCCGAAGGCAATAGAATTATGGTATTTGATTGACAAGGATGACTGACTAGAACCGAGGGATTCGTCGTCATTCCCATTACCGTGTACAAGTCTCGGCATTTGTGAAGCGCAGCATGGAGCACCACATCTTGTCAGCATTGGGTGCACAGAGTATTATCATGAGCGGGGCTAATAATGATGGTCAGTATACGATACTTCACTGGGAGCTTCTCATAATTCCCAATGCAAATGTCCGAGCTCTTCAAGCGGCGCTATCATTCCAATTAGGCTTGCCCGCCTCTGTGGGAAATGGGTTTTCTGAGGGGTTCTCGGAGCTGGAAGATTGCAGCGTGAATCCAGTTGTTATGGAAACAACTGTCAATTGGTTCCTCTGTGTAACAGATCCAGGTGAAACGATCGTCAGCATCGGGTTATTTAGTAAACGGGGGATCCTTCTGCTCAGTCCAGATGAATAGAATCACTGTTTTCTGCAATGGCAAACCTTCGAATCCTCTACTTCTTTGCCTGGGCTACATCTGCTGTGGCTCAGTTCCAGGGCTATTCGCCTTTCGGACACAATGATCTCACCTACACGATCCGTGTTCCAGATAGCACCGCTAATTCAAGCGCAGGGCCCATCTATTTCCAATTGAATTCTACAAGCCCGGTAGAATGGTTTGCATTAGGACAGGGAGCCTCAATGCACGGCGCCAACATGTTTGTGGTGTATATATCGGGAAACAACCTGACACTTTCTCCTAGATCTGGAAAGGGCCACTATCAGCCTTTATACAACAAACGTGCTCAAGTGTCTCTCATCAATGGAAGTGGGGTTCATGATGGAGTCGTCACCGCTAATGTTCGCTGTGACAGCTGTATTGTTTGGGGCGGAGGGATGGAGAATGTCACTAATACCTTCAGTCCTTGGATCTGGGCTGTGAAATATGGGAAAGCATTGAATACTCTCAGTATGACTGCGACCATTTCGGAACACGATGCATTTGGTACTTTCTTTGTGAACCTTCAACAAGCAACAGGGACAACTTCCGATAACCCATTCACAAACCTTGATCGGTCTTCGATTACTTATGCCGTGCCGGAAGTCTTCGACTTTGAAGGGTTTGATAAGAAGAGAACAGCCCACGCCGTTCTCATGACAGTGGCTTTTGTCTTGCTGTTCCCGCTTATCGCATTGGCTCTTCATGTGTTTCCGTCGTCCAGTATTGTGAGAATTCACGCGATCCTCCAGCTTTTCACGCTGGCAGTTGTGATCGCTGGATTTGGACTGGGGATTGCGATGGCCAAGGATATCCATCTTTTCAAGCATCATCATCCCGTGATAGGGATAGTGGTTGTCGCCTGTCTGGTTCTCTTTCAGCCTGGAATGGGCTTGTTGCAACATCGACACTTTCTCAAGACCAGCGGCACAGGCCCCTTTGCTTTCCTGCATCGATGGCTTGGGAGGGCCCTGATCATTCTCGGGGTGATCAACGTGGGACTGGGGTTTCAGCTCACAGGGATCGATAGCTCAGATGTCCCTCGCGGGGCCGTCATTGCCTATGGCGTTGTTGCTGGAATCATCGGATTGGTGTATCTGGTGACTGTGGCTCTGGCTGGCCGTCGAGGACGAACTGTTTCGGACTAGCAATCAGGACTGAATAGCGAATTCAAATTTGATTTTAATTGACCGGAGGCAGAGCAAAGTAGGGATATCCGAAGTCCATACCGTCTTTGAATTCGGACTCTTGGTGGCGTACTGCAGGATCTCTTTCTATGCCTGCCGATATCGTACCACAAGATTCTTGGCCCGGGCCCGTCTTGTGAATGAATGTTGAATGGATCTATACCGACCGCCCAAAATAAAGGAAGAAGGCGAGTGTGGGGGTGGGGGAAAGGAGAGAGAAAGGAGAGAAAGGAGAGAAAGAAGAGAAAGAAGAGACTAAGGTCAACTCTAGCAGGGTGCGACAAAGAGGTATAGAGAAGCGATTGCCTACTGGCACAACATGTATCGTATTTCCGGACTCTCCATGTTGTTGGACCTGATTCCTCGCTTGATTCGGGGCGAAAATGCTATAGATTCAATATGAATGCCAAAAGGGAATTTATTGATTTCTTATTCGAACAACGTTGACATAATCGTACATCGGTCGCTGCTCGGAATATCGTTTCGAACGGTCGTACTATCAAATTTATCGTCATTCCTCGTCGGTCCACTCTTTCGCTGCATTTGGCATTTCCTACGCCCCACTTTAAGTGATCCGGTGCATTTGCTTGTTTGATCCTGTCCAGTCATAATCAGCCACTCCACCAAAGAACCACTGAGGAACCACTGAGGAACCACCGAGATGCGCACGGTGGCTGAGCTTTGCTCCGTATGTCTCCTGAATGACGTCGGGCCTCGGGTCGTCGTCGTTGTTCCTGGGGCCATTCAACCTTCTCCTCCCTTGGATTGACTCCTCAACCTGCACCCTGCACCCCGTACCATCCTTATTCCACGGGGGTGAATGGCAAGACAATGCCATTGCACACGGTCGCGCTCGGAGCGGCCCTGACCCCTACTGTCCTGCACACTCTAATCAATCATGTGGGTCGAGGAACGCTATCGGAACTATCTGGAGGCCGAACGCTCATGCTGATGATTCCGTTCTCTGCAGTATCTCCATCGCAAATCGCATCATAACAAACCGACCGTCCATATCACTTATGACGAAGGTATCCAGATCGTCCGTCAATTCCTATACTACGCGTCCAAGCATCCGGTCGAGGATATCCAGGCGTTCACCCGCCAGTGGGTTCCAAGTCCCCATTGGGTGAGAACAGAACCCGTCACCATTCCTGACGAGTGTCTATCGTCGGCGGCAGATGTTCTTGCCAAACAATTGGGCCCTAGGGGTCTCGTACGCGTCGGCGGCGAAAAGTGGTGGCAATGGCGCGGCCCCGCGGAGGACCTCAAGGGAGAGTGGATCGAGATGCGGAGTCATTATAATGAGCTGAAGAAGGCGGACCGGCGCTGCAACCGGATCATGCTCTATATCCATGGAGGTGCCTATTTCTTCGGCAGTGTCGATACCCATCGCTACATGCTACAGCGTCATGCCCGCAAGTTGAAGGGTCGTGTTTTCGCGCCGGACTACCGTCTTGCCCCCCAATTTCCTTTCCCATGCGGCCTGCAGGACTGTATGGCAGCTTATTTGTGGCTGCTCAAATCATACGACCCAAAAGAAATCATCCTGGCGGGCGACTCGGCTGGAGGCGGTATGGCCTTATCATTGCTGGTGATGATGCGGGACCAAGATATTCCACTTCCAGCGGGTGCGATTCTGATCTCTCCATGGGTTGATTTAACACATTCGTTTCCAAGCATTGTTGATGATAACCCGGGCGATTACATCCCTCCATATGGATTCAGGTACAAGCCTTCCTCCGCCTGGCCCCCGCCCAATGCCGACGAGATCCTAAAAATCAAGAAGCTGTCCCGTGAGCAAACCTTCACGGAGAAGGATGTCAACGCTGCGATTCCAACGGCAAACAGCTCGGCGGCGGAAACAGCTGTCCGTGGATACACGCTACATGAGAACAAGATGCCATCCGAAGGCCATGCCTACCCGGGCATGCAGGAGAATCCAGATCCTGGTACTGTCAGTGCCGAACCTGATAACATCCATGTTATCTTGGAAGGCAAAACGGTGGAGCTTAAGGACCAAATCCAGATGTATGCCACAAATCAGCTCATCTCCCACCCGCTTGTCTCGCCTGTCCTTCAACCCTCCCTTGGTGGCCTACCGCCACTCCAAATTATCAGCGGCGGTGGAGAAACTCTTCGCGATGAGCAGTTCTATATCGCGCATAAAGCGGCGAATCCGACTGCGTATCCGCCCGGGGATGTGTATCTGAACGAGTTTGATCCAGAAAAAGAGACCTTGACCAAGTACCAGCCAACATACGTCCAGCTCCAGGTCTGGGACAATCTATGCCATGTGGCTCCCACGCTGAGCTTTACCAGACCGGCCAAGTACATGTTCCGTTCAATCTCCCAGTTTGGATCCTGGGCTCTCGCTCGTGCTCAAGAGACTGAAGTGGACATTATGGATGAAAATATCGTGTCACCGGTCTCATCGAGCGGCTCAGATGAGACAGACAGCCCTGGAGATCTCGCAGGCCCCAGAAAACAGACATTTCCAGCAGGCATATCTGTCGGCAAGGCAGGAGATCCTCTACCTGCATTTGATCAGTACATGATACGCCAACGAGTAGATAAGCGTGGACACCTCTACCATCTGGACCCACCTGCATCGTATCCAGTCCTGAATATACCACCATCAAAGATAGGTGCAATCAACCCGGATCTCATCAGAAAGTGGCTTGATGCAAAACATGAATGGGATACCAAGTTTGCCAGAGAGAAGCTTAAGGTGCAGGTTCGACGCATCAAGGAAATGGCCCACGGATTCCAGGACTTTGATGGTGAATGTCCCCCTCCAAGCTCTTTGGCCGCTCGTCGTGCGGCACCAGGCGTCCTACCCAAGTACCATGCAAAGAAGAATTATGGAATGATGCTTTGGAGCGGTTGGGGCAGCAAACACGACGAGCGGACCATGGAGAAGGAACGAGAAGCTGAAAAATCAGGTCGCCCCTCGACGCGTGCGAGCGTTGATGCTGGACAAGCTGGCCAGTATTCGAGTTCGCCTTTGAAGAACCAGGAACGGCTAGGTGCCCCTGGCAACCGTAAATCGCAGCCTACCACCGATAAATCTTTACCAGGTAGTTCTGAGGCCCTTACTTGGGACACTGCGAGTGATTCAAAGCACACTAATGGAGAATTCGCGACGGGACGACCTTCTGAATCGACTTCTCTCCGTCCGATGTCAGAAAAGAGTGCCGGGCCTATTCTCATCCTACCAGACGTGGATAACTTGAAGCTCAGAGATGAGAATGCCAGCACAAGGGCTCTCTTTCATGCTGCGGGAACCCTACCGATGACGTCTGATCTCTCCCTTCCGTATTCGAAAGGCCGACCGTCCTCTGTTGGCGGCTCAGTAGCGGGAAGAAGTGAATTTGTGTCTGAAGCTGGGGAAGATGCTGCTAGTACCGTTGGCGGCGATAAGGAATCAATTGCAGTGAACGGGATCGCAGCTGATTCAGTCAGCACTCGCGCTGTCCTAAGCGCCAGGGGTGTGGTTGGCATCGTCAAGCCTAGTGACAACAGTCGTACCTCCACTGACACTTCCTCTGTGCAAGCAACTATGCCAGATGTAGATGCCATATCAATCGAAAAGGACAGCCGAAACTCGACATCGCATCGACCAGACATGCCCAACAGGGAGGTTTTCAAGACAGCCGAGGAGGGACTATAGCCCCCTCTTAGGGTAATCGCTCCCACTTATCTTGTCCACTGATATCTCTTTCGTTCACTTGCCTTTCTGCAATTTCTTTTCATTTATCTATATCTTTGGGATGATACTCCATGAGGAAGCGGTTCAAGTTTCCGAAACTACCTCTTGGTACACCTCTTGGCTTTCCCTGCACTCGAATGACGCTGTCGTTTACCTTTTCCTTTTTCCTTTTTGATTTATGTTGGATATACCCTATGTCATTGGTGATATTATGGCTCATCATAATATTCCTTCATCTATGGATTGATTTTTCCATTATATGAAGAGATGTATGTAGTGGTCTGAAGTGCCGTCATTGAATCTGAAATATCGTATCCAAATTTCGAATGAAATGATTATGTACCTGAAGCAAACACAAACAGAAGACACAAATTGTCAGCACAGACTGATAGGTAATATGACCTTGGTAACACCGCCGAACATGCAAAAGTCTATATATATAGTACAAGAGAACCACCGAGCTTTTGACAAGCACAACGTAAAGTGAACTCAACGCCACTCGAGGCCGATCTTCCGGGCCACTTGCTCGGCAACATCTAGGAAGGCTTGTCGCCGGGTACTCCGATCCGCAGTCTCCTCAGCCACGACAGTGGGCATGCCACGGTCAGCATCTTCACACACTCGTGCATCAAGGGGAATATCGCCTAGGAAGTCGACTCCGAGACGATTGCATTCCGCCACAACGCCGCGATCCGAACCATGTGAATGGTGACCATCCCCGTGGGAGAAGATACGGGTTTGATGCCCGCAATTCGGGCATGCAAAGTAGGCCATATTGCGAACCATACCGAGAACGGGCACATCCATACGCTGGAACATCCCAAACCCACGTACGGCGTCGCGCAGTGCGATATCCTGGGGTGTTGTTACAATCACTGCGCCGTCGATAATTACCTCTTGGTTAATGGTCAATTGCACGTCGCCAGTTCCAGGTGGAAGATCCATAACCAAGACATCGAGAGGCCCCCATGAAACCGAGTGTAGTAGCTGGTGCATCGCCTTGGTGACCATGAGGCCCCGCCAGGAGATTGGGGTGGTATCCATGGGTGCTTCGCCCGCAGAATTATCAGACTGAGTTTGAGGTAGAAGATAGCCCATGGACATAGACTTGAGTCCATAATTTGTGAGCGGAACGAGGCAATTATCTGGGTTGGTTTTGAGTCAGTTAACATGGGCCCTGATCTCAACATCGACGGGAGCTAGATAGGGGAAGGGCTATTCTTACTTTCATCCAGACGTGGTTCACCTGAGAGGTTGAGCAGGGTTGGGACTGATGGGCCGAAAATGTCGGTGTCAAGCAATCCAGTCTTAATACCTCGGCGGGCAAAAGCAAGGGCAAGGTTTACTATCAACATGGAGACTGACTTAGCATGGGCCAGAAACCATTGTTTCAAAATTACTGGTGATTCCACGGGTTTGGACCGGATAGGAATTAATTGCGAGGGTGCAGCAAGAACAATAGATTGAAATGAGCTCAAGGAATATTAACCCACCCGCGACTGTTGATTTGCCTACGCCTCCCTTTGCCGACGAGACTGCCACTATTTTCTTGACATCCCGGATCTTGCGCTTTTCAGGAAGCCCGCGACGACGGGGAAATGATGGCGGTGTCCCTGAGCGCGGCAACCCCTGTTGGGAAGTTAGTCACTATTGTAGCATTTGGTTGGCATGGCCCAGATGGAGCTGGGGACTGTGAATGTAATGGGTCAAGATGGAGTTGACTTACCAGAGGGTTGTCATGCTGCAGAGCACGGAATGTGGAAAACAGCCTCTTTTTCAATGCTGCAGGACCACATGACACGGAAGCCATATTAGTAAATGTGAAAGAAAGGGCTGGAGAATGTCGAGATGATGGGAATTGTGATGTGAAGAGCAACAAAAAGTTGGATTGCGATTGTAGACAATAATTCTGCCTGGCATTAACTGACCGCCCGACCATCTAAATTCTGGCCGCCTTGAGATATTCCACGCTATGCCATTTATGGACAATTGTTCCGTTATCCGGAAAAACAAAAAAAAGTTGCCCGCGACTCTACTTCTTTCTCCATCATTGCCCACCATGGCCCCTGGTAAAACGCATCCTGGGCGCTCGCTAGCTGACCAGCTAGCTGATCTTGAAGATCCAACGCCTAAGGGTATGGAAATCTTGAATTTGCTCACCGTTTTAGTTGTCTTGAACCGCAAACAGCTGACGATATCCAGACTTCGACCCAGAAGATCTCGACCACGAGGGCAGTTCAAGTGATGAGGGGGCTGCGAAGGCATCAGATTTGAACGCTGGTAGAGAGCATTATCAAGCCGTAGGGTAGGGAATGATGTCTTACTTATGTGCAGTTGGTGAGGTGCTAATTCTTCAAAATAGAAAAGCGAAACTCCGGAAGCAAGAACCCATTACACTAGGGAAACAATATGCAGGCTCGCGTGTCAGTAGGGATGCCCTGGAAGCAGAAAGTGACGATGATCCTTTTGCCAAACGAACCGATGATCAAAGCTCTGACGAGGAGCTTATGTCCAACCCGGACGATGAGGATGACTCCGACGACCCCACCCACGGAGTCGGGGTGGGAAGCGACGACCCGCTGGATGACGAGAAATCCGATGCGTATCGACGGGGAAAGATGACAGGCAAATCGGGTTCTTCGTCTCGGGCGCAGCCGAAGAGTGCCTTGAAGAACGAGAAGGCGCTTTTGAGCACGCAACGGCAACAGCCAGGAAGAAAGCTATCGAAGGAACTGCCCGAACTTGATTTGATTGACATGGCTAGCTCATCGGATGGCTCGGAGAGCGGCCTCGGCGAGGACGGTGCCTCCGGATCTGAATTAGATGAAACGAATTCGGAAATGGCGGCCTCGGACGACATATCCGACGATGAAGACGAAAGCGAGGACGTGGACGAAGATGATGAGAGTCTTGAATCCGGCAGCGATGACGAACCAGGTGTTGGTGTTCGGAAGCAAGCATCCAAGAAAATGGACGGTGTGGTTAAGAACGCTAGTGCCGGCCGCAAGCAGGGGGACGATCGTGAGGAACTGAAAAGGTTGATGGCATCGGATCAGAAAACCATTGCCGCTACAATTTCTCAGGCTGCCAAAGCAGACGCTGCCAAGGGGAAGGCTGTGAAGGAACAACGTACCACTTTTGACGCTCTGTTGAACACTCGGATCAAGTTGCAAAAGGGGTTGAGTGCGATTAATGAGATTGCAGTGGTGACAGGAATGGGAGGCGACGGTGATACGGCGGAGAGAGGCAGCGATGAAGATGAAGCTGCAAATTCAGAGGCCATCAAATCCGCCGAAAACGCCGCTCTTGCGCTCTGGTCTACCCTCGAAGAGCTCCGCACCGCCCTCGCCAATGCTCAAACCAAAGATGGCAGCAATAAGCGGAAAGCTCCTGGGCCTATTACTGATTCAACATCGACTGCCTCGCTTTGGGAGCGTATGTCTGACTTGGAAACCGAGTCCCTCATTCACCGTCGTGCCATTCTCGACAAATGGTCTGCGAAGGCCCGAGGAGCGTCCGCCTCTGCTTCAAACACCCGTGGCAAATTACTGGGCTCGGCTTCTGGTACCCAATCAATCACTGCCGTCCTTGATGCACATGTTGCTACTGAAATCGGCAATCATCCATCCAAACGTGCGCGTCAAGCCTCTGTGCCCAATGGCTCGAACTCCGGCGAAAGCATTGAGCCAATCTACGATGACACGGCTTTCTACCAAGCACTACTCCGCGACCTAGTTGAGCAGCGCATGTCCTCCGAGGTAATGACAGGTGGCCTGGATAACTTGCACCAACTGCCGTCCCGTTTGCCCATTCACCCGATTACTGGCATGCGAAATGACAAAAATCGAAAGGAGGTTGATACTCGGGCCTCCAAGGGCCGCAAGATGCGTTTCAATGTCCACGAAAAATTGCAGAATTTCATGGCACCTGAGGACCGTGGCTCCTGGACGGTCCGGGCTCGTGATGAGTTCTTCGCTTCTTTGTTAGGCAAGACTGCTAGTGGTCTGTTGGGTGAAAGAGATGAGAGTGGGAGTGATATGGACTCTGATGAAGATAGGGAGGAAGGTGGCCTGAGGCTGTTCAGGAACTGATTTCATCCAGAGTCTGGTGGCTCTCGACTTGTACATGTACCATATCTGAACAGCATTCATACCCGTGATTACAAAAAGGCCAGCTTATGAACATGAAAAATAGGATTCATTTCATCCTCGATCTTCTCATTTATCCATGACCTTGACCCCAACTTTCTTATCACTGGCTCAGGGTGTATTATACTTCACAGCATTCATCATCCCCTTGCCACTGCTGGCGAAGTGATTGAATCAACGTGACCATATTCCACCCAGTCCTTCCATGCATATCATTCAAGAAAATCTCCGCGGCTTCCTGATCATTATGATTCCGGAGAACCCAACCCCCTGTATTCTTCATCAGTGCGTTTCTCGAAGTCAAATCGATGATCAGGTAACAAGTAATATCCTACAGGCTTCCAAAGAGTGTCGTGCGGTGAACCATGTGTTCTCAGCTCTGGGATTTGACTGTGCAAGACCTAAGATATGGAGTAGATGAGGACGTATGTTTTTCTATGTTTCGATAGCATGTCAGTCTATGTAGGTGGATTCAAAAGTTGAATGTAGAAAATAAATACTTCAATGACCCGGGACTGTCGCAAACTATCATACGCAGATGATTGTGTAGGGTTCTGAGAAAGCGCTAAGACAATCTTTGCCATGTGATAGTATTGAATGCCGATTACTGTCTCCTGTATCAGTTGATATACAAGAGTGGTGTCTGGGAGAGCCGCTTGTTTACCATGAACAGGTAATAGCATCCATATTGACGGGAACTTCCGCTCAAGTTCTGACCCTCTTGACACTAGCCTGACAGGTTCAAAAGTATATGGTTTGGACGTATACCACTCATCGACTTCAGCCTCGATGGCGCACGTCAGCGGTGACTCCGTAAAGCAACTCTGGAGGGCTTGTGCCAACAGAAATACCATCTTGCTGGACCAAGAAAAGTCATCTTGTCTATGAAAAATATCAGAATTATGAAAATTTTTGAGGTTGGTTCGTAATGGTCGCTGTTTCGTTAAAGACACATAGATATCTTGACGTAGACATAGCCAAGCAGCGGCCTCACCGAGACCACCCGAGGACCCCAGATTTGATAATGTATTCAGAATATGCGTTGTGCCCGTAAGATGAAACTGGTAGTCCTCTCCTACAGATCTGTTAGCTTTCGACGCAAATTAATGCAATCTCATTATTATATGTATACACACCATCCATTTCTTCATGTTGGCGCAGGATAGCAACTGCAGCAAGCGTGTCTTCGGTGATTCTATTCTCCGATTTGGAAAGCTCCGGGATCAATAATTGCACACACTGGTTGTGGTATTGAAGTGCGTCTGTTGCAGCATTTACATTTTGCCGATTCAGATGCCGCGAGGAGAATGCGAAGATAGCATAAAGTAAGACCGGCTCCTTGAGTGCCCTTGCTGGTACTTCGGACTCAAAGTGGCGTTTGGGGTCTGTTATATCGGCCTTTGTAGTCTGTTAGTTTTTCAAAAAGCTAACGCAAAGAGACGGCCACCGCACCCAGAGTGCCATGTTTTCAATAAAATTCCGGAGAAGTATTGCTTCTCTTTCTGTCAATTTATGAAGATATTTAAAGCTTGAACGAGCGCAGGACGATGCAGGGGAATACGGAGACAATTTTGATGCTGAGCTATATTCTCCGGCTGAACATTGGGGCAGGTTCGGAGATCCACGGCTGATCGGTTGCGATTGTATTTGCAGATGATGGCATGTAAAACTTTCTCTTTTATCTGATCCATGAATTATCGAGTAAGAGACACCCTCTTCGCTGGGTTCCAAATAAAGGCGAGTAATATCAGTAGTTTCATCGTGAAAGCGAACTGTACTAATTTAGATGCTAGGACCATGTATTTGAGCAGTCTACGTACTCTTCCTAGGTAATTGAGACCAGATTTGTCCCTCAGGGAATTTATTTTCAATTCCACCAGGAAATGTCAATCCATTGCGAAATCGAATGGTTGTTCGATCACAATGAACTTTCGCGTCATGACAAGGGATACAAACCGAGGAATCAATATCACCTGTGCCAGGTTAGCATAGTATCCTGTAATTACTTAGCTTGAGTTTCCATACATCTCAGATGTCGAGCTACACATGAGCAAGACTTTAGTTTAACACCCACATGTTCTGCCAGTCTTCGGGGTTCATTGGTTGACTTACTGCGACATCGATGGCTGTGCGGGACTCGGAATGAGTATTCAAGTGCCAAGTGTCAGGAGTTCTAGACATATACACTTACCAGCCGGCTGCCAGTCGTCTTCGTTTGGGTCTGGTGGCCATTGTAGTGGCTAATTCAAGCAAGTCTCTAAAATATGGAGAGAATTGCTTCGATCGTGTTGGGGAAATTCTCTCCAGTGCGGGGAATTTGGCCTTCGCGGGGCGAAATTCCTTGTGGGGCCCCCAGAATTTCCTGTTCGGGCGTATGTAGAAATTCTTTCCGTTTGATCAACAAGATGCCCGGAAGAAGGACTTTCGAGAGCACATAAAGACGGAGAGAAATGGAAGATCTTTCCCAGGGCGCCAATGATGAGAAAGAGATCAATGAAGGCTCTCATAGTACTATTTACATTCAAAGATATTTAAACCCCTCAAATCTCCGGCTGCTCTGGTCATGAGGAATCATCCTATTTCTTTTTCTTCTTCTTACACATTCAGACGTCTATATAAAGCGCAATGGCTATCCAGAAGCTTCAAGTGGGAATGGCCGGTCTTGGTCGTGTCGGCAAGTTCCACGCCCTCAACTTTCTCCAGCGAACTCCTCGTGCTGAGCTTGTTGCCGCATTTACTCCGGATCCAAATGAGATATCCTGGGGCAAGCTGAATCTTGAGCCTCATGGGGTAACTCTCTATGATAATTATGACGAGATGCTCAAGCACCCCGGGCTCCAGGCCGTGGCTATTGGGACTGCAACATCGGTGCATGCCGAGGAGGCTATCAAGGCTATTGAGCAAGATTTACATGTGCTATGCGAAAAGCCTCTCTCTATTGATGTCGAAGTGGTATGTGATTTTTATTTTATCTGGTTCTTTTTGGTTGAGATCATTTTACTGATATATCTTCTTGTTAACAGTGCAAGGCTGTGACTCAGGCCGCGAAGAAGAAGCCGCATCTGAAAGTGATGTGCGGATTCTCTCGCAGGTTCGACGAGTCGTACCGGGATGCCTACAGCAAGACGGAACAAGGTCTAATTGGACGTCCTTCTGTGATTCGTAGTCAAACTTGCGACAAGTTTGATCCTTCCGGCTTCTACGTCGAGTACGCTGCCTGGTCCGGTGGCGTGTTTGTCGATATGTGCGTCCATGATATTGACCTAACTCTCTGGTTCTTTGGAGATGATGTCATCCCGAAGAGCATCTCAGCACATGGCATCACAGCTGTGCAGCCAGAGCTGAAGAAACACAAGGATTATGACAACGCCGTCGGCATAGTCGAGTTCCAGAACGGCAAGATTGCTTATTATTACTGTACACGCATGATGGCCCACGGCCAAGAGGACACCACCGAGATTATCGGGACTGAAGGCAAGCTGTCTGTGAACAGCAATCCGCAGCGCAATTTCGTCAATCTTTACCATGCGGGTGGTATCACTCGTGAAGTCCCTCCGAATTTTATGGGGCGGTTCGGCCCTGCTTTTGTGCAGGAGGCGAATGAGTTCACTGCCGCATGTCTGGATGACACCCCACTCCCGATGAAACTCAGTAATGCTGTCAAAGCGGTTGAGATTGGGGCTTATTTGCAAGAGGCATTGAGGACGGGGAAGCAGATTCACTTTGATGAGATTGGCCGACGCATTGAGACGGCTCAGCTGTAAAAAGAAAACGGACACGGAAAATGGGCCGTACGCTTTAAAAATGAAATTCATAAACATTCGAATGACGATAATAGATAATTCTTTTTGTGCTTCTAGCTCTTTTGCTCTCCATTTCTGCGGTTTTCCGAGTTTTATAGTACGATATGCGAAGGTTCTCATTTTGCTGAGCACCACCGAATTTGGCTATTTAGGGCACGCCCAGTCATCTGTTCCCGTCGGGAATACTGTGAGAATCTCCCAAAATTTTGGTCAAATTCACCATTTAATTGTCCCCATCCGAGTCAAGCGTTTCAAGTCCAGGTCAGCTTTTTATGGGGCCTTCTCGCCGATGCCGACTCTCCCCAGCACACTTGCTTGCCAAGCGCCCTTGGAACCCCGCACGTCGCGGGCGAGGCGCGGCCCCTGGTTGGGGTTGGTGGACTCGGCTCCACCACGCACGAGATTATAGGCGCTTCAGTCGTGATCACCGGCTTCTGAGACTGGAGAGCAATTGCGGGGACCTGGCCTCTCAAGCACTGGCATGCTTAATGACGAGACAAGATGACGAAGCATTGGCATGATCGGCACTTCCCCAAGGGGCATTCCTTCTCATTTTCGGTTCTTTATTGAAGTGCCCCGACACTCTGTCTCCTCCGCTCTCTCTGAACATTCTCCGCGAGATATACAGAAGAGACCATCTTTCACCGACCCCAAATAGTTTGATTTATGCACTAGCCGCTCGCAGAAGAGGCTTGAAACAAGTGACGCCAGCTCATCAGCCTCCACGCGAGCGGAGAAAATGCGACTCGACATCATGAAGCCGTTGGGACTGGGGTCCTTTTGCGCTTCAATTTTCCAGTTCCTTTGCAGTGATCAGAACCAGATCACTCATCATCCGGTGCTACCTCCATCATATCCACTGGCGGTCCGCAACCCATACCTCTCGACATGGATGCCAAGCGACCGGGTAGAGCAACTGCCCTATGCAACTTCGCAATTTTGGGCCGGCCAAGAGCTCGGGTGGTCGGTGCTGGTCCGCGTGGATGGGCAAGTGTATAGCTTGATGGGAGTACCGGAATTGAAAGTCCACCAAATTCGCCCAGCTATTGTGCGCCGTGCTGAGTTCACCTCAACCCATTCAATCTTTGACTTGACAGCCGGCTCGGTGGGATTTACTTTAGACTTCTTTTCCCCAGTCTCGCCCTCGAACTATCTGCGCCAGTCGCTCCCTTTCAGTAAGCTTGGATCCTACAATGCGGAGCTTATAGGTCATACATTTCATTAACGCGATTTTCACAAACAGGTTATTTGACAGTAAAAGTCAGCCATTCATGGGGACATGACATTCAGATCTACTCGGACATTGATGGAAGATGGACTGGCCAACAAGATCGCTCAACTCACAACTTTGAAAAGCATGATGAAGTAGCCTTTCATAGTCTTTCGGTTGAAGATGCTGCACAGTACGCGGAAGCTAGCGACATGGCACTCTGGGGCCAAGCTATCCTTGCTTCACGTTCAACAGATGAAAGTGATCTCTCTGCGCTCTCTGGTGACCCACGAGTCGTCCGCGCGCAGTTTGTAGCTCATGGCGATTTGTCACAAGAAGATTCTATTTGGTCCTCAAAGAGCGTCATTGCTTTGGCTCATGATCTGGGATATGTTATCGGAGATGCTTCGGTAAACTTCGCTGTTGGCTACGAACGAAAAGAGGCCATCAACTACCTGGGTGAACCGTACACGGGTTTCTACCGGGCTGAGTATCCAACCACCCATGAAGCACTCGCATTCTTTTTCGATGATTACAAGGATGCTTTGCTGGAATCCTTGGAACTAGATGAGGAACTCTCTGCATTTTCAACCGCTGCTGCCGGTCCAAAGTATGCAGATATCGTGGCCTTGTCCACCCGTCAGGCATATGGAGGTATTGACTTGACAATTCCAAATGATTCCCTAGACACCGATGGGGTTTTGGCATTCATCAAGGAGCTTTCAAGCGATGGCAATGTCAATACCATCGATGTCATCATGCCGGCTTTTCCCATTTACTGGGTCCTCGATCCTGATTGGATTCGTCTATTGCTGGAGCCGATAATGCAATACCTGGATGCTGGCCGTTGGAAGCTCCCATACACCATCCACGACCTTGGGTCTCACTACCCACACGCGGTTGGGCATGACGACCAACACGCAGAGCCCATGCCCATTGAAGAGTGCGGGAATTTGCTTGTTTTAGCCCTCGCTTATGCTCGTGCGACTGGAGATAAAAGCTGGACCGATCAATATATGGATATCTTCCAGAAATATGCAGATTACCTGGTTGACAACAGTATCGACATTGCCAATCAGCTGTCCTCAAATGATGCTGCCGGTCCTCTTCCCAATGAAACTAATCTCGCTATCAAGGCTGCCATTGGAATCAAGGCATTTGGAGAGCTGAGTGGAAGAACTCATTACTCTCAAATTGGCGATGAGCATGCCGACCTATTCTATGCGCAAGGGTTGGGGACCGATGATGAGCAAACGCATTTTATGTTGGAATACCCCGATTTCCCCAATACATGGAAGATTCCATATAATCTTTACCCAGACGTGCTGCTAGGGCTGGACGTTTTCCCTATGGAAGCGTATCTCATGAGCAGCAAGTTCTTCTCTTCTGTTAGAGGTGAGTACGGTGTGGCACTAGATAACCGACAGGATTGGGCCAAGTCAGACTGGAACATGTGGCTGGCTGGCACTTTTGAGAAAGACACACGGGACGAGTTCGTTGATGATCTATGGGCATTCATGACAAATGGCAAACATAACTGGCCGTTTTCCGATCGCTATGTTTCCACCTCCTCCAAAGGAAATGAGCCTGGCGTGCCAGTGCTATGCCGTGCACGTCCCACCGTGGGGGGTCACTTTGCACTTTTGGCATTGAAGGGACCCCAGTCGATCCAGTCTTTGTCAAAGCACAAGTCTCGCAGGCCCTCGAACAAGTATGATAGATTCTCAGACCCTGGTGGCGACCTGTGATATTCTGTTCATCACACAGCATAGAGAGTGAGACTTGTGTATCTTCTTTTTCTATACCGTAGAATGACATTGCGCATTCTTCTGACAATAAAGTACACTTTTGCGTACATAGCATTCTTTGTTCAAGCCCAGAGCGTGTCGGTGAGCTCAATTATCGGATGCCATATACTTTTTGGGTATATATCAACTATTCAATTCTGGGCAAAAGGCAAAAGGAATATGTAAATGATTTTCACCGTCGGTCCCTGTCTTATTTAGGCCTCATTCACAGATGAGGAAATAGATCACGAGATATACCTCGATCAGTAGTAGAGGACATCCATCACCTAGGCAATAGTTCTCATAGAAAGCAGTATTCTAGCTTGCTGCGATGATTTGAATATTGGATTTTCTCACTTCTAGGTGATTACTCTACTACATCTTCAAAGATTCAGAGATCCACTGTTGGGCACTAGAACTTAGTGTTCTCTAGAGTAGGAGATTATCAGATTACGGGAAACCAGGTGAAAGGGACATGGCTTTTGTCGACAGATGATGATGATGATATCTTTCATTCAGACGCAGTCTTCCGCATGGGATCTTCAGCCTTTTTAGGTACTTCTGTATATATAGAAACAAAAATCCATATTCACACTCTCCTCTGCATCCTGTTTGTTGTTGTTCTCCAACCTCACCCTTGGACACACATCAAAACCCATTGAACTACAGGTCCTGAATCTGCATTACATTCCTTTCATAGCATGTTCACAGCCAACCTTGCACAGCTCCCTTCCGGCCGTGCTTCCTAAAAGAGCAAGTTGTGTTGTGAACCGCGCCAGGGGTGCTTACCTAATCTGCATGTCACGCCTCTGGGCTGTTGCTTCATCTCGATCGATGCGCAGGGAATCTTCTTTTGCCCTTCGAATTAATCCACCCCCATCTCTCTTCCCTTTTTGCTTTTCTCTCTACCTCCTGTCACATCTCCCTATCCTTGACGATCTCCGACCCGACTAATTATTTCCCTCCCCTCATGGCTTCTGTGAGTTACTTGCTCCTCGCCCCTCAGACTGGGCACCCAGCTTCTGGCCGCACCATGGAACGCCCCGTCAGGACCCTTGATCGCGAATGAAGCCATACTAATCACAGCTCGATATTCTCTAGCCCCGCCCTCACAACTTCGGTTCTCAAGGCTATCCTCTCTCGAACGGTGCGACACCGTCGGGTCCGGCGCCCGGAGCCACGCCGCTCCTTCCCAACAATGGCAGAATTATTCAGAATGGGCCAACCCGGATTCTGTGCATTGCGGATGTGCGAGGTACGGTTATTCGATGAGAATCCGATGCAGAGCATAGCTAATTGGGGTTGCGATGCAGGAAATCTGAAGTCTCTGAATGAGCTGGCAAAGCAAGCTGGCGCCGACCACATCATCCACACTGGTGACTTTGGTTTCTATGATGATACTTCTCTGGAGCGTATTGCGGACAAGTAAGTATAGCCTGGAAAGCTTCCAATCTGACATTTCAGCCGGCTCCAGCTTGGCGAATCCGGATGTCGCGTCATCTTTTGGGCGGCCCGGCCCAAAATCCCACAGTGAAGGGGACTGTGCTAACCTTTTTCTGCATGGACATTCAGGACCCTTAAGCATGTAGCTCAATATTCACCTCTTCTCCCTGAAAATGTGAAGCGGACGATTGCACAGGTTCCTCCGCAACAGTCAATTAAGCAGCGTTTCACCCCAGACCAGCTACCCCTCTCCGAGCTGCCCATGCTCCTTGACAAGCGCATCACTCTGGATGTTCCGGTGTACACAGTCTGGGGTGCCTGTGAAGATGTCCGGGTGTTGGAAAAATTCCGGTCGGGCGAGTATAAAGTGGACAAGCTACACATCATTGATGAGGCCAACTCTCGGCTGCTTGACATCGGTGGCGTGAAGCTCCGTCTGCTTGGACTGGGCGGTGCTGTGGTGATGCACAAACTGTTTGACAATGGCGAGGGCAAGACAACTATCGCTGGTGGCCAGGGTACCATGTGGACAACGCTGCTGCAAATGGGCGAGCTGATTGACACCGCCAACAGAGTCTACGACCCCTCCGAGACTCGCGTCTTTGTCACTCACGCCTCACCTGCCCGTGAGGGTATGCTGAACCAGCTCTCCGTCACTCTTAAGGCAGACTTTTCCATTTCTGCTGGTCTTCACTTCCGTTATGGCTCTTCCTACAACGAGTTCTCAGTCAATCCCTCCCTGGATCACTACCGCGGCAAGCTTGCGGCGTCAAAGGCATCTTTCACCGATGTCTGGGAGACTGTGCGGGGTGAGGTAGAATCCGCTATCTCCTCCAACGAGGCTCAGAAGACGCTACTGGATAATGCTCTCGACGTGGTACAGAAGATGCCTTCTATTGCTAATGGAGGTAACCCCTTCGGTGGCCCTGTCGCCGCCGGCAATGCTGCTGGCCAGGTAGACGAAAGTGCTTTCAAGAACATGTGGAACTTCAACCTTGCTGATGCGGCTTTCGGATACCTGGTCTTGGAAATCGAAGGTGGACGTATTGCGACGGAGATGCGGGCACAGGGATTCAACTTTGCCCACCGCAGCGGCAAGCCTGCGGCTGCTGGTGGACCCCAGTCCGTTGCCACTGGCCTTCCTGCTACCACTGCCTCTCCTGCGCCGACCGGTGCCGGTGGTCGTCCGACTGCCTCTACTCCTCAGTTTGGCCAGGCTCCTCCTGCCCGCGGTGGCCCCGCCCCTGGACAACAGCAAGCCCAGGCAAAGGGCCAACCGGCTCGTTCTTCGCCGGTTCCTGTCATTCCGAAGGCTTCCAGCCCCCAGATCTCTGCCACAGTCTCTCAACCCACCGGGGATGAGAAGTCAGCTAGTGCTGATATCAATGGCACCGCCCAGCAGGACAAGGGCGGTGATTCCTTTGTTCCCCGCGGGGAGAAGAAGCCCAGCAATGCTCTCTTCGTTTCTAATGTCGACGGCGAGCAAGCCATTCGCGATCTACTTTCCGAGGAAGACCAGGGCAAGGTGGAGAAGATTGAGAAGTACGGCAAATTCAACAACCACGTTGTGACGTTCGCGACTGTGGAAGATGCCAAGGCTGCTCTCGACCATATGCCCATTGAGTACAAGAAGCCGTCTGCCGGCCCTGGGCCTCGCAAGCCGAACTTCAAGCCCTTTGAAGATCGCAGCCGCGGGCATGGCAATGCCGGTACCTGGCAAAGTAGCAACCGAGGTGGTTCCAACGCTGGTCAGCGTGGCTACCAGAGCGCCAGCGACAGTGAGGGTGCTCGTCGGGGTGGATTCGGTGGCCGCGGAGGCCGTGGTCGAGGTGATCGGGGCCGTGGCGGCCGTGGCGGCCGCGGTAGCTTCAAGGGGTCGACCGACTCCCCTACAAACCCCTCGGGCGACAAGTCTGCCCCTTCAACCCCTTCGGGTGACAAGCCTGCCCCTTCTGGCGGTGACTCCTGAAGGCTGACATTGTCTATCTTCCTTCATCGTTCTTATCATTCGGGTTGCCGATCACCGTCGGCCGCCTTGTTTTCCTATGCCCCCTCATGTTGATTCTCAATGGCTTTCATATTTTTTCCGTGCCCAATATTCTAATTCTTTTTGTGTCTTTTATTTGACTCTCGTGAAACATTTTTCAATTCCCCTTTTCTCTTTTTCTTACTACAATGCGTTTTGAGCATAAGGGTGCTTTTGTCTGTGTGGTCGTTCTCAGTTCTTCGACGTCCTCTCCCTCCACCTTACGAAAGGGCGTCAGGATACTTTGGCGACATGAAGCATGTCGAAGGGACTCCTGGGGGTGAGTCCAGCGAAAGTCTGGAGAGCGCGTTTTTGTGACACGCAGAGACTGTCGAAGACGCAAAAAAAAAAAAGAATGCCAAAAAAATCATCACCATATTCCCTTGTTTCTTCCGACCGTTTTTTTGTTTCTTTGTACTTTACTACCTGTTCCCCCTGGAAGAGAAACCAAACATCGATACCCTTACAGCTTCGGTTTAGACTTGACGCTTTCGAATTGTAGCTTTAGACCATTAGATTCTGTTTTCTCATGTATCTCTCAGTTATGATATCTACCGAGGCCAAATGGGACTGTACTTCGATTTTTCTTTGACCAGATTCTTTATGAAGCCTACTACGTTCCAACACTTCTGTATTGGATCATGGAGAAAAACTCACTATTTTCAGAAGCAATCGAGAACGAGGCTTAGCTATTTACCGTCCCATATGGTTGGTTACGGTACTGGAGACGTACTGGAGACCTGCCAAGAATACATGTTTGATATTCTTCAGCAGATGTCACCCAGTCATGATGTCTTTGGTTTTGTTGTTTTAAGGGAGGGAAATGTGGGAAAGAGAGAAAACAGCTGAATTTGTTTACAATGGTACAAAATCGGAGCCACCGTCAATGAACGCAAGCCATCCCAATTCACCGAACTAGTCATATTCGCCAAATCCCAGAAATTTACCTTCCAATACACAAGGTCGGCTTCTTGGGCCGCCTCCTCCCAGCGCCGTCGTTGATGGCCGATCAGAGATTATATGCATGACGAATCCCGTGTCTCCATTCGCCAGGCTTGATGGAAATAAGACGCACGTCGATATGAGAAGGGCAAAATGGGCAACTACTAGAAATAAACAGGACGATTCAAGAGTGATGAAAGATATGACAGTAAAGATCAGGTAGGATCAGATGCTGAATGGATAAAGAAGGACAACAGGGTCAATAAATTCTCCTGAAGAGGGAAAAGAAAGTAAAAAAAAAGGGGCGATAGATACGCCACGAATGAGATTTAAAGCCGATCTCCAGCAGTAAGCCATGCATGTGGCAGGCAGTTCGTACTCTTTTTTTCGCCAAAGTTATATTTCATGACGCCGAGTGGTTTTCCAATAAGTTCGATGATGGGTATGAGTTAGATAGTAACGTGTAGTACAAGTTCAATGGGCGTGAAGCGAATTCCGTGAGTCATGAAAAGTGAATGGGCAACGTGCAATTATGCCCATTATCAAGGTCGGGGCTTACTTGGCGCGACCCATGATATCATCAACATCGCGCTGATTCACAACTACACCGCCCTCGGAGCAACGAGCCTTGGTGCGTAGTTCAGAGCAGAGATTGTCGACGTCGATCTCGCCATTGCGGAACTTCTCCATGGATTGAAGACGATCCCTGTGAAATAATTATTAGCGAGGCGCCAAAGGAATTTGTGAAATACCCATGTTCTGCCACAAGTGTGAACATACCAGATCTTGGTGCATGATAGCATCTGGGATTTGTCCTCGCCTGGAACAACCTCCTCCTCCAACTTGCTATCAATCTGAGCAATCAGGTCCTTCTTGGGCGCCTGTTGGACCGCGGCCTCCGAAAGGTTGTGTGATGGACTACCCAAATCGGGCAAGGGGAATGCGTCGTTGAAGAAAGAGCCAAAGTCTTGAGACAGTACGGCATCCTGCGGCTCGCGCCAGTCTCCAAAAAGAACTGGATCAAACTGACCGCCATTTTGTTGAGCCAGCCAATCGAATCCGACCGGGTCCTCGGTGGAGGACGAGACCGGTTGGTCGCTCGAGACACTCTGAGGCTTTGAATTTTGGTCTCGAGCAGCTGGAATGGGGTTATTGATGTTGCCGCAGGCCATGCCAAGTTTTGCACAGAATGATTCCTCACCATTAATGGAGCCGTGGATCCCGCAAATGTTCCCGGAGTCATGGGGCTTTGCCTCGGGCGGAGAGTTCAAGCTCGGTTCGGGGGAAGTACCACTCGAAGAGAGCAACTGACTCTGGTGAGAATCGGATGAAGAGGAGGGAGAATCCGAAGTAGCTGTATCGTTGGTCGATCCAGTGGATGGCTTCAGGTTATTATAAGGGGTCTTAATAGATGTGCTGCTACCAGGGGTTCCGTATGAACCAGCAGAGTTCGACTTAGCGCTACCAGGTCCAGTGGGTGTGCTGGCATTCGACTTGGAGGCATCGCCGGCCCGGGAAGCATGGAAGTTTTGGAAGCCGTTTAATGTGTCCCGGCTCAATACACCGGGAGCACGGTTACTGCCATCCTTCTTGGGTTGATCATTTTTGTTGGCTTGGCCATTGAAGAGATGCGAGCCTGGCAAGTCCCCGAATTTGGGAAAGTCAAACAGAAGATCATTGTTCTGCAGGCCATACGCTCCTCGTGAATGGGCACTTGGAATGGCACTCATGGCTGAGATCCCGTTGCTGCTCGTCATCCATGAGAGACGCTTGCGGTACTCACGCAGTTCGACTTGTAGTCGTTCCACCTGGGCTCGCAATAATCCATTTTCCTGGTTGGCTGAATCTGAAGACTTCTGCAGCTCATCCACCTTGGTCTCCAAATCCTTCAAATGCTTTTCCTTGCGTTCGCGGAATGCCCTCTGAGCGGCCCGGTTCTGTGCCTTCCGTTTCTGGGGATTGGTCAGTGAATTGAACATAGTAAAGCTACTGTCTCTCGCGTTGGCGAGTTCCGATGACCCTAAGGAAATGGATATGAGCATACCGTGGTGGGCTCAGAGGTCAGTGGCTTGCGACCGGGCTTCTTTGCCTCGCTTTCCCGTCGCTTCTTCCCGGTTTCCTCGCCTTCCGTCTCGACGCTACCGTCCATGGATTTGCGCTTTTCGCCAAGTTCATATTCGGTTCCTGTTCCTCCGGGCAGTTCGCCAATCAGCTCTGCGGATCCCGGAAACTCAAAGTCGGCCTCCGGAATGAAGTCGAGGAATGGGCTCTCATCATCACCAAAGCCAAATGTATTGAGCTGAGCGGAATCGAAACCTCCGGAAGGGGGAGCGCTGATTCCATTGGGGGAGTGGCGATCTGGGCTGGGGTCGGGTTTGATAAGGGGGGTGTGGTTGGGGTTTGACTGAGGTTGCTTGTGGGCGGGCGTGTTGGACGACAGGGCGGCCAGCAGCAAATCCTGCTGGTTGGGGGACAGGTAAAGCCCCTGCTGATAGAGCTGCTCGTAGTCGCCCATGGTGATCAATGTCCAGACGGTTCCCGTAAGAGGGGGGGGGGAAATGGATCAGGAGAGATGGAAAGATGGAAAGATGGATAGATTCGAGGGGAATCCGAGACGAAAGATCGGGCGTTCCGCCCGCAAACAGGAATGAATAAATCAAGTCGAGCGGATCGCTCCCACACGGTCGAGGCTGGAGTTTGTGGAACAATAGCTCACCAAGCTTGAGCGGGTGTTGGGGGGTGGTGAAGGCCCCAGGCAGAGATGGAAGGGGGGAGAGGATCTAGAGAGGGAGGGGGGGGGGGGGCAAGGGAGGGGCGTTGTAGTAGAAAAAAAGATGCAGAGGAGCCTCAGGCGGCAAGAGAGCTTTGGGGGAGAATCCACTTGTGACCAGATTCGGGTTGGAGGCTTTTTTTTCGGTATTAGATACTGGAGTAACAGACAGTATCTAGTATCAATGGTATCACTAGAGGAGGGGGAGGAGGAAAGAGAAGAAGAGAGAGAATGATGAAAGAGGCGATCGCAGGTGCAGTGGACGAATCGGCGGTGTCATTGGACCGAGATCCGGTCGAGACTGATCGGCGGCCAATCACGCGGGGTCCGTCACGGGACTTCACGGGACTCCGCTGCTTAGAAATCCAGTTCGATCGTGTTCTGCCGATGGAAGCGCATTGGGCGGACTGGTGACTCATGGTGGCACCCGTTTCATGGTTCTACCCATTTATCGAGGTTCGCTCCGAACAGAGGACAGAGACTGGATACTCTGTATTCTTCATACCGCAGATCAAACTAGATTCATTCAGGCATCGATTCACTCGAAGATCTCGAGAACAGAGTGAGAGAGAAAGAGGGACACGATGTACGCAAAGATAAGACTGAGGTACCTGCATATCGCGATATAGACAATATAGACAGGCGAAATACCTTGAGTAAGTACTGCTCATAGTACGCCGTACTCTTGGCTGCAGATCGACCAACCACACTGTGGCGGGATTTGGGAGAGACCCCGGAGTGTGATCCTCACGCACAGGGGATACGGGACTTACGAGCCTGACTCCCTCCCACCGCCATGGTCCAGGTCCCCCCAGGTGTCTCTTGATTCGTATCCATCGTCCTCCCGGTCTGTAGCCTCGAGTCTGGCCGAAAACACTCAGCCTTTCCCAGGGTCTGGCCCCACCGAGGACGGAGCACAGTCCAGGATTTCCAGGATCAGACCACATTTGTCCCAGTGGCAAACCCCCCCCCCCCCCCCCCCCCACACCTTTGTTCTGACGATACATACACGCCTTTGTCAGAATGGGCGCTCTCGCCGACATGACGATAGAGTGGAACGTATACAGTAGTAATCTATGAGTACTTTTAAAACCCTGTCAATCCTCCGGCTTTCGGAGGCGCAGCCTTAGTGGAACCTCTGTATCACGGTTCTTCTTTTTTTTTTTTTTTTTTTTTTTTTTTTTCACATCTTTTATCCAGCGCGAAAATTCTCATGATATCCTGGAGAAAGTATGATGGAGAGATTCTTCGTTCTCGCCCGTCCTCCCCCATCTCATTTGCAAATCGGGTATGAAACGGCGCCTTATCGAGATTATCGAGATTATCGTACTTATCGTGCTTATCGCGCTTATCGGGGACTCGGTATTCCCTCGTGGTCCCCAGCCTGAACGGCAGCCCTCGAGTGTGATCCGATTCATATCTGTCTATCTGTCCAATGAATCCCATAGAATCTGAGTGAAGATATGAAGAGACAGAGAAGCACACGGGTAGAGACATGTCTCGGTTAAAGAATATAAGAAATAAATCTGGACTCAATCCTGGTGGGCATCCGACATCCTGCACCTGAGGACTACGAAGACCGTTTCCATCACGTGACGGTGATCGAAGGCAAACGCGACCACTCTTCTCCGCATCGCACCACAGGCCCGCCTATCAACCCACCAACTTGGTGTCTGGAGCTAAGCCCTTTTTTATTCTTGTCTCGGTTGCCTGTGTTTTTTTTTCTTCTCTGGAGTATTCCACCGTTTGTATACGTGCTGCCTCTCTTCTCAATCGCCGCCCACCATGTCCGACGTAGCTTCTCTGGAGGCTGAGGTCAAGGAATTCAAGATCCAGGTAATTTTCCGCTGGAGCCGATATTCATGCTGTCAGGACAGATTCACTAATTCCGGATCCCTTCTTTAGCTGGAAACCGTCCAGTCCAGCTTGCAGGTAGAACCCGATAACACGGAACTTCAGAGCCTCAGAACTGAACTCGAAGAACTCATAACCCTCACCGAAACGGCAATCGCCGAGCTCAAACCATCTGCGCCCACATCGAAACCTGCTCCAGAACCTTTCAGGGAGTCATGGTCGTCGAAGGATACAGTGACGGGGTCGCGCAAGCCTCAGTCAACCGCCGAGCACAACCGGGGAGAGGTCGGGCCACCGACGCCCGCCACCTTCTCCATCAATGATAACGTTCTGGCCCGTTGGATATCGGGCGACAACGCCTTTTACCCGGCTCGCATTACGTCGATCACTGGATCCTCTAGCAACCCGGTGTATCTCGTCTCGTTCAAGTCTTACGGGACCGTCGAGAATTTGACGGCCAAGGATATCCGCCCCATCGCGGGCACTGACTCTCGCAAGCGCAAGGCTGATGGAACCTCAGGCAGTTCGGCATCACCTTCCCCCGCCCCGCCATCTACCGCACATCCCAATGTGATCTCGGCGGCGGCCGAAATCAACCCCGCTCTGGCCAACCAGGCTCGCATGGAACCCAGCAAGGTGGGAGATGGACCAGCACGTCCCGCCAAAGTGCCGCGGAAGGTCAAGGCCAACAAAGAGCTGGAGGCGGGTAAGATGAAGTGGAAGGATTTCGCCGCCAAGGGCAAGGGCAAGAACAAGTTTGGCAAGAAAGACAGCATGTTTCGTACTGGTGATGGAGTCAATGCGCGAGGTATGTGCTACTTTTTTGCCTTCCGCTTTGGGAACTATCCTGACTCTTTATCTACAGTGGGGTTCACAGGGTCTGGCCAGCAAATGCGGAAAGACCCAACCCGTACCCGCCACATCTATCAGCAGGCTGAAGATGAGGGCTATTGAGCGTTTTTTGTTCACAGAACGAGGGGCCGGCGAGGTTGCAACAGCATATTTAGGCCCAAGGGCCTTTCCCGGTTAATGGCTATGTGATGCTTCTACTTTTTCTTTTCTTTTTCCGAGTTTTGTTCCTGCCGTTTGGAATGCCTCGTGTTCTCGTCGCTAACTGGATCGGCGGTGCAGATTACAATTATCTTTTGTATTTCTTCGTCCAGCGGAGTTTTTGGTTCATAGATCACGGTTCTGCAGGGATTGATTTCATGGATTATATTTCTTGATAAGAAGTTGCCTTCGATATCCAATGCCTTCCCTATCCACGTCGATGTGTAGCTATCTAATTGTGACTCCCCTTCAGATTTGTCTATCACCGGATTCGCTTCGCGAGGGAACTGCTCCCTGGCGTCCTCTCCGAACTGCCGATTATGGCGCCAGGTAGACCCGCCCACCTATGAATCTGAAAGATTGTTCGTATTCACGCCTGTTCTGTAAAGGGATAGACTAGGGCCATTGGATGCGAAATTTGCACTATAAGTTTCAACGTCCTGGTCTCTCATCGGGCCTCTATCAAACCTGATGAAGCCCAATATTTTCACAATATGGCTTCCTGGCAAACGTGACATCATCGGTGTCTCAGCATTGATCACTTTGGCGGAGCGTTGGTCCACAGTCTCCAAGTCCTGTAGGTTCATTCTGTCTGCATTCTCCCCTCGGACGTCTGGTCTGGTCTTCTAGTTTTTATTGGCATCCTTGCCACCAGGCTGCCGACTATGCATTCTCCAAGGTCTCTTGTCCAAGGATACGGCGCAGTAGCGGGTGTCGAACCTGGATTGGGTGTGTCGAAGTAATCTGTGCTCCTATGCTCATAAATTTTCATACTCATTTGCTAGAAGCATTTTATTTACGGAGGATCTGATCTCGCCATCCCACCGGACACTCGAGCAGTAGTACCATGTAGTACTATATATTTCTATGCATACACCCACTTTCCCCTTGTCCCTCTTTTCTCCATCGAGATCACATGCGCCAGACACAATAATTTCTGCAAAGTCTATCGCTGCGCGACCCAAACTCCGCGTCGCCGAGCGAACCAGTCAATGGCCCGAAGGGAAAAAAAGGCCAACACGGAGGGCGCGGAACGGTGCCCAACATAGAAGCTGGAGAGACCTACACCTTCGCATTTGCCCAATGGCCGCACTGGAAGGGCCCAATTGACCCAATTGATCCAGTCGTCAACCCAACGCGCCGACCCAGTTTTCCCTTGTTGCCCGCTCGACGCGGTCTGCAAATTTGCTCGGAAGCGCAAATTTGCGAAAGTGGTCCCTCACGCCCTAAACCCCTTCGGGTCGTTATCCCACCCCTAACTTTTTTTTCTGCCGCGTCTTCTTTTTCTTCTTCTTCCTTCCCCCACCATCCTCGCCTTTTCTTTTCTCCCTTCATATTTTTTTTCCTTGTGTTTTTACTGATTTGAGATACCCCGTGAGCTGTTTGTCTTGTCGACAAGCTGCTCATTCCCTTCGTCCCATCCTTGCCTTTGATCTGATCGGGGCCTGGGACACCCCTCAGTGTGACGTCCACACTGCCAACGATTTTTTTTTATCTGTGTGATACCTTAATCTTCTTCCATCATGGATCAGCAACGCTTCCTGCAGCAATTGCAAGTGATCCTGGATCGTACGTTCCTGGATCCTTCCAATGTATGGGTTGGGACCCCTCCGCTAACCCTTGCGTGTATCTGCAGCCTCCCAGGGAAACGTTAAGGAAGCCACTGGCATCCTGCAAAAAGAGTTTTACAACAAGCCAGAGTCTCTTGTTCTCCTGGTTCAGATTGCCACTGGCCATGAGGATCCTAACCTCCGTCAGCTGGCCGCCGTCGAGGCCCGTTCGCACGTCCAGAAGCTGTGGCTGAAGGTCGCTGCCGACCAGAAGCCTCAGGTTCGGGATCAACTGCTCCGGTCTACCATGGGTGAGAGCTCGTCTCTTGTCCGTCACTCTGTTGCTCGTATCATCTCAGCTGTGGCCAAGATTGATCTTGAGGACGGTGAGTGGGTGGATCTACCCAACATCCTCCTTCAGGCTGCCGACAGTGGCAACCAGGATGAGCGTGCCGTCGCCATCTATATCTTGTTCACCATTCTGGAGACTCTCGGTGAGGGCTTCGAGGAGAAGTTCCAGGACCTCTTCAATCTCTTCAACAAGACTATCCGTGACCCGGAGAGCGCCGAGGTCCGCATCAACACGCTTCTGGCTCTGAGCAAGCTCGCCATGCACCTTGACTCCGAGGAGAACGCTGCCCCCGTCAAGGCGTTCCAGGATATGGTTCCCGCCATGGTGGCCGTTCTCAAGGATGCAATTGATCAGAGCGAGGAGGACCGTGTGATGCAAGCCTTCGAGGTTTTCCAGACCCTGCTCGGCTGTGACCCTGCCCTGCTCACAGTTCACCTTAAGGATTTGGTCATCTTCATGAATGAGCTTTCCGCCAACACCGAGGCTGATGAGGATACCCGTACTCAGGCTATCAGCTTCCTTATGCAGTGTGTCCAGTACCGCAAGATGAAGATCCAGGGTATGCGTATTGGAGAGCAGTTGACTCGTACCGCTCTTCACATTGTCACCGAGCTGGATGAGGCTCCTGTCGACGACGACATCACCCCTGCCCGCTCTGCTCTGGGTCTTCTGGATATGCTCGCCCAGAGCCTTCCCCCGAGCCAGGTGGTTGTTCCCCTCCTCCAGGCTCTTGGTCAGTACTTCAATAACAGCGATCCTAACTACCGCCGTGCCGGTATCATGGCCTTGGGTATGTGCGTTGAGGGTGCTCCTGACTTCATTAGCACCCAAATGAAGGAGATCTTCCCCATGGTTCTCCAGCTCCTTGCCGACCCTGAGCCCAAGGTTCGCCAGGCTTCCCTCCATGCTGTTGCCCGTCTCGCGGATGATCTCGCCGAGGATCTCAGTGCCGAGCATGAGCGCCTGATGCCCATGCTGTTCAAGAACCTGGCCAGTGCCATGCAGGAGTACAAGGGTGAGGAGGATGGACCTACTATGGACATCATGAAGGCTGGTATCAGCGCCATTGACGCCGTCGTTGATGGTCTCGAGGAGAAGGATGTTGCTCCTTACCAGGCCGAGCTTGTGCCCATCCTGCACAAGCTTTTCCAGCACCCTGACTTTAAGATCAAGGGTCTTGCTGCTGGCGCCCTGGGTTCCCTCGCTTCGTCGGCTGGTGACTCTTTCCTATCCTTCTTTGACGAGTCCATGCATCTTCTGCAAGAGTTCGCCACTGTCAAGGACAGCGAGGATGAGCTTGATCTCCGCGCTAGCGTCACTGACGCTATGGGTGAGATGGCGGCGGCTGCTGGCCCTGAGCGTTACCAGCCGTATGTCGAGCCTCTCATGCGCGCTACTGAGGAGGCTCTGCACCTTGGCCATTCCCGTCTCAAGGAGAGCACCTACATCTTCTGGGGTGCAATGGCTAAGGTCTATGGTGAGCACTTCACTCCTTTCCTGGAGGGTGTCATCAAAGGTCTTTTTGAGTGCATTGAGCAGGATGAGACTGACCTTGAGGTTGAACTCGGCGAGGCTGCCAAGGATCTTGTCGGCCAGGAGGTAACTGTGGCCGGTCGCAAGGTCAAGGTTGCCAGCGCTGACGACGATGATCTCGACGGTGACATCGAAGATGTCGAAATTGACGACGACGAGGATGCCTGGGATGACATTACTGCCACCACTCCTCTGTCTCTGGAGAAGGAGATCGCTGTTGAGGTCATTGGTGACCTGATCACCCACACTCGCAGCTCCTTCCTTCCCTACTTCGAGAAGACTATTGAGACTGTGATGCCTCTCGCTGAGCACCCTTATGAGGGTGTTCGTAAGAGCACCATCAGCACCCTGCACCGCTCCTATGCTATGCTTTTCGCCATTGCTGAGGAGAGCGGCCAGATGCCCAAGTGGCAGGCTGGTCTTCCTCTGCAGGTCCAGCCCGCCAAGGAGGTTAAGAAGTTTGGCGAAATCCTCATGACTGCGACCATCAAGATGTGGTCTGAGGAGGATGACCGGTACGTTGATAATTGTTTTTGTGTTATATTGTTTATTGTGCTTTTTTGTCGGCATGGCCTTTTATATGATGATTCCTACCGCTTAACCCAGCTCACTTTGACACGTCAAAGAACGTGATTGATGTGAACAGCGATTCTGTTATCTGATATGTCTACATTGGCCATGTTTTGCATTGCGCTTTTTTGATCTTTGTTGATCGTCGATGAGAAACGTTTATACTGACTGATCGATTTTAGTGCTACCGTTGCTGACATCAACCGCAACATGGCCGAGAACCTCCGCTTCTGCGGCCCTGCTCTGATTGCCGACGAGACCGTGCTGCACAACGTGATCCAGATGGTCACTGACATCATCACCAAGCAGCACCCTTGCCAGTTGGAGTTCGGTCCTGAAGAGGAGACCCTCGAGGCCGGCGAGGAGACTTCCGAATTTGACTGGGTTGTGGTTGACACTGCGCTCGACGTTGTCTCTGGTATGGCCGCCGCCCTGGGCCAGAGCTTCGCTGAGCTGTGGAAGGTGTTCGAGAAGACCATCCTTCGCTACGCCAGCAGCACCGAGTCTCTGGAGCGCGCCACTGCCGTCGGCGTCCTTGCTGAGTGCATCAACGGCATGGGTGCGGCCGTGACCCCAAACACCGGCTCCTTCCTGAAGTTGCTGCTGCACCGTCTCGGCGATGAGGACCCTCAGACTCGCTCCAACGCCGCCTATGCTGTTGGTCGTCTGATTGAGCACTCAAACGCTGATGCCGAGATCGTCAAGGAGTTTCCCACAATCCTTGGCCGTCTGGAGTCGTGCTTGCAGATGAACGTCTCTCGTCTGCAGGACAACGCCACTGGTTGTGTCAGCCGCATGATCCTGCGCCACCGCGACAGTGTCCCGACCAAGGACGTGCTGCCGGTACTTGTCGGCATTCTGCCCCTGAAGAACGACTACGAGGAGAATGACCCTCTGTACCGCATGATCTGCCAGATGTACAAGTGGGAGGATGCGACCATCCGCGAACTCACCCCCCGCCTTCTGCCCGTCTTCCAGGCGGTGCTGACTGGCGATGAGGACCAGCTGGAGGATGAGCGCCGTGCGGAGCTCATCGAGCTGGTCAAGTGGCTGAACCAGATGCAGGCGGGCGCTGCCCCCTGGGTCGAGCAGCTGTAACAGATGCATTAACGGACTAAATGTTGTGATGACCTGTCGGGCTACGTGTTTTTAATGGAATAGACGGATGATTTGGAACCCACCTCGAGATGCTTAGACGATACCCTGTCTCCGGCGGTGGTTCCCGCGATGAATGATGAAAAAAAAGTTGCTGCTGTACATAGTTCAATGGACTTGAATTTTTACCTCGATGTTCTATTCTTGGATCTCTACCATCAAACCTTGGCGCATGTAGTCACTCCTTCTCACGACGCCCTCGCGATCTTCGTTGGACCTATATACCACCTGCATGTTTATATTAGCCTTAGTTCTATATTTTGTGTTTGATATACAGGTTGCAGGAAGGATCCTACAGTAGGTTGTTGGGCGCCACGTCCGCCATTGTTATGTGTATTCCTCCGCTAATAGCTATTTCGACGCCCGCGAGATCCGTATCTAACCTCTAACCACTCGTGCTCACAAAATCTCCAGCGAAGGATGAAGTATTGGAACAGATGAATCTCACATAAGTGCACATAAATGGGTAGTCTGTCGCCTAAGGCTCGCAACAGCTCCAGAGCAAGGACTGTGAAGTATCGTGGCTGCTCGTCTGTGCCGGAAATCAACCAAATCCCGCCGTTAGTCTCAGCCGTCTTGGTCCCACAGTCCGTCTGAGGTGCGCTGTGTGCTCCAAGGTATATGCTTGTATGTGGCTGACTCGCTGACTATTCGAGCAGGCTCTTCCAGTTCCGAATTCCTGGGTATCGAAAGGAGCAGCGTATTCCCCTCCACTCATCATGGTTGCCTCGGTCTTCATTTCTCCTGTTAACTACATCCTCCCCAGACCGGCTGGAGCGGCGATCATCAAAGCTACTAGGACGCGGTGTCAAAACCTTGCGGCAAAACGGAATGTGGACGCAGCGATGGCCACTGCCATTGTCACGAAACATGCTTTTTTGATCCTACCGATTGTTGCTGTTGTGTGGTCAAGTAAACCAGCAAGGAATCGGCACGCCTGGATTATGTTCTGCATGGATCTTTGATCGTCAGATCGCCAGACAGGGACCATCCAGAAGTTTTCTCCCATAAAACCCACCGAATGTAACATCAAGAAGGGCGCTCGTCGAAAAGGAGCCAGACAAGGGTCTTGCGAGGTTCGCAGGCACTCGCAATAACAATATCTGGAGTTCGGGTTGGGCTCTATCGTGGATGTCTCATTTGGTAATGATCACTTTGGTTGTTCCATAGCCCCGTAGTCCTGGAGTTCTATCATTTGACGATTCCATAATTCGTTGTTGGTCTCACAGTGGCCGCCATCCATGCCCTGTAGACTATAGAGAATCATTGTCAGCACTTTCTTCTGTAACAACCACCCTTAGCCGTCAGTTGCTGTGTAGAAACTGGTCATCATTTCAAATAAATCAGCTCTTCCTCATCGACTCCCTCTTCCCCCGAAGACCACTGAAAAGTGTCTCCAATTCGTCAACCCCCGGAATTTCAGGACAACCGAGTCGCCGGTATCCGCTGACTCAGCGCAAGAGGTTCACCGAACCCAGATCGCCTTCGATCTTTCAGTTCTCCATGCCTCATCCATCAGACGAAGAACCGCGCAGGCGCACGGCCCGTGCCTGCGACTCCTGCTATAAAAGAAAGGTAGAGTGATGGCGAATTCGAATGTTGAAGGTTGATGCTGACGGGGGAAGATCAAATGCGACGCCGCTGTCCCGAAATGCAACTGGTGCAGCCACCACAATCTCCCCTGTACCTTTGATCGAGTGATACAGAGGAAACGAAAAGCTGAAAATGATGGATCGTACGTGCCCGGGGAATATGCTCTATAAATTCCCATATCTTTTTTAGTTAATATATCTTTGTTCTACGAAAATTAACTTACAGTTATCAGTCAATCTAAAGCCTCGCGCCTGTCCGACCGCATCAGTCGGATCGAACAGCTTCTAGCAGAGAATCTGATTCAGGGTTCCCGATCCGGTATATGCTCTATTCTTCCTATCTCCAAAGACATGGCATTGTACCGGAGACCATGCTAAGTGGAATCTAGTTTCGCCGAATCTCGCGCAGATCCCAGATGACAACACAACAGCCAGTAATTCACCAAGCGCCAGCACCAGCACCAGCAGCAATCAGTTTATGTTCTCAGCCCCAGTGGGTGTTCATTTCGCCGGCCGGGAGCTAGGGGTGATCAGTTTACTCACGGGTATTCCCTTCCTTCTTCCTGAGGGTCAAAAATGGATTCAGTCCCGGACGGGTCAGATGATCGCAAGTGACAAGTTCAGTCCTACACGAGTGCCCTGGGAGAAAGAACGAGGCCATTCATCAAATGCCTTGCTGGTGAATATGCCTAACCAAAGCCTTTTTGAGCTACCTGACTACCGTATCGTGCGGGTGTACTTCGAAGCATATAGGAAATCTGCAGTGATGCGGCGGCTCTTTCCAGTCGTCGATGTCGAGCTATTTGAGGAGACCATCAGCGCAGCATATCATCAACCACAGTCAACCTTCAGGCCGGGTCAGGCTAGCACCCGAGCATGTATCATGGCTTTTCTTGCTTTTATTTGTCGTCTTCCTCCAGTCAAGGAGCAGGTTCAGATTTGCGATCGCCTAGCCCCAGTTGATCACGATGCCTTTGCGAGCAAGGGCCAATTTCTCATTGCTCAGATATTACAAGAACCCGCAGATCTAGATGGCCTACAGGCTGTGACCATGCTGGTAAGACAGACCCCTTCCCCTTCCACATCATCGCTTTCGCTGTGAATACACCTGTCTTTCTTTAGCGCATGCTAACCTGTCTGGGTTAAAACCGTAGACTCTCTATGAGCTCTCGTCTGGAAATATGCGGGCCACTAATTACTTCGCCGCAATTGTTGCGCGCCAACTCTTCATGATGGGTGCCAATATTACATACAATAGAGATCATCACGTCAGTGAGCGTAGCCGGAGGCGACAAGAGCAACTGCGCAATATCTTCTGGATATGCTACACGTTTGACAAAGATGTCTCTCTTCGCACCGGACAGCCGCCGACCATTGCTGATGAGAATTGCGACTTGACTCTGCCCGCAGGTTATTTGGATCGAGCGTTTATCGACCCAGAGAAAGACGATAGTCCACTTTTAGAACCTACGTTCCCCTTTGATCTCCGCCTGAGCATGATCAAGTCTCGTGCACATAGCCATCTATACTCTGTGAGTGCTCTCGCCAAGTCCGATGCCGACCTCTTGAAATCGATTCGAGAATTGGACGACGAGCTCGAGGAATGGCGACTCTCAATCCCGGTGACATGGCGTCCCACCATGTCATTTTCTCCGGAGACTTCTGACCCAAATATGAGCATGCATTCCGTCATGCTGCGGCTGAACTATTATTTGTGTATGAGCGTCATTCACCAGGCGAGCAGTCGGTGCAAGTCATGGACGCAGGGAAGTGGGATGATGGACGGAGTGAGCTCGAGTCTAGCGCTTTCCGTGGAGGCAAGTCGCTCAACCCTCTGCTATCTGGAAGCAGCAGAGCATGTTTTGGTAGATGGCATTTTCTGGTACGATTCTTCCTCCTCTCTCCCTACTATCGTTATTGCTGACCAGTTCTTGGTCTAGGACTTTGATCTTCTATCCCATGTCCGCCCTCCTTACTATATTCTGCAGCATCCTCCAGAATCCCCTAGATCCGCGCTCACGGGATGATTTAGGCCGCCTTAATATGGCCACCGTGATGATGGAGCGTGTTTTTTCAAGAAAGCTTCCTGAGAACGAGATTGTTCACTTCAAACTCGTGGCGGACTTTGTGGTTGAGCTTAAGAAGTTGGCTGAGTGCGCCATTGATAAGGCATGGCGTGAGCAGAGCACTGGGCTAAGTCTACCTCAGTGATGATTCCAAGGGTTTTACCTTTAGAATTTTCTGAATCGAGCTGTTCAATCGCTTAAGACGGTTTATGCCATGGGAGTTTGGGGATTTGAGGATATCGGCGCAACATTCTGGGAACGCAGGGACATGTACAACGGCCTTGGATATGTATAATTTATAGCTATAAACATAGAACACCCTTATTTCTGACACTCCACTATTATCTACCATTTTAATAACGGCCCCCACCATCAACAAGAAATAGAGATGGACTTTGACTGGCAGCTACAACTTTCCAATATTCCAATGATTCAAGGTTCATTTACATCGAGCTCAGAAGCATAACCAGCAAGGGTGTCTTTTGAAATTATGTTCATTATATTTGTAATCTCGTTATCTCATCTTTTGCAAATATTGCTCTGCCTATAACTCTCAAGGCAGTAATTAGCAACTTGGATCCACAAGTATAGCCAGCCATCACAGAAAAGCAAAAAGATCCCAGAATGTAGCCACATAGCCTGGTCAAGACCAGGAGAACAAAGCCCGGATTATGATAAAAAAAAAGCACACGAGGTAAGAATTGTGCTTTTCATATGGGGTTGAAATCAAAACATCGGGCATCTCATCATAAAAAGAATCACGGGACAGACACACGATAAAGCCGGGCATTTACAATGTAACCAAGGAAGATAGCCAGGCCGTGACTAGTCCCAATTGGAGGGCTTTGCTCAGCTATGCGACAATAGCTCCTCCTTGTCCAGAAGATTCCAGATCAATTGCGAATCATTCACACGCTCTTCAACTTCCTTAAGTTGGCCCGACATCTCAGGCAGCTTGGTGGAGTTCATCTGGCGGCCCTCGGTCTCTAGTCGTGATAGGAGATCCTCGATATCCACCTTGACTTTGTCCATCTGTTGAATTTCATTCTTGGTGCGCTCTAGTTGCTCTTCCATCATCACTATAAGGGATTCGCGAGCCTGGTGAGGTCGATACAGATTTAAAAGGTGATGGGCATTGATGAACAAGTTGCGCAAGTCTTGTACCTTAGACTCAAATTGTTCGGGCGATATCGAAAGGATGCCGACGAACTCGAGAAAGTTCAGAAGAAGAGACTTGCTGATTTTGAGCAGGTAGTAGGCGTGGTTGATACCTTGGGGGGACGTAGAAGGAGCTTGAGCGGTGTCTGTGGGCTCTGGGTAGAGCTGGTCGATCCCTTGTTCTTTCAGAGATGGTAGCGTGGTCGATAACTAAGGCATAGTCAGCATGTCTGCGTCTCTTCCAGGCAGTATTTCTCTCTCTCTCTCTCTCTCGCTTTATCCGGTTTTCTCTAGCCGTACCGTTTGTAATTCACCAAAGACCGAGTACTCTCCCGTGGGTATCTCCGGCGGCACCATAAAACGTAACTCCGGCGGCAGATCTAACTTGCGTAGTTCGGCCGGTAACCACTTCTTGTCCTTTTCTGATAGCCCTTCTCTGTCCTTGACAGCTTCGGCCTTAATCTGATCCAACTTGTCGAGGTTCTCACGTGTGAAATGCTTCCACAAGGGCGGCGGCGGCGCAAAGGCAGCAGTGACCGCTCGTTGTTGATTCGAATCAGTCATGATATGTCAATGAGAGTAGACTTTTCAAAGATACGCAGAATATTTGAATCCGGTCGACCAGCGATAGGATTGAGGGGTGAATAAAGGAGAGTCGGGGTTGTTGAAAGTGGTGGAAATGTCGGATGCTGGGCGCAGAGCGCGGACGGGGAAGTGGGTCTGTGCTTGCGACGCCTGGCACTCGTCACTCCGTTGTTTCTTTCTTTCATTCCGACGCTGCTCGACATGCACGACGAGTCCAACTGTGGCCTGGAATAAGGTCCTCTTCTCTCTTTGCTAGGAATGCCTCTTAGCAGCTCTGGAGCGGGGTCTACTCCGATCCTGCATCGCGTTGGGCTGGCGGGCGCAGCAGCTCGGTTTTACCATCGCTCGTATGCCGCCGATTATTTGGCATTGGGGTTCCTGGCCATGGGCTGGTTGCTGGTCAGTCATAACTGTTGCAGATTATATGGAACATATATATGGAAAGACTTTCTGATCTAACCTATACCGTCACGCCAGATCCAAATCTTTGTGAATCCGTTCCATCGCATGTTTTCCCTTGATAATAAGGCCATTCAGTACCCTTTCGCCGTCCATGAACGAGTCCCTGTCGGTACGCAACCCCTTAAGTATACCTTAGGCGTTTGTTTGTGCGCTCACAGTGCCTGTGATCAGTGATGTCTGTCATTTACGCCGGTGTCATTCCCTTCCTCATAATCCTCGCCTGGTCCGCAAAGTTTCACCCGGGAGTCCAAAAGACACAAGTCACCGTTCTCGGGCTACTAGTGGCCCTTATGATGACCTCTTTCCTGACGGACCTGATCAAAAATGCCGTCGGTCGACCTCGTCCAGATCTCCTGTCCCGTTGCAAGCCGTCCCGGGGCACTGCCGATAACATGCTAGTCGCATGGACTGTCTGTACCGAGACCAATCAGCATATTCTACAAGAAGGATGGCGAAGCTTTCCTAGTGGGCATAGCAGCTTCTCTTTTAGCGGCCTGGGCTACCTGTCTCTGTATGTAACCTATTTATCCAAAAGGCTGCGCGAGTAAAACACTGATAAAATACGTATAGCTTCTCCTGTGGCCAGATGCATATCTTCCGCCCTCGGGCAGATTTGGGCCGGTGTCTATTGGCCTTCTTCCCCCTTCTCTGTGCTGCGTTAATTGCGATTTCCCGTCTAGATGACTACCGTCATGACGTTTGGGATGTAACGTGTGGAGGGTTCCTGGGAATGCTGGTGGGCTGGTTCTCCTACCGTCGTTACTATCCATCGCTGCGATCAGTCAACTGTGACACCCCTTACGATAAAGTTGAGCTTTCCGGTGTGGATGGATTTAGCCGATTGGAGGATGAGGAGCAGGCGATATCCAGCCCCTTCATCCAACGTGAAGGAACTGGCTCTGATGAGAATTATCAGCTGGAAGAGACAAATTCACCAATCATGAATTAGTCTCCTTGCCTTTGCTCCCTGTCGTTTCATGATGACCATAGCCCTGAGGCTACGGCGCCTTCCCGTGTTTTAAGGCCACCTGAGTCTTCTAGATATTAGCTAGAAGGTGTACAATAATATATCAATTTCTATGCGGTATAATGTTCAAAGAATTAATTCCTTCGCAGTTTTCTGATCCAGTTAACACGACGCGACCCCTTCCGGAGAGAGAAAATATCTCTATGTACTAGTTTCTAGTCAATGTGGTGATCAAACGCGTTATCTTCAAGTATCCATGAGAATAATCAAATACAATACAAACTGTTTCTCCCAGACTTATGCCAATCAAAAGACCATTTGAATAGATCTAAGTTCCACTCTTTACTTCGGCTTTTTCCTGGACATTTGCGGAGTCTGCGGGGTGGCAACGTTGATAACGAGCTTCGATCTTATCGCCTGCGGGTTGCGGGGACCCTTTTTTCACTTCGCTTCTTCTTCACCTCTTCGCCCATCCTTGCCACAGCCTCGATTTGCCCCGAGCGAGGGCGGATACCCTCACATCTCACCTCCACCACTGTCATTCTCTCTTATCAGATCGGATCTACTTGAAGACACCCAGCCCACCTCCTCCATTCAGTCGAGGACTAGGCTCGATTGTGCCAGTCCGCCGCCACCTGATGGCCCTCAAAGGGGAAATGTGAAATCATCTGTGCCAGACATATTTGATTCCGAATGCCGCGTAGGAAAGCCGCCGACCGAACCGCTCCGGTGAAAACTAGGAGTCGCAACGGCTGTCAAGAATGCCGTGCCAGTCGCGTCCGATGCGACACCAAGAAGCCCATCTGCACCAGGTGTTGGGAGAAAGGACTACCTTGTTCCACCAACCTCATTCTCAAATGGGAGTCTGAGTTTGTTAGTCGAGGAATGGCCTTTGGACGGGCGGGCGTCTGGAGTAAATCTCGACCCGAGCCTACCACATCCATGGGCCCTCAAGCTTCTTCTCCCGCGTCATCATCTGATGACACAAGCCAAATGGCACAGCCCCTACCACCAATTTATCCTTGGGGCTTTATAAACAGCGGAGTTGCCACTTTCGAGAACCCAGAATTTGTAGACGTGATGCTGAATGAACAGCGGGCTATCATCCCTTTCTCTTCTCAGAGACTAGCCAGCCAACCGTCAATTCGTATACACTCTGTTGGGGACTTAAACCGGCTCTTCACGACCCTCAATTCGAAGCCTGAGCCTAGTCTTGCACTCTTCCCAGCTATCTCTGAAATTGGACACGGAGAGCTATTTGACTACTACCTTGAACAAGTCTGCCCCCGCACGACCGCGAGTTCCACGATTACCTCGCCATTCGCCTCTGTGATCCTTCCATTCGCTTTATCTGCCTCGCCGATTCTGTTCAGGGCTATTCAAGCCCTTGGAGCTTGCCACTGGTCCCGGTTGAACCCATCTTATAGTTCTCTTGGACTTCGTCTCAAGACCGAGACCTTGAGAGGTCTCCGGCGCCGCCTAGCCTGTGAAGGGCCTTCGACATGTTGCACAGACCCCGAAGTGCTAGTCATCATGATGATGCTTTGTTTATACGAGATCATTGATAAGTGTGATCAACATTGGACAATACATCTCAAAGGGGCCAAAGATCTCATTCGACTGCGGAGACAGCAGGCTGGCACCACCTCCCACACTTCAGGCGCACCAGACCCTGTCACCACATTTGCAGAACATTTCTTCGCCTTTCAGGACGTTATGGGTCGAACTGCTTGTGGAGAAGAGGTTCTTTTTGGCAGCGACTACTGGAAGACTGATAACCGAACAATTGATCTTTGGATGGGATGTAGCCCCGAATTGGTCTCCATTTTGTCAACTATCACCGAAATGAGCCGCGCCAGACGGCAGCTTGATTCCGATGGTGCCAAGTCTTCTTTCTCTCTCCGGGCTGCATCACTCGAGCACCAACTTGAACATCTCATCCAAGAGGTTGGGGACGAAGATGATGAAATGCTATCTTCTGCTGCAGAAGCTAAACGACTAGCAGCTGTTCTCTACCTAAACTGCACTCTTCATGGGGCTTGTCCGACCACCCCGTTAGTAGTTGATTATGTACAACAAATTCTACATCTGGTGTCAGAACTACTTGACCGTGGATCTGTGGCCAGTGTGACGTGGCCAGTCTTTGTCGCGGCCGTGGAATTGGACCCCTCTCGAGACGAACTCTGGTCAGACGGCGATGGAAACCCGGTTTCAGGCCGGTCGACAGTACTCAGAGCGCTTTCTGCAATGGCTGAATCGACAATATCCAATATCGCTCGAACTCGAGCAGTGGTTGTTCAGGTATGGCAAGCACGCGACAACGACATGCTCAAAGCGCGGCAAATGGAATGCAATGATTGGGAGTGCTATGTGTCGCCAATCAGCACCTCCATGAGCTTGGCTTGACTGTAAACTTATCAAATAATGTATATCTATCTTAGCGTATCAGTCAAATACTACGTTTAATTTCCAAGACAAGGCGGAGCTTGACAAGATCTTTTTCAAAGTATCCCTCCCGTTCCTCCTGAATAGCCTAAACCTCCTGGTCCTGGTCCTGGTCTTTCAAATGTCAAATTTCAAATAGCATCTCATCACCGCAGATGCTGCTTTTTTGATGTTTGCCGAGTATTTTGTTACATATTAGCAATCTCGCTTCCCAAGGTACACATACATCTACCGCTTCCAAGCCCAGGGAGTATGGCAGAGGAAGATAGTCTCATCTTGAATCAATGAGCACTACCAAAGTTTCTCCAAGTCGGCCCAGGTACATGCACATCGTCATTTCTCATTTGCGATCTGTCCCCTCATCGTCGAAACCATAAATCTGGCCAAATTCAGTGTACTTGTCAGTCTATGCTTACACTATGACTGCTCTTATTGCTCCAGTCAGTTCTTCGCAATCAACATCTACATCTATAGTTTGATAACCCCACTAGTTGCATGCCGATTTAAGTCTACAAGGCACATAGAGAATCAAAACCTCCGTTTCGCAATTTTAACATGCCGCTTGTGTGTATTGGAGAAAAAGAAAGTTAAATAGCGTGCAAATCAAGGAACCCGGAGTTCGTGTCCGTCCTATGATCGTGGTCGGTTACTAAGAGGCATCGTCTCCCTCCTAATGTCTGATGCTCTTGGTCAGAGATCAAAGCAATCCCCTTTCCAACAAAATATCAAGTCCTACTCTTGGCCTAAACCTCTTGCTAAATCTAGTTATCGGCTCACAATATCAAATCATCCAACTGGGCGCTCGTCCAGGTTTGGGAATCGCCACAAAAGTGCGGGGGCATCAACTCCGCTTTCGGTTAGCGAACGAGTCCCTCGGAGCGCTTAACTTGCGCCCATCAACTCATCCACTTCCCAACTTCGCGCCAACCGAGTTTCAAGGTATCCAACCCTTTCAAGTCGAATGAAAATGCTTTCGGGCCGGTCACTTGCTTGCCATTGATACCTGGAGAATGGCACAAGTCCGGCCCTCTGCCGGACGCAGCACGTCAGCCCACGCGTTCGAGAGCAAACTCAGCCAGCAACTATCACAACCTGCACCGCCAGAACTGTCTGGGTTGTCGGGCGAGTCGGCCGCGCGATCGCCCAAGTCGCGGTCCTTGTCTGATGCCTCCAAACCGACCTCCACGACCCAGCCGGCGACTGGTGACTTGAGTCGCCCGCCCAGCAAAGACGACAGCGCACTCCCTTCCTTGCCGGCAACTCCCAGCAGATCGAGCCTGCACCAGTCAAGCTTGTCGCTGAACCTGCCCCCAAAAGCCTCTCTCTCCCCCTCGCTCCTCAATCACGGCCCTCTTTCGCCCAAACTCGATTCCTCACAAATCTATGGCTCCCCGGGTTCGGTCCTGCCGCGGCGCTCTCGAGGCCTCGACTTCTCCCGTGCCTGTACGAATCTCCACCACTCCACTCTGGCGGAATCCTCGCCGGATTCTTCTCCAACTGTAGGTGGACGTGGTATGATGATCCCTCAACGGCGGGGTTCACCCGGCCTGACTTCGGCTCCTCCGTTTTCGACCTCCGGCCCAGCAGATCGGACCGCCATATCCAGCTCGGTTTCAAGCGTTAACATGATGGAATCCGATACCAGCAGTAGTGATGATGATGACGACGCCATGATGGGAGATCGCGATGATATAATGCTCAATACGCCGCAGGCGGCGCGAATGAGCGGACCCAGTCCTTTCGCGGGAGGCAGCACCCAGAGTCCTGGGAATGACTGGATGGGCGGCTACTCGCAAGCTGCAGCAAGTCTAATGAGCTTCCAGCGGGCTCGGTTTCGCAAAGGGCGCAGTCGACACAGCTCCAGCAGTGCCAGTGGTAATAGCTCGAAGCCAAGCCCAGGCCCTCAATCCCCGCCGGTCGTCAAAAGCGTGGAGAATCCGACGGCAGGATATTTTGCCCCACGCCATTCGGTTCATTCGCGAAGGGAAAGCCTGAGTCTTGGAACGAGGGATCTACGGTTATCCGATCTCAGCGACGACGGGGAAGGCCGAGGGGTCAGAGCAGGCAGTCCCACTGCCGCATCTCATTCAGATGGAGGACCATTGGGCGTAATTCGTCGAGCTGTCACCCGACGAGGTAGTCTTCTGGTAAGTTCTGTTTTCCCGAATCCATCTGATCCTGAAAATTCTAACTGTTTGTATCAGCCCAAGACTAAAACTTTTGCTCGAATTCGCGCTGCGCTCATGGAAGAGGGTGCACCGGTCGATAGTGACATGAAACGCGAAGCAGAAGTGGTCCGACAGGTCCGTGATACAGAACCAGAGACGTCCCCCACCCTCAGTACTTTCCCATCTCGCAAGCCTCTTGAACCAGCCGACTCTTCGGAGATTGATCCCACCTTCACTGCGGCAAAATCGACCACCGCTAGTGCTCCTGTCAGCTTCAGTAAGCAGGCGAGCCGCAATTCGGGCGGGGTCGAGTTCTGGAATTCATTTGATGGACGGTATCGTACGCCGCCACCAAGCCGTCAAGCAGGCGCCTCGTCCGCGCCGGACGACGATATCTCTATGGACATGACTCCTTCCACTGCCATAGGTTCCATCGCTGCGGACTCCAAACAACGATCTCGTTCTTCAACCCCGCATGCTCCTGGAACGACAGCCATCGTCGAGATCTGCAGGAAACGACGGCGAGAAGATGACTTTGATCCTAATCTCTTCAAGCGCCGAGCTGTCTCGCCTAGTGTCAGTGCTCAGAGCAGCCCAGTGCTGACTCATTCCTCTACCGTTGATACTTCTGTGCCCAATATCTGGGGCCCTCCGTCGAAGCTAGGACCGCCTTTCTCGGAACGACCCAGCACAGAGAATGGCAATGGCAATGGAAATAGCACTCGAAACACACCCCACGCAGGCACTGCCAAACGTGTGGGACTTCAGGGCATGACAGAAGCTAGTGATGGGTTTATGAACATGCATATCGAGTGACCCAGCATGCACCTTTATTTTGGCTGATGATTCTCTAATTGTTGGCCTGGTGTGGAATCCTTCTTTCTGGTTTTTTTCTCCTTCATCACTTGTTTCATGGGCTTTTTTCTGGCATGGCGTTGGGGTAACCACCATATCACTCTCTTTAGCGCCAAGATACCTTAATATCAATCTGAGATGTTTGTTGTTCTATAAGATTGCTAGCTCCTTTGCCAACAACCCCTAGTAGCTATATGAGCTGTGACCGGGGAAACAATGTGGATTTCTGTATAGTTGTAGATGCACCTCCGACGTCTCAGGCGCTTTTTGGCTGGCGAAAGCGGGCCAAAACACGTGCAGATCGTTCTCCGCCCTAAGCTCCCCCCAATTGTCTCCGCTCCAAACAAAGCTCAACCTCATCCACATCTTTGCGATTCCTGTAGCTGCTGCCCTCTGTTCTTACAGCATGGCATCTACAATTGAACTTGCGTCTTCTTTTATTGAGGGCGCCCCGCCCGGCGAGGTACGCAACCCATGTCATTCGGAAGACCTTCCCCAGGAATTGACCCCTCTGTTGAACCCCCGACGCCCTTGACGAAGACATGTACTGATACAAGACCTTGCTGCATTAGCTCGCTGACGTTATTGCCGGTAAATTCATTTGCTCCTCGTCCCAACTCAATGCACAGCCTCCACCTAGCAACAATCCCCAACCCCACCCCGCATCTTCGGATTCCTTCGCGTGTTGAATACTGAGCCCGGTCTCCGGCGATAGATGTACAAGCCTTAACATCCGAGGGCGAGGACATCATTCCATCGCTTGCCCCTGCCTTCGAGAGATACAATGAGAGCCAGCTGGCCACTGTGAAACTGCCAGGGTCAAGCCAGGAGGTGAGCTTTATCGGCACAACCCCGGCGTTCTCTGGTCTTGGCAGACTGACATGAGTTGTACTCTAAGGTTATTGTTAGTGAATTTAACAAGGAAGAGGGCAACCGCTATTTTGACTCAGAGACCCAAACGTCGTTCGAGGTCGACCATACCACACAGGTAGGTTGGAGAGTGATTATCGCTTTTCGTGGTATGTTGAGAACTCATCGCTTGGAATAACAGACTGCCTCCAATGCGCAATCATCTCCTCTGGAATCTCAAAATGCCGACCTGATGTAAGATTCTCCGAACCACAAGCTCAGATTGGTCCAGTCTTTCTAATCAGCAAACTAGCAAATCGCTGCTCAAGGCACTGGGTGTGCATGCTCGCGAACACTACCCCAGCTGTTCCTATGGTGTGTATCCGATTGAAAATGACTCTGCTGTCGCAATTCTTTTGGTAGCCAACCGCTACTCTCCTAATAACTTCTGGTGCGTGTTCATCCAGATACTCATAGTGCGAAATACCCTGAAACGTAAGCTAACTATTGTCTCGTACAGGAACGGTCGGTTCCGAGCCATCTATCAAGTCCCCGTCTCCTCTTCATCCACAGCGGTGAGCGGCAAAATCCATGTCGACGTGCACTATTACGAAGACGGCAACGTTTCCCTCAATACGATCAAGCCCGTCCAAATCTCCGTACCCTCCGTCTCTGCCGGGTCCATCATCTCACGCATTGCCGCAGCCGAGCGTGATTATCAAGAGGAGCTCAACCGGGCGTTCGTGCGCATGGCCGAGGGTGCATTCAAGGGCCTGCGTCGACAGCTTCCCATTACGCGGCAGAAGGTGGAATGGGAGAAGGTCGGTGGATATCGGTTGGGTCAGGACATCTCGGGCGGCAAGGGACGATAAAGTAGACGATGTATGTATCGGGCTGACACAACCCGAGTGTGCCTTCACCTGGGATGTATTGGCCCAATAAGATGTGTTTTTCTTTCTGCCATCATTCGTTCTGATTGAAAGCCTGCCTCTGTCTATTCAGTATATCTTTCTCCTCCCATGTGAAGTATATATGTTCATCGTTTGACCGTGTTGTACCTGCTCGGCAGCTGCGGCACTTTTGGCCTCCTGCAGAAGCATTCCGGATGGGCCGCTCTAGTTGGATTCCTTTCGATTACAGGCCCCGCCACCCTGTTCGTTCTTTATAGACTTGGGCACTCTCCGGGGTCAGATGGGGAAACTGTAGCCTCATTGCCCCAAAATCCAACGGGGCAAGTTAGACAATTTGGACCGCAAGTTGAGGCGATGAATAAGCAAGGGTACCGGACGCCAGGGCCGTCGAACTAGTTGACGGGCTCGAAAATAGTCCACCGACTATTCCTCTTTTCTCCGTCACGTTGACCTCCAGGCCATACTCGCCTCAATGATTTCCCAATTGAATCGGTTCATCACGTCAGGTTCGGGCCTGGAGAAGACGCTCCGTTTATGCCAGGCCGTTGCTCAGATCGCCGCGGTGTTTACCGTCCACAGCACCGCGGTGCGTTTGACAACCGCCAAGTTACAATTGGCTCTGAGTATGTTGATACCCCTTTCCTTCGAGACTTTTACATCTATTGTTTGCAGTGTTGCAGTGTGTCAGGGTCACAATCGCGATTAAATGGATGCTAATTGACTTGCTAGCACGGCGGTTCTTCCGTTTCTTCGGCTTCATTGAGTCCTTCCAGCGCGTGTCTGCGCGACTCAGCATGGAAGGAATGGGGTCTGTGTCTGGCTGGCTGGAGTTAGCCAAGTGGACCTGTTTTGGACTGTATTTCATCCTCGAAGATTTGACGATCGTATGTGAATCCTCGACGACTCTTGCCCTTTTATGGTGCCCTCAGGGTGGAGCTAATAAATGACCCAGCTGCACGCCATGGGTGTCTACTTGGTGCCTTGGGAGGCGCGTGTGATGCGGGAGGCAAACACTTTCTGGTTCTATGCTTTGTTTTTCTCTATACTAGGATCGGTCTATGGACTTCTCTTCACATCAGATGAGCGGTCGCCCAAGGCAGAAGACCAGAAAAAGAAAAGCGGTCAAAAAAGCCAGAAGGAAAAGGCCGCGACGATAGCAGAACCCGAGGTCCCTCACTCGTCTACGCTGGTGCGACAGATCATTGTCGATAGCTGTGATATGCTGATTCCTGCGGAGCTTCTCAACTGGTTTCCCACCGGTGACTTGGTGTTGGGTGTGACGATGGTGATGAGCACCCTGCTAACCGGGCACGCCATCTGGAAGCGGGTATAGAATGGTTTTAATCTAGATAAATTGGCGAGAAGAGACGGGAAGGGGGCAAGGAATAGACTAGGGGATGGACTGGTTTAGATTGTGTTTTGTTGATAGATGCATGCCCGGTAAGACCTATTTTGCTTGAATATAAATGAAAGAGACGGGAGGGAGGGTGATTAGACAACAATCCCAAAATAATTGGCATATGTGTACGTTGTTTATCCACACCAGACTCCATAGAAGGACGATACTGAAGTACGGGCTCCGAAAAAGATATCAATGGAACCAAAAAAGATGGACTCGCGGGGAATCGAACCCCGGACCACCCCCATGCTAAGGGGGTATTATACCACTAAACCACAAGCCCAATTCGATGGAAGAAGGCTGAGATTTTGACTTCAAGAGGGACTTCCTTCTGGTCTAGGAGAAAAGGTAACTCTGGGCCTCGACACGATGCCGATCTTGTGTGGCGGGATACAAAGCGATTAAACGACCTTAATTTACATTCCCATATAATCCAGTTACTGCAGAGAGTATCCACCGTAGTGTTGAGAGGTGAGAATTTGTACTGGAGGCATGTAATTGATTTTATACTCCAAGAGCAAAGGGTCGGTTATATATTTCTCGTGGTTCAACGCATCCCAATTAATCATGTTGAGACTTCATTCTAAATCCGTGTTCCTCATGAGGTTTAAATTCCCGGGGTTTCCACCATCCATAAATATATCCACTAGTACCCTGGCTATCTCGCAAGATCGCACGATTGTGTACTATCCAGAGGACCGAAAATTCGGGACGCTGAGACGAGGAGACCACAGACCGACGGTTCGAGGGCAGGCTTCGCACAGCACAGCCGCACTGAAATACGGGGTGGCAGCAGAGATGGGATCATGCCGTTCTACCACTCCTATTATTATTGGCTCCCTCACTAAAACATCGATGTGGAGCCGCCACATCAAGCAAAATATGAAGCTACCGAAACCGCACTTTGAGTTTTGGCGGCGATGGTCGAGTCGTCCCGATTAGGCAAGTCTCGTATACGGGCAACCCAGAATGACATACCACGTGTGTCGACGTGAATATATATAAAGCGAGAGAAAACGAGAGATAGAAGAAGCGAATAACTGAGAGATATCCACAGAGCCCGCACTGAGTTCCCATACTCACTGAAATTAAACAATTGCATCAAGTTATTGACTGATTGACTTCCTCAAACCACTATAACCATGTCAACCACCACTCTCACCACCGAAGTCGACGTCAACTACAAGGAGACTCGCGTCTCGCTGTCGGCCGCCAGTACAACCAGTAGTGCTACGATCGGCTGGAGTTCCAGTACACTCAATACCCTAACCAACCCTTCCGCTTCGTCAGGCTTCTCTCCTTCTCGCGTGCTTCACATCGATGCGGCCGGCATCCGAGCCTGTCGACTGCCACTCCCTCAGCGACAGACCGAGATCGCCATCTGCCAACCCGACGGCCAGCCGGCCTACGTTTCTACTCGCGACCGGCGCTGGTCTGGTAACAGCGTGCTTGCGCATCCTAAGCGCGGAAACCTCATTCGCACCGACTATTTCTTCGGACCGGGGCGGGATCCTGTGTTGCGCCTGCTCCAGACGACCAGCGTGCTGCCAGACGAAATCAAAGTCTCTGGGGAATGGACTTCGCGCACTGCGCAGTTCTTCTCTCCCGCTGGTATCTCGTTCGAGTGGGTCTATAAGAAGGAGAAGCGATCGGACGGGAAGAAGGCACGCTTGATTGTCTTGCAAACACAGGACGACAAGCAGCAGCCTACGACCCTGACTTCGACCCCGGCGCCAACGCGGGAGATGCAGCCGATAAAGGAGAAGTCGCTTCAGGCCGCAGTAGACGTTTCGGGGCATCGCATTCTCGCGCGGCTGGTGCGCGACCGGGACAGTCGCACGCCGGGGACGTCCCGGTGCGATGCGGGGAATGGCGGTCGGTTGGAGCTAGACAACGACGCGCTGCAGGCAGTGGAGTTAGACGAGGCAATCGTGGTGGCGACCTGTCTGGTGATGCTCAAGAAAGAGGTCGACCGACGGCGAATGTTGCAGATGATGGTGATTGCCGGCGCAGCAGGCGGCGGTTCGTGAGCATTGCGGTTCCTTGTGTTTCTTGGCCATTATAGCAATGGATTGGAGGTCAGACTGTGTATCACTTGTTTGTGGTTTTGTATATCATTTGTTCTATCACTCGCTATTACTCGCATGAGGTGTCTCGGAGTCTTGGGGTCGTCGAATTATTTATCTGACTTGTTATAAATTATTCCGAATTGTTTCGAATCCACATGCTCTGTTCCATTGTATCTAATTGTATCGTCTCGTTTATCCCCAAGTCCCCCAAATTGCCGCCTCCCCCCTTTTATATGATTGATGTGTTTATCTATCTACCAAAAAAAGCATTGTAGTCCCAATCATAGTGCTTCGTCGTCAACGTGTCGGGGGAAACCAGCCCCGCATAACCCGTTGAGCCCCTCTTGCCCCTCTTCTCCCCCGCCTGCGTTTCTATCGGTGTTCATTCAGCAACTCCGCAATGTGGCTATTGAGCCAGTAGCCCTCCAATTCCTGCGTAGACATGGTTTTGGCGCCGGAGATCCAGCCACGGCACTCGCGGGCGCCGCAGTTACACTGAAAGGCTTGGTCCATCTCCCACTCGGTGCTGGGGTAGAAGAAGGTGAGGGCGTCGCCGGCGCGCAGGGGCTTCTCGTCCACCACACGTACTTCCATGCGGGCCATGTCAAAGACTAGGGATGGGGCGCATGAGTGGTTGCAGAAGACCAGATCCGAGTTGAGCTCGATGTGGGTGTCGCGGCCGGTCTGAACGCTGGTGTAGGCTTTCCGGCCGGGGGTGGCGGTGGTAATTTTGGCGAAGAGCGTGCCGGCCGGTAGATCGATGAGCGAGATAGCCCCACTGCCAAAGGCTTTGGTGCTGCGATTGACCTGTAGACGATCGGGATGAGTCGGAGGAGGCAGGTCGGTGGTGCGCAGGGCCGGGACAGGGACGGGGACGGGGTCGGCCGAGGGAGCCATTGCGAATGGGAATGGGATGGATAGAAAGGGAAGACCGAGAAGATGAAGGACAGACGAGAAAGAGAGAGGAGAATTGAAGTCTCAGAGGCGGATTCCAGAGAGAGAGAGAGGGGTCAAGAGAGATCAGGAGGATGAGGAATGCCGTCGGGACCGTCGTGGAGTTTATACTTCGGCCTCACGCCTCACGCCCTCATGCTTCACGCAACATCCCTTCAACCGAGAAGTAGTGGAACCCTTCTCTCCGCCCAATTACGAGTCATGCTAGATCTAGCGAGCTCTTATTTGAGCCCTGTCGACGTACGCCTTCCTAGCGCCAAGCATGATCGTGTTTCCCGTCTGAGGTTTTCCCTCGGACGCCGCCAACCGAGGCACCCAGGAACAGACCGGAGAACCAACCCTAAACAGAGTTAAACGACGGACCCCGGCGCTAACCCCTGCAGCTAAATGAGCCGGACAATTAGGACCACTCAGATAAACTAGGGAGAATGCCACTAGGAATATTCTAGCGGGCGATCGACCGAAGTGGGCTGTCGTTTCGGTGGGAGAAACGGGGACAACCCCACATTGCTGGGAAAGGGAACATGTCCGGAACAGGTTCACATGCACGGGAGAGAGAGAGAGAGAGAGAGAGAGAGACGGTGGAGAGGGATAGAGAACAAATAATGCTAGAATGGTAGATTTTTAGAACCCATGGCTTCAATTGAGCAGAGAGCCGCACGTCTTTGGTGGCTCGAGAGGATGAGAATGATACATAGCATACATAACATACATGGTATACATAGCGCCAAATTGGGGTCTTGTCAGGCAATCGGGATTGACGAATTGAGGATTTGGTGAATTCACCTAGCATATTTACTATCAACTCTCGGGAGTTGCAATCTTTCTACATCATCCCGAACATCCTCCAGATCTCAATCGAGACAGTTTTTTTTTTTAAAACGCAGATTGCTCTAGTTCATCTTCCGTACCAGCTCCTGCCCATTCAACCACCGCTCTAGGTTGTCCGCTGCCTCCGCGTACCATCCGTGAACCAATTCCTCTTCTCCATAGCCCATCTACACAATCATGGTCAGCTCTCACAATCTTGAATCATTTCATCGCCGAGAAGGCGATCACCCCAGTAAGAACAAAAAAAAAAAAACAAAAGCAAAAAGCAAAAGAAAGGGAATGCACAGAACGTACATGCGGAGATAAGAGCACCTCGCTGCGTCCCTCTTGACCCCAGGCCGTTGTGCGCCAGGCGCTGTCCAAAGGCAAGGGCTCTGGATCGAAGACATCCAGGGCGGCCCCGCGGATGCGCCCGGCGTGCAGGGTTTCCAGGAGCGCGGTCTCGTCAATCAAGGGCCCGCGCGAGGTATTGATGATCATCGCACTGGTCTTCATAGTGGCCAATTCGGCGGCGCCGACGATGCCGCGACTGCGCTCGGAGAGTACATTGTGTATCGAGACCACGTCGGCCTGAGCGAAGAAGTCGGATTTGGAGGGAGCCTAGAGAGATGTACAATGTACAAAGCTCTGGTCAGTATCTTTGCGTTGCTTAGGTTCTTGAGGCTTTCTTGACGCTACCGCCTCTCATCCCTCTTTGTATCGATTGATGCGTCAGGGCGAAATAGTCAAAAAGAGAGAGCACTAACCACTGCAAAACTCCCGCGGGGCAAGCCGTTCGCTTGGGCCGCCTCGTCGGCTTTGTCCTGGCTAAGGTTCGTCGACCAGGCCAGAACACGCATGCCAAAGGCCTGGATAGCAATCACACCGACGGCTGCGCCGAGCTTGCCCAGGCCCAAGAGGCCCAGTGTCTTGCCAGAGAGGTTGATTCCAAGAGAGCCCTGCCATTTCCCCTGCTTCACCGCAGCGTCATCGCGCGCCACATGTCGGGCCAGCGCCAGGATTAAGGCCCAGGTATGCTGTACAGTCGAGTTAACGCCTGGTGGCCGACCTTCCGTGCCAGCCACTTGGATCCCGTGTTTAGAGAAGGCGTTAAGATCGAGGGAAAGGTTGCGAGTGCCGGTCGTCAACACCAGGCGGAGGTTCGGGAGGGCGGCGATGGTCGACGCGGCGAAGGGCGTCCGCTCGCGCATGGCGAGCACGATATCGAAGGGGAGTAGCCGTTGCACGAGGGCATCTTGCTGAGCGGGATCGCGCGGGTCGAGAGTCTCGGGGAAGGAAACAATCTCGACACGGTCTTGGAGGCGGGCGAAATGCGCGGGCGCAATGCCTTGGTAGTCATCGAGGATCGCGAATCGAGGCTTGGAAGTCATCGTCGGAGCGGCACAATGGAATTGGAGTAATGGAAAAGGAGGGCAATCCAGTGTTCGAAGAGATTGAACCGCGCGCGAGTCGCCAGTAGCCAGAGCTTCCCTGGTCAACCCCGCGCCGGTGGAGACGCGGGGATGCGAGCGTCGGCAGACCAGCCGGAGGCCCCAAGTCTATCGCACCACCGATCGCATCCCTGGATCCCCAATTGGCGCGGAGGCACTGGGAGCTACGCATTTATACAGGTTTGCTACTGAAAAGAATCTATCGCGATGGATTAGGGGGTCTATCGTGCGAGGTATGGGGCTCGAGAGCAGGCTAGAAACTGCCCTTGAGGGGCTCTACAGACTCGGCTCTATTCTTTGCGTAGCCCACGATCAAGATCGAGAGTGCATGCACGGTAAAGAGAAGGCGGATCTTCCGAGCCCGTGAGGCTGAGTTATTGCGTATTGAGTCGATTGGTATCATTGGCTAGGAGGAATAGGATCGCGAATCATTATCCAAAATGTCTCCTGTCCCGCAGCGCCAAACTGCGTGCGATCCAATTGGATTTCCTCGACGGGCCTCCATCCGTGCTTGATATATAGCGGATACCCTTCTCCTGTCGCCTCCAAGTAGATGCGCACTTGCCATTGATCGGCTTTCGCGGTGCCCCAGCGCAGCAGAGCCGAGCCAATTCCACGCCCTTGATGGGTCGGTAGTGTGGCCAAGAGGTCGAGAGCTATTGAGCGTCAATTGGCCATCTCGATTAGAGCGCAGGGGGAACAGATCATGAGATCGATCAAGGCTACACATTGGAGGACTTACTGATGTCTGACTCGCGGGCGTGTTTCTGACGGGACGTCTCCAACATACCCCGGAATTTCATATAGAGCGCCTCGTTCATCGGTCGCGGCGCCAACCGCAGGGGATCCTTTGCGACCTCCTGTGCTTGTTCACTCAAGACGGGAGCACTCGGGAGAAGTCCGAGAGACGCGGGGACCAGCCAGCGGCCATAGCCGATAACCTCCTGGGTCATCGAGTCAACGACCTTGAGCACATGTATCTGCGGATTCGAAAAGTGCTTCATAGTGTAGACCGATTTATACGCTTCCAGCATGGACTCAGTGGCCTCAGGGAAGACTTGGTTTAGCAGCCCACGGCCCTGGAAGCTGACGACATTGATGTGGGCAAGGGCTGGCGCGTCGGCCTCGACGGCGGGCTCAATCTGGTACGCCATGGCGGAAAACCGTCGTTGAGGGAGTCGGGAGAGTTAAAGCGCGTAAAAGATAAAGCGGCGCAGGCAAGGGTGAGTGTCCAGACTCTGAAGTCAAAGTAAATACAGAAGACGGTCGTCTCGCCATGAATTTGGATTGAGTAATCGCGGGGACTCGATTGGGAATGGCCGAATTTGCGGGCTTGCAACGATGTAGTGAACTTTGTGGAAGGACTGAGGGGCTTCGGAGTTCGGAGTCGCGGGGTGGGTGCGTGCTAGCGCCGCTCGGCACGACGATTCCAGATTTCATCGGATATGGACTCATGATCTTGGGATTTTGGGAATGGCAGGAGGAACGTGAAGCAATGTACGACTGGCGAAAGCCCCGTGTGAGCTGGATCACGCCCTAGTCACGGCCCAAATCCCTGATCAGCGCCAATGAATCGATTGCATCCATTGAACCAAATCAACCAGACCAACTATTCAACGCACATTTTTACAATTAGAGCTTCACAAAAGCTGATTCGCCCCTTCAACAGTTGTATTTATGCAAAAGATGGCCCTGGTTGCGAGACACTCGGGTGCAGAAGAGGAAAGCCGGAGTTAAGTCCGTCGCTCGGTGTTAGACGTCATGGACTCCGAACTATAAAAACCGCTGAAGCCCAGCCGGAATCAGCAGATGTGACGGTACATGAGAACGGATTTCTCACAGGAAACTCACCAGAACCCCTCAAGATACCTAGATATTCTATCACTTCCACTGGTCCCCTTTTGCTCCACCATGAGCAAGCTCCTGGTCGTCTTCGGCGCCACCGGCCAGCAGGGTGGATCCATCATCGACTTTGTCCTCAACGATTCCAATCTCTCCAAGGAATACTCCATCCGAGCCATTACCCGAGACGTCTCACGACCAGCAGCCCAGAGTCTGCAGAAGCGAGGAGTTGAGGTAGTCGCTGGAGACGTGGATCAGCCCAGCTCGCTTCCCGTTGCCCTGTCAAATGCCCACACCATTTTCCTCGCCACGACCTCTACATATGATGATCACTTAAAATCTCGAGAGTTTGCTCAAGGAAAGGCGGTGGCGGACACGGCTATCGCAGTCGGGGCACAATATCTAATCTTCAGCACCTGCGTAGCCACGGAGCGACTCTGGGGCCGCATCGTCCCGGGCTTCGACTCCAAGGCCGAGGTCGAAGAATACATTCGCTCCCTTCCAATCCAGAGTGCCTTTTTTGCCCCGGCAATGTTTATGCAAAACTTCCTCACCAGCCAGGGCCCCCGTCGAATCCCCAGCCCAGAGGGCGAGGAACCTATCTACGCTATTGCCAACTTCGTTGCGCCTGATGCCCGTCTTCCGATGATTGAAACGGTTGCTGACAGCGGAAAGTACGTGGGGGCCATTCTAGCCAACCCAGGCAAATATGCAGGGGCTCTTTTCTGTGCTGCAACTGGCTTTTGGTCCTTCAAGCAGGCCGCCGAAATCATCACTCGTGTTACAGGCAAGAAAACCATCTATGTGCAAATGCCAGAGGAGCAATGGGCAAGCTATCTTCCACCAGGCTCCTCAGGCCCCCTGATAGCAATGATGCGGTGGATTGAGAAACCAGGGTATTTTGGACCCCAGAGCACAGAGAAAGTTGAATGGACTGTCCAACAGATGCCATCAAAACTGACCACGCTCGAGGAATTTGTTGAGAAACACGCCGAAGAGCTATTTCGACAATGAACATGTGATTTTTATTTCAAAGCTTGAAATAGAAAGAGGGAAAAATGTTGTATTTAGCACCTAACAACGGATCCTCAATTGAACCATTTGTACGTAAAGTCTTAATTGTGTTCCACGATCATTGTACAGACAGCACTTGAACTCAGTTTCGTTTGCACATCTTTTATATAAGATAATATCTATGCACCCTCTTTGAGTCGACTCTGGATGAAATCTACCACGTCCTGGTCATACTTTTCGATATATGTGTGATGGGCGGCATTGTTGTCTAGCGGGTAGATACCACAGCCTATGAATAGATTGTTGGTAAGTTTCCATGAGCCCCCGTTGATCCACAAAGATAGAGTATTCTCACATTGCGAATCACCATAGTCACAATACGAATGTAGAGAAGCTTCGTAAGGGTTGCATGATCTCGGATTGAGGCGAGGGAATTCCTGTGGTATCTTGTCAACCTGTCGTTGTTCAAGCAATGGAAATACTAGGACCTGTTCTTACTCCAATACCAAGGGTACAGTTTCCCACGTTCCATAACTGCCCAGGAAAATATGTTTCATCGCCGTATGCGATCACAGCAATAACTAGAGTGCCTCATCAGATATTGTTCTCGTTGACACGAGAGGACATTAGCAAATTTTATCTTACCGTTCTTCGTATAAGAGCTTTCAAGAGCAGAGACCGGAATAAAACCAACGGAAGAAGTCCCACAGATGGCATCCATTGTAAGGCATGCCCCCTTGGAAAAAATTAGTCCCTGATAATTTTAGACCAATCAGATAGGATAACGTACCATTGAGTATCCCACAACCGCAACTTTGGCATCAGGGCAACTTGCAACGTATTCTCGTACATATTTCTGCAATAGCTGGGCCCCATGATAAACAGCGGTGAACTTGTTGTCCGCATCATGGTCATAAGGAAGACCCAGACTGGTAGAACCGGGGATTTGCTCCAAAATCAGGCTTTGTAGAGACAACATCACGTTCAAGTGATCACCAGCCCCTTGTCCCCTTGAGATGATAGCATGAACACCAGTCGTGCAATTGTCCGACGACACGTTTTGTGCATCGACCCGCTGTAATAGCAGACTCGAAATAATGACAACCAATGCCAGAGAGAGGTAGCGGGCCATGTTGTACATCCTTTTGCTTTGTGCCGCTCAGCTCGAAGGGATATAAGGCTGATCTGCCCAAATGATAGAGATACGATGGAGGCTTTGCCTAGACTTATAACACTTCCCGCAACAACAGAGATACTCTGGTTCGTTTTCCTTGATAATCATGTCGCCTACCTTTTTGCTCAAACTTTCCGAACAAGCCCTTCCATGTAGAGTTATCAAGTAGTTTTAGCGGGATTAGCGAGATTAAGGCCCGCAGATACTTTTATTTCATCATGATTGTACTTCCGAAATGGCTGTTGAACCTTGTGCTATACGCCTGGATACGACAGATCTTGTATTGTGTCGAACAAAAGAGGCCGGGTGCATGTGGGTTCACATGAGATTGGGATCGACAGGGTTGACCGGGTTCGAATCAAGCAGATCGCCAATCTATATCTAGGGTCGAAAGGTCGCTCGCTCTCCCACGTGCACTTATCTGTCTCAGGCTTGAATATCCGTATTCTAAATTAGATAATATTAAAGAAAATTCGATGTACTGGCCGAACGAAAGCGGGTCTAGATAAGACTGAGAAATACAAACCTGCAAGTTGGGGAACACACGTTGACTAAACAATAAGTCAGTCGGTAGTTATTTAGCAGGGCCTGAACACGCAAGCTATCACAATACTCACATGGGTTTTATCCTATTGCGTTTCAACTAAATAAGGGCGGTGGGCTTACTGCATAGTGGCCATGGAACCCCTGAAGTGGGAGGAACATTATTGAAAGGGTTATGCGTCAAGCTCTGCCAATGTAGGAGATTCACGCCTTATAACGGTATTGAGTTCATCTTGGCTTTGAGCCTTGGAAAATATGTCGTGAGTAGGCCAGGCTCACGGTGCCTTCTCTTTTCAGCTTGCCGAACGCTCTCAGTTATGGGACCATTCAACCTTTTGCAATCGATCCAATGAATCGAAATTTATCATTTGATTTGAGGAGAGCATCAAAAGTTTTTTTACTGGAAATGATTTTTAGAATAATGATCTCGAACGGTGGAAATGCATATAATAATGTGTCAAGAAGGAAGACTGCATAATACAGGCGAGACCTACATATCCCTATATGCGTCAGATTGTTACAGGGATACTCGATTTGCTACGTGTTTTGTATATTATCCCGGGTATACTCGGAACCCAGCACCGTAACATGCTAGACAGCGAGATAGGGATATTCAACATTCCCCCGCCTACACACTTAGATAGTCCAGTCACCCAATACATCACTATATTGAGCATCTCGTTCCATTGGATCCTAGCTTTCCTAGCCGATACCGTATCCTACTATATTGACATAATGTACTATCGCACGCAGCTACGGAACATTAATTCGCAATCTCATTGAATTCCATAAAACTCACTGCAACTGTTCGTAAAATCTTTGAAAAAACAACAAAACCTTTAAAAAACGATCAAGGGAGATACCCCAGAGTCCATGACTAGAGGGTTGATTTTTACTAAGACAAGATAGGGAAGCGCTTGTATCCTAAACCCTTCACGAACGTTTGCTGCCAAGGCTCCTGGGATTTGCCCTCAGCGAGTTGAAAATAAAATTCTGCATGTGCCTCACCGTCAATCTCATTGTACATAGGCGTCCCATCTGCCTTTCGCTGATCCGCATAGTAGAATCTAAATCCAATTAGATCATTGTGCTTTTGAATGTAGATGTGAACACGTACTTGAAACCGCGATCCGTGTAAGCCTTAGCAGCAGACTCAACGACGTGTGCCATAGCTGACTTCCCAACACCTAGGCTCAGGAGAGGTGGTAGACTTGTGGTATTCAACATATTACCAGTGTATATGAAAGTCTTCGAAGCTGACTCAGGAAGCTCTCCGAAGCCCAATGCCGCTTGCTGCGCAGCTACAAAGGCACTTGTAGTGTTGATATTGAGATCCCGAGTGAAATCACTCAATGCAAGAGATAGAGGATCCTTTGCATCATTGATGGTGGCAGCCGCAGCTGCTATTTCTTAGAACTTCCCTTCTGGAGTATCGGGCAGCACGCTTACCATTATAGACTACCACACTTGGAACACCCAGAGACTCTTTCACTTTTGAAAAGACTTTGATCACAGACTGGGGGTCTGACAAATCACTACATATAGTAACTTGATTGGAAGAGCTGTCTTCATCCTTTAGAGATCTTGCTGATAGAGCCACTTTGTAGCCTCTGGCAGCAAAGGCTCGTGCAATACTCTGGCCAATGTTCGGCCCTGCACCCAGAATGAGAACGACTGGAGATGTACTGAGCATGATTTAACTTAAGATTCACGGAAGCGTTGCTATTAGAATTTGTTGCTGATTACTGCGGGGTTTTAAACCTGAAAGCGACATCTGACCTAACAACTTTTGGGTCATAGTGGCATGCATGTTGGATGACAAACGAGAGCTTGCTTATAAATGCAGTCGTGATCTTGTTAACTAATTGACTAATCAAGTAACTAACTAACTAACTTAGTTATTCAGCCTGGTATCAGGCTACACGGAGGCTTGGCAATCTCGCAGAAAGTCATTCTTTTGATTCGCTCCGAGAGGCCCCAGAGTACAAGGTAAGAATTTTGTACATTTTCAACAAGAGAAGCTCACAGCTGAGTTTGACTATTCAGGAAAGGACCGATCGGATTAAAAAAATCCACCACCACCACCACACACCATGACGCTGCGCACACGTTCCCGTCAGGAAAACAGATGTTGATTCGTAAAGGAAGTGGAAAAGTCGTTAGTCTTACGATTTACCAGATAGTGACTATGTCTTTGATGACCGTATGCAAAACTCAATCCACCAATCAGGGTGTTCGCCGAGGGGACAGATTCTCCATCGCAATACTTTAAGGCCACCAGTATTTTGGACTCGAGCCAAGACCCTCATCTGCGAGCCTGCCGCACAATTTAATTTATCCAGTAGTCAGCATTGAGTTGCAACTTCTGCTCATAATTTCCCAACAAAATATATATGAACAAACGACCTTCATGCCTAGGGAGAGCTGGCAAAGCATGCGTCAATGGTAACAAGAAGCTTGGATCTTGGGAGTTGTAAACGTGAGGTTCATTCTTATGAGGGAATTAATGATAAGCTAAAGCGTCACGTGCTAACAGTCAAGGCTAAATGATAAGCATCTTCTACTTTGCTATTGGATGTGGAGTAATTTCAAAATTATATAAACCCCAGCATTCTTCCAAAATGATGACTGGATGGTAAAGGCCAAAGCACTGATCCATTTGACTCCACAGCTTAAAAATTTGCATTAGAACTGTAAGGGTAATGGCTGTGGACTAGCAGATAAATCATTTGAAATAAAACCGTAATGCTGTATCGTTGCTATTTTCTGGTATTCTAAGATCCGGCGTGAAATTACTTCTAGTACTGATTGTGATTGCTTATTCAAGATGGCACAACGGCCCTTTCTTATATATTATTTTTTATCTCAATCCGCAGAAGACAAACTATAGGAGCAGATCCCAGAATGTACTACTCCCTCTTAAGTTAGCTGGTCTGAAATGATCTGGAAAACTTGCACAATTAAAAAAAAATCATATACTGAATATATTTTCTGTCAATGAGATCATCTGTGCCGTGGGCCTACATGTCATAAAGTGCTAGTACTAGATAGCTTTAAGCTCCTTTCTCCATCTCTATTAAATCGATAAATCCCCTTGTTCTGTTCACCAGTTTTTAAAACTTCAAACCATAGTTATATCCCCGTCTATGAGGTCCTCCTCCACTAAGTCATATTTTGTAGAGTTCTTCTTTTTACTGTAGGAGGTCCAGCCTGATGACAATAGGTTGTCCCAAAAATCGAGTCCAACATGATTTAGGATAGATAATGGCTATATTCATTATATTCAACATGAAGAATTTCCTAATTTACATATTTTTTTTTAATCAAATCCGATGCCCTTTCTGCGATAGCATACAATGTGCTTGTTAAGTGCCCACACAGTTGAAATGGCACAACTGAAGCATCAATAACTCGAACATTCTTAGTACCATAAACCTTCAGTTCTGGACTGACAACACCACCTTTATCCCGAGGAAGCATACTTGCAGTGCCCACTGGATGAAAGTTTGATCGATCTAAAGACGTCAGCTGATGCCATATGAGCTTGAGATGACAAAGTAGAATCCTCACAGGTAGATTTAACCCATGTAGTCCATTCAAAATAAGACGCATCGTCGGGAACAAGATCTAGCCCTGGTTCGAACTCGTCTCCCACGAGATCTTGCAGAGGAAGAGTGGAAAATGCTTTGCGAATATATCGAGCCACAGCCACCTGAGCTTCAAGATCTTGCTCAAACATGAAGTAATTCGGATTGATAGAAGCTGGCAACGTGGGATTTGAAGACTGAATGTGGATATTGCCTCTCGAAAAAGGGAGTAGCGGCCAATATTCCGAGGAAAAGGCATGACCAATTGGCAGCATTACAATCTCCGCACATGGAACTTTGGATTTAAAAATCAAGTCGTACTGGATTTGGAAAGCAGTCAGAGCATTCTTTTCCTGGATGGCCCCGTTAGAGAAATTGGCGACGGCCTTTGCATACTCTGCAAGGCTTGAGTTGACAGATGAGGCGACGGCCGAAATATTGCTTCCATATAAGATATCAGCTGACGGTAAAGCAGAAAATGTCGGCGATCCTAGCCAGAACTCTCGTCCTTCGTAAGAAAGACCATTATTTGTCTGATCTTGCAAGTTCTCACCAACAGCAGAAATGTTAACCTTGACGGGAATGTCATGTTTGCGGAGGATATCTGGATTTCCAATTCCCGATAGCTCAAGCAGCACTGGTGACTTTAGAGAGCCCGCTGACAAAATGACTTCCTTTGATGCATATATAATCTCGGTACCATTGGCACCGGTCACTTCGACTCCAACAGCAATGGCCTCGCTGTGAGAATCATTGGCCCAGATGATTTTATTAACGTAAGTATTCGAGATAATTTTGAGGTTAGAGCGATTTTCATAGGGCCAGTAATAGGCTCTGGCAGCATCTTCACGGACATTGGCCTCTCTGTCGATGGTATTAGGGTGAGATGTAAGACCCACCATGCTGCCTCCGTTCACATCACGATTGTAAGGAAGACCTATTTGGTTGAAAGTTTCATCGAGCAAGGGAAGTACGCTGCTATTGGTCATTGCTTTAGGCCAGCCGACTTTAAGAGGGCCATGGTATCCATGATAGGATGTATAGTAGTCAGCACCATTGTTAACTTGGTCTTGGGTCGGCACCTGAAACTTCTCCGACTTCTTATAGTATGGAAGCAGACTGTTCCAATTCCAACCCTTATTTCCCGCTAATTCCCAACAGTCAATTTGTATGCTTTGAGCTCTAGTATATGACATCCCTGTCGCGAAAATCGGATTAGCCTGAGTTCTTCAATGATGGGGACATTAGGAGTTAGAATTGCCATTGATAGTGCTTGTGCCACCGATAGCCTTCCCAGCACGCATTGTCTGCTTCGAGCCACCCGCATATGTTTGGTTTTCGGTCTGATAGGCCCAGTCAATATCTGTTCCAAAGGATCGACCATAACCTGTAACACTGGAGACGTTGGGATTGTTGAGAACCGAGTCGCCGGCTTCGATAACGGCCACGGTCATGCCTTTCAGCTCTGAAAGTCTGTTGGCAACGACCAGACCACTAGTACCTCCACCCACAATGACAAAATCATATTTGGGAGCGAAGCTACTCGTATTCTTGGCTTCCACTGCGCCCAACCAGATAGCCGCAAACACAATGGCTGGTGCGATCATTCTGGCTAGAGTAAATGTGGGAAGTGCTAGTGATGGAAAAAGAGGTGATCCCTAGGACTGGGAAGATAGGAAGTCATTCATCATAATAATTGAGGTGTTTGGCGGGGGAGAATCTAGGTCTCCGCAGGGTTGCCTAGGACGTCAAAGTTGGAATGTGGAATCCCCTCTTGCGTTCATGTTACCCGGTTATCGAGGCCCCTTGGTTGGTCAACCACCTGTTTCAAACCCTTTGCGCTTACAACTAATTGAAGTTCGTCGTCTAAAAAATTGAAGCGATGCTTGGGCGTTATGTTTTTGGACGACTGCAATGAGAATGTTCGAAAATCTGCCGAGAGGTGGACAAATGGGGGACGAGAGCCATTAAAAATATAATTCGGCTGACGGTATATACCATGATTTTCAATAGAGGCCAGATAATATTTGTTGAAATTTAAGCTTTTTTTCATTGCCTTGTTGGTAGCACTATGTTAAAAGAACACGTTTTGCTACAGAGATATGTCGCACAACAGGTTGTGACATGGCATGGGAATCAGATCCTGAGCAAGTGTGCAAATTCCAGTGTTCACACATCCGGACAAGCGCCACCATTTGATTTGTGGTAAGTTCGATCACAAATTGGAAAATTTCACACCAGCCTTTTGTGCAGTAAAGGTAGCAATCAAGTCCATCAAAGGTGGTGAGAGTGCATCGTAAGTGTTCAGACCAACCGAGTTGAACTTTCTTCGAATGTCTTCCATTCCCGCCGGGTTGAATCCTTGCTCGATTATGGAGGAGATGAACCCGGCAAACTGAGGCTCCTGCCATCCCTTCTGGTCCGATAATTCCACATGAACAAAATCCAGGCCATAAAATGCATGAGGCTTTTCAATGCGCCCAAACAAGTGTACACCACAGTCTCGGCAGGCGTGACGCTGGATGACCGCGGAAGGGTCAACAATTGTGAGTTTCGACTCATTGGCCTGGATGGTCAAGTTGTCACGAGGGATCACCCCAACAATGGAGAATAGCGCGCCGCGAGGCTTCCAGCACTTGCTACAGCCGCAAGCATGGTTGTGTGCGACGTTGCTCTTCAGGGAGACCACGACCTGGTTTGATGGACACTGGCAATGCAGCGTGCCGCCGGCAAAGTTAGGGTCGCCCTTGGTAAGTCCGTTGTCGATAATGGGGTGAATAGAAGGAGCCATGATGGAAGAATAGACGACTAAGGATTGAGAAAGATGGCACAAATTGGTACCAACAGAGGTTGATGTTCATAGATCCAGGTCATATATAAGATACTTCTGGACAGTTGCGGACGCTTGACATTGCTCCCCTCATGCCTCCAAAAGCCCCCTCATACAGGGACATGAGGGGAGATCGGAAGAGCTGACCGGGACCCGGGGGCTCTGCCGGCTGATACGATTGATCAATCACGGAACCCATACTGGCTCAACAACCCCCCGCCATTCGGCAAGATGATTCGGTCCGGACCTCGCTGCGGGGCCAATTCTGAAAAGGGCAACAATTTCCGGGATTTCGGGGCAGCTCAGAAGGAAAGCCACGAGTTATCTGAGGGGGAGGACGGTTCTCCAACAGATTGTAATCTTCGGTGGACCGGCGATTGCGAGCAGACTCAACGACCTTGACGGCATACCTGCGGAGACGTATCGGAGCAAATGGAACTGGAGGATCGAAAATCCAACCATGGGCCAGTCTGGATTACATTGCCTTTTGAATTCGAGGATCGGACGATGATGGAATCTCATCTATAACTTCGTTGGCTGCTGAGACTCATTCTGTTCCCAGTGACGTGAGGCATGGTCCTGCATCAAGGCCGTCTTTAACGAAAGGACGCCATCGTCGTGATCAAGAGGGTTTCTTCAGTGGACTTGAAGAGAATCAGGAATGGATCAACCGAAGAAGCGACCGGAGAAAGAAAACAAAACACCAAGACTAAGAAATTGAGAGCTTGATATGGAGCGTTCAAATCACTGTTATATTATCCAGCTGGGATGCCCCAAAGGTCCTCTTGACGTCTCAACCTTGCGGGCCAAGTCAAAGCGCTCACATAACACAAACCCGGCACCTTTGGACACCTTGATACCTTAAGGCCTGAGGCTGACTAAATTGAACCGAGGATGCTCTTATCGCTTCTTATCGACACAGCCTCTGTATTCACGGATCCTGATTGGTTTTCCGATCGTCATCTTGCACATGCCAAAACAGGTTGTCGAGTCGTTTTCCTCCCCAAACCTAGCTTTTCTCGATGATGTGTGATAGATCTGAGTAGTTGATGGGATATCAGACTCTCACCTCCCAGATTTGCACAAGAATGGAAAAACGACCACGAATTCCGGAGATTCTGCCGCATCAAATTGCTCCCACAGCAAGACATCTACCAGATGACGTCACAGTTTATTTAGACCCAGAAGAAGCGGCGGGCACGATTCAGGTACAAGCGCATCTATGGGATGAACATTGTGAAAGCTGACCACTACAATTAGAGGGTTTATCGGGGCTATCGAACCCGGAGAGAGCTCCAGGGGCTGGGTGTCACCGCTTCACTTCGATGGTTCGGGGTAAGATGACTGGCAAAACTCTGAGCGAACTGTCTGCTGATCTCTCATAGGAGCTCGAAGGCTTGAGACAAGCACCTCGGGATGATTTCAAAGGTCCCAATTCGTCTAGCGACGATGATTGTATCAGCCCAGCGCGTAAGCATTGGCACCGGGCAGTCGATGTTGCAATGCGAGCCAGTAAAGATGATGATCAACTGGTGAAGCAGAATGGAAGTGATCTCAATGAAGGCCACAGCATATTTTCCAAGGCGTCCCCAAAAACGATGGACTTGCAATACTTTCTTGAAATGGTGGACGCAAAGCATCGGCATGGGAGCAACCTTCGTGTTTACCATACTGTTTGGAAGAGCTCGCCGTCCAGCGAAAACTTTTTCTACTGGCTGGATTATGGTGGAGGAAAGAATGTTGAACTACCACAATGCTCACGCGAGCAACTTGAAAAAGACCAAGTACGCTATCTCTCTCCCGAAGAGCGGTTCCATTACTTGGTTGAAGTAGATGATGCTGGTTTATTCCGTTGGGCGAAGAACAACGAACTGGTTGAAACTGATAACAGCCGATTTCAAGACAGTCTACACGGGGTCGTTCCCGTTGTAGATGATGTATCTCAGTATGAAGACAACGTCGACTCTGGATCTATTTCTTCACAATCAGATTCTGCCTCACATCTATCATCGTCGCTATTGTCGCCTAGCTCCAGGAACAATGAAGATGGCGAATTCAGCACATTAACTCAGGAAGATGATGAACTAAACAAGGCCACCAAAAGATTTTGCCGCATCCGACCTGCTGCGGTTTACGACCATTTTGCTGGTAGCCTCTCTATAAAAGATGGAATGTGGATATTCGTCAGTTGTGCAGCTTCCCTGTGCTTGTGCGTCCGTGGCTAATGCTTGATTGAGGTCGCGGATACGTCCTTACGAATATATATTGGCATCAAAGAGCCTGGTGCCTTTCAGCATTCGAGCTTTGTACAGGGTCGACATATTGCTGCAGCAGGAATGCTGAAGATACGGCGAGGCCAGCTTCGAAGTTTGGCTCCTTTGAGGTGAATATCCAATTTCAAATAAAATGTCTTTAGAGGGAGCTAATACGATGAAGTGGACACTATCGTCCTCACTTGGCTAATTTCAGGGCTTTTCATCAGTCTCTCCAGGATCGGGGCGTCGATCTTTCGCGAGTTTCAATTACCAAGTCGTATGCGATACTGGCTGGCATCGAAAGCTATACGCTGACCAAGCGGAAGATACACGATGCACACGAAAGGTTGAATGAGGCCAAGCAAAAGCTTTATAAGATAAAGAACCACAAGAGTAAATAAGAGGATATGAATCATTATTCCATAATTTTGGATTTCAGGGCTTTGCGTTAGCATCCGAAATTGGCTTAAAATGCAAGAATATCTAACGTGAACGGAGAAGAAAGTAGGAGAAAGTCTATAATCAAGGGTTCTCGCAGAATTTGAACGTTACCAGACTACTCAGTACGCAAGTGTATTGGTGTTCAAAATACCCCTTGAATAAGTCATCTGAGTGTTGCTGGGATAATATAATCAAGGAACCGAGCTCTTTAACAAGAATCAAAGCTCCAAGTAGATCTAAAAAAGTCAATTCAAGATATCCAAAGAAGCCTTTCCTGCCAAAACGGGGTCGACGGTATGGATCTGCGTACCACGAAAAGTAAGTAGACGCATAATGGCATTAAAAGCATCAAGCGGCTGGGAACCAAAAAGTGAAGCTATAGATAACACCTGATTGGCATATATGAGCCCGGGAAGTAATAGTCAATAGCGGCACACCTCCAAAGGTCAATAAAGGTGTATGTGACTGGCCTTCGGATCTGGGACGACGACATTATGACCAGTGACCATTTGAAAAGGGACTTCACGAAAAATGTAGACATAAATGCCCAAGTGCGACACCAGTGAGTGCAACACTGAGGGACTGATCAGAACGCAATGCTATAGAAATTGATGGGCTGAAATGGAAAATATTGAGGATGATCGTCAGTATCTGATGGTGAATTGAAAGGGCCGGAGGAAGGGCGAAAGTAAGGTGGAAGTAGAGGATATGATAGCAGATGGGCAAAGCAAGCGTGTCTTTCTTTTTCACTGTTCAAGTCTTAGACGTTTTTACTCATGTAAATAGACTATTAAAGGAGTGTCACAAATACAAGGTTTAAATTTTGTGAGCCGCGGAGATATCGGAACAAAACCAAGAATATGTCAAATAGCCATGCGGAAGTCAGTGAGTTATAATTGATGTAAAGTAATAAAATTTCCGATAATCTCTCTGCGATTCCAAAAAGAAATGTTTTATGGGCTGACATCTGAGTTTGGACAATAGACGAATCTATTACACCGCGGCCTTGGGCGTTGTAGGATTCCAGTCGTCAGATTTGAAAAATAAAGGTTAAAAGCGACTTGGAACTATTTTACGCATAGCTATTGCCAAACACTCACCGAGAACGAGGCAAAGGACGGTATATGTCATTTACATAGGATAGTTATAATCGTGCGCCAGCATTCCAGAATCAAAAATTAAAAATATTGTCTCTATGTGCCTAGCAACAAAATGGTTGAAGTATGGCAAGAAAGTAAGGTCTCAAAGGCCCATATATTCATCGAGTTTCAAATATTGACAATTGTATCTCTTCACTAGATCCGCGCCGCAAGCTTTCTCACCGTCTCACGCAGAGGGTAGTCATGGCGCTTGGTCTTACTTCGCACACGCTCACCATCCTGGGGGGAAATATAACGAGCCTCGACCGCTGGATTGTATCCCAGCCCCGATAATTTGGCAATTTCTTCGTTAGAAAGAGCGCGATTTTTCTGGCCATCCGCCCGCTTGTAGATAGTCACGACTACTGCTCCACCCAGCCCCAAGTTGTGCTGTAAGGCAACATCAGTGTCAGGGACTAACCTATTATTAGCCCACCCACGAAGTTGCCACGTAAGCTCGGCACATTGTGCCACTCCTGTGGCGCCAAGTGGATGGCCTTTGGAGATCAAGCCCCCGGAAGGGTTGACGACTGGCCCGCGCCCACCATATGTGATGTCTCCACGGCGAACCATTTCGTGAGCCTTTCCTGGCTCTGAGAACCCTAGGGCATCAAGCAAAAGTAGCTGATTTGTTGAGAAGCAGTCATGGATCTCGCATACTTTTATATCTCTGACCTTAACATTAGCCTCTTTCATTGCTTCTTCGGCAGCATGACGAGACATGTTGAACCCAACAAGATCAATTGCACTCCCAGAGTAAACCTCTGGTCCATCAGTCAACAATGCTTGACCGGCCATCAGAATGGCTTGTGGCTTTAGGTGAGGTCGCGCATCCAAGAAGCGCTTCGAGACTATGACAGCTGCAGCTGCACCGTCACTCGTTGGTGAGCATTGGAGTTTCGTAAGGGGTCCGTAGACAGGAGTAGAGTTCATGATTTCTTCCAGTGTGTATTTCACCTGAAATTGGGCATACGGGTTTCTTTGCGAATGTTCATGTGAGATCCTAGCTATTTCAGCAAAGTCTTCAGCTTTCGCGCCGTACCTGTTTTCGAGTCAGTATCAATGGAGTTTCGTAGCTTGAAGCTGCCCTACTTTTGCATATACTCTTTCCCGGCATTTCCAAAATACTGTGCATTCCGGGGTGCATTATGTTTCCCAAATTTATCTTCCATCAAGGCGGTAGAAGGGCCCAAGGGGCTGGGGCGGTCATCCCATACACTTTTGATAGACCCAGGACGCATTTGCTCGAATCCAACCACAAGAGCGCAATCTACCAGTCCGCCCTTGATCATTCTTCTTGCCATATGGAGCCCAGTACTACCGGTTGCGCACGCATTGTTGACATTATAGATGGGTACGCCAGTCATACCTAGACCATATGCTATCCTTTCTGTACTACACAGCAAAATCATTAGAATGGAAAATTTCTTTATATTTATATCGACTGGAAAGTGCTCTTACCAAGTAGTATCTCCATAGCAATAACACCCCACTACTTGCTGCACTTCATCATAGTTGACTTTAGCATCGATCAAGGCTTTTACAGCAGCTTCATACCCCAACTCTGGATATTCCCGAGTACGCCGTGGTTTAAGAAACTGTGTGAGTCCCACTCCTAAAACATAGGCATCACTTGAAGGAATTTGAGACGTCATGCTGAATTATGCGAAAAGATTTTTCGGTGAACATAATTCTGAAAGATGGGAAGGCTTGTAAATAGGATACGTGGTCGTAGCCGACAGTCCCGAGGTAAAATGTCACCCCCTCATTTGCAATCTTTTTTACCCCAATAAACAGCCGACTTGGAGTACAAAGACAAACAATACCACCTGAAATATAGAAAATAATGTTCAGCATAACCTAATTACTCATATAGGCTATGAAACATGATACTGTGGACACGTCGAAAGGCCAGCGCTGAACTTCATCCTAATGACATGTTTGGATCATAATTTGTATCACTTGGCTGTATCACCTACCAAATTTAGAATAAAAATAATGGAGGACTCTTCAGAATCTTAGTCTCCATAATCCAAAACTTTCTTAGTATCTTCCTCCAACCCAAAGGTCCTTTTTGTGATCATTGACTGGGAGAAGCAACGCAATCTTCTACCCCCCGATTTCGTTACCATGGTGACTGTAAATTCCCACAAACAAATTTACGCTATCACTAGGATGGTTCGCCAGCTACGCCAAAGAGCCAGTGGCAATGCATCATTAATTCTTGAAAACCGCGGCTTTATATCTTACCAACATTTATTGCGTATTTATCCAGCCATATCAGAACGAAATATATATCAAAACGGCAAAAAATTGCTTTGATATGTATCAAAACCAGTATCACTTTTGAGTACAGAAGCACACAGGCCAGCTCAATTTAGGTATTATTCTTCGGCCTTGCATGTTCTCTTCATTTACTGCTTCGAATTTTATGCTTGTTGATACAATTACAGACAGACAAGGTTGAATTCAATAGATATAGCAGTTTCGAAATATGTATATAGTTGGTCGTCTCATAGGAGCCAAGCATCGTTATGCGAGGTGACAAACTCACTGAATAAACTGACATCGATAAGAGATTATCCAATCGAAAGACTGACTGTGTGATGCCGGGGCCCCTGGTGGAAACTGCCTAAGAGGAAAATTACTCTTTTACGATCCTAGCTTGAGGCAGTAGCTATAACGAGCAATGAGCTGTCATTAACTAATCTTCGCATATCTAGATGGGATGATATTAATATTTAGAAATTAAATGCAGTTTAAAAGTAATACCAGTTCATTTCAGTCCGTTTGTGTAGGATGATAATGCTGTTCCTGTATAATTCACTATGTCTATGCTGAAGTTCTGGCAACTCGCTCGTTCTCGGTCTTGGCTGGAAATATTCGGGGGAATGGGTAGCCCCGCATCGCCGACAGCACTTTTCATGTCTCCACATTCCCCTCTTCACGCTAGGCTCATGCTCTGTCGGCAAAGCTCATAAAGTAATTGAGTTTACTTTTTGGCAGGAGTGCAGTGCAGCTATATTTTGACGCCTCAGCCTCCCAAAAAACCATAGCACACTGAATTATGACCTTTTCTAGACCAGTAAGAAGATTATGAACCAACTAGAAGTTCTCCCACTAACAGCAGCCGATAGGGAAGTCAAAAGATCCTCGGGATCTCCCGCTGTCGGACACACAGTATTTTTTCGACCTATTTCCATCGACCGTTACGTGGACTACATACACGAGCCACAGAATTTCTTCAGTGCCAAGATCCTGACCTCACGGATTCACAGCGTTCTGTACGAGAAGCGATCTCTAAAATTTGTGCCAATTTTCCAGATGAATATTGGGCTCGCACCGATGAGACACATGAATTTCCCCATGAGCTTTACAATGTGTTGGCACAACAGGGGTGGTTGGGGATCTGCCTACCACGTCGCTATGGGGGTTCTGAGCTTGGCATCTCCGAGGCTGCAGTAATGATGCAAACCATTGCTGAGTCTGGTGGTGGTATGACCGGAGCATCCTCTATTCATATGAATATCTTCGGACTGGAGCCAGTCGCGAAGTTCGGAAGTGAGGAACAGAAAAGGAGGTGGTTGAGACCTTTGATCGCCGGTAACGAACGGGCTTGCTTTGGAGTCACTGAGCCAAATACCGGCCTAGACACATTAAAATTACAGTCCACTGCTCGTCGGGATGGTGATGCATACATCCTTTCCGGGCAGAAGATTTGGATCTCCACAGCACAGAGGGCAGACAAGATTCTCATTCTTGTGCGTACCACACCTTATGACCAAGTGGAAAAAGCCTCCCATGGACTGTCGCTTTTCTATACCGACTTACAGGTCCCTGAAGTCCAGATCACCGAGATCCCAAAGATGGGAAGGGCAGCTGTTGATACCAATACATTGTTCTTTGACTGCTGGCGGGTGCCTGCTACTGACCGAGTGGGAGAAGAAGATGAAGGATTCAAAATGATTCTTTACGGAATGAACGCTGAGCGAATCTTGATTGGAGCGGAGGCGCTAGGGCTTGGCTTTGCTGCCTTGCGTCGTGCTAGCTTATATGCCGGGGAGAAACGGGTCTTCGGTCGTCCTATCGGCCAGAACCAGGGCGTTCAGCATCCGCTCGCTGACACTTGGATGAAACTGGAAGCAGCACGATTAATGATTTACCAGGCTGCCCGCCTTTATGATGAAGGATATACAGGGGGTGAGTACGCAAATGCTGGAAAATATTTAGCAGCCGAAGCGGCTTTTGAGGCTTGCGAACGGGCTATTCTAACCCATGGGGGAATGGGTTACGCAAAAGAATATCATGTCGAACGTTACCTGAGGGAGGTCTTTATCCCACGCATTGCCCCGGTAAGTCGAGAGATGATTTTGAATTACATAGGAGAAAGAGTTTTGGGCCTTCCGAAGTCATATTAGAAAAGATATATACCTCGGTATCGAAAATTCCAAAAGTATAAGCAGTTCTTGCAGCATCATATTACCCCATCGTGTTTTCAATAAACTAGTAGCAGACTCTGTTTATTTTCATTAGCGATTGCAACAGCACAGTAAGGGCTAAGCTAGATCTCGGCGAATCTCGGGGCCAAATTATAATGCCTATTCACCGGTAAAAAGAAAGTTTTTGAACGTACCGAGGGATCTTAGTGGAGGGGCAAACGAGGATGTTAGTACATGTGGGTGCTCTTTTAACCCCGGATTTAACCCGACCGCTACTTGAATCTGAGCTCTCTTTCTCTCCAAGAACAGGCGATTTAGATAAAAATGAGCTTCGCGATCAAGAGCCGAAGCTCACCTGGACTGGCCGGTCGGATTTCCCGTCGCCTAGGAATAATCGGCCAATTCCAGAATTCCTCAATCCCCTGGTTGTCGTCATCCCCACGACTTCATTATTCTCAAAGCAGTATACCAAAGAACTCAGGCCCATTGAAAGGAGTTCGTATCTTGGATCTGACGCGTGTATTGGCAGTAAGCGATGTGTTGAGAAGCCATTGTCATCTCTTCTAATCACTATTAGGGGCCCTTCTGTACGCAAATTCTCGCCGATTATGGTGCGGATGTACTCAAAATTGAAAATCCAAAAGGCGGGGTATGTGAATGGGTCTATGGTGATTACAATTAATTAGAAATATTTACTGAAGGCCAGACGGTTTTAGGATGACACGCGCTTATGGAGAACCACTGGAGAGAAAGATCTTTGGAAAGCGACCGAAAGTGAGATGTCTGCTTACTTTTGCACGATCAACCGAAATAAAAGATCTATAACCTTAAATTTAAAAAGCCAAAAGGGTCGTGACATCCTTTTTCAGCTTGTGAAACACTCAGATGTAGTGTACGTATCATTGCCGCTTGATTCTGGAAAGATGATGAATAACAACATTCAACAGCGTCGACAACTTTATCCCAGGGAAAATGGAGGAGCTCGGCATTGGATACAGACAATTGTGCGATGTCAACCCATCGATCATTCACGCCAGTGTCTCCGGTATGATTAAATTTAGCCGTATTTCTCTGATCATATTATGCATTAATTCTTAAGTACTCCAACAGGATATGGAGCAACTGGGCCGTATGCCCATCGAGCCGGATATGATGCAATCGCAGCAGCCGAGGCAGGACTGATGCATATAACCGGCGAAAAGGATGGTCCCCCAAGTCGGCCAGGGCTCGGACTCACAGATATGAGTACTGGATTATATCTTCATGGTGCAATTTTGGCTGCATTATACTCTCGTCAGAAGACTGGCCAGGGGCAGAAGATTGATACATCTTTGTTTGAAACCCAAGTTTCTCTATTATCAAACGTTGCGATGTCATGGTTGAACGCTGGGGAAAGCGCTCAACGCTGGGGAACCGAACACCCAAGCATAGTGCCGTACCAGGCTTTTAGGACGAAGGATACACACATTGTTCTGGGCGCAACAAATGACCGCCAATTTAAAATGCTATGTCGTCTAATAGATCGACGTGATCTTGCTAAAGACCCTCTTTTCGCCCATAATGCTTCTCGAGTGGCAAACCGCAGCAAACTGACGGTTGAACTGGGCAGTATAATGGTATCAAAGACCACGAATGAATGGCTAAGCATTTTAGAAGGAAGTGGGATGCCATATGGGCCGATCAATACTATTGATTCGGTATTTGCACACCCACAAACCAAAGCTAGAGAAATGCTATATTCTATGCCCCACAAAGCTGCAGTTTCTGGTGAGGTTAAAATTCTTGGTGAGTTTGAAATCCATTCAGTTCGAGTTTATGCGCACATTAATTCATTGCCGACCAGGCATTCCTGTTAAGTTCAGTAAAACACGCCCGCAAATCCGTATGCCACCGCCTAGCCTAGGAGAGCATACTGATATTACACTCAAAGAGATGGGGGTTTCAGATGCAGAAATACGAGAGATGCGGAGCAACAAGATTGTGTAATGATCATTTAATATTAGACAGTTCCTTCCAGGATATTTGGCTATTATTGGACTATATCCTGGTACTTAGGAATTGAGATTTTGTGGTGCTTTGAAAACTCTTGTCTCATAGCTGGAGCACAGAGGAGTTATCCAATTCTTTATTCATGACAGGATGTCACTGTGAAACAAGCCTCTCATGAATCTAGATTGAAGCCTTCACACGGTTCATTTGCGTTTATAGAGATCGGGGTTTTAAACGCCATCAAATGCAAATTCTTAATAGTTTTTGAATGATGATCTTATCCAGTGCCCAAAATACATTGTTTGAAGACTTTAAAGGTGTTTTTATTCACAATTAAGTCAAGGCCAATAATATAAGCCTTGCGCGACATCCTTTCGCAAGGTCTCATTCACCCAAATAAATCCTTCGTTTTCTAACTGTGGAAAATCACCCTGGATCAATTCTGCAACAATACCCCCAAATACAATGCTCCCATAATTGTTAAGATGAGTATGGTCGTCCTCGTTAAGATTATATGTAGAGGCATTTGTAGGACCAATAGCGTTCAGGTAGCGTGTGCTTGCTCTGTTAAGATCAATAAAAGACGCTCCAGTCCTGCGTGCTGCTGTAATAGTGGCTGCAGTTTGGTTTGCAAGATCCTGGATAATAACTGGATGACCCGTCGAGTTATCATAATTCCTTCGTGACAAGGGAGTAACAAGAATTGGGATTGCCCCAGCACTGTAAGCTTCGATGACAAATCTCTCCAAATTTTCGGTATATTCAGAAAGGGAGATATTGGCAGAGGCTTTCTGGTCATTATGTCCGAATTGGATGGTCACAAAAGGTTGAAATCCATGACTGACATTGTGAATTGTTTGAAGAATGTTATCCCAGTCCCCTCCACTTCGAAAACTGACGGTTGTTGCCCCATTGTGACCGTAGTTATGGCCTGCTGCGCCATTAAAAAGTGTTGTATTTAGAAAGCCATCTCCCCACCCTCCTCCGTTTGACGATTGAATAGCCGTGGTGCTATCACCTGCCAACACAAAGTATGGAGGTATTTTTGATGTAGAAAAGGCCGGAAGACAATTTGCCATCGAAAGGGAGTAGCCTATTATATATAGCAGTACCAGCTTCATTCTTGTTCGGTTGTTTCTCACGGTGGTTTTCGAACAGTTTCACACCCGCTTTCTCAATACAAGTATGAAGGAATAGTGGGGCCTTAGTATTTATGTACTTGATGCACTAATGGTGTCATGATAGAATTCCATTAATTTATGTTTCAAACTTCCACCAACGGGATAATTCTGAGTTCTGCCGTGCCAATCATTTGCATTTCGACGATCAATATGCGGGGTAGTGACAGAACTCCTCCAGCAGGCAGTGGAGTATAATATGTTTTCTTGAAAATTTTACCGAAAATACTGAGTAATGAACATAGATCATGCGTCTCTGGTTTGTCTCGGGTCAAAGAGGTCCGATGAAATATGTATACTGTTGTGGAAGGCAAACAACAAGTTCGGATGAAAGGATGTAGTTTATGTCTCGAGGGACTTTGATGGAGAAAATGTCACAATGACAATCGCGTAATACAAAAAAGGTGATTCGCAGTAATGACGTGACATATTTCTTCCAAAACTGATTTTGTATCACTTAATTTGGATGTATATATCACGCAGAAAGTACTAGCGACACAAGCATGGTAGCCTGAATAAGCTCCTCCTCTTGCATATGTCTACCCACAAGCTGTACACAACATGGTGCACCATCAATAGCACCAGGAATATCTACAATAATCGAAATGTTAAATTAGTATATTTAATGCACTTGGAATCGAATCGACCACTTACAAGGTGGTTTGTAGTCCACATTTCGGAGAAAGGGTGCATCGGCGGCCTTGTCAGCCTTGCTAAATGGAATAATACACGCTGGATACTGTCCACTGGTAAGCATATTTCCATCTTATTGCTTAGACTAGTACTCACATCTAAAACATTCCAGAGAACCGTGTATGGAACAAAACCAAATTGGTCATGTGGCTGAGCAGTGCCCTGGTACCCAGGCATGATGATTGCATCCACATTAGCCTTGACAATGAGAGAGCGAAATTGCTCCTTGATTCTATTACGCTGCTCGTTCAAATCATATAGTCCATCCAGAGTGAGTGGGGCATACTCATATCCCATGTATTCGTGCGATAGAGACGTTGAAGCCAATGCAGGAATTGTTGGTTCACCGCTGGCAGCAATGTGTCTAAATGGGATCTGTGCCGGGTCCATGGCAAACATACGGAATGCCAGTACGCAGACTTCTTTCAAAGAAGGCGTATCAAGTGGAACGATCTCATGTCCTGCTTTTTGTAGCTTTTTGACCGCATCTGTAAGAGTCCGTAAGATCGGGGGATGAAGCGGAAAATGTGAATCTTCTTGAATCAACCCGAGACGAAGCTTCGTCATCTTTCTCACCGTGCGCCACGGAGAAAATAAAGCTGTTGAGTCAAACTTCCACGGATCTGCTAGAGTTACTAAGCGCATGACAAGCTCCAAGTCCCGCACAGAAGTTGCCAATGGACCAGCACAGGCTTTGATTCCCGTGAGGCCGCGCCGTGAGGAGCTTGTTTGGCCACCATATGGAATTCTATCCGCAGATGGGCGAAGAGCAAATGTCCCATTGCAAATTGCAGGAATGCGGATTGATCCCGCAATGTCAGTCCCTATTCCCAACACTGATCCCCGCATCGCAATCAATGCTCCCTCACCCCCGGAAGATCCTCCAGCGGTCAGATTCCAAGCATGAGGGTTCAGAGTTCGGCCAAAGACATAGTTATGAGAATCTGCAGCCTAGAGAAGTCAGTCAGGGTTGGAAATTTAGTATTTGTTATGGGAGCCCTGCCTACCATCATTGTCTGAGGGATATTGGTTTTAGCATACGGGACGGCCCCGAGATTCACAAGTATTTGAACAAGTGGAGAGTTAGAGTCGACGGGCCCATTTTTGATGAAGGAGGTAAATCCAATGGTTGATGGAACTCCTTTGATATTGAAACAATCCTGTTCATTTAGTAAGAAAGGGGCATGATGATGTTGGTATGGATTTTAAGCACCTTAAAACTAATTGGTAAACCATGGAGCGGTCCAACTACTTTTCCTGTGCGGGAAAAATACTCATCCAAAGACTTCGCTCTCTCGAGAGCCTCATCAAAGAGAGTCTCCGTGAGACAACGGGTCTGCTTGGACTATTCTTAGCGAACTGAAACCGGATAAACAATTGATTTGAAGGGTTTATGCGTACGACTTGCTGTGCGATCGCAGCGCGAATGCAAAAGGCTTCGGTGACATCGTGAGCAGAGAGTTCACCACAAGAGATCTTTTCAAGGAGAGAGGTCGCGTCGTAATTCTCCGTTATGTCCAATTGTTTCGAAGATAGAAGACCACACCGACGAGGGATGTCAATTACGTTCGTTCTGGCTGTATCGGAAAGAGTGGTACTCTCAGCAGGTAGACGCCATGATTCGGGGATCTTGGCCGCACTGTCGGCTTGCTTTTTTTGTACCAGTGTTTCCCAAGAGAGAGAAGCCATGTTGGAATGACAATTGGATCGAAAGAATTTAGAGGGGTTTTTAATGCTCAGAACATGGGAAATGGGGGTGTGGGATAAGTATTTAAGTCATCGACAGCGATGTCAATGCGACCGAAATTCTTCTGAAAATTGAAGCGATTTAGCCTTTCAGGAAAGGCGACATAGAGGCAACTTTCCGGAAGAGCAAGTCCAGCCGGGCCGTTCAACTTGTTTTCTTCCTCTACCGTAGGATTACCATCGACACTTGCCCCGGATCTGCCTTGGCCCAATCACATATAATAGCGCGCATGGCCCCACCATGTTGAACACTACATTTCTCCTCTCCAAACCCCCGAGCTTTGATGTCTATCCATAATCATGCAACCTTGAGGCCTTAGAATCTTGCCTTTTGATCCATGGGGATTACGGCACGGATTCTGACCGTTCCTTGGATCATAGCGTCTGGATATTATTCAGTACTCGGGGGTTGGCAAGGCCTCGGAAAATCGGCACTTATCACAGGCTTCGTGGGCCCTTTTTCCAAAGGGAACATCTTGATTAGGCATTTGACATCCGGAACCTCCGCAAATTGAGTGACTTCCGCTGAGTCAATCACACAGATCCTGGGCCATCAATGAACAGATAGACTGAGTGTAACATGTCCGAGCGGTACATTGGGTATTGCAGGGAAAGTGGAATAGTTGGAAGACCAAGGGAGCCTACTATGGATGTTGTATCAAAGGCACCTTCGCCTGCAACAAAAAGAATCCGATATAAATATCGATTGAATATTCATACGTTTCTTCTCATATCACTACCAGCGAGAACACTAATATTGTAAACGGGGCCTGATCTTTTCAACAGCGTAGAGATCCCTCCTGGACCTTTTAAACAATCGAAAATTACTAAGTGTGCACTAGAAATTAGCGGATTGCGAACGGTTTACTATTCCTTATCTCGTTCAAAGGCAGCTTGTTTCACCAGGCTATCGAGCCCTTTCCGCCAAAGATCCCGAACGCTACAATGAAATGGACATGGCCGGCTTCACGAGGAAACAAGGTGGTCCAAGCGGTTCATTCCGCGATTTGTGTATTGACTGTGGGACGTCGGCAAAGATCGCCAAGGGACAGGTACGCACAGTGCATTAACGGCATGCAAGCCATGTGCTTCGCAATAAGTATTTGCCTGACTGTCATGTCATAGATAAAAATCAAATCGGGCACCTGTCCAGTTCTCTATACAGACAAGGGACTCCAATTTGACGATGGAAGCCATGTGGATGCTGATGTGATCATTTTTGCGACTGGTTTCAAATTCAACATGCCAGTAATTGTGCAGGAACAATTTGGGCCTGACATCGTGCGAAAGGCTAATCGTCTCGATACTGGAGGAGGCCAGCTCAAGCGCAATTATCTGCCAACGGGACGGAAGTACCATCTGAACCTGCCCTCTGTTTAAACAAGAGTGTTGAACTGTGGGAAACTGACCAATGAAATCGAAACCGATATACAGCTTTGGACTGTGGGAGGAAATATGGGACTTGCCAGATACTTCTCGCGATTTCTAGCTCTGCAGATTAAAGCAGTAGTGCTTGGAACCCCGCTTCCCATTTTCAATGAGAACTTCCTTCAATAGGTACATTTTGTTACGGACTCCTAGACCGGTAACCACCCAGGAATGTATATACAAATAATGGTTACATCATGGAAAGAAATTGACTAACCCGTATATATCACTTCCTTCAACTTAAGACTTTGGTAGAGCCGCTGGTGATGCCATGTTTTTCCATTTTGAATAATTCAAATATCTGGGGTATTCACTTCACCGAGCTCGGCCCACTGTTGCTGTAATTCTCGCCTCATCCAGGAGGTCCGCCATCCTAGAACTCCTTCCACTTGAGCGAGGAATTGTAAAGATCCTTGTTGTTCTACTGGATGCCGCAGGCAGTAGCCAACTAGAAAAGGTAAAAGGAAGTGAGAAGGAGAGAGGACCAAGTAAATAAAGGGGAAACGAACAGCGGTGGAGGAGATGACACGCCATGAAGTACGCATTGTGCACACTTTCATTGGATTGAGAAAGTCCAATCACAATTGATATATGACTGGCAATAGTTTTCTGTACGTAATAAGCTTTCTGGATCCAAGTGGAAGAGCCTCGAGAAAAACATACTTCGGCCAGGCGTCGTGATCGAGCCATTTCATAATCGCTCTTCGGTCGCAAGCAAGGATCTGAAAATGTCAAAAAAATGCAGGTTGCATGATAATACTGCATCCCAACCACTACCGGATGAAGTCAATATCAATGAGATCCCAAGTTCTAGCAAAGAGATACGGCGGGGAACAAACCTGCAGGTGCCGACATCATCCATATTTCAGGGAATGGTCGATGCGCGGCCACATCCGGCGCTTCGTACCGAAGGGGTTGCCAGGTAGCAGGTTTTGAGTGATGCCATTTTTCGAGGGCATCGGCTATTTCACGACGTGCATGTTTATCAACAGGCTCTTGCGGTACATGTCGGCAGATTTGCAGAATATGCGCGCAGTGAAAAATGGCCATGTTAGCAAATGCAGCATCATCGTGGCGTTGAAACATCGATGATCGTTCATAATTCCGGAGGTCCAGTTGCCAGGGTTGATATTGTACGATAGATGCGTATATCGCTTGTCGCAAGAACTGCCAACTAACGGCCTCAGCGAGCCCGCCAGAGGAGGCAGACTGAGACATGAGGTTGATCAAACGGTTGGACCCCAACAGATGGAACTGCTGGTCCGTGTTGTTTTCTAGCTCCTCATAAATGCGGAGAATGACAACGGTGACCAATAAATTGTCATCATACGTCTGTTCGGGACGATCCAAAACAGGGATGAGCAGCTCTAAACACTGGCCATGGAAGGAAGAGGCTTCCCAGTCGCTCTCGTTGGTTAGAATAGCATCATGCCGAGCCGTAAGTGCCATGACTGCTTTGAGTACCATGGGAACCTGGAGTGCCCGTCGAGGAACATCTGTAGCGAAATGGGCCTGGGGGTCACAGATGTCCGCCTAGAATGATCAATTAGGTCGCGGGCCTTTCCAACCGGGGATCATCCACATAAACCTACCCAAGGTGCGATTCGTTGGATGAAACATCGCATTAAAGATGCTTCTCGCAATGATAAAGTGGCAGGTTCATCGACTCCAGGCAGAAGTGAATTTTTGGCCACCAATTCCCTTAGGGGTTGGTGTTGAGGCTGAGGCTGGTGTACATTCGAAATCAAGGGCACCGGTGGGCGATCATCATTCGACACCCCAGCTATGAAATCACGATAACTCTCGGGACTTGATTCTTGATGAAGAGGACTCCTTGTCAGAGGAGCATGGCTAAGTTGATGAGTCTCGTCCGCCTGCCAATGGCCGGAGGCTTCGAGCACAAAGGTCACTGGCCGGGAAGACCCTATTAGCAAATAATGTTAGAGGAATGAGGTTTAAATTGTGGAATTTACCCGGACGGGAGATTTCCATCCACACCTGGTCCGTATCCCATTTCAAGTCAAAGCGAGCTGAGGTCCCGCTGCTTTTTTGATAGACATGGCGAACAGTCTTGAACTTGAAGCGGGGGTCAAGATGACAGATGCGGCCTAGGCGACTGCATGGGGTACAGGATGAAGCGCCATCCGGAATAACACAGCGTACGTGGCGATCGCGGCAGCGTTCACAACCTTTGCCCACTCTCATGAAGATGCGAATCCGAGTTGCGACACGCGATGGCAATCATGATGCTCGACTTGCTGCTTCAATTTCCCCGCAAATGCTGACTCAGCTAACTTTGCGGGATTTGTTTGTGTACTTTGGATGGTTTGCATACTTTGTATAGTTTTGTTCTGCTTCAGGCCACCGCCAGCCCAATTTGGTATCCCGGGTTCGGTCACGCTTGTTGACGTGACCTGTCAACTCGACAACTTTGCAACGATGATAATGAAGTTTGTCCATCAAGATGAATATCATTGACCTTCAGTTTCACTTGCGATCGAAGATATTGACTGGGTCAGAAATATACTGTTTATATACCACTCCAATTCGATCCTAGTTTCATTCTGGGCCGCTTCACACCCTCCCATGTTCGCCAAGCTGCCAATCCGGCTAATACCAGTTGTCCACTTATCGGATGCAGGTGGATCAGCCAATTCTGCTGCCTACCGTCTGATGCAAAAAATAGCATTTTTCTCTTCCTCGGCCCCGCCATTATGGTCCTCTTTCCTTGTTATGCGATGCAAGCTTCGACCGACAAACACCTCATATGTCATGGCTAACAGAGCTAACACGGGCAAAGCTTCAGAACGACGATATCTGGACAGTCTCCCAACACAGTAAACAAGTCCGGTTATCGTCCGCCGTCGTGGGGCGCAGGTAGCGCTGTCAATGCAACCAAAAGTTCAATCCCAGGCGGGCCCAATGACAATGATCATTTTTCTCCTCTTGACTTCATGCAGAGCTCGGCAGTCGACTGGTGTGCCATCGGAGATTATTAGCGTAGTTTAAGATATTTTTCCCGGTCGACTCCGCCTCCCAAGACAGCTATAAACATGAACCTCCCTATGTTCACCCCGCGTCACGGTGCGACAGAGAGAACTTGCTTGTATTTTTGCTAGCGCCCATGCATCTCTGTTTTCCCCTACTAGCATCTGTGTTGTGGCAAGTGGTCACCGCAGATTCCTGTAAGCTACGCCCGGTCACACAAGCTCGAAGCCCGTCAGCTCCAAAGCATACTAATGGCCTTAGGCTCCACCAGTTTGACTATCTCCAGCCAAAGTGATGCGGACAATCTCTCAAATTGTGATAGTCTCGATGGCAGCATCACCATTTCCTCCTCTGCCAGTGGGGTCATTACTCTAAATAACGTTGAGGAGATCAAAGGTTCATTAACGGCGGAGGGGGCATCAGGCCTCACAAGGCTTATCGCGCCAGACCTTGAAACTCTCAAGGGAGCGCTCACTTTGGAAAATTTGAACTCTCTGACGAATTTGACATTGAGTGCCTTGGCACAAGTGTCCTCGGGGATAGCCATAACCAACAATGCTAAACTCAAGACTCTCGACCTGGAGGAGTTGGAGCAAGTGGATGGGGAGCTTAAGCTGACAGGCTCGTTCACCAGGTGAGCTCTATGATACACTCTTTTGTTTTCATATTAATATGAGGGTTATTGATGAAAGGAAACAGTATATCCCTACCATCACTTGATGAAGTCAATGGCAAGACAACTATCCGTGGCTCCAGATCCATGTCATGTAGCGCCTTAAATAGCCTACAGTCTGACAATGTGTATCAAGGTGATTATCAATGCTCTGTCTCGAGCTCATCTCTCACTGCAGGGGTAAAAGGAGGTATTGCAATAGGTGTAATCCTAGGAGTTCTCTTGATAGTGATACTCCTGTGGTATCTTTTCCGTCAACGACAACAACGACAACGGAAAACTAAACATGCCCCATTATCACCTATATCCTCACCGTCGGTTGGGAAAGAGACCGAGAAAGGGCCCAGCCCTCTGTACCAGCCACTGCCATTGGAAGACCAAAAGCCTTCTATGCCCCGAAAGCCTGTTGGATCCGCAATACAGCTGGATGGTCGTTCGATCTATGAAGCGCCTATCGCCCCTACCCCCGTTCGTGAATACCATGAGTTGGATGCTGGACCAGTGTTGAGCTCTCACCAGCGACCAATTCATGCCGAAGTATGAGGGGATATTTCAAACCGTGTTTTTTATGCGAAATAGCCTGGTAACCACGGGCCTCTTTTTTCCCCCACGACTGTCTTTTGATCTATACTCATCTATATACCCAATGTTGAAACGAATAACGAATAATTCCCTCTACAGATCGTTTGAAGTTTCGTTTTATTTTCTTTTCATATTGGTTGGAAACTAAGCTTTGTCCAAGAAAATGGCGCTAGGGTCTACTCGTGCGGCTCCGGCCTTGCAACCAAAGAATTGGACCAAGGCCTGAAACAGCAGTCTTAAACGAGCACAATATTCGCATAAAGAAGCATATTGGTCATTCCGTCGCTTCGCAATACCAATTTGCAATGGTGGCTGGCATTCTAACCCGAACTGGCGACCGCGCTAAACCGATTAATGCCCATGATTACCTGAGGTCGATTAGCTTCGAGCCCTGAATTCAGGGGATTCGTCCGCTTCCAGAGATTCCATGTGTTGCAAGGGTCTTCATGGTGTATTTTTGTCAATTAATGACCAATTGCATCGACTCCTCTGCTGGCCTGACTGCATGCTTTACTTTTCTTAACTTGATTTGGCTCTGACAGTAAGTGATCTAACACATGGCCCATGCCTGTGACCAGCAAGCTGGCATGGGTTGTTATTTAGTTTTCTCCAGCAAATTTCCTCCCATCTGAGTATATTCCTTTTATTATTTTGCGTGCTTCCATTCCACAAGCTCTGGGGCGCCTTTCTATAGCCCCTATTCCACAATGATTTCCACCGTTCTCACATTCTTATGCTGTGCAACCTCTTTATTGTCACTGGCACCCACATCTCTAGCTGCTAATGCGACTGCGATCTCTTCCGATGGCTGCGTAAGTCCTTCTGGCTTCGCGACCTGCTTGGAGGCCGCATCGACTCAGGAGGCTACTTGTATTGCCGAGGCTGGGGGCAGCGACGCAATAATTATTGGATGCGGTTGGTTGAAAGATGTCAATGAGCTGCTATGTTACATGAGCGATTGTTGGAATAAGGCACATGATTCTCGACCTAATTTTGAACACTGTTGATCAATTTTTATTGACTTAGATCTGAAACTAGGTGTACTCCTGCGAATACCAATACCTTGCATCAAGCTATCTTATTGAGCGTGGAGAGGAAACTATTCCTTTCTACCCGGCCCCTAAAGATGCACCCGGAGGATGCTCTTGCAATATGGGAAATGTGCTCCAAAATGCCACAGCAAGTATTGAGTTGATTCAAACTACATGCTCGAGCTATACATTTTCGTCTGATTACACTGCTCTCTCGTCATGCCAATGCTGTGCGTGGAGTGCAGCTCTCTCGGCGTAAGTGATGCCCTATTCTTATTCTTCTTTGACACATGTCCCTGATACAAATTTGGAAGTCGCTGACAATAAATATTTGAAGGTTTTATGGTATCTGCCCTACCACGGATCCTTCTCAACTGGGGCTCGACAAACTCGCAAGTGAGGTGAAAGAGTACACTTCAATTACTGGAAGCTGCTCAAATCTAAATGCCAGCACCTGCTTGGGAAAATTCGGGATTGGATCTGCGGACAACGGCACTTATGTCAACCCTGAAAGCCTTCCTGCTGGAGGGACAGAAGCACTCAGTACAACAACGGGGACTGGATACCCATTGACTTCACCACCGGGAGGTAGCACCATGACAGTAACTCTCTTGAGCGCAACACATACAATCACAGCCGCAACATATAATGCGAAGAATGTACTTTCAGGCGCAGATTCGACCGCTTCCTCATCTGGATCTGGTACTACTGGAAGCAGTAGTTCTGGAGCGAGCGGCAATATGGGCCCACCTGGTTTCCGAGTCCCGCGTTCTAAAGTTTGTCTTGGGATATTCTTGGCTGGGATGGCATGGTTTTGATATTGAGTAACACTCTTTGATGTTGAATTGGAATTAAAGGGATTCACACTGCTTGAGAAAGTGTACATCTGGTGTCTCTGCCATCTTCCTACATCCGCCTACGTGTTTGGTGTTTCACTCTGGTTGCTCTGGCAAGACAGAACTGCGTGAAGATACATATCATTCATTCATTTTGGTATTTGGTTCTTGGTGCACATTTAATTTATTTCCTTTAAACAATAACTTTGTGGCCGGCGGGTTGCTCCTCGGGCTCACCGAAGATGTTGATGTCCCAGCGGGGCTTGTCTAGAGGAAGTTAGTGAGGCCGCTCGGAACGAGGGGGATATGATGTTCCATTAAATGGAATAAAACATACTGGCAGTGTAAGGGGTATTGTAACGTCTGCGCTCATTGCCAATAGCAGTAACTTGCTTCACCTCCTCGGGAGTGAGCTCGATCTCCTTGAAGTTGTCGCGAATGCGCGACGGAGTCACCGACTTAGGGATGACACTGTGACCGCCGACCTGGGACCAGGCCAGAATGACATGAGCCCCGGTAACCTCCTGGCCGGTACGCTTGGAGACCGACTCAGCGACTGCCTTGACCTCAGGGTGGGTGATGAGAAGAGGGACGCCGAGCACGTTGTTACCGAAAGCCTGAGAGAAAGTTAGCAGCTGACCTTGCATTAGAAGACTGAACATCGGTTTACATACGGAGTAGGCTGTGACATGGATACCCTTCTTCTGACAGAACTCAATCAGGTCGTTGCTTTGCAGAGCAGGGTGGCGCTCGACCTGGTTGGCAGCGGGCACAACGCCAGTCGCGTTGATGATAGCCTCGAGCTGATCGAAACGTCAGTATACTTCTCACCAGGTGCGGTGGATTGGCTTGGCGAACATACGTGAGGGACGGTGTGGTTAGAGACACCAACGGCGCGAGCCTTGCTCTTGGGCAGCTGGGTCATGGCTGTCATGATGTAGAACGATTAGTCCCATAGGTCTTGGCTGCAATGAGCGCCTAACGAAGTAGGGTGGGCTGTCTCACCCTTCCAGGTGTCGACAATGGAAACACCGTCATCAATGATCACATCACCACCCTCGACAGAGCTGTTCTCGACCAAGGGGAAGTAAGACTCGCCCTTCTGGAATGCAACGGGCCAGTGAACAAGGTAAAGCTGTGTCCATTAGCCACTGTCCAACTGCGTGTTCTCGTAGATAAACACATACATCAAGGTAGTCCAGTTCCAGCTCGGCAAGACAAGCATCGAGGGAAGCCTCAACGACCTCGGGGCGGTGCTGGCTATGGATGTTGTTAGAATGACGAGGGTGTACAAAATGATGGCCGGGAGGCGGTTTGTTCTCTGTACCTGTTCCACAGCTTGGAAGTCTATTACCAGAACAAGAAACACGTTAGATGACATTCATTTTGCTCCGTACGGAGCATTGATGTTTCAGAAGAAGGCTTCTTACAATGAAGAGATCCTCACGCTTCAGACCAGGGACGTCCTGGTACGCGCGCTTGATACCAGCGGCCACCTCGCGCTGGTTCTGGTAGCTGACAGGCGAACAGACGGGTTAACACGGGTCATGGAGTTTCAATTGAGGTAATCTGTGATTCGAGTGGATTGACATACATGGTGGCGAGATCCTAATGACCCTGTTAGCCATTGATTACTCTTCAGGGCCGCTAGCCCGGTCCCAGTGAGAGATTCGAGGTGATTCGAGGTGTACATACCAGGTGACGGTAGCCGGCCTTCAGGGCCTCATACACGGCCTCGCCGACCTGGCCGGGGGCGGATTGCCAGGTACCAAAGCCCAGCTGGCTACGAACCAGTCAGTTTTCCCCATGACAAGCGACCGAGCTACCTTGATGGAGCTATTGACGGGGGAAAACATACGGGATCTGGGCACCGGTGTTCAGAGTGACCTTCTTTCCGAGAGACATAGTGTGAAGTTTTGGGGTGTATAGAAGAGGCGGGGTATGTTAAGAGAGCAATCCAAGAGGGAAGGGAGAGAGCGCGACTGGAATTCTTTAAATAGGTATGTTTCGCGGGGCGACGTGTCGCTCCGGCGGGGGTTGGAGTTCCCTGGAATGGCGCCAGTCCCGCGCATCCCACGCTGTGCCCCTCCCCACCTCGCGCCCACGCCCATCATTCATTGAGTACGGAGCCCATTGTACAGTACCAAGTCCACGTCTGGACCCCCCTCGGAGCAGACTCCACCGAGGGGGATCAGCGTGGTCCATTTCCTCTTTCTGCTAGGTATAATCCATTGACCTGCTAGATCATGAGGGATCCTAGGGTAGGCCACAGGGTACCTGGATGGAACATATAGAACACTCTATACAATCGGGAGCGAGCGAACCGAGATATCTACCTCCGTCGATTGCGCGGTGATTGCAGTCAACTAAACCGGGCCCAGAGGCTCGAATTGATTTCTATAGATTCCACTCGTTCTGTCCTTTCCCCCCCCCCCCCCTTTCCTCCAACGGCATTGGCAATGGGTCTGACCGAAGTTCTCTCTGGCGAAGCATGTCGGAGCTGGGCCCTCCTATGCCCAGACCAATTTGCTTTCGATGTGAATCAATTTTTCCGCCCGCTTCAATTTCAAGATGTCGAAGCGTGACTGGATGATAGGCATGTACTCGCGCCCACCCCTTTCTTCCGGGTTCCATACGACTATTTCGAGCCCGTCACCGAGCGATTTAAACACTCGATATCTCACCTCTTCAACACCCCCAAACGCGGCCTTCCATTCGTGATGTCATAGTTATTATCCGAAGGTTTTATCCGATGTTTTTACCGACTGCGCTAGGCACAAACGGGCAGGCTAGCGCTGAGTCCTGGGGCTTCCCTCGCAAAGGTTCGCCAGACGACGGAGTACTCGGTGTGCACTTGCCCACGATTTAAACGATTTTTTTGAATCTTGTTTTGACCAAGACGACATCCAACAAACGGGAATTATAGGCATTGCGCCAAATCTAGCATTGATGGGAACTTCTGGTCGGGCACCCGATCGGGTCTAGCGAGAGGCATCGATGGAGACATCAACAACCTTGTCCAGGCTGGGTCTCGCCCGAATACATTTGCTATTTGTAATGGGAAATGGGTGTACTGTTCTCCGTGTCAACGTCCTCAATCTCCAGAGTATCTATCTACTCTGGATGGGCTATGCTGCGGGCTATCCCCCACGATCCCCACCAGACGCAATCATCTTGCCCAACCATATTCCGTGAGGCAGGACAAAGTACGGCGTACCCGAGTACTGACTTGGTGCCCTAGACAGGACGCGGGATCCTCTGGCGTGCTCGGAGCAACGCCGGTACGATCGGTTCGATCGCTCCGGCTGTCGCATCTGCTCCGGTCGGGACCCCCCTCCTGCTATGCGATTCGGCTCGCAAAATGCATCCTATGCCCGGGGCAACACACCAGTCAGTTCTGGTGCGCGCAATCGGCATTTGAAGCCCGCCCGACTCGGCAACCCCGGCACGCGAGGAAACCGTCCAAGTCGGGCAGGAAATGACAATAACGGGCGGCTTGTTGCGCCTGGTCGGCTCTCCGGATTCTTGGCACCCCCACTCTCTCTTCTCTTCCATGGATGCAGAGTCACAGTTATCTCGGTCGTTGGGAGGGGATAGTTAGGGGTTGGCTAATTTAGAAACTTCCGGTACAGGTTCCACCTGCTTCTCTGAGAAAGCGTGGCCGATCTGCATTGTGGTTATTTCTTTCAAATTGATGTCCCCTCCGGTCTAGTCATCTGTTTGAACCACAAGAGATCTTTGAACTGCTTCAGACTGCTTCTGACCGGGATTGAATCGATTTGCGATCACCGACTTCCGAAATGGACGACGTCTAGATGATATTTGGAATGGCAAACTTTCATACAGTATATCAAAGAGCATCTCTGGTCGCCGCAACTCATTCTTGGTGACTGCAGGCTTACATTACATAGCTCAACCAACATCCTGGGGCCCTGCCAGCAGAAACAATTAAACAATCAAATGTGCTGGACGAGCTCCCACATTTGCGGTGACACACAGGGCATTTCTCTTTCAAATCACGATTCCGGTCACTGCCCGATCAGGTCACTTACTAACTACTCCTACGATGTCCGACTGCTGTTACTACCAGTGACCGCTATGAGAACAATAACGAGTCGGGATAAAATTCTAATAATTAGGTAGAAAATTCCGAGCTAGTAGAGTCCGAGCTGTTCGAGACGTTTAGAATTTACTGATCCATAAAGACCTTCAATAATGCAGGATAGTTGGGGGTGCCCATTCCAGTCACCGGGTCCCAGCCCTCTGCCGCGAAGAAGCCGCTGGTGCCGCAGCCGGAGTTGTTGCCTTTGGTGATATCGAAGAACGCCTCCGGATGAGCGTACAGCACCGGGTTCACAAACCCGACGAGAGGCTTCTTTGCAGCCAGTCGCTCCTCATTGATGCGGGTCAAAATGGCCGCGAAAACTGGGGCAGACGCCGACGTGCCTCCAATCGAGGTGGGCGCGAGGTTGTTAAAGATCACCACATTGTCCCCCACTGCAGCAACGTCGGGGTACCCACGACCAATGCGGTTATAGATGCCCCCGTTGGCACCGAAACTGTTGTTGTTAACGCTTTCATAGTACGGATACTCTGGTTTGGCCTTGGCGAAGTAGTCGGCCACGGCCTGTGCTTGGTAACTGGGTCGCTCGTATATGTTGCTGAAGCCACCGCCCGATGGGAAGCGAGAGACTGCCTCTTCTGCATGGGCACTGACAGACGCTCCGATTGGGAGATAGGTTGCGCCCACTGCGGTCAAATACGGACACGAAGCTGGGAAATCAGGTGCGAACACCTTACCATCCTCACCCAGGCAGTTGCTCGGAGTAGGATCGCCTCCACGACCAGCCACACCGGAGTCACCCGATGCCACCACCACGGAGACACCGTGCAAGCCCAACTTCATGAATTCGTTGCACTGGCGACGCTGGTAGGCGATGGGAAGGTCGGCTTCGGCGCTTCCGTAGGAGATAGAGATAACGTTAGGCTTCTTATAAACACCGCATTGCAGGGAGCCCTTGTAGCCGCCATCCTGGGGGTCCGGGTACGAAGGATCCAGAGGAGAGATTTCACTGCAGTAGGAGCCATCAATTGCGTCCAAAAATGTGTTTAAGAAGCCCCTGAAAGTATAGTTCTCTTCGTAGACCATGTCATCCGTCTGGAAGAGGATTGAGTTCTGCGGCCAGATGATGGGGTAGGAGATTTGTAAGTCCAAGTCAGACTCAGCTCCCGCATTGCCTATTAAAGTAGGCGCCTTACCGCCGTCAACAGACTTCAGTTCAGGATGTGTGCCTTGCGGGATATCCCTAGATCAATGTTAGCAGAGTCTTTAGGAACGACAGAAGACATATCAGAAGAAAGTCCTGGCTGAAATCGTACATTGCCAAAGTTCCGAAGAAGAGATTCAAGTCTTCCTGGGCATATACATCCCCAATGCTTTCGAAGATTGCTAGCTCGTTTCCCTCTGTTGAGAGGTTTCCAGTGGGGATGTTATACATCTCTGAGGCCCACGATCAGCACATTCCCGTTTGTTTATCTATTTCATTCCATTTTGTTCTGAGCCCTTACCCTTGATGCAGTCCGGAGTGACTGCGAGATCGCATAGGCCGAGGAGATTTGATAATAGGTCTTGAAGGGATTGTCCAAGGGGTCCCATAAGGATAGGCTTGTCATTGATATGGCGCTTTTGGATGTTGTCATTACTATTCCGCTTCCCGATCCCGCTCACCTCTCGCAGGGCAATACCGGGGGTAATGAAGTCAATGTGTTCCCGTACAGAGCGGGGAACGTGGTATCTGATTTTATGGAATCAGTAAGTATCCAGAAAGCTCGAGAATATTGAATGAGATCAGTCTTACTCGCGACAGGCGACGTGAGATCCCCCATTTTGAGAATGGGTGTAAATGTAGTACTCTGCATGAAGCAGATCTTCAAGTTCCTTTGCATCTGCATCAAACTGAAGCCACTGTTTGTTGACTGAATGTGATATCCTCGATGCTGCGATGCCAGAAGACTCTAGCCAGGAACGGACGCTGTCAACGGTATCTTGACTAGGTGCGAAGAATTCATGGACTTCGGCTTCTGTCATATGCTGGCCATAGCGACTTGAGAATGGATTGGATCTTGTAGAGAAAGTCATGTCAATCAAACAAGCGCAAGCAGAGAATATCTACGCGAGTATAAAGGGAAAGAGATACATTTCCATGAGAAGGTCATGCCCATGATTCAAATTGGACTGGGTCAACCCAACGCGTACAGGCAATGTTGTTGACCCGTCTAGTCTCTTCCCCTCTGCCCAATAATTTGGAATGTAATCACGACGTTCGTGAACTTCATAGTTGGAAGGAGCTGGTACGGCAGTCACACTGATGGCCACAAACCCAAGGAATAGAACGGACGATTTCATTATGATCCGAGGGGATAGAAAGCAGAGTACTATCCGACTAACGAGCACTCGGTCATCTATGGCCTAGTCCCCTCAGCTTTATATCAGCTTGGAACTGGACCTCCTCCCTGCGGTTAGCTGGATATCATTGGTTACCATGCCATGTACTAGGGCCCGGCTCCTCCTTGTCCTATTCGGGACTTGGAAGGGACTAGAGTTGGACGAAAATCCAATCAAAGCTATAATATGTCTATCGATTCCAGGTCCACTGGCAGCAACTTACGTGAGTTACTCCAGGTGGAACTATGATCGACATAGCGGGCTGGCCTGGAACAGGGCATTTGCGCCGAGCATTGAGGGTCATTTGCCGGGGGAGTGCACTAAGAACCTACTCAGCAGAGTAAGACTGGTGGCCGATCTCTTCAACGATAAAGGTCCATCATTGGGAGACAGGACGGGAGTGGGCAATGTGATGACAAGGTTGGTTGGCAGTGTACATTTGCTTTTTAACGTTATTTGGGCCGCTCTAACTACACTATCCAATGCGCCGAGGCTATAAGCTATCGTATAAACGACCATCAGAAACCTTTATCGCTAGAGTGCTACCGGTTTGGTTGCCTAGGATCTTCACGTTGAAGCGCAGGACCATTCAAATCATGAGACGATCTTACGATTTTCAGGATGGTCCATCCGTTGCTGAATTTGTGCCACGCCATTGAAGGAATGGCGTGGTTGCTAGGTTTATTGTTCCAAAAGGGCTGGTGCTTCGACCCCATTTTGATGAACGTTGGAAAGGAGGCTAGAATACGAATTGCGGATATTGTCGTTTCAAGCTATTTTTGCGAGACCTGTTGCTATCTGAAGAACATTAAACAAAAACTAGCCGGCCTGCCGACATTGGTAGTATCGGCGGGTATTCCTGTGGGAGAGAGGAGTCTTGACGTTCAATGCTGTGCAATTTTCCACAATTTTCCGTATAATGTATATCATCATTTACTGGATTACTAGGTGGACAAGGACGATAATGAAGATCCAGCCCCCTCTCTCCTGGTGGGCTGCAAGGATGCTGGGACGTAAAGAAAGCCTCGGGATAGTTCGCCCCCATGTTACTGTTCTTGAGACCCATGTGAAGTCAAACTGAAAAAGGAAACTCATCAACAACTTAAGGAGGATCTTCGCCGGAACCAGTGATAGAGTATGAGTAGGCAAAAGGGCGGGCAACATCTTTGTTCAAGGTTTCCCGAGCCTTAGGGGCTTCCCCACTTCCAACAATCAACGCCCGCGGGTGGGGGGGGGGGGGGGAGGGGGGGGCATATGGCTCCATTGGGAAACCCACCTCTCCTATCGCGATGATCAGGGACCCGAGGACCCTTTTCGTTCGGCGAATGAACATAGTGAAGGATCCCTGGCCCCTGAGCCCCCGAATCATGTCTGGATGGCCCCCTATTCGCATCTCGACAGTTTTGCCAAGCCCTCCAACGTTTGTCTTTCAAAGCGAATGGGTATGACGGCACCATGCCTTATCATGTCAATAAGAAATCCAAGGGAGTTCATGCGCATAAAGATAGTGGGGTTCACTCGTGGTCGACGAGCAGATCATTGCTACAAATGGTTATTTCCCTGCATTGCCGTGCCGAAACTTCTGCAGCTGTGACGCGACAAAGGTTCTGCCCCAACGCCGATTGAGAGTCTCGCACTGGCCCATTCCTAGTGGATATGAGAGCTTTCGCTAGGCATCATTCTCACATGTGTTACAGTGATGTGCGTCTTTTGTTCACGTCGTGGATTCCATGTCCCTTCAGAGTGCCTTCTTCGCGGGGAAAGCCAGCCAAGCAACCACGGATCCCATTTGGGCTCCAGTCTCGTCTCCACTTTCTCCGCGTTGGAGATATTTCACACTCCGCCGGCTAACTTTCTCCAACTTGCAAGCTGTCCGGCACGAGGTAAAAACCATAAATATCGGTATGCAGAGGTTGGAGTCGGGAAAAATGCTATTCATTGCCAAGGAACCAGGACATGATACAATGGGCTAAACTGGTAGCAGGAGAGACACTATCCCAAGAATTGGAAATTTTGGTTTGAGGATCTGAAGACCAAAAATTAGAGCTCATAGTGGAGGCGCGATGGTGGACTGGACGCGGAGCAACACCGAGCACGTAGAATGCGATTTAGCGCGAAGAATCATCGGTGGGGCCATGTTTCTGTCTAGCTGGTCCCATGAGTACACACATGATGGCCATCAGGGGTCAATCACCCTGGCGAACTCTCCCTCCAGACAAGCGGGAGATGGTGTGGCCCCTTCACTCCGCGCCTCCCGAATGATGGCCTCTGTCGGTCAGAGAGGGCAAGACGAGGATGCCAGTAGTCGTGCTAGCATTAAAGGGGGGAGGGTATTGGCACGGGCACTCTCCAGGATGCAAACGCCATCGACCCAGAGCTGAGAAATGGGAAAAATAAGAGCATCTAGAAAGACATGGGCTACCCATCAGGAGTCGACGCAGCGAACAGATAGACTGATGGCGGTTGGAAACCAATAACAGGACCACTCGGCCAGTGTTCCAACTGCGCACGTCCACCACGTTGCGTGGCGATGGCGGTTTCGACCAAACCTCCAGGTCATGCAGCGGCAACAGATTAAATCTCTTGAAAATTCGACCACCAGGGTCAAGTTCCGCACCATTTCCACAGAAGATCCACCAACTGCTGCCTATGCAAGGGTTTGGCAATATAATCGTTCATTCCTTTCGCCAAGTAGGTTTCGGCATCGCCCTTCAAGGCATTTCCAGTCAATGCAATGATGGGAACGTCCATTTTCATTTCGCGAATTTTCTCGGTCGCAACCAGCCCATCCATTACCGGCATATTGATATCCATCAAGATTAAATGGTACGCAAGTGGCTTTTGCTTCACCATACGCACTGCTTCAGCCCCATCCCAGGCTGCATCTACCCGTTCAAATCCGAGGGTCGCCAACAGCTTTAGCATGATAGTTTGGTTGACTTTGTTATCTTCGACAAGCATTATTTGCTTTGTTGCAGCCACTTCACGCAAGAGCGATGAGGTATCAGAGTCTTTCTTGGAGCTATTATTTGCCGTTCGTTTGGGACGTGAAACCGGCAAATCAATGCGGCCCATTTTCACCTCCAGCCAGAACACACTTCCCGAGGTATTCGGAGCTGTGTGAAACCCAATTGACCCGTTCATGAGCTCTACTAGACTCTTGCAGATCGACAAACCCAACCCCGTCCCCTGATACCGTTTGGTTTCAGAGTCAGCAAATCGAGTGAATGGAGTGAAGAGCGTGCTGACTGCATCGTCGGGCACACCAATACCGGAATCCACTACCTGAAGTGAGATATCATATGACTGAGGATCCTGTTCGCTCACAATATACGACGCATTCACACGAATATATCCACTTTCTGTGAACTTCACAGCATTTCCAACAAGGTTTTGCAGAACTTGTCGAAATCGCAGCGGATCACCTTTGACATTGACGGGAAAGTCTGGAGCCAGGGAACATTCCAGTACCACGCCCGGCTTTAATGATGGCTGGCAGTTACGTATCACGGCGTTGATCACGCTAGGGATATTAAGCACATCCGAATTGAGAGAAAAGGAACCGGATGAGAGCTTTGAGTAATCCAGCACGTCATTGATGACCTGCAACAGAATCGACGTAGAATCTTCCAGGATGGAAGCATACTCTCGTTGGTCATCAGTCAAGGGCGTTCTCATCAACAAGGTCAGTGCCAGAAACATGCCGTTCATGGGAGTGCGAAGCTCGTGTGACATGTTTGCAAGAAAATCGGTCTTTAACTTGGACGACTCCTCGAAGGCGTCGATCAGACGTGCTTCAGCAGCCTTGCGCTCCGTCAGGTCGCGAGTCACTTTGACGAATCCAACATGACGACCAAATTGATAAATGGGAGTGATCATGACGTTGGCCCAAAATCGTCCGCCATCCTTACGATAGCGCCATCCTTCATCCTCCACTCGACCTTCTCGAAGACATACCTCCAGCTCACGTGCAGGCTTGTTCGCCTGGCGATCCTCAAGACCATAAAAAACGGAAAAGTGTTGGCCGACAATGTCGTCCGTAGTATAACCTTTCAAGATGGCGGCACCCGAGTTCCATGTCGCAATATGGCCGCGTGTATCCAGCATAAAAATGGCATAGTCCTTGACGGTGTCGACCAATATTTTATAGGTCTGATTGAGATAAGTCTGCTCGCTCATGTTCGACTCCGACTGCTCTGCCTTCATGGGAAACATCTCCAGGAGGACGTATATAAGAGTGTGATCTTCAAAAATGGGGGTCACTCTGAGCGCGAATGCGGTGTCATGCTGCTCTCTAATTCGAACTGAATTGAGAACTTGCGCTGTGCGCAGGGTGATAGCTGCGCCCAGCGCGCCGCTCAAAAAAGCGATCTCTGGGGCCGGAAACATGCCCGGTATCAACTCATAGATACTTATTCCCAGTAATTGCTCGCGACGGTGCTTGAACAACGCCAGGTGACTTTCTGACGCCTCCACTGCTCGCAGAGAGTCATCTAGAATGATGGTCGGGGTTGGTGTATGGCGATAGATACGTGCCATGGGATCATTGGGTGCAGTTGCAGCCACTGCAACTGCCGATTTGGCAGTGGCCGAGCTGATGTTTGGAGTGAGAGGACCCGGGTCCTTGTCGTCGGGAGCGCCCAGATCAGATTCTGCCGGTGGCGTGACGACCATCGCGAAGTTGGGGGGCGGGCGATCACCTAGGTTCAGGTGGAGCATCTGTTGATCCAGAACCATCTTAATCTTCACTCCCCTGCCACGCGGGCAGGAGCAGTCATAGAAAAGAGGCGGGCGGGCCTATCGGCGGGGTCATTCACCAAGTGAATGGACAAGTTGGACTGGAGGCCAAACACGACACCACCCAGCAGTTCAGAATGAGAGAGGAAGAGAGATTAGAAAATTCCAGCGTGTGGCCCGCAGGAGGGGAAAGGAGCAAGGGCCAAGAGAGAAAAGGGCCCACGTCAATCGGATGAGGTGGTTGATCCGCCTGAATTATGGCCTTGTTTTCCCCTTCCCTTTTTTCTTCGAAACTTGCATCAAATCCTAATCAAAGGCCCAAGCTAGACAGTTTAGTTCGGTCAAACGAACATCGCCGAGCACGGCAAATAGGCCACCAAAAAAAGAAGACCCCTGGCCAGATCACGAGAGTCGCGAAACAGGGCAACGAACCGAATCGTTGCGGCGACTGACTGGTCGGCAAAAACGGCCGGCGGGGGAACGCAGAGCCGCTATCCCGAATCCAGAGCCTTGAACGCGTGGGAAATGAGCGAGATCGAACAAGATCGGATGCTGTATAAGACACGGTGGCGAATGCATTGTGCGTGGCGAAAACAAGGCCGAACAGGATGAGACGGAAAAGAAGGACATTAAAAGCGAGAGTTGGAAGCTGCTCGTTGGTGATTGTCGTGTTGGCCTGGTGAGTTGTCAAGTCGGTGAGGTTTCTGCCCGGTCCAGTGACCGGCAAGACGAAGACGGCTCAAGACCCTCCAACGACAGGAGCGAACTCGGCTCGAGCCGCGGAAACTATACGTCGGGATCCGAAGCAACCGGATCTATGGCTCTATAGATCAGGAGCAGGATGCACCCACAGATCCTTGAGGGGTATGGTTCCGGTTTAGTCATTTGCGGGCCAAAGTGGGAGGGGAAAGATCTAGCATGGCAGCCGAAGCTACAGCGCAAGAAGTTCCGTATCGATTGGTGATATCAAACAACGAGCCGTGTCTTTCTCTGCTAAACAGACTAGATTTGCAACGACCCTATCAATCCACCACCAAACATGAGGGTTCCTGCCAACAAATTTCCGGATCCTTTCTCTGAAATCATTCTCACGAGCGTCGAGACCTACACAATGACATGATTGCGTTCCGTCTGTTCCACCATCTTCGTCAATGCATCCGCAATCCCATAGGAGAAAGCATATCCACCCCCGCCAAAGCCATAGGCCGATAATACTGTATATATCCCTTTTTGCTCCGAGTCTAGGCGAAACCCTCCCTTCCGCGACGGTCGGATTCCGATGATATGGCTAATGGCGTCAGTGGGAGGGTGCTCGGGCACAATGTCGGGTGCGAGCCGATGAGCACGAGCAATCTCATCCCGCGCAATTTCAGGGTCTATATTGGGAGATCTAATCCCGGAAAGGACGAGAATGATTAGTATCCAAGGGCTCTCAGCCGTTTTCAGCCAAGGGGAAGGAACAGGACCAGGCCCTTACAGATTATCCTGTTGCTTAACACCACCAAGAACCACGCCTTGGGACAAAGGGCGGGGAATAACATAGGTGTATTCTTGCCCGTTGCGGAAGTAGAGAGTGTGGCATTGGTCAGTTCGAAGGAAGACATTCTGACCGCGTTCTGCAAAACAGCGGTCATCTTGGACATCTGTAAGGGTCTTACTACCCAGCCCGCTAGCATTGATGAACACCCTTGATTCGGGAAACATATCGTAGAGCTGCTGTAGGGATTCCACTCGCCGACGAATGAACTGACCTCCCAGGGCAGTAATCTGCTTTTTCAAATACGGCATATGTCGAGTTGGGTCCGTAACAAGGGTTTCATATGCCCATGCGCAGTTGAAATTGGCGGGATATTCGCCGGGACTCAGCACACGAAACTATCGCACAGCCATCAGCTACATGAACAACCACCACAGAATTCAACTGAGAGAGTGCTCATCCCATATGGGAATCGGTCTTCTCTGGCGATATTGATGCGTACCTTGGATACCACTGTTCGGCCCCAGATGGCCGAGTCTGGGGTAGGCTCTCGCTCCAGATATTCTCGCGCAGGTACGATACAGACCCCGGACTCGGGATCTTGGGCCATTTTGAGTAGCACTCGATGTGTAACCGCCTGGAGGTACTGCTGGTTTGCGGTGATACCCCCGGCAGCATGCCAGGCTGCACCCGCCCAAGCCGATGCGTAGTAAATATCCTGGTCGCCCGGGAGAAATTCTGCGACCACAACCACAGAGAATCCCTGTCGCAGTAGTTGCCGGGCAGCGGCACAGCCAATGATACCAGCGCCCAAGATTACCACTGGCCGTTGCGAGAAAGGCATTGCCGAGTCCTTGGCATCAAGCGTTTGGCTGACTTGACTCATGGCAATTGATGATGTCGGACGTGCTCGTTCTGAGATGGATAGTTGCTGAGCTTCGCTTGATACCAATGAGAGATTGCGAGGGGCTACTAAAAAGACTATATGGTAGTCGTAGTCTCTCGGGCGATGCAATCAAATTGGACGAGTGTTTAGTCGGGCGTTGAGATGGCTATTCAGTATTCGGTATCAGGTGTATGGAAGACCCAACGCCAGGTCAACGGTCACAGCTATGATCAAAACCACATCACCCCAGGAACCGTGAGCTGAAGGAAAGAGACTAGAACTGCAACTGTGAGATCTAGAGATCTGTTGAAACTTGATCCATGGCTGCTTAGTTCAGTTTGCAATCATGGTCTGCGTATGTTTCTGCGTCGTTCTTCGCACATGTAGGTCTCTTTCCGATCGCTTCGAGAATGGAGGACCGAGGACATGTACGGATACCTAGCTCATAGAATGCTTGTTTTTGTCTTCTGTGACCCTCTCTTATATATATCCTGGGCATGTCCTTGCCGCAACGGCGCTCCATTCCGCTTGGGTGGAGCAGCCACTGCGCGGCGGGCGGGCCAGGCCGCTCGGCATGTCGTCAGCCCTTTTGCTCCTCGAGTGTTTCGAGGGGGTTTTTTTTTCCTTAGGTAAAGATCTTCGGCAACAGCAGAAAGTCCCGGCGTTTTCATCCTCTCAAGGCTGTCAGGGATCAGCGTCAGCGACCGGCTATGCGCGATTGACAACTAAGCTAAATAACTAGGATATCTGTTTTTAGATGACTACAAAGGTTCCGCCGACGATGACGACGTGAGGCATGACTAATTCACCTAATCGCTAACGTGGACTGGAACTCCGAGTGTTATCACCTTACTACCAAGTACGACTAGTAGTAAAACCCCGACCTTCCGCCGATTCTGGTGGGTTGCTGCAGTTCGGAGCGGTCTTGGCCGACAATCTCTAACCCTTCGGAGTCCAACTGTCCAACCAAACGAGGTCCCCTCACTCCCCTCAACCTCCGGGACACAAGGCACTGGGCGGCTGGAAGCGTCCGTCTCTGCCTTCTTGGGCAAGATTCTCAACTCTGGACTGATCCTCCCCACCCACTACTGTATCTCTCTTCCCCTCCATTCTCTAGAGGCTAACGAGACTGGGGAACTGGGGCTCTGTGTGTGGCCCCCGCCTGGGCCGGATCGTCTCGGCATCCACGAAAGAGAGTGCGTATAGCGATGATGGAGCATGCAGATGCTCCGGAGAATGAAAAGGATCGTCGGCCCTCATGGTCTCAGTGTCAGGTAAGGCTCTTTTACTCCTTCGAGAACCGGAAACCCAACCAACCCTCTTCCTCACTGTATGTGGTCGTGATCCACACCCTTGTGAACCCTCCGAGCACCACGAGCCCAAAGAAACCATCAAAAAAGCCCTCCCCAATCTCGATCTTTACTGTATCAAATCGCCCCTTGCCTTCATGTCTTGTTTGAAGACATTCAGAATATCTTCCTTTCTTCCTTTCTTTCTTTCCTTCCTTCCCCAATAGCTGGAGAGTTAAAGCACGAGCCGCTTCTTGGTGCAGTCTGGGTTGTACAACTTGCGCCAGCTGCCCAGGCCCCACGACGCAGCGCGCGGCCCCAGCCGCTATTTGCTCCATGTGGAAAGGTTTACGCTTAATGCTTAACGCTTAATGTTGAACGCTTAATCTCCAACCGTTCCTTCTGAATCCTGGGGATTTAGAAGTGATCGTCGGAGTTCGATAGCCTGGAGGCCATTGGTGGCTCGTGACCCTATACCTGCGGCTGCTTCATCTTACATCTGCATACTCGGCATTCTCTGCCTTCTATCTTCGATGAAATCAGTCTGACTTTGTCACTAGCCACCCTCACAAAGCTCGCCTCCCGACCATGTCGGCGAGCAGGTCTCAATTCTCCGCGACCGAGATGCCGAAAAGATTCTGTCATACGATGCCGACGACTCGCCTTTCCCCGAGGTACGCGCAGTGATCCAGCCCGTCGATGACCTCGCCCTCCCGATCAACACTGTTCGGATGTGGATAATTGGTCTGGTGTTCACTATTGTACGTTCTCCGGCTTTACCCACATCAAATATTTCACTTCGATCCGTTCAAGTCGCCTTTTCACGCCCCTTCCTCCCTCTGTGCGACATTCCCGATTGTGTTGACTTCAAAGATCAACAACTAACATCAATCCTCCTCCCAGGTTGGAAGCGGATTGAATCAGTTCTTCAGCCTCCGCCAACCCAGTGTTACCATTAGCTCCCTGGTAGCACAGCTGTTGGCGTTCCCCGTGGGCTGCGCCTGGGCTAGGTGGATGCCGCTCGGAGTGATTAACCCCGATCGACACTTTAATATAAAAGAACATGCGCTGATCACGATCATGTCAAATGTTTCCTTTGGCTCGGCCGCGGCCACTCAAGTCATCGAGGCGGCGGTCAAATTCTACGACATGCCTTCGCATGGGGGGTTCGAAGTGCTGTTGTGTATTACCACGCAGCTTTTTGGATTTGGACTAGCCGGTATCACAGCTCGATGGCTCGTCACACCCGCCTCGATGGTATGGCCGCAGGTTCTATCCAACGCGGCGCTGCTCTCCACCCTCCATTCTCGTGAAAATGCTATTGCTGATGGTTGGCGTATCACCCGGCTCCGCTTCTTTCTATTCGTGTTCATTGGAGGTGCGATTTGGTACTTTGTACCTGGCTATCTCTTCACAGGGCTAAGTACATTCAGTTTCATTTGCTGGATTGTACCAGCCAATGTGGTGGTGAATCAGTTGTTTGGCCAAATCACTGGACTAGGCATGTCGGTCTTGACTTTTGATTGGGCTCAGGTAGTCTATGCCAACCAGAGCCCTCTCCTGGTACCCTTTTGGGCTGGACTCAACGTGATGGGCTCATTTATGCTTTTCTTCTGGATAATATGCCCCATTATCTACTACACCAACACCTGGTACTCGTCCTATTTGCCCCTTCTCAACTCAAATACGTTCGACAACACCGGACGGACCTATGATACGGGGCGTATCATGAATGCGGATGGGAGCGTGAATCAAACAGCTTACCGTGACTATTCTCCCATGTTTCTTCCTGCGGGGTATGCCATCACATTTGGGGTGGCTTTTGCCAATCTTACGGGGATCTTCTTCCACGTTGGCTTGTACCATGGAAAAGACTTGTGGCAGCAATGGAAAGGCACAGGCAAAGAGGATATCCATGCTCGACTCATGTCCGCCTACCAAAAGGTGCCCTGGTGGTGGTTCGGTGCAGTGACGGTGCTGATGTTTATCCTCAGCATTGTTACGAACGAGGTCTGGAATACAGGTCTCCCCGCTTGGGCAGTTTTAGTGGCCTTTTTGTTACCCGTGGTCTACTTTATTCCTGTGGGAATCATCAAGGCTTTGACAAATATCAGTAGTAATCAGTTGAATCTGATGACTGAGTTCCTTGGCGGCTATGCCTTCCTCGGACGACCCCTCGCGAATATGGTTTTCAAATTCTATGGCTATGTCGCCGTTCAGCAAGGCTTAGAGTAAGAGCTCTCTATTCGCGACACATTAGCATCATTATCTCACCAATTCTTCTCAGATTTGTTGCCGATATGAAGTTAGCGCACTACCTGCACATTGCACCGCGCACTTTGTTTGTTGCCCAAGGTCTCGCTACTCTGGTCGGCGCGATTGTTCAGTGCGGTGTTACCGTATTCATGATCACTAAGATTGACGGAGTCTGCACTTCTAACGCAGAAGGCAATTTCACCTGTCCGCATGGCCGAGTCACCTATTCATCTTCCCTCATTTGGGGTAGGGTCCCTATCTGTCCCTTACCTCATCGTTTCTCCATTTCTCGAATCTCAATTATCCATTCGACCATTCATTTGAAGGTAGCGCTGACTCCTTTTAGGTGCGGTTGGGCCTGGTCGGCTTTTTTCCCCTGGTCAAATATACGGTAATCTCCTATGGTTCTTCCTTGTTGGGCCGGTGGTGGTCGTGTTCACGTATCTCGTGGGCCGTCATTGGAAACCATTAAGCTATTTGTCGTGGCCGGTGGCATTTGGTGCAATGAGTCTAGTTCCGCCGGCCACCGGAGTGAGCTTTTCTTCATGGTGGGCTATTAATGTCATTTTCAATGGTATATTACGCCGCCGAAAACCAGCCTGGTGGTCAAAATATAGTATGCTATCCGAGTCACTTCTTATTTGATGCTATCGCTTCTTGCTGATTTCTAATAGACTACGTGCTATCTGCTGCACTTGACTGTGGGGTTGCAATATCGACTGTCATCATCTTCTTCTGCATCACTCTTCCAGCGGGCTCTTTGGACTGGTGGGGCAATACTGTGTACAGCAACACTGCCGATGGCAAAGGTACTCCATATAAAAATCTACCAGCCCGCGGATATTTCGGACCTACAAAGGGGGCGTGGTCTTGAACTATGTATTATATACTGTGTTGATCAGAGCCGCTGCCTTGCACAGAGCGTTCTTTTAATGCGTTCGCGTTTAATGTGGATTTCTTTCTCTTGCCTTTCTAGCCTCTTTCATTGTGATTTTATAATGATATTGGGATATATTATCCAGTTGCATGTACATGTATTGTCTAATGATCTGCAATATATCCATGGTCATCCTTTTCTCCCTTGACAGAATAATTGTAGATATTGACTTACCTGTAAGTACAAATTCGAGTCATCAGTGGACAGCACTCTTCTTAGGCCCTAGACTCCCAGCCTAGATTCAAAGGAGTGATTAGTCTTCTCTCGCGTTGGAAGGAGTGGAACACTATCGTCGACCATTTTCCATCATACCTCGATAGATTGATGAACCAAGCGTGGCTATTACACTGTGCTCGATGAGTTTACTGCCACAGGTAATTGTGTAAGTCACTCACGAATGGCAGCCATCTGAATCATAGACATATTCACTGGACACCTTCGAGTCCTGGCCAGTCTCTTGGCTTTAGAGTGTGTCGAAAATGACCGCTTGGACATACCGCAATGATGAGGTCTTCTTCCATGGCTGTCCAGCGATTCTTCATATAAGTTAGAGAGATAAAAGGAAAGTTGAAGTTTCTCTGCAATGAAAAGGGATTTGTAGGTGGATATGGGAGGAGATGGTGAGGTCATGTTTCTACCAAAATTAATAGACGTATCATATCTGAGAGGCATGCTTTCGATGCAGCCCCCGCCCCCGAGCAGCGACTCATCACAATGCTCCTGATTAGAGGCACGGTGATTACACTACATGCTAGTTGTACCAAATTCACAAGGCCTAGTGGGTTGATGCCCGAGGTATCTAAGGGCATAGGGACAGTATGAAGAGCAAGTGAGGCACGGTGCCTATATGGCGATGACTATACCGACTTATCATTTTGATTGAGCTTCGCCTACCTCCGTGGATGACAGATTCATTGGAACTATGCCCCTCGTCCAATTTAGTTGGTTGGCTAATGGTTAGCAGTTCCTTTCTACCCACATGCAAAGCATCACACACACTAGTATTGGCTGTAGAGATATGAAGCACCAGGAATCTTTTTTGCTTCTCACAAGGTGTGAATCAGAGTGTCCTACAGAGTTTGGAGTCTTGGAGCGATAATACTGAAGCTGCCGCCAATCGACAACACTCTGAATATTCTAGCAACTCTGCTTCCTTTCTTTGTATTGATCAATGTGTTTCAAATCAGTTAATTTAATTTCATAAACAGACAAAAATCCTTTGGTATATCCATTTAAAGTAGGAAAAGAGACAATCATTAGGTAACAACGCCGGTATGCAAGTGGTGGTATGTGTCTGTACAGCATGCACATCTACCTATCCGTGATCGCTCAATTAGCGCATCACTGGTGGTCGGCCTTCTTTGTTCCATTTAACACGGCTTTGCACCCATTCAACAGCAGCCTGTACTCCTGAACCCATCAGCGCACTGACCGGCAGTACGCGGCTGTCGCGGACACCTCCTCCGGTTTCCCCCTCAAAAATCTTTCGGATGAAGCCTTCCTTGATGCGCACTACCTCGACACAATCCTCCCGATCCTGTTTATTGGCTAGGACAAGGATGGGCACCCCAGCGACATCCGTGTTCTGCAGTACCGACTCCAGGACCTCTCGACATTCATCGAGGCGCCCAAAATCTCCTCCACCAGAGTTCATTCCCACTGCCTGCTGCGAAAAATGATCACTAGTGCCCACACTACCTCGTGATGGGCCAGAGACTGAGCTGGGGCGTCTGCTGGATGTGGATGGAAGCCGGGTGATGTCGGCGTCCTGACCTACGTCGGCACTGTCGACGACGAAGATTATGGCATGACAGCTGGTGTAGTAGCTCTGCCAAAGGCCACGCATCGAGATCTGGCCTCCAACATCCCAGATCTTCAGGTTCATATCTGGCAAGGAGATTGTTGCGACATTCTGGCCAACCGTGGGAACAGTCTTGCCGGGGTTCGGCACAGGTGACCCTTCCGGTCGGGGTTGATAGAGAGCCTTGATCTGGGAGAGGAGCGTAGTCTTTCCGGCATTGTCCAGACCCAAGAGGAGGACGGAGTACTCTGTATTTCAGAAGGTCTTCATAAGCTTCTGGTTAATGCGTCATATTGTGAGTCTAGCGGACCTCACCTTCTTTGCTAGTCGCGTACGTATACAGCGACTTGGCCAGGTGATACATGATCGCGCACGGAGATCAGGATCAGCGCAGCCAAAAGAGGATGCAAGATACAGCGATAGTCATGTCCCAGGGCCCCAGTACTTCAAGACATAAGAAGTAAGCGTCGTTGCGATCTGGGATCGGCCACAACTGGCGAACTTGCCGCGTTCACAGCAGCGTTGCCGTATTGAGGAAGTAGGGCTTAGGGCTGCATTTTGGGTCAGATACGTCTGGGTTGCATGTCAGGTGACCTACTCGGCGTTGCATTGACTTTCTGCCTGAGGCTGTCGATGGTGTCGCCATCCTCGCCGAGTCGTCGCTATGCTCTCGACTTCTCCTCCGCGTCCACTTCGTCTTCTCTTCCATCTACTCTCCCTGGTGCTGACGTCCATATGATGGAGCGATGCGCCCCCCCTCTTATATTGATGGGATTATCCTCGGAATACAATTCCCAACGCGATCCAAGGTTTGGATGGACAGCGCCCCTCCTGTCAAATGGGAGATGGAGCTGTTCCCCACTCCGGCTTTTGTCAGCCTGCTTATTGATCTCCGCCGCGGAATAACCACTTGCTGCGCCGAAAATCTGTCGTCCCCGCCCGCCGCCCGCCGCATTTGGTGATGCGTTCACTCACTCTCCTCTCCTCCATGGCCGGATTCTGCTTTGACTATTTTGTCCGACTCTGTGGCCTCCATCCCCGTCGTGACTCGCATGGGATGATCTCCCCGTGAACTTCCCGGTTACCGCTTTGCATATGTTTCTCCAGAATGCCCCGCGCTGGTTGAACAACTTGAGGCTCCGTCGTCCTCCATGGAAACCGATACGGTCATCGTCGGTAAGTCTATCTGGATAAGATGACATTGCGCTTTGGATGTCTCCCCTTGCTCTTCCTCGTCATTAGTGCTCCTGGATGACCTCCCTCATGGCAATGCTAATTGGGTCTGTCTCACGGAAACAGGCAACGGGCCGTCGGCCATGATTCTTTCTTACATTCTTCATGGCTACATTCCATTTTACTCGCGCACCCCTCCACACCCCGACGCATTACTAGATGCCAAGTTGAAAGACGTACCCAGTCTCCTGAATGCCGACGTTGATGCTCTTACTGCCCATTTTGCAGCTTCTCGACTTTCGTATTCTACCCAGGCGCTCCCCGCTAATGTCTTGTTCGATACCCTTGTACGACCAAGCGTGGACGTTGATGAGTCAGGCTGCACATCCAATGTCCAGTGGCGCTATGAGCCCGAGAGAGCTATTCCCCATCTCGTCTTTGGAAAGTCGTTACACCCTGGTGGCCAGTGGACCGAAGATCCTCATGGGGCGAGCTGGGATATCCAGACGTTGAGCTATGCCGCAATGCTGTCGCTTCCTGGGTACTCTTTTAGTGACCATCATCGGAAATTGACAGGAGAGGAGTTGCCACCTTTCACGCGTCCGACCAGACGCGAGATTGCCGATTATTTTCAGGCCTACCCGGCGGCCGTTCGCATCGATGATGTCTTCCGATGCAAGGAAGAGTTGACTGGCATTTCTCGTACCGCAAATGGGTTTTATATCAAGTCTCATGGCCTTCACTGCAAGCGATTGGTGCTCGCAAGTGGAATCTTCTCAGAAATCTTACCGCCAGCATCAGTGCTCCAGCCACTACTCCAAACCCAGTCGACGCCATCTACTCCACTTCTCGTCATTGGATCCGGCTTCTCCGCGGCGGATGCGATTATCTCTGCTGATAGCAATCAGAAGCTTCTCCATGTTTTCAAATGGTCCCCGGAAGAACGCCCGTCACCCCTCCGCAGCTGCCATCAACAGGCGTACCCAGAGTACGCAGGTGTATATCGTCTCATGAAGAGAGCTGCTGTTGTTGCGGAAGCTTCTGCTAAAAGTAAACGACCGAAGTACCGCCGTGGTACCCCGACTGCCTTCCTAGAAAGTAGGAAATGGGACGAGGTGTACGAAGGCATCTTCAACGTCGAGGTTACTACCGTCAAGGTCCATGATGGCATAGGCGAAGTGACTTTTCGTCGCGAAGATGGAACAACCTTCTCTCGGTCCGTGCAGGGCCTGGTCTACGCCGCTGGCCGGCGTGGCACCCTAAGCTATTTGAATTCAGAGCTCCGATCCGAAGTTCTGGGTCACACTGATGGCGACGGTACGGTCTCTGGCCAGACTCTTCGTGCGAAAGCCATTGAAGATGTGGAGGTTGCACCCAGCGTTTTTGCTATTGGTAGCCTGACTGGTGATTCTCTCGTGCGCTTTGCATATGGCGGCTGTATCGCGACCGCGGGCCATCTAATTGGTGTCAAGGAGGATTCAGGGGAAACCCGCAATCCATGTAGCAGAACCGTCTCCGCCCGGCAACAAACCTCGCCATTGCAGGTCATGAATGGAATAGATGGCCACCATGTATTCGCTAGTAATACATCTGAGCTGACCAGGGAGGAGACTGCGTATAGCAAGGTATCGACGGTTGCATCGCCGACCGCTCAGAGCTGGTGGAGAACGCTTGTACATCTTTGGAAGGACTTAACACAATAGCGTAGAGGTGATGATGTGCAGCCTCGGTATGTTTTTGATAAGGTGAGGGTTGGATCATTGTTATATCTTGCACATATCATTACATTGCCTCCACGCCGGATCTCTGGCAGTGCACCATGTTAAACTAAATATTCATGGCATATTCGAAGTTCATTCTTATTTGTTTCCTTCATTCCTGTCTCCTCGTGGATTTATTTCGACAGAGGTTCTCTTAACAGCTCAGAGACCGTCCTAACCCGATAGCCTCTCCGCCGGAGCTCCGGCAGGACGATTCGCAGCATTGGCAAGGTCCATTCCCGGCGATCATGGCAGATGATAATGCTTCCCGGTCGGGTCATGTCGAGTATATGCTTGGCATTCAGCTTCGCGAATGGTATCTGGGGATCATGGGGGTATACATCACCCAAGACCAGACGGTATCCCAGCTGCTGGATCAAACTGCGCATGCGGGAGCTGAAGAAACCCGAACCGGGACGAAACAACCAATTGTCGGGGCCGGTTTCTTTTTCAGAAGCGCTATATGCTTGTTGGATCATGGAATGCACGGTGGTAATTTGTTCTGCCAGAACGGCGTCGCTCAAGCCGCGCGATGGCTCATCGTACATAGCATGGTTCGCCAATTCATTCCCGGTGCGGACCAGGTCCGTTAGATCTTTTTCATGGCCAGGAACCTGAGATCCAATAATGAAAAAAGTCGCAGTCGCATCATGATCCCTCAATAGAGCCAGAATGGCCCTAGTCTGTGTCGAGGGGGTATCGTCGATGGTGAGAGCCACCACATTCTCCCTTGTGGGATGGCGCCAAAGCACATCGGGCCAGCGACGATGCAAGTAATGGATGAGAATCGCGGGAGGCTTATAGATCCAATAGAGAGGAACCAAGAGGCAAAATGTGGAGAAGATGGCCCGGATCATGGCTGTTTCCCCTCAAAACAGGGACTCGCGCTATTCCCACATTTTGTTGGCCCGAGTCGACACAGTTCGGAATCCCTCTTAATCCGAGGCCGAAGAGTTTGAACTTCAGAGGCCGATAGTAATCCTATCATCGATAGCAAAACAGCGGAAGTTTGGATTTGAGCAATTCTGGCTATTGATATTCAGGTGATAAGGTGGGACTAAATACATATTAAGATTTAATCTTAATGGAGCTACTACATATGATAGTGGAAGAAGAAGAGAGACTCGATTGCAAGCTCATCAATCGAATACATCAATATAATGCATGTACTTGTACTCAGTAATAACCTGACAATCTCAATCAACTTGAATCAATGATGACAAATCAGTAAATCGGTGAGCGGTTTACAAAAAGCATGTAATTGAGAGACTAATGTTAAGGATCGGGCGTGAGTATCACGATCATAAAATGGTCAGTGAGGCATACACAGCCATCATCCCCAAATAGTGAGCCCGCACCAGATTGCTATGGCATGCCTCACCCCTTCCCCCAGCCGGGAGTCCTTGAGTGTGAGACCTCACGCAATTGGAAGGCGGAGAAGGCGATGGATGTTTGGAACTATTAGGACAAGGACGCTCAGGGTATAATATATTCAAAGTATACATGCATTCGTATATCAACAGAGGTGTTTCCAACATGTTCAACCCATGATTTGCAATTGGTCCTGCGGCGGCCAGCGGACCTGTGCAAAGCTTAGACAGCGCTTAATGCTCTGTAGATATTTTCGAGTCGCTTCATCACTCAAGATGTGAGCCTGCTGATCGCTCTGATGGAGTTTCTCACGGGCTGATCGTTCGTGAATACCCACCATGGTCACACCGATGGGCCAGGCACTAGAGATCCAATTGAGTCAGCCTTCTATTCCGGAGAGAACCAGAGAACACCGTATGAAGTATGAATACAAAACGGGAGTATCGCAAGATGTCAAGATTGGGGACTTACGCTTTACCAATGCTCACTCGCAGGTATGCATCGTTGGCATCCACATATCGTCGCTGCTGTGCCTTGTGCACAATCTCAACGATGGGCTCCAAGAGCCCATCCTCGAGGTCACCCTTCTCAAAGCGGCGGAACAGCGGTTTCATGTTTTCTCGGGATTGCACCATCGCATTGTGCGCTTGTTTCCCTTGAAAGCTCTGTCGGACGGACACATCACGCTTGGCGAGCGCAAGCTCCCACTCCGAGAGCATCATATTGAAATATGATGCGAGCTGCCGGAAGAGGAACAAACGTCCCTCTTGCTCCTTGGGAATCTTGGCCGGGATGATCATTTCGCTGCCTGTAACAGGTTCCAGCAGCGTAGGAATGGGTCCATCTGACATCTTCTCCCTGATGGCGGCTCGCTTCATGAGGCGATGGTACCGCCGAAGTCGAGTGCGATGGTTCTCACCAAACAACTTGACTGGCTCGCCAAGTGCTCGTAACTTTTCAAGAAGTTCCGTCTCTTCGATGTCTTCTCCCTCCATACCACCAGCCTTATTATCGCTGTCCTCCTTGGCAGGCAAATCGGGAAGGCCCAGTCTTCGCCGCCGTTCGCGCTCCTTCGTTTCCTCCTCCTCCTCCCGTCTTTTTCGCGATTCTTCGGCTAGTTTTCGTTTTTTTTCTTCTCGCTCATGTCGTCTATCGGCCTCTTCCTCTTCGAGCTTGCGCTTGTTGGCCATGCGCTCCTCACGTTCCTTCTGTAATCGTTCCTGCTCCTCATTGTAAGCCGTCACGCGCGCGGCCTCGACTTCGCTTCGACGCATATATTTCTTTGGGGGCTCGGTGTTTGCAACTTTGGATCTGTCGGCACCAGATGACTTGGGAGTTTCAGGGCCTTTGGCCTTGGAAATCTCCTTAGACATTAGGGCGGCGAAGTCCATAATTGCGAAAGCTGACGCAGGCAGCGCTCACGGAATTTGTAGCAGCAGTATTCCAGCCAGGCCGAGTTCCAGCCGATAAAAACAGAAGCTTTGAGAATGGAAAAGGCCGCGGGGTGGGAGTGAGGGAGGAATTGGATGGCGTAGAATGTAGAATGTTGAAATGTTATTCGGCGGAACGTCAGAACGGGAGCTTCGACAATTCCGCATTGGGACATTTGGAGCATTTCTGCCATCCTCCACCTCACCACCTTCTTCATCGCAATCACCTAATTTGCTCTGATCAAAATCCGCATCGATCAAGTTCAATCGAGTGACTTTGCCAGTCTTGCCAATTCTGGGAATAACCCTGTGGCCGACTTCCTACATTTATTCGCCTGCACGCGACTTCTCCCTGCCATCATCATGGCCGCCCCGTCGCGCGAAGGCTCCAAGCCCTCCGTCAATCGACAGACAACCACCCCCTTTCACCTCAAACTCTTCTACCGCGTCAATAACTTCCACCACCTTTCCGACTACAATATTTCGGGGCCATCGCGGCGCGGTGGCCCCGTCAGTGGCCCGAATGCAATCCGCGCTGCCTCCCCTCCACCAGCTACCGCAATACTTCCTCCACACCTCGAGATCTACACATGGCAATCGTGCACGCTACGCGAACTCTCACAGCTTCTCACATCTGCTCTTCCCTCGTTACTGCCCGACCCTCCTGTGGGAACCCGCCTTTCCTTTCGTTTGATCTATCCGGATGCGCGAGCTGCCGCAATGATGGGCCCGGATGCGCGAGGTCGATACTTGAGCAAGGACCTGGGCAGTGTGATTGTCGGTCCCAGAGACAGTCCCTACCGGGGCGAAGAGGATGCAGATGATCAGGCGGAGGCACGACCTCGTGCTGGCACGCTTCGATTCCAAGGCTCCGACGCCGATAAAGCCTTACAAGATGCTCGTTTTATCATTGGAGACTATGTTGAATGTGCCATCCTCCCTCCTCTTGAAGATGGATCGGTCGCGCCCCCTCTTCGTGGTGCCGCTGGCCCGCCTCCAATGGGAAGCGGAATGCGAGCATTCCGGGAGAACGGGTTCGGTGGCCGAGGCGGTCGTGGAAGCTATCGTGGCGGTGATCGCGGTGGGCCTCCTTCTCTTCCCCAAGGAGATTGGAAACGAGGCGAAAGACTTCCGGAGGGCGGAGGCCGAGGGAGTGGTCGTCGAGGATGGGCACCTTATTGAGTGCTGCAAAATCCCTGAATTTAAATGAAGTCGGGCCTAGAAGGAATGGAAGGATGAGGATACCCGTTTATCAATCGCAGTGTACGATTAACTATTGTTTTGAGTGAATACGTCCGTGAAATATCATGTCTTTGCCCTTGTCTCAAACCCAAGCAAAGCTTACGCTATTAATCTCATTCCCTTCCATCTATAAGTAGAAACAGGGGCTCAACCTTTCAACCCTGATGATATCGCAACTCCGAACTCGTGCGGTCTGTTACATAACCTGTGAATTTCAGAGCACGGGAATTATTATCCAAAGAGCCACCAGGACTGAAAATCAAAACAGAAAGAAATCAATGCGGTATATGCTCGTAGTAAGGTACATCGCCCGGGCATAGCGGGCACCGATAAAGTATGGAAATCAATTTTGGTTCCATATCCCCGCGAACTTCTCCGGCCACAGTGGGTATGGGCTTAATCCATGGCCAATGTCGCTTGGGGCCTGCGGTCCAGCAGAATCAAAAGAATCCCCATATGTTGTTCACCATTCCGCAATAGTATCTCCCCTTCGTTTTCCACGGAGCTCGTATTTGCCCTGTGTGCGTTGTCAGTTGAAATCTATTTCGCATCTCTACATACTTTCTCCGGCGATATCGTGGGACACATGTACATGACTGGACACATACCTCTGTCTTGTAGGCGACCCAAGTCAAAGCAGCGGGGATTGCGGCCATGTAGATGACGGACAGCCAGGCGTGGCGCGGGTTCCAGCGGAAGTACTTGTAACGGTTTGCGTTGAGTTCTGTTCAGTTTGTCAGCCATTGTTTGAAGGAATAGTCTTCTCGATCCATAATAAATGATGCAAAGCAAGTAATGCATCTCCTCAAATACGATCATGTGGCAGCACATGCAATACGCCGAGCATTGATAACTATCGACTGGAGCGCAGGAACCGAGGGGGAGGGGAGGATGCGTGGGATGGTTAAGTACCGTAGTATTTCTGGAGGGCCGGGTCAAGGACCAGAGCTAGTAATAGATTAGCACAGTCCTGTTCAATCTCTCTCGGACACAAGACTTACACTTGCTGGGGCCAGCCATGATTGCGATGGAACTCGAAGCGTAGACGCCAATCAGGTCTGTTCGCAGAACGGCGAAGTGAGGTGGAGGGTCAGCTGACTCGCTGAGTCATCTTTGTATCACGTGATACCGATCGGTCTCCTATCAGAGCATCCAAAAGGTTCCATCATTATTTGTGGCCTGTCAGTTGCAATTTGTCAGTTCATTTACGTTGTCTGTCCCAACGGCAACCTTCGACTTGTGTTGTTTTCTGGAGAATTGGCTGCCAAGCTGCACTTCACCACTCTACCATACCGCGATGACGGGAAACGCGACGGAGGTATCCTTCCGCCAATCAACTTGTCTCTATTAACAGTTTCGTGGTCCGCTTTTCACGATGGCTCTTGGAATCCATTCAGTGCTCGGAGTTGAGATTTCGGTCATCATTTAAACCTTGGATTATAGCTAATATTTACTAAAATTTACTAAAGTATCAAGTTACTAATGGTCATGGCCTAATGTTATTCCTCCGTGTTATTCCATAGCTTTCGTTTATCACATGGAAGCCGAGAATTTGCCCTCGATCTGCTCAATTTTTGCGACGGCTTTCTTGTAGCCGTCAATCTCCTGCAGTCGTTGGGCGTAGGCTGCCAGCAGAGGGTATTTATCCTGGGCCTTCTTATCCTTGAGTACGCGACCGCTGGCCGCAATCACGGGAAAGCTCATGAGGATGTCCGCGGCAGTCAGCTCCTTGCCACACAGGAATGGGCCTCCTTCGGGCGCCGTCTTGAGCTGATCCTCGAGAAAGGCAAGATTTCCCTCGATGTTGCGCGTCAGGAACGCAGATTCCACCTGTGAGGCCACGATACTGGTAATCGGACGGACAAAGAAGGGGGGGAATTGCGCACGGCTAAAACGAGGCTCGGTCAGTTCTCATCTGTACATACTTTGCACTGCCCCAACGGCGGCGCATCACGAGTCTCGAATACGAGTCGGATTCTCCAGCCAAGGCCAATGGATACCTACTATCATTGACGAGAGTCATCACCAGGTAGGGCATCAAAGTGCCTTCCACGTAATGCATGAAGTAGCGATACCGCATCCACTCCTCGCGCTCCCCGCCAACTTGGCCCTCGCGGCCCACCTGATAGCGCTCCGGTACCAGAGTTGATTTTACACCCCCAAAATGGTCAACCAGATACTCCACGATGGCGCCCGACTCGGCCAGCACCAAGGGCTTGTCGGACCCGGGGGCTTCGATAGTGATCACTGGCGACTTGCCTAGGGGGTGCACCTTCTTCAACTCCGGGGGAGCCAGCTTGTCGGCGCGCCGCTTGAAGGTCTTGAGCTCATATTTGAGCTGCAGCTCCTCCAACAGCCAGAGAATGCGATGGCTTCGGGATTGCTCGAGCCTGTGATGTAGAAGAATGTGATTAGCTCCGATCCCTGGATAATGTGAGGGCGACCAACCAGTAAAGAGTGATTTTGCAGCCCTGATTGTTGTCTGTCATGATGGTCTTATTGCCGTTGCGTTTTTGAGTGGATTGGAATTGGATCGACGTATATGTGAACAAACTCCGAGCCCATCGAAGGCGGCTGCTGAGCTTTTCATACGTTTTGGGCTGGATGATGTCAAGGGCCCGAGGTACGGGATCCGATAAGGATAAAGCGCCGAGATTTGCAAAGTTCATGTGAACCGCCCGTTTTGTTGGGATTTCCAGTCGCCGCACAAGCCCAGACCGATTAGCACCGATCGGGTAACCATTACGTTGACATAGTATATGCTCTGTGCAGTGGGTGAGATCGCTATGGAAGGCAAAAAAAGGGACATGCTCGAGAGGAAGACCCCTCAGGCTGGAGAGAACCAATTGCAGAAGCTCCCGAAACACCATCGGAGATGGAAGGGACGCTCCGCTTCGACAGGACGATTTCTCGCCCCCGATAGACAATCATGATTTGCTGTATGCTATAGGCGATGTGTGAAGACAAAATGGACATCGAGACGACCGTGAAGCAAGCCAGTGTTGCATGATTTGGAACCCGACACAGTGTACCGCTCGGAAGCAGATCAGTTTCTCGCTGTGTTGCCAGAACAGGCCCAAAGCTCGGCTGTGCGGTGCAGGATCAACTGGACTGGAAGGCCAGCGCGCCCTTTGGATTTGAGATATCTATCATGGTTTATACGAGAACGGCCTTGGCAGAATCTGCTTTAACCCAGTCCATGGGGGTTGGTCACTCAAATTCATCGATTTCGAAGAGCGATGTTGATTTTTGTTGGAGATTTGCAGGTATTGCAACACGTGTGATTGCCATGAGAAAGACTTACAACCCCAGTGGAATTCCGTGGCTACGTCGAAAGAAGTGAGATTGATTCATTGTACTCTGTCGTGCCTTGTTTACTGCAGCGGTGCCAATAGATTTACCAACCTCGGCTCACGGTTTGTTGGATACTGTTACTGCAGAATTCCTCTATCATCCCATCTTGTTTACAATCTCAGTCCTTTGAAGATATTCCAAGATCAGCCTTATGAGTTCCAAATAGCAAGGCGATCTATTCCGAACATGCTTTCCAGTACCATTCTGTAATCATCCTACTGTACGCACATGGTGGAATCGACCCGCCTGGGGCCAGAATGATCGTCCGCTAGTTACCGAGGCATGACTTTGCTGCTTCATCTTCAGCTTTACAAACCAGATCGTAACCGAAGATCAAATAACGCTCAGACGAGACTATAGATCTAGTCTACTCTTACTTCCCAAGTTTTGCTATCGAGGGAAATCTACTGAAGGCATCCAGAAATAAGACCATGACTTCACTTGAACTGAATCTTCCCCCTTCCTACGAGACGCTTGATCTTACGCACATCAAGGTTTCTCATCATCCGGTCGGAGCCCCAAGTGCGACCCCCGTGGTAGTCGTCACGTTGAATCGCCCCGAGAAACACAATGCGTTCACGCCGCAGATGGCCGATAGTCTCACGAAAGCTTATCATATGTTTCATATTGACTCCCGGGTCAAGGTAGTTGTTCTAACTGGTGCAGGCAAGATGTTTTGCGCGGGAATGGATTTGAATATTGGTTTTGGCGATGGTGAAGGGAGCACCAGGGACTTCCGTGACATGTACGCGATCAGCCTGACCTATCCGGGTAGCTTGAAGCTGGATATAGATTATCAGACTATGCGTGCTGACCCTTTTGTTCAGCGGGGGTCGAGTCACTCTGGCAATGCATCGATGCCATAAACCCACCATTGTTGCCCTGCAGGGCTCTGCTGTGGGCGTTGGCATGACAATGACTCTTCCGGCGGTCATTCGGTAATTCTTTTTCTCGTGGACATTCTATGAGTGTTGATTGAATGAGCAGCGCCTGACCTTCTATTAGCATCTGCCACGAGAAGGGCAAATACGGGTTTGTCTTCGCACGCCGTGGGCTGACCATTGAATCTTGTGCCTCTTATTTTCTGCCTCGCCTCGTTGGCTTTTCCCGCGCGATGCATCTAATCTCGACAGGTGCTGTGTTCCCGCCGTCAGCCCGATATTTTGGAGATATTTTCACAGAGATGCTTCCGGACGCAAGCAGGGTCCTGTCACGAGCTTTGGAGTTGGCTCAAGACATGGCAGAGAATACCAGCCCCTAGCGTCATCGATGAGTCGTGCGTTGATGTGGGAATGTCCAGGATCTCCAGAGGAGACACACTTGCTCGAATCTCGCGTCTTTCATCATATGATTCGCCAGCGGTGAGATTCATGATTTTCGAGGATTTTGGATTTGAAACTCGTACCTAACACACCATGCAGAGACTATAAGGAAGGCGTCAGCTCGTTCTTAGAGAAACGAAAGGCGCAGTTTGAGACGGATCCCTGGGAAAGCAGTGCCCCCGAGTATCCGTGGTGGTCGGAGGCCAATATTAGCCTTGAATCAAAGGTGTCGAAGCATTCTAAGCTGTGAAGAGGTTGCTAGTATTGGAAAACTATCGTCGACATCCTTCAGTGGGGTTTAAGATAATCCTGATGGTTCTAATAGAATCGATCCTTTGAAAGCCTCTTGAGCGCTCTGTTCTGCTTATAGTATTCAGTAGATATGCCTGTATACTTAGATCGGATCGGATCGAAGGCCCAAGGAATCGTAGTAATGATTACCAATGCTTGCTTGGCATCAAGCTTGTCCATTATTTATTGTCGTCATCATCGTCTATCAGGCTAGAGTCACCCTAAAGGAGCTTTCAACGTAAACAACAACAGATCCATGGACCACCCCCTTGTCTTGTATGATATATTCTAGCGGGCATAATTCAAGGTGAATGTTATCATCACAGTCCAACGATTATTTACGTAGCAAAGGAAAAGGTCTCGGGGGTGAAATAAGAACAAGAACAAGAAAAAAGACCAAACATCCAAAGGGTATCGCTATAGATCTCGAGTCCGGGGGGCGTCTAAATGATCCCGGCAAGCGAGTCAAGCGACGGCTGCCGACCCACCACATCCACTCGCACGCCCAACTTCTCCAACTCCTCCGCGTCCAACAATCCACGCCCATCAAACACCCACTTGGGCTCAACCATGTTATATGCAATTCGCGGCCATTCGATCGACTCCATCGTCGGTCGCGTTGAAGTCAACCGACAGTCTGTACAGTCTGCGACACACACTTCTTGGGGCATCAGTTGATAGGACACACCCGCGTGGGCCCAGGTCTCGCTCTCCGATCGGGCGCAGGGTCGCTTAACATCTTCGTTGCAAGTCTCGGCGGTTATGTTCCGAGCCAGACCTTTGGGATTCGATGAAATGGAGGGCGCGGGTAGTTTTTGAGATGGGAAGTTACGAAATTGATCACAGTCAGTGACTACCAGCACCGCGTTGGCCTGGGAGCAAGCCAGGTACGGGTCTGTAACGATCTTCACCGTCTGTCCCAGAGTGGGGCCTGGGCACACCTCCTTCAGCTCTCGAAGAATATCTTCCGGATGGCAGTAGGGGTCGAAAATGGCAATCTCGGCCGGTCGCTCCTCCAACAACACTCGGATCACCTCAACAGCCAAGGACTCCCGCGTGTCCCCGGTATTTTTCTTGAAGGCGAATCCAAGCATCGCCAACTTGTGACCAACCAAGTTTCCCTCGAAGCGATCGATGATTTTCCGTGAGAAACGGTTGCATTGCCGCTCATTCATCACGTTGACTTGTCGCCAGTAATGCGCGACATCATCTAATCCGAGAGACTCAGCCAGATAAGCCAGACTGGCAATATCTTTACGAAAGCAGGAGCCGCCAAACCCGAGTCCGGCCTTGAGGAATTGTGGCCCGATACGCCCGTCCATGCCAATGGCCTTGGCTACCTGGCCTACCTCGGCGCCAGTTCGTTCACAGATGACGCTGATCGAGTTGATGCTACTGATGCGTTGAGCGAGCATGGCATTCGCCACCAATTTAGCTAACTCGGAGGACCAGGCATTGGTGGTGAGGATGCGCGACCGGGGCACCCAGGCTGTATACAAACTTGCCAAGATCTGAGCCGCCTGGTGCCCAGACGGGGTAGCTGCGGATCCGATCAGGACTCGATCAGGTGCTGTGAGGTTCTCGATAGCGGAGCCCTCGGCCAGGAACTCGGGGTTCGAAAGCACTTCAAAGGGTACCCCCGGGCGACGATTCGCCAGCTATACAGTCAGGTCAGAGACTTGGAGAGACTTTCGAAGAAACAGAAGAGGATGAGTGATTACCATTTTCCGCACCCGCTCTGCCGTGCCGGCTGGCACCGTGCTCTTCTCCACAATGATCGCCCCCGGCCTTGCATATGCCGCGACATCACGCATAGCTCCGTCGAATGCCGTCATGTTGGTGGCGCAGCCCGCGCCGACGCCAAACATCTTTGTGGGTGTGTTGACTGCCATCAGGATGATATCAGCCCGCGATATAGCCTGGGCCGAGTTACAGGTGAAGAACAGATTCTGTTGGCGCCGAGGGGCGGACGTTTCTCCTATGAGTGGCGTGCTGTTGCTGGTATGGCTTTCGATGAAGGCACCATCTCGAACAATCCGCACGACAGTGTCCAGTCCTGGCTCATGGACGGGTAAGTGCGGAGACTGCCACCGCTGAATGCGGCTCGGATCACGATCCAGCACCTCGACCTTGATGGACGGGTGATAGAGGGCGAGAACCGCGGCTGTTGGGCCACCTGTAGAGTGAATCGGTCAACTTCGAGATGGCCACTTTCCCCAGGCTGTCATCATGACCATCTTCGTCATTCATGCAATGACCTCTTCGTCCGTGTCAGAGATGAAGCCTACCGACGTATCCTGCGCCCACCACGCAGACATTCTTCACCCCCTCCTGTAGCTGATCCGTCTCATTGAGCACTCGCGACGGGGCCAGTTGCGCCGGTTTGAGCTCGTCGACCTCCGAGGGACGGAAGAGTGGACTCGAGCTCGGGGTGGTTGGACCGGTGGAACAGGAGAAGCTCCCCTCCGAGGGCGAAGATAGAATATCCATGGGGATCTCGTCACTGGGAGTGGTCGCAGACATTATGCTCAGAGTTATTCTGATCTGGTCCGGGTGCTCGCCAGCGTGATCAGGTTGTGTTTCTTGAGGTGACCAGGTGAAGATAAGGGGAGGAAGAAGCACAACCCCGAAGCATCAAAAGATCAACGGCGCCGGTCACCGGAGAGCGCAATGATCCATTGACCCCATGAGCCATAGTCCCGTGCCTTCTTGCGTTCTCGTGCATACTCGGTATGGCTAAACATCCCGAAATCACGCCCTCGAAATGCTGGATTCTCCCACAGCGCAGCGTTGGCGCACGCGTGGAATCCCGCCCTGCGACTGGCCGCCAAGCAACGAATCCTCAGCGGGCACCGGCGGCACGTGGCCGCTGCTTCACCACCTTCAAACCACATCCAATGCCTTCAACATCGTCGCCCTTTCGATGCACCCGAACCCGGCCCTGATCTTCTACTAGGGTCTGCCAGGTCTGCTGGAGCCTCTCGAGCTCGGGTCCTGGTCCCAAATGCAAAATGGGATCCCCCCTCCCCCTCCCCCCACCTTCAAATATGCCTCTCCTTCCCTCCACCTTTCTACTTGATCATGGCTATGTAGCTCCGGCATCATGGCCGAATCTGCCCCCTTACTCTCGTCGGTGGATGGTCTCAACGGAGATTTTCCGGCCATCCTCCAGGGCAAAAAGATTCTCCTGGCAACCGAATCATGGGGCCCTGTGAATGGGGTTAGTCGCACCACCCGGAGTCTCGTCGAGTACCTCCGCAGTCATGGCGTCGAACTGATTCTCGTCGCACCTCATTTCAAAGGCGAGTATGGCTCAAAACAGACCTCGGAGTGGGAGCGTCGTCTGCCTGGCTGCGCCTTGCCCTACAATCCGGATTTGACGATTGTCTATCCCTTTCATTTGGGCGAGGTCTATAAGCAAACGTTCCATCCCGACATCGTCTATCTCGCCAGTCCTGCATCCCTCGGGTTTCAGATGCTACTGCAGATCCGTCAGCTGCGATCGCCACCGCCCGTCCTACTGAATTTTCAAACCGACCTCTCGGCCTACGCGGAGATCATGCTGCCGGCACCTCTCAATCAATTTGGGGTCTGGCTGTTGGCCAGTGTCCAGGGGTTCTTGTTCCGCACGGCTGCCGTGCGTACAATCTTCTACCCATGCTCCGCCATCCGGGGGTACCTTGAACAGGCCGGTGCCCCCGTTGATCGGCTGATCCAATTGGGCCGCGGCGTAGACACCGTCCTCTTCACTCCAACCCATCGCGACGAGGCCTACCGCCGGGAGATCGCGCCCGCTGGCGAGATCATACTCATCTGTGTCTGCCGGATCGCCCCCGAGAAGGGGTTCGAGTTCCTCGCGCAGGTCGCGACTCGCTTGGCGGCGGACAAAGTACCGTTCAAGCTGCTGATCGTCGGCGGCAACCGCAATCCTGTAGTGGAAAACCGAGTCAAGCGTCTCTTTGATGGGCTCCGCAACCATGTCATCTTCACTGGATTCCTCACTGGTGTATCACTGGCTCGGGCTTATGCCTCCGCCGACCTTTTCCTCCATTGTTCCATCACGGAGACCTTTGGTTTGGTCGTGCTGGAAGCCATGGCTAGTGGACTACCTGTCATCGCGCGGGACCAGGGCGGTCCCTCTGATATCATCCGCCACGGTCAGACGGGTTATCTGGTTCCCCCGCAAGATCTGGATCGCTTCACCAATCTGACCCGGGACGTGTCCCACGATTCTATTCGACGGTCGATACTCGCTGCCGCGGCGCGCCAATATGCCGACGACACCACCTGGGAAAAGATCAACCGTCGCGCGGCCTGGCATATGGCAGATGCTTTAACTCATACGGATCAAGAGTCGCATGGTCCACGGCCTCGGGTGCGGCCTGGCATCATTGGATCCACGATGGAACAAATCCGCCTCGTTTTTGCCGTAGGGGTGGTCTACGCGATGTGGCTGATTGCTGTGGTCCCATTGATCGTCCATGGGCACCGCTTCATTCCCCGGGCCTGGCAAGCGGTCCGAGAACAGTTCCAGTGTACTCGGCCGCTTCGCAGCTGAGAGTTTATGATGATTTTTCCTTTCTTCTGCCTGTTTCTCTCTTTCCTTCTTTCCTTTGCCAATTCTTCTGTTTACGTAAAGAATACCTTTAGACAGACCTACGATCCAGCTCATTACGAATACCAATCTGCTAAATTTTCGAGAAAATTATTGCTAATAGCCCATCCTGTACAGACCGAATTAAAAGAATACACGCATCGTCCACAATCCAGAGGCCTCTTTATTATAACCGTACCGGTGCTGTGTCTGCGCGAACCAGGATATGTCCCTCGGTGACCAGAGAGTTGGAGCACGAGCGCCCGTCGACAAAGGCACTGAGGTTGCTCAACGTGACGCCGGCAATCTCGGTGAGGGCCTCCCGGGTGAAAAAGCCCTGGTGGCCACAAATCAGGACGTTCGGGAAGGTCATTAGACGCATCAGAATGTCGTCGTCGATGATGTCCCCAGAATGATCGTTATAGAACAGCTCCCCTTCGGCTTCGTAGACATCCAACGCCAGTCCGCCCAATTGACGGGTTTTAAGGGCTTGTATCACGGCGGCGCTATCGATCAGTCCTCCGCGGGAGGTGTTCACCAACATGGCGCCAGGGTTTATCTGGGCCAGGGTCTCTTCATTAATGAGGTGCCGGGTGCCCTCCGTCAACGGGCAGTGTAGGCTGACGATGTGGCTCTCCCGCAGTAAGGTCTCCAGGTCTACCAGGGTGCCATATTGGCGAAACTCGTCGCCAGCGAAGGGATCATGAGCCAGTAGGCGACAGCCGAAGCCGTGGAAGATCCGCGCGGCGGCCAGGCCGATGCGGCCCACCCCGACAATGCCCACGGTCTGCCCATGCAGCGTCGTGCCGAGAAGACCTTCGATGTTGAAGTTCCCTTCGCGCACACGGTTGTAGGCGCGATGAGTCTTGCGGTTGAGGGTCTGGATCAGGGCGACGGCAAACTCGGCCACGGCCTCTGGGGAGTAGGCAGGGACGTTGGCGACGAAGAGGCCTAGCTCTTCGGCGGCGCTCAAATCAACATGGTTGAACCCGGCGCAGCGGAGGAGGATGGCGCGCACCCCGTCGGCATGCAGCGCGCGCAGTACACGGGCATCCAGGGTATCGTTGACAAAGACACAGACGGCATCGGCGCCTTTGGCTAAGGGTACGGTCTCCTCCGAGAGGGCGAACGCGTGGTACTCGATGTGGCACAATTGGGTGAAGCGCTGGCTGCAGACCTCATCCAGATACGTGCGGTCGTAAGCTTTGGCGCTGAAGACGGCCAATTTCATGATTGGAACCGCGAGCAAGTCGGAAAGTTTTTTATTGGATTTTTTGTCTTCTTTTTGTTTTCACAACATGAGATCAACCTTTCATTGGATTCCGAAAGGCCAGGTACTTGTGGATTCATGGATTGATAGTTTGCTAGTTTCATGGTATCGTAGGAGAGCGAGAGTGAGACCGAGAAAAGCGGTTGCTCGAACCCTCGGAGTCATGACGCCATTGGCGTCCGGGGGAGGAGAGGGGGAAAGTGTATGCAAATGCAAGCCAGTACATAGCAGTACATGTTACACTCCATCGCGTCTGCGCATGTCAGTGGTGAATGTGTCGGCGTACGGGAGCACCCGGGCTGCAAGCGGAAAGCATGTTCGCTCTCGGTAATGACTAGACTTCAAATGGACGAACGACCATAGTTGATCTGAGGTACGGTGGCTTGCGATGCGGCGCCCATGAATCCAGGGCTAGATGCATCCAATTGTCCGGTAATGATCTCAAGATCTTCAGACTGTGCGATCGCAGGAATTTAGTTGGATCGCAGGATCTGGGGTTCCCCGGAAACCCGATCGGAAACCCGATCGAACGGGGGGCCCGCAGGATGCTGGAATCATGATCGATGCGAGGAGTTGATGGGGTCGATGGGAAGTCCCCGACACTTCTGCGATCCGTGCGTCGCTATCTCCGTCCTTCTTCAGAGAAGCCAGCGATGGATCTGAGCGGTGATGAGACGTGTGTGTTAACCCTTTGGCAATGAACCTGGGGAAGTCTCTGGTGATCGCGGATCTGTGCATGATGCAGCCGGGCCATTGGTCCATTCTCGACCCCTTGCGACGATGATGTCGTGAGGGATATAGATTCACTGGAATCTAGAGAGACCGATGGAGCTTCATGTGGTGGGAATTACGATATTGCATACCATAGAGTGCCGGTGCTATGTGCCTTGATGAGGAGGTCTACGATCATCACCGGATCATGCCTGAAGCATCGCAACGCCGGGAGCTCTGCCAAAATCCCCGGACCCTGCGAGGTCCCGAGCGCAGTGCCGACTTTCGGGTCCCGAAACGGAACGGACAGACGGATGCAAGCAGACTCGTTCGGGCCCAGCCCGTTGCAACCTGCAAACCTTTCTCTCGCGCGCGCTCTGATGCTTTGTTTTTTTTTTTTTTTTTAATTCAAATTTGGCCTCCTTGTGTTCGAAGTCAATTGCGATGATTGTGCCCATTGACAAGATGGTCAATCCAGAAATGAGGAAGGTAGGAAACAAGGATATGCTATAGTCGATTCGATTCCGATGCTCTTTGTGTTGTATACTGCCAAAATACTGTAGTTACCCAGCTCATACCAGGACCCGAGTTCGATGGGGACTTTGGTCCAGCGATGGATAGATCGATGAATGCATCGTAATGTACGCCGTCCTCCGTCCACCGAACATCCACGTCCACACGGTGAGACCAGGAGGAGTTGAGCTGGCCGAGAAGATTCGGTGCGCACCGTAAGAAGGAGCATGAGCCGCCTGCCTCTTGGGGTATGGGCCGAAGGACGAAAAAGGGCGAAAAAGCGAAGTCGCATAACACACTTCGATCAACATTCGATCCTTCCAGACGATTGCCAAATTTGGGAACTCGAAACCCCTCGATATTGATTGGTGGGAAATGGGGAGGGAGATTCGAGGTCAACTCGAGTTCCCCGTTCGAGTTCGGCTCGACAGGACACGGCCCAGCAGTGGCCCGCGCGAGGCGGAGAAAGGGAGCGGGCCAATGATCGTCCCCGCGAGGGCCCTCCAGCGGCGCTTCACCAAATCGGGTCGAATGGGCGCTCAAACAGAGAGGCCAATCAGCAGCAAGCGATAAGCCAGAAACGCCACCTGCGGGTTGATTGGCTGGAAAGGGGCACTACTGGCACTAGCGTGAACTCTGTCCCAAAATGCGAACAACAGAATGGACGTTGTCCGGATACTCGCTACTCCGTCCAGGAAGAACGAATCAGAATCACCGAATATGGAATGACGAAAAGGGCAACAGAGTGTGATTGTTATGTGCTGCCCCAAAATCAATCGATCCCAACTGGCCACATTCCGCTCTTCCGCCCGGGTGAATCGGGGGGGGGGGGGGTGGAGGAGAAGAAGGGTTCGCGTCCGCCTGCGCAGGCCTGAGGTGAGTCTACATCGTGTATACAAGGCGAGGGTGTACCTTGCCAGATGTTGTTGGAATGAAGGTACATCTGCATCAGTCCATTTTCGGGACGCCCGGAGTTATTTTAGCACGGTACATCTGCACATCTGCACATCCCGTCCACGAGTCGCCTCCCGCGGAGACCAGCGGGGCAGCGGAGATGCCCCGGTGGGAGTTGGGTGGAGAGAACCCAGCATGTCTAGGCAGCCGGGCTATCGGATACCCGTTCGATGGTCTTTCTGTTCGCTGTCCTCTGGACAGCGAACAAGGGGGGCTGATAGTTTGAAGTTGTCCCGAGGATCGAAGAGTTCCCAACCAGCGGTCAAGAGCTGTAAGAGGCAGCAGGAGGCAGCAAGAGGCCGCAAAAAGGCTCAAGACCGATAAGAGAGCGGGAGCAGCGAAGAAACTCGCCCTGGCCAACCATCGGTGTGTCCAAAGTACGACCAGTGCGGCCGATCCCCCAGATGGATTGGCGAAGATCGGGAGAGGGACTTCCTCCTCGGATACACTAAGAGACGAAGACGCAGTCTAGATAGCGCGTATCCTGTGGCGTGTGCTTTCGAGCGAAGGGAACGACGATCGCGCCTCGTGGAGGACAGGGTCCATCTGGTATACAATGGAGTCTAGAGGGATCCAACATGCCTGAACCGATCCTGGAATCCAAGCCGACTCTCCTGGCTGTTCGTCCCGTGTGCGTCGTACTTCCAGAAAGTACCGATACCTCCCCGGTCTCCCAAGCATCGCCCGTCTTTACATCATTTCATCTGGTTCGCCTCCTGTCCAGGGGCATCGCGGTTGGTCGGCGTTTTCCTCCCTTCCATGGCTTTCGTGCCAGGATGGCCCGTCGTTGAGTCATGTAGTGATGTAGTGTCTCGTCCGTGCCCAATGATAGATGAGCAACTATAGTCCATCGTATATTCTGATCCTTCGAGACTCCGAGTCCAGTCGAACCTGGCGGTGATAGGAGGCGGACACAAGTAGTCACGGTCGATCCATAGCACACATTTACCAGATGATGAATCGGAATCCTCTTCGCGGTCCACCATTTCCCTCGCCACCACCTCGCCCTGTCGATGCCAGCTATTGTGCCGCTATGCCCGCTATGCCCGCTATCATATCTCCATTCCAGTCAAATCAGATATCCTCCGTCGTTTGGATCTCGATGTAACTAAACCGGCAATCGAGCGGTTCTTCACCGACTTCCCCTCCCTTCGCACTCTCTCTGTCTCTCTCTTTAACTCAACCTCGACTTATCACCGCCTCCTCCATTTTCTTCCTCCTCCCCTTTTTTTTTCTTCTTGTTCTTCTTCTTCTTCTTCTTCTTCTTCTTCATCCACCTCCCCTTCTTCTTACCTCTCCCCGTCCGTCTCTCATCTTTTCTCTTGTTTTGAATTTCACACCGAAATCCCACTTCCTCCTCTTGTCTCGTCGCCCCCCCCCCCCCCCCCCCCCCCCTCCTGGCTCCACTTTTCTCATCCCGACGGACTGGCTAGTCTCAACGCTCCTTCATCCCGTTCTCCACCGAACCTCGGCCACTCACCGCGTCCCCGTTTGCCGCTCATTGCGGCGTTTCTCCACGGCGGACCCGGTCTGCGCAGTGGTCGTGTGCTGAAGTCCTAGCGGAGTACGGAGTAGTAATCCTCGCTCTCCTCTTCGTTTCCCCCCCGTTCTTCCGACACGGGATTTGGAGGACAAGCGTACTGAGTACTTGAACGGGGCGGATCGAACTCTCATCCGGCTCTCTTCATTTTGCCCCCTCGACATCATCACTTCCTCTGGGTTCCAAAGAATCCTCCGATCTCGCGTGTTGCCTCCCATTCCCCTCGTGCATTCAAAAAGAGTTCCACGAGTCCTTCTCCCCCCTCCCCCCGACGCAACGGACGACCCGGAGTTCCCCATATTGCCGGACTCCCCTACGACTATACCCACCTCCTTGTCCTGCAACGCCTCTCTTTCCGGACGGCTCTGTCCCACTCCCGCCACCACCTTCCTGCTTCTGTTCTCTTTAATTCTCACGGAGCTTCCTCTCTTCTTCGCCTGCTCCTCTGTCCTCTCTTCTTCCCCCCCCCCCCCTTCCCCTTCTTTTTCTGACGTGGACGTCCTGTACAACATGGCCACCCACGTTCTGACAGCCCCGTCCTCCACCACCGCCAATTCCGGCGGGCCGGCCAACAATCAGATCTCGGTTTATGGACACCCGTCACCTACCAACTCCGCCACCACCTCTCCTTCAAACAACTCCCCAACCTCCCCTCGCCTCACCACCGCTGCCCTACACCAATTGCCCCTCCAGTCCCGTCAGCTGCGTCCTCTGAAAGGCCCCCTGTATGTTCCCGCGGCCCTACGCCCAACCGAACGTCCCCAGAAATCATCTCCCATCACCCCTCCGCGCAGTGTGCACGGTTCTCTCGACAGTCTGAACGAGGACACCGCCGAACCCATCAGTCGTCGCTCCACCATGGAGAGCAAGTCAAGTGGCATCAGCAAGGTTGCCGAGCATGAATGGATGAAGAATGAGCACCTGGGGTTGGTCACCGGGCTCCCAACTCGCGATCACTGGAAAGTGAGTAGTTCCCTCTTTGGCTTCTTTCTTCCCTCCTTCCCTTCCCCACCCTGCCTTTTTATATTCCATGCGAGGCCGCCAGCCGGAAATGGCGTGATGGCCGCCCGGGATGAATGTCGTGGGTTATATGGGCGCGCTCGTCATCCTCGATCCTCGGGGGATGGCGTGCTTCCATGTCGCGATTGCCTCGGTCGGAGACTTGCCGTTGTGACCAACTTCGCCTTCTCGTTCCCCTCTCCCCTCTACATATTGTGTATAACGAGCTTCCCCGAAACTAACCTGCTCTTTCAGGCGGACTCGGCTTCCCCCAACTGTGACTCGCCTACCTGCCGTTCCTCCTTTGGCCTCTTTCTGCGCCGGCACCATTGTCGCCACTGCGGTCATGTCTTCTGCTCCTCGCACACCCCACATAATGTGCCCCTTGACCAGAATGCTCGCTTCCATCCGGACGGAGTTCCATCGCGTGCATGCGATCTCTGCTGGAGTGCCTATCAGCGCTGGGAGGAGAATCGCAGCGACCGTCTGACCAAGATTCAGGACACCATCGACGCCCAAGCTAAGCAGGGCGACGGTGATGCTGCCGAACAGGCTGAGGATCTGGACGCCAGCGAAGACTCGGGTCGCGCAGCCTTGAAGGCCAACCTGGGTCAGACGGCCGAGGTCGCTGCCAGCGTCCCCCGAGATTGGAATTGGAGCACCTTCTAATCGGCTCCCTTTTCCCTAGACGTGGCCAGCGCTTCCTGTGGTCAGCAGGTCCTGATGACAGTGCTTCTCTTCTTCGCTTCACCAGTCTTGTGTGTTTCTCTCACAAAGCATCTGGACTCATTTCATCTTCTGTTTCTCTTGTCTTTTTTTTTTCGTATTCCTCTCGAGGGATTTCGATTTGCGACCATCGGTATGGCGTTTATTATGGCCCTCACGGCTATGAGCATGTTGATCTTTTTTTTTTCTCGCCTGGGTTTGACGGCCGCCATTTTCAATGATGCCGTTTTACCCCCGGACGCTACGGCTCTTTTTTTTTCTTCTTTCTTTTTGCATGTTTAGAAGGTCTTGCGCTCGCGTATGGCTCCGATGATGAGACTTCGGTGGCTATTTATTCTTGTTGTTTCTCTCTGCCTTCGTCTCTTGATTGTTTCTCCGTTTTGTTGATCAGGATACCCCATTTTCTCCTCGAGTGAGAACCTTGTGCTGTTGCTTCTTTAGTGTTTGTTTCTCCTGGTATTACCTTTCCTGGTGCCTGATCCTGATGCTTGATCTCCGATCTACTCCTGCCACACGTCACGGAATTGCTACGCAAAGCTGCACGTCGGTTGATGTTTTCTAGAAGAATCCAGTCCTAATGATGTTGAATTCGTACTCGTCTTCGTATCGTTTCGTAAAGTTTTATCTGGCTTCCTCGTTTTTCTATCTACGGAAAGCAACGTTGTGCACGCAGGTCTGTATAATGCCGATCCATAGAACCCCGTGATCATTCGCTTTATCCTCTCTCGCTGTTGTGTCTTCACCGTAATTTCACCCGCCGAAACATCCCTACATGCTCGATCCCTTCCTCCTCCCACCGGCCCAAGGACTCGTCCGTCGTGAAACCCAGCCCGTGATACATCTGCTCCACATCAGCCTGCGCATGCACGAGCACCAACCCCCGCCACTGGGCGGATGGTCCGCTCCATTGGGTGCGTGCCGCCTGTTGCGCCGTGGCTTCGTCTATGTCCGCCGAATGCTCCGCCGCCCATACCAGCGCCGTCTCTACGAGTTGCCGGCCCAATCCGCGGCCCCGATAGTCGGCCCGGACGGCGACCCGGGTCAGTTTGATGCACGGCTCATGTGCCCAGTCGAATTCCGGCAGCGTCTGCGAGGCCGGATTGGACGGATGCGTAAGGAGCGCGTGCGGGGGTTGCGGGGGTGGAACGAGGCGGATCACGGCGACGGGCGTGCGAGGCGAAGTCGGCGGGGAGGACTCGTAGACCACCCATTGCCAGCTCCGCGCATCGTCGGCATCGATTTCGGCATCCGCAGAGCAGTGCTGCTCGTCCACAAAGACGTGCATGCGGACAATCATCGCATCATTGAAAACTGGGGGGTTGATAAGAGTGCTGGACGAGTCGGGCAGGACCAGCTGAGCCGCGGGGCCAGGAGGCGGCTGAAGGGCAGTGGTCAAGGTGGGTTGGAATGCCATTGAATACCTGCCGATTGAGCTCAGCCAAGCGCCGGGTTCAGAGCTGGGGGGCACAAGGGATCTATGTCGTCAAGGATGATGTTCACCTTGATAAAGAAGAGAAGATGGGCGATGAGGATGAGAGGGAAGTGGCTCCGCGGAAACTTATCGGCGATCCTTTTGGAAAATTGGACCTCATCGATAGCCGTAAATCACCGACAAAAATGAAAACCGGTAGGGCTATTCAGGAATATTCAATGGCTTTAAGAATCCGTTCGGAAAAAAAGACCTCTGGAGACATGGAGATATACACTCTCTACAGGCATGTAGTTGTGTGGTGTTTAGGAATACACCATCCAGATCGGAACTATATATCTCCCTTCAGGCTGATTCTCTGTGGTCGAAATATGCACCAACCACGAAGTATGAGCTGTAACGATCTTCTTATTCAATTCAAGCTTTTCATCCCCAAATCGAAGCGGTGAATTATCAAATACCAACTAATCAATCTTATCAATCGTGACCCCCTGCCTCAGACCTCGGTCATGTGCAAGGAAGCCGACGTAAACATGGCTCTCACCGCCTGCAAACAAACTAAACCAACAAGACCGACCGCCCGCATCGAACCGCCCAAAAAAAAAAACCCAATCGGAACCTCCCCCAAACTCTTCGCCCCAAGCAAGTTCCAGCGACCTGTCGTTTCTCAATGTCCCTCTATTTCGATGCGGTCGCCATTCTGACTGCACCCGCATCTGGAGGCTCCTTCAAGTCTCGCATATACAACGCACGCAACTTGCGCGCCTCCCCGGCTCAGATCTATGCGCTCATCATTGAGGCCTCCAAATGGGACACTGTCCTGGCAGAAGTCATTGAGAATGCAGACATCCTTAGCCTGGAGCGTAAGGTAGGCTGGATCCCGAGAGCTTCTCTCCCTTCCCCCCAGGTGATGCCTACTGACTGACCAAGCCAATTTGAACTCGCTCGCTCTAGCTCACGCCACTCCTCGCACTCCTCTTGGTCCATGATCACCTTCTCGCGAAGAACGGGATTGCTGCCCCGGCTGCACACCCTATTCGACAAGCCCTGGAACGTCACAAAGTACGACTCCGGGCAGAATTTACTAAGGCTCGCGTGCGTCGAGGATGTGCATCGGTCGATCAGCTCAAAGCTGCTGTTCGACGCGAGAAGCGCGAGGCTCATGGACCAGATCACTTCACGTACCCACGCTGGGTACGAGTTAACAACATTCGCAGTACGCTGGACGATCAGCTTCGCACGACGTTTGCGGACTACCAGCTGGTCGATACGCTGGCGGCGCTGACCCCGGACGATGACGATCGAACGAAACGCAAACTGCTCTATCTCGATCCCCATATCCCGGACTTGGTGGCTGTCCCATTTGGAGCGGACTTCACCGTGTCGCCTGCATACAGAAATGGAGAGATTATTCTACAGGATAAGGCGTCATGTTTCCCCGCCTATCTCTTGTTGGGTGATCGAGGGGCAAAAGATGCCTGGGAGGGTGACTTGGTGGATGGCTGCGCAGCGCCAGGAAACAAAACCACCCACATGGCCTCCCTTTTAGCCAAACACCGGAAGCAGAAGACGCCACGAAAACAGATATTCTCCATGGATGCCTCCAAGGTGCGCTCGAAAACACTCCAGAAAATGGTGTCCTTGGCCGGCGCCGATCCCACCGTAACGGTGCTACAAGGGCAGGATTTCCTGGCACTAGATCCAATGGATTCCACATTTGAGAATGTATCTGGTTTGCTTCTCGATCCAAGTTGCTCAGGAAGTGGTATCGTGGGCCGAGACGATGTTCCTCAGCTGAAGCTTCCTCAGCCGAAAGTACCCAAGAGCATCAAGCAGCAGGGGAAGAAGCGGAAGCGCGGAGCCCCAGAGGACCGGGACGCCGCCGAGGAACACCAATCGAAAGCAACGGTGGGCGAGCCCACGGCTGCCCCATCTGATGAGAATGATATCCCTAGCGGAACTATCGACAATGAACGACTTGTCAAGCTGTCAAACCTTCAAGCACGTATTGTGGAGCACGCTCTGAGTTTCCCCAGTGCTACTCACGTCACCTACAGCACCTGCTCCATCCATCTCATTGAAAACGAGGCGGTGGTGGCTCGCATTTTGGCGTCCGATATCGCCAAGGAGCGAGGTTGGCGGCTTTTGCGTCGTGATGAGCAACCAAAGGGCTTGAAGCAGTGGAAACATCGCGGGGTTCGGCGGGATCGAGATATTGAAACAGGAGTTGAATCGGAGGACAGCGCCTCTGTCGCCGAGCTCTCCAATGAAGACCTGGAGGCTTGCTTACGTTGCTGGTCTGGCGACGCAGAGGGCCTAGGTGGCTTCTTTGTTGCCGGGTTTGTGCGCAACTCACAGGATAAATCCACATCCTCGGGACAATCCAAACTGGGGAAGCATCACCAAGCTGAAGAGGATGACGCTGAAGAGCGATCTGGAGACGAAGACGGAGAATGGGAGGGCTTCTCTGATTAAAACCACTTTCGAAACGGATGGACGCGGTTGTTGACGAGATGGGCTTATCATACATCCAGCGGCATGTAAAAATCACTAGAAACAAATGGGCTTTCGCCAAGCCGAACCCTCCGATGATCAGAGAAATGTTCGATTTTGGTTGCGGACTAGCGGCGTAGTATAGATATCCATCTTGACAGCGACCAGTACGGCCTCCAGGACGCCATTTCCATCTGGTTGCAGCTGTAATCTCCATTGACCATTTCGCACAATCCATGGTTCATTTTCGGATCCCTCAGATCGTTGCCGCTTGGCTGGGGGGACTGGTCATTCGCTGCAGGGTCTGAAATGGAACCAGCCGGAGCCGAAGGGTTGGACTTGCCATCGATGGTCATATCAGTGGTTTGATCCCAGACAATCTTTATCGGCAGCCCTCCAAGCAATGTAGAATCGAATTGATTCGCTTTCTTGCTCACTACCTGTAACAGACTTGCCATACGGGATTTGGTCAAACCAACAAAGTTGGCTCGTTGGATTGCTGGATGGACAACAGTGGATTCGTCGCCAATGTCGAGAATCAAGTCGATTGGATTTTCATCGAGGAAAGGGCGCGCGTACAGTACGGAATTGACGGTGATTGGGGAGGGTTTATTAAGAGCGAACTGGATGCCGGATGGCCGGACGTCCTCCAGGCGGATGACAATTTCCGATCGCTGCCGGAAGGGATTGAAGCTGATCTGGTGAGGTATCAACTTTTGCTCGAGCCCCCGGAGATGAAAATAGCGGCAATCTCGTAGGAGCTCTGCGCGATGGTCCTCATCCCGAATACGCAGGGGATAGCCGCGCAAGAGATGAAGGAGTTCAGCGAAGACGTCGGCCGACCGGTTCGGGACGCTTGGAGGGACAATGGCAGGTGGCCGCAGCAATCCCACCCGATCAAGACCAGGAAAGACTTCCGAAGGGGAGGCAAAGAAGACGCCAAAGCCTAACGTAAAGAAATTAGGGGAATCACCAGGACCGGAGAAGATGTCGCGCGGGATCTGGAAATGGCGGTCACCGATCTGGATGAAGATCTCGGACTCGAATAATTGGGACATCAAGCGGGGTACTAGAGTTGGGATATATTAGCACGCTTTTCGAGCGCAAGAAATGGAATTGATATCCAACAAAGGGGAGGAGAATTATGAAGGAAGGGAGGCCGACATGTGTAGAATTGGGCGTCGGCAAATAGCTTGACGAATTGTGCGCCATCTCGCGGTCGAACATGATAGCCTACACATGGGCATCAGTTGCTGCCACCCGCCGGGGAAAGCAAGGTCCCCCACCCCTCTTTCAAGGGGTTGAATCTCATGATCTGTGTCTACCTTGAAGATGACGGGCAATTTCTTGAAATGTGGCCGGGTCGCGATCGATGTACAGGGTTCGGACATTGGAAGGGTCGGAGATGCGCAATTGCTCCTCGAAGAACTGTGAGAAGTAGGAAGGAGCTAATCAAGCCACAAGACATAATCATGGTTAGTCTTTTGTGACCAACGCGCTGAAGGAAGGGAGGGAGGTGTGCGGCGCGCGACTCACCGTCCGAGGCGATCGAGGCTCCGGAAAGTCGAAAGAGCTCGGAGCCAATTTGGATGGAGAAGACCTTCTCGGAGGGCAGAGTACAGGCCCGCGGGCCTGAACGATGCGGGGTGGACGAGCCCGACTCGCTTGCCATCGATGAATGGATTGGAGAGAGGAGAGTGGGACGAAGGTTGGCGAGGGATTGGAGCGTTGGAGAGGTAGGGAGTCGATAGGAGTCGAGGTAAAGTTGAGGTGCGCGCGGGAGCACCTGTCGCGCGCGCGCGTCAAACGGCCCGAGAATTTGGAGCCCGCATATTTCATCGGCACTTGTGAAACTACGCAGGCTGGTCTTCTACAACAGATCATTGACTTCAGAGGGGCACTAGAGAGGATGGACAGAGGATGGACAGCAGGCTAACAAGTGTAAGGAATATGATGTATGGAGATCATCCCCGTTTATCTCCATGATGGTATCCATTCTGGGACAAAACGTAACCCACCTCTCCTTGTTGAGTGGTGCTACAGCTCAGGACTGGGAACACGTCCAGGCTCCACATTTTACTTACCGCCGTGGCATAGTTCTCTACGAAGTACTGACATGGGGCTGATCTTGGTTCGTAGGCTCGGGTTCGAATATGCAGGAGGATGCCTGAGCTTGTATAGTTACGGAGTGCGGAGTAGGCATGGCTGGTTGGGGTTCGAGGGGTTTCCTAGAAGGGTAGTAATGTACCGGACCCTCAAAATCGGACGATCCCTCCCTCGGTCTCCACCTATGAAAATCAAACCATACGAGGTACGGAGTACTTCTACTGATCATGAATGATCAGGGAGAAAGAAGAGAAAGAAGAGAAAGAAGGGGGGAGAGAGAGAAAGATCGACTGCATGTTACATGGTTCAATGCGTATTGGAGTATGTACTCCGTCTTTCGTACAGGAATGGACTGCGCACGAGATGAGTTCGAACAAGCAGATGATGATTGAATGAGGAGATGCCAATGGTTCGATCGTAGCTCATCTTCTGGCTACAACTAGCGTCGCACTCAAGCAGAAAATACTGTAGCTTCTCATTTTTCCGTTTATTGGGTTCTCCATTTCACATGGCGTGGAATCTCGGCTGCTGCCCCGGGGCGGGGGAGGGGGCACGAGCTTCTCCGAGACGCGCCCCCCCCAACTGGCCCAGACTTGCCTAGACTTGCCCAACGAAAATGGGCTCTGACAGCCGAGGCTCTTTTTCTTTCTCTCTTTCTCTGCCAGATGACCAGGCCTTCTAATGAGGTCGAAATGGTCGTTTGGGATCCGCTTTTGCGTTGACGACTTACTCTTCCCTCCCGACGGCCTTGCAGCTCCCTCTGTGTATACCCTAGTAATACCCCTATACACCGGTGACTCGGCTTTTGGTATCCTCCGCTCTACTCCCGTAAATAACTTCAATAACTCCAAAAAAAATAAATGTAGGTCAACCAAGCGTCGGGGAACGAAGATCTTCGCGGTGGGGTCCGCGCTTCGGGGTCCGGGGGTGCTTCGTCGTCCGTAAACTAGCGTGGCATGACGGAGCGCTGAAGTACATAGCGTCCACTATATCCCGCTGGCTGCGTCCACTCTCCCCTCTCCACTCTTGATCCGCTTGATCTGTATCTGTGTGTTGGATCATTTACATACACCTGGTGGATCTGCTGGTTCCCTCTTCTTCTCTCCCCCGCCTTGAAACTTCTCCCCGTTGGCCGTTGTCGAATGAGAATCTAGTCATCCATCTCTCTCTTTCCACTTCCGCTTTCGATTCTAGGTAGCATCGCTGTTCGATCTCCGGAATACCATGGATGACCAGCCTGTATTCACCTATAAGCCGCTGGAGGTCCCTCTTCCCCCGGCACCGGATCTCACCTTCTTTTCGGAGGCACAGTGGACGACCCTGTTCTCGTTGGCGGATGCAATTGTGCCCTCAATTCGTACTTCGGCCACCGTCAAATCCTCGACGGATAAAGTGATCTCGACCGCCGACTGGGACTCCGCCATCTCCAAGCTGTCTTCCTTGATTCCCGGCCCGGACGCCGCAAAGGTCGCGGCAGGATACTTGGAGGAGGATGCCTCGTCCAACCCGGCCTTTCGTGCATGCGTCGAGCGCATCCTGGGGGATTACGTGCACGAGGAAGGCAAGAATGGCTTTGGTTTGATCATGAACGCCCTCAAGTAGGCCACTTTCACTTTCCCCTTCTCACCATCCCATTCTCCTCCCCCTCCGAGATGTATCTCGACGCGGTAGACTCTATTGGCTGATGCGTGTTTCCAGTACCCGCGCGGGATCCTTGATCTTGACCGGGTCCACCACCCCGATACATCTTCAGCCCATCGCCTTTCGGGAAAAGGTGTTCAAAGGCTGGGATACTTCTCGGTTACCTCCTCTCCGGGCGGTCTATCGTGGACTGACGGCGACGGTGAAGAAGTCATGGGTGATGACCAGCCCAACTATCAACCAGGTTCTGGGCTTCCCGCGGGTCCCCGTTCATGGAAAGCCAACCGATGGCTTTTCCTACGAGTTTCTGCAGTTCCCCGCCAGCGACGAGCCGGAGATGCTCGAGACTGACGTGGTCGTTGTCGGCAGCGGCTGCGGCGGCGCCGTAACGGCGAAGAACCTCGCCGAGGCCGGTCTCCGCGTGCTAGTTGTGGAGAAGTCCTACTCGTATTCGAGCAGGCATTTCCCTATGACCCCGAACGAAGCCTACGTGAGCATGTTTGAAAATGCTGGCGCAACCATCAGCGAAGACGGCTCGATGGCTGTCCTGGCCGGCTCGACATGGGGTGGTGGTGGCACGGTCAACTGGTCCGCGGCCCTCCAGACGCAAGCCTACGTACGCCAGGAGTGGGCGGATGGGGGTCTACCATTCTTTACATCGTTAGAGTTTCAGCGTAGCCTGGATCGTGTCTGTGACCGAATGGGTGTCAACACGGAGCACATCGAGCATAACCGACAGAACAACGTCATCCTGGAAGGCGCACGACAGCTCGGATATGCTGCGAAGGCTGTGCCGCAAAACACTGGCCAAAGCGAGCACTATTGCGGCTACTGCACGCTGGGATGCGCTTCGACCGGCAAAAAAGGCCCAACTGAAACCTTCCTGGCCGATGCGGCCAACGCAGGCGCCGTCTTCATCGAAGGCTTTAAGGCGAATCAGGTGATCTTCGAGAAGAAAAATGGCAAACGGGTGGCCAGCGGTATCGAGGGCCTCTGGACGTCGCGAGACTCATATCTCGGCCTAAGCAACCATGGTGCTGTGAAACGGAAGGTGGTAATCAAGGCGAAAAAGGTCGTGGTGTCGTCAGGCACGTTACAGAGCCCGTTGTTGCTCCTCCGTAGCGGCATCAAAAATTCACAGGTCGGCAGGCATCTGCATTTGCATCCTGGTAAGCACATCTTTTCTATGCGTCTGTTTTGTTGCTATTTCTCCATGACAATTTGTGTTTGTGGAAAAGGACCCACGGACTAATTTTGAATTCAATAGTCATGGGCGCCGGTGCGGTTTTCGACGAAGAAGTTCGTCCCTGGGAAGGAGGAGCGTTGACGACTGTGGTAAACGAGTTCGAGGACCTTGACGGGCATGGCCATGGGGTGAAGATCGAGGCCGTGTCCATGATGCCGTCCGTGTATATCCCCGTCTTCCCGTGGCGCGATGGACTGGACTATAAACTATGGGCGGCTGGTATGAGTCGTAGTACCAGCTTCATAACGTTGATCAAGGATCGGGACAGCGGTCGAGTCTTCCCCGACCCAGTGGATGGACGCCCGCGCATCGATTACACGGTGTCTCCGTTCGATCGACGTCATATCGTAGAGGGTTTGATCGCTGCCGCCAAGATTGCGTATATTTCCGGCGCGAAAGAGTTCCACACGACCTATCGTGATATTGCGCCATTCATTCGCCCCGATGCCTCCAATCCCGAGGGCCCTGAGGGAACCAACGATGTCGCTCTACAGAACTGGATTGCGGAGCTGCGTCGCAAGTCGCCTTTGAACCCGGAACGAGGTTTGTTCGCCAGTGCACATCAGATGGGAACTTGCCGGATGGGCAATTCTCCCAAGTCCAGTGTCGTCGACCCAGATTGCCAGGTCTGGGGTACGGATGGCCTGTATGTTGTGGACGCTTCGGTCTTCCCCAGCGCCAGTGGCGTCAATCCGATGGTTACCAACATGGCAATTGCCGATTGGGCCAGTCGGAACCTTGCCCGGGTGTTGGGAAAGCCCCGAAGCGAGAGGAATGGGATGGCGCGTCTTTGAGGTCTGATGCAAACATGACCTGTATATACCATTCTCCTGCAGTGCACCCTGCGATTGCAGCCGAATCCTTGTATAAACTACAATGCCTCATGCGATAGAGGGCGAGCCTTGTTTGAAAATACCCCTCGCACAGGTTCGAGTCTATCACGACATATATAACATAATCTTCGTCGTTTTCACACAGCGCCATATATTTTTATATCATCCCTGATCAAATGTAGTTTCTATCCTTCTTCTGTTGGAGCAAAAAATCACCGTGTCATTGAGAATGGTCATAACTAATATCATTATTCTGTTCATCCTCCCATAGCGAGAGGAGGGGGAGGGAATGAGAGAAGAGGGTTCTTGATCAAAACCTAGCCATCGTAGGACTGACGCTTCTCCACGTAGTTCTTCTCACCAAAGGCCTGCTTCACCTCATCGACTTCCAGAACACGTTCGTACCAAGCCAGGGTGATGGGGTACTTCTGACGCATCTCCGCATCAATGACCATGGAGAAGCCCCAGACCAGAGCGGCGGCGATGCTAATGTCTGCCATGCTGATCTTGTCACTGCTGGCGAACCAGATCCGCCCCTTGAGGTGGGTCTCCATGCAGGCCAGCGTGCGCTCCAGGCGCTGCAGATTGAAGGTCTCGGTGGCCTCATCGTAGGGCTTCAACTTCAAGCGCCACAGAGCCAGTTGGGTCACCGGACCACTGACCTCCCCATCCGCAAGGCAGACCCATTGGCGGATGGTGGCCCGCTCGGCCGGGCTTCCTCCCAGCAGCTGGGCTGCCGCGGGGCCACTCTCAGCGATGTACTGGGCGATGGCGTCGGATTCGAAGAGGGTGGTACCGTCCGCAGCCTCGAAGGCGGGCACTTTGCCGAGCGGAAACTTGGCCAAGAAATCCTCTGACTTGTTTGTCTTGCCCATGGCAAAGTCAGGGAAGATGGCAAGTTCCAGATTGTTAAAGTTGGCGGCGGCTTGCATCTGTTAAGAATTTGCGTGATGCCTATGTCAGTCCATCGCTCCTAGCAATCTCTCCCCGCTGCCATTCGCGGGGATTGGGGAGAAGGGGTGGGGTGGTCGAAAACGTACCTTCATGACCCGGGGACTGGGCATGTAGGAGTAGATAGTGCCGAATGGTGCCATGGTGGAAGTGAGGAGAGGTATGAGTTAGAGGTGATGAATCCTTGAGCGAAAATGGCGGCAAATTGGGTAAGGGTTTATATCTTGTCCTTGCAATGAACCCCTCCTTTCAAGAATCATTTCTTGCTCCTGTCACCCCAAAGCGCCCTTGAATTGTATTATTAACCCATTAATAATTCAGAGTCGCACTAGTTATGACAGGTGGGGTGGAATCGTGTGGAACCCGATTGCTAATCGGTAGGGAATGAATTCCGCCGAGTGGGAAGACCCGAAGACCAAAGGAGAGAGGATTCCGAACTCCGTACAGAGTACGAAGTGTAAGCGGAGGAAAGAGAATTGGAGGAAGGGAGAGGCAGGCATTGAAATCGGTCGATATCTGGAAGATGGGGAAGGGATGCCGTCATATCATTCAAGCTTGATTTTAAGCATGAAAAAAATGCATCTGGTGGCGTTGGTTCGTTGGTTTATCTTTGGGTTTCGCGGGGAAAAGCCACCACGCGAAATGTCATGGGAATGGCGCCATCAAGAAAGGTCGAAAAAAGAACCACGGAAACCTCACCAAAGGAGAGGGAGGGGAGGAAATCACGATTAATGCCCGATGGCTACTTCTTCCGTCACGAGGGGTGCTATCAGCTTAAGAGTCCAACTTGATACTCCGACAGATTTACAATGAATCACTATCATGGCCCTCTCGACAAACTGTGAAGTATTGAACGAGAGGGAACGAGAAAGGTAAAAGGCCCTTCAGTAAATATAAATCTACACCAAGGTACCCCGGGTGCATGCCGAGGTAAAAGTTTGCCGGAATGCATTTCACAGTCTCATTCGATGATGCTTTCTTTTGCCTCCCCCTCCTCTCCCGCACTTGAACCTCATCTTGCCCTTGTCCCTGCCTGCCCCTCCGCTGATCCATCGTCCCCTCTTGCCCTGGATGTCACTCTTCATCAATCTACCACCTGAGCTTCACATCCTGATCGCCACCTTTCTTCCCATATGTGACTATATACAATTCCGCCTCACCTGCGCCTATTTTTACGACCTGGTGCCCCGCCCATCGCACCAGCAGCTGCTACAAGCCGAATCCACTAAATGGGCCCGTTGTCGAGATCTCTACACTTGTCGCTATTGCTGCCGCTTGCGCCCAGCATGTCACTTCGCAGATCGGATGCTGAATCGACGCCGGAGCCGATCTGGTCGCGACAGCGGCAAAAGGTTTTGCATTGACTGTGGGCTGATGCCACGCGACGGCATGGCGCGATACGGCCCCGGCGCCCAGGTGATGGCCCAAGGGGAGTTTTTGGTCCTTTGCTTGACGTGTGGGCACTTCAAACCGGGCGCATGCGATAAATCAGGACGGCATACATCGTACTGCCAAAAATGCTGGCGGGTACACGAGGCACGTCGAGATGAGGGGTCACCACTTGGATTATACCAATGCCACACAGCGACTCTCAACCCCTGAGACTCCACACCAACATTGCGGGGTGTAGCTAGCGAAGCCTACATCATAATACTGTGCATTTTCCGACGAAATAATTGTATTTCTGCATGCGGTCAAATATGGGAGTGAGTGATTTCTTTTCTTAACACCATTCGATCGCCACACCAACGCCAGGAGCCGCAAATAATGAATACCTCCTCTCCGCTTAACTGATTCAATGGATTTGTCGCCAAATATAGGCAGGAAAAAACACATACCAAGCACTTTCTCCAACTAAATGCAAACCAGACCGACTTCATTGCCTTCTCGATGGTCCGAGGCCCTTCTCACGCTTGACAAGGCTCACTTAGTTTCATATAGTTCCGGCAGTCTGAATTTCAAAGTCAGTGATCGAAACATGGTCGCCATTCAGGATGCTGTAATTCTTACTGGTATTTCCCATATCCTCTCCAAATAAACTGGCCAGCAGCTCCTCACCATGCCGAGTGCCCTCGTCTGGAGTATAGCTGACTGCCTTCTTACCCAGGGCCAGACCGATCACTGATGGGAAGGGATTCAAGGTTTTGAAGGCGGGCGTACCGCCAACACACTCCGTCAGCATCTGCTGATGAATGTTCAAAGCAGCATAGTGACCCATATGCATAGCACCCCCACAGCGCTTGATGCCAGGCCAGGCAGCCAAATCTCCAACGGCATAGTGATGCTCGGCGTTGGGGACGTCACCTGAGAACTGCAGTCTGATCAAGCAATGATGGTCAAAGCGTATTCTAGCTGAGGTTATTTCTGTTGGAGAGGACTTACGACGCGTGGATCTTGACATAGCCTTCCTCGTCCAGAGCCTCTGGCGACAAATAATTTGACGTGGGAGCGCTTCGTGAGATAGCGTTTAGCACGTAGCCCGTTCTCAGTTTTCGCCCATCTCCCAACGTCAGGCACCACGTTTGTTGTTCTCCTTCAGTGGCCTCTGCAACAGTGTCAACGACACGATGTCCCAATATCACTTCCACTCCTTCCTCGCGCAAAATCGCAACAACTCGTTCCGCGAAGTCATCGGGCAATGGTTCTGATGATAAGAGTCGATCGCGTGAATGAATCAGCGTGATCTTCTGCTGTGGGTAGAGAATTTTCAACTCCGCTGCCATCTCTACTCCGACCGCACCTGTGGCCCGGATACCAGATGTGTTAAAGACGGAGAAACCAGAGTTGGCCAAAACTGAAATCAAAGGACGAAGACATACCACCACCCACTACGACCACACCCTTGTGGGCTTTCCGTACATTCTCCATGTGCTGCTTGGCTTCTGTGAGGAAGTCATCGCGGTGCAACGACTGTGGTACCGTCGGAAAAACTCGCCGCAACCCTGTTCCGACAATAAGGTAATCATAGGATTCCGTCCGAGTCAACTTGGTTTCGGCATCTAAAATATGAGCAACCTTCGCGGCACAATCTACCGAACTAACACTGCCCTGGATGAATTTGAAACCGGGAGATTTGAGGGCTGGGATATCTTGAAATCGAGTCCAGGATTCCGAGGCCATCTTCTCACAGGCGAGAGCCTTGGGAGAACCGATGAGATGAACTGCACGACGTTGTTAGGAGACGAGTAATATGACTGGAGGGAAGATAGGCCCACAATAGCCGTCTCGTTCATCGACGATAGTTGTTTGAATAGGAATACGGTGTGCGGGAGGAGGGCCGTCATATGCATAGTTAAAACGAGGCAGGCGACCCCGGGACAAATCCCAGAGATTTAGCGCCGCGGCGAGGCCGCCATAGGAACCGCCAATGACAAGAACCCGGAAAGACCGGGCAGCAGCTAGTAAGCCATCGTTAGAGGGCATTGCGTGTGATTGTTAGCTTTGATGCGATCGAAGGGGGATAAAGACTGAGGCAAGCCGGGAAAAGAGAAAGCAAAAGTGCACATGGCGTGGGGCCTCAGCCTCCTAGTAATATATCTTCTATATTCTAACGTGAACGAACTATTGGGGAGTGGGGGGCATAGATTGCCTGGCTCGGCATCCCATTGATCCGGGATCTTATCAGATGCGACATCGGCGCCTCTCGAAGGATTTTGGGGTGCTTATGCCCAGGGAGAGCTGCGGATGAGTGGGTGTCTCCCAAGGTTCAGCCATGGCATGCTCGGCGTCTGTGCACGCGAAAATTATCAGATCCGACCCGGTTTTAGCTGGCGTGACATAGGAAGACAATCATACTAAGAATAATCAAATGCCTAGGTACGCCAGCGCCAGTAATGGTAAAATAGGTGGGGGGCGTCTTATGGATCAATATTTGTCCATCTACAACGTGATCCGTACGAAAGAACAAGGGGCTGGTCTTGGCTAGAACAGGGCGAGCGTCATGTCCACCGGTGGAGCCGATGTCCTTGTTTGCTTCAGTGTACCTGACTTGGAAGCCCAGCCCAGGTCATGATTTCTTTGTAGTGATTGGATCCAGATTACTCGAACTCATTGGGCGCCCTTTTTTGGTAACCTTTTCAATATATGGAGGGACGTGAGGCAGGATCGGAAAAGAGCATGGGCCTATGATAAATTTTATACGGCTGTGATGTTTGACCCGCTCCAATGGCCCGGGGAAGCCATTGAAGCTCGATACTGAGACGCTAGAAATGGGATTCCAAAGTCTGATTATTTGTCTTGCATGTTGATTCTTAATATTACTCCACCAAATTTTCACAACTCTAGAAATTAGAATTTTCTAAGCTGTGTGCTATGCTTTTTTGCAGAGGGTGCAAATAATGTCCATTGACGGTGTAGATGTGACATCCAGGACGATGACTGGGATAAATATTGATTATGAAACTGATATCACCAGGTCCAGGAGCACTCACTAGATTAACTGAGAAATTGGTTGACCGATGCCCCCCCAAAGCGCTTTACCTCACCGTTTCTGAATGGTTCCTAGTGTCCGAGGGACTTCGGTACTCGGAGAACTGCCGGGTACCGTTCGAAACCAGGCCAAGACCCATACCGTGGAAACGGGCGTCGTCACTGTATTACCAGTGGAGGGAACAGTTGATCCAATCACGGCACGATCGCGGATCAGACAAGATCGTCATCTAATCTGATTGCCCGTCACCCGGGAAAGACCGGACGGCTGGGCCCGCCAAGTCGCTAAAAGAAATGGCGCAATTTGCCTTTCGTCAGCATTACTAGTGACGTACAGAGCGCCGTATCGGAGCGGTGTGGGCTCTCCGATGCGCATGAGGTGGGAGGGGACACGAATCCTGGCATCTGATAAGATTGAGCGTAGAGCGAAGAGCGAAGAACACAATATCTTTTTGGGGAAGTGGGGGTGGGATTCTATCAAGATGGCAGCGGGTAAAAAGCAAAAGCAATACATAGCTGAATACAAGATTAACTTCGGAAAAGCAAGCTGGCAGTCCACTTATAATTACCACCTAACGGCTTCGCCGCGCCAGCGCCGCGGTCGCCATTTGCCGCAACTCCACTTTCCGGACTTTTCCGCTGCCCGTGACAGGTACCGTGTTGGGCACTCCTTCCTCACCGAAGACAAACACAAACTGCGGTGCCTTGTGACGTCCGAGCGTCTCGCGAGTCCAGGATCGTAGCTCGTCATCAGTCGGGCGGCTTTGGCCTGGCGCAAGTTGGATGAACGCACCAACGACTTCACCGTACTTCTGGTCGGGGATGCCGATAACAGAGGCCAGCTCGATATGTGGATGGGCAGCCAAGCGCTCTTCAATCTCCAGTGGATAGATGTTCTCGCCACCACGGATGATGATGTCTTTAAAGCGGCCGGTTATACTGCAATACCCTTGCTCGTTGAACGAGGCCTCGTCGCCGGTCTTCAGCCACGTCACGCCGTCTGCGTCGGTGACGAGAGTCTCCGCAGTCTTTTCTGGATTATGCCAGTAGCCCTTGGTAAGTTGATACCCTGCAATGCATAGCTCGCCTCGCTGACCAATGGGTAGGATATTGCCCTTGGCATCCACAATCTTCGCACGCGCATGAGGCAGAACCTTGCCGACGGTCGTCAGTCGGGTGTGGATGCTGTCGGTCGTGAAGGCATTAAAACAAGTGGGAGATGCCTCGGTAAGCCCTGAAGTGCTGTGTAAGCAAGAGGGTGCAGCAGAAGTTGGAGGAGGGGAAGGAAACGGGGACTGGTACCATAGCTGCTCGTGTACTCGGTCATGTTTAGCTCCTCCAACAATCGCTTCATGAGAGGCCGGGGAACTGGTGCGCCAGCAATGATTCCGGTGCGCAAATTGGAGGTATCAAAGTTAGGAGGCTTGGGGACACTTAGAATGGCCTCAAACATTGTTGGTACTCCATGCAGAGCAGTGCATTTTTCATCTGAGATCGCGTGCAGTACCGCTTTGGGGTCAAAGGTCTCACTGGGGAAGACAATCTTGGATCCATGCGTCACCACTGCCAGCATGCCTAGGACCAGCCCAAAGCAGTGGAATAGTGGGGGTGGGCAGCACAGAATATCGAAAGACGTGAGATTCATGCGGTCGCCAATGAATCGTGAGTTATTCACCAGGTTACTGAGGAGGAGCCGAACATATCAGCATCGCTGAGAAAGCGGTATTCGCAACAGATAAAGACAACCTACTGATGTGTCAACATGGCCGCCTTAGGATTTCCAGTTGAGCCGCTGGTAAATTGCAGATTACAGACATCACTAGGCCTCAGTTCGGCTTCGCGATCCTGTAGCTCATGAGGCGCTTGCGATAAACCACGACCGATCACTTCTTCGTAGATGGTGAAATTTTGGTATGTTTTACGTAAGATCACAATTTCTTCCAAGGATTTCGAGGTGCCATTCTGCTTGGGCTTGGGCCCAAGCTCAGCTAGGACTTCTTCGAGGTTATGGCGTCCAATGTGTGGTGTCATGAAGAGCAGTCGGCAGTCTATGGGTGGGGTTCCAAGAAGGATTATTTATCAGCAAAAGCATCCTCAGCCAACAAAACGGGTTGGAAAAATGGCAGAGAAGCTTACCGGTGTGATTGAGCGCATAGTAGAGCTCGGACGGAGTGTAGGTGTTATTCAACACAACTAGAATGGCACCGACCCGGGCGGCAGCAAAGAAAACAGAGATGTACTGTTCGCAATTGCCCGCCATGATTCCGATGCGATCGCCTTTCTGAATGCCCATAGCCAACATTCCTCGTGCAAGACGATCAGCCTCCTCTTTCAAGTCGGCATAGGTCCATCGCGCTCCAGTCCATGGAAATACTAAACATTCATAGTCGCCATACTGTAACGCCTGTATCGTGAGCAGTTCTCCTAGGGTGATGTCCAACAGGTCGGGCTGCGTCGGGCCCGCGACAATCGACCACTGCAGCGGCGCAGCCGGCGCCTGGACATGAGACAATGTCTGTTGCAACCTCTGAACACTCCGAGGGGTAGCCATGGTCAACAATCACCGGGGATGGCGTGCAGAAAAAAGCGAGGATGGAAGAAAATGCGTGGGTTCGGGAAGACGGAGCGCATAGTGGGCTGCTACTGCTTCTTAATTATTATTCATTGTCGAAGCAGCCGACGATACCGCGACGATAATTTTCGTATCAGATCAGATAGTATCCGGGACGTCCGTCAATCAGATCAATCAGATACGCCTTGGTGGTGGAGCGGCCCACTTCGCGTATGGTCAAAGGCTCCATTGTGCTCAGGCCTGGAACCTACAAACGGTATTTAGGGAGCCACCCTGTAAATATACTGAAACGATAGGCTGTATGTACCTCTGTTTGTATGCTGATTCTTTGTTCGGTATTATTATTCGATGATGGGATTTCAAGTGATTATACATAAATTCTGGAACCGCTTGGCGTATCGACTCCACTCCACGTCACGGAACGCAAGGAAGCGAGGGCCACGAGAATTATTTATTATCCTTGCCCTGTGAGAAAAAAACCCGAGGCCCTCAAACCCTAGAAATTGCCACGATTTTTTAGAAGTCTACGAAGTTGTGTTCATTGGAAAGGATGATCGAGATCGGCTAGTTGAAGTTTTCTGGTCGGCGGATGTCAATTTCAATACTATCTACTCCTACGTGTTGAAATTTCCTGGGGTATCTCAGGTCCAAAGGGTACCGTTTGCACCTGGAACCATATCCAGGAAATAGACCGAGTTCGGCGCACTTTTCCGACTGCTAACCATTTCACTCACTACGAATCCCCACACCCTGTACCACATGCAGAAATTTTTATTCGGTACTATCTCGGTTCTGCGCACTCCGGATGAAATTTTGGAGGGGGTTCAGGTTGAATTGTGGCGGAGATCGTCTGGTTAACTTTCCTAGCGTGGGTTTTCCTCCGGAGCGGTTTTGTCATACTTTACTGGGATACGACCTTCGCTTGTCATGGTGATCCACTTTCATAGGCCCAAATCGTCCTCGTGGCGCCCCGTCGGATCAGATAATAATTATTGTTTGCAAAGTTCCTCTCTTTCCTTGAGGTAAAGAAAGTGCTTGGGAGCAGGTATGGGCCCTGGAAACGTGCCCTTTGTCTCAGTCGACCAAATCAGCCTGAACGTCTCCCACTTCCCTGAGGCGTGGATCAAGAGTGGGTCACGGGCTGTTGTTCCGGATCACCTGTGCAAGCATCGCTTCCGTCAGGAACTCTGTTGCTCTCCATGCAGGGTCCGTAATTGCACCCCTCCATAGGTTCAAGTTAAATTTATGGATTGCATCTAATCAATCAGCCCGGTGTCGGCATTTTGATCCACTCTGCTCCACCATGCCAAGATTATGCCTCCTGATACTGATATAGGATGATGGCTTGTGCGAAATTGGTAAAAAAAGAAAAAAAATAGCAATGAACGAGGGGGTATGTACATATGTATCAATCTTATGTGCTCAGAATTTGAAAGAAGAGTTCATGGGTACATGTAGATATGATTTCTCTACTATATCACGTCTAAGGCATATCAACAGGCGTGAACGCTGAGTTTGCCGGAAGAATATCCGGGCGAGTTCGAACATGCAATATTCTTAATCTCCTACTTCTCAATGTTCTGCAACAACAATAAACTCACGTATAGCCATCGAGCTATTCAATTTTTCCTTCTGGTATTGGATCTGAGGGCAACTAGTAGCTGAGATCATCTTTTAGCCTATTGAAAGTCACGGAGTGGGAGGGAAACTATTCTTTGAAAATACGAGGTCAATTTTGACAGAATGCAGCAAGGACCTTCTATTACAAATGAGATAGGTACATAATTGCGCGTCCCAAAAAGTGACGACAAACGAGAGAAGAACGAATGACATGGTACACGAAGTGTAGGTGCAACACTACATGACTTCAGTGAACCGGAGTAAAAGGCCCTTGCCCGGGCGTTTCAAGTGTACAAATATGTACTTGTAACCATTGCATTTTCCACCCCGAAGAAACCATTCCAAATCATCGCACATGGTAGGCCTCATAATTACATTGCTGGGGGAGGGCCGCTCGGTGATAAATTTACAGGAGCGAGCCCAGGGCAACGCAAGGCAGAGCAACACCAACAACGTTACCGTTCTGTTCATAAGATTAGCGGAAATTCTGGTCAAAAAGAGATTGAGCTGGAGACATACCGCCTGAGAGGGAGAGTTCTGGCAGCATGCAATGTTCTGCTTGCACTTTTGGTTGATCAGCTGGTCAACGCCTCCACCAACGACGTTAAGCACGGGAACTATTGATTTTATCAGCGATCTGCATGTTTTTAGCGTATATAGAGTAGCTTGTTTACCGTTGAGGCTGAGGTCATTGCATTGGCCGAAGAGACCGAGACCGTCACCACCGGGACCACCACCGAGGGCAGTCTGCAGGACACCAGCGAGGGGACCGGTGTTAGCAGTGTTGATGTCGTGAGTGTAGGTCGCCTTGTTGCAGCACGAGACCTTGGCATCATTGCCACACTTGGCCTGAGCCTGGGAGATGGTGGTCTTGTGGTTGACCGGGAACTTGACATTGCTGCCCTGGCTAGCAACACCGTCGCCAGACCCAGGAAGGGCCATGGCGGTGGCAGCGAAGAGGATGGCGGTGGCGAAGAACTTCATTTTGATGGATTTGTTGGAAGATGCAAAAAGCGATCAATCGAAAGAGTGACTAGGAGTCTTGGTAGAGGAAGGAAGCTGATTAGTGAAGTGAATGAACTGGAGGATGAGGAATTGATCTTGTTGCCGTCGGAATTCTTGGTTCTTTTATATCTTCTTCCTTTGTGTCCAGCCCCCTATTTTCTTCGAATGTGGATTTGAGATTGGGTATTTTCGACACAGACAGAATCGTCAGGTAGCCCTGAATGCTCTCGTATTACACAGAGCTGGAGATCAATAGCTCGGGCCACCCTGCTGGTAGCGAAGATTATTGCCCTTTTGCTGAACGCTCCAAAGCAGTTCAGCGAAAAAACCCCTGTTATTGACGGCTTTGTTCAGGCGCAATGGCGTCGTACATGTTCGACTGAGTCTTGTGGCTGCAGGAACAGGTTCGTTGGGTCATCAGGGTTCATGGTCCCTGTCGATCATTGAAATTGCCGGTCGCGATACCCTCGAAATGGATGAGCTCACGCTTCAAAGTGGATCGTGCAAAGGTTACACGGCACTGAGCTATTGGAAGTGGCTTTGCCTTGTTGTGATTAAGATCAACTCACTGTGAGCAATATTTTGCTTTTGAAATGTGCATGCCGGTGAATGTTTCTCGTACCGATCGGCGATGGATCTGATCTATCAATCTGGGGTACGAACGATCGCCCACTAAGAAAATAAAGAAAAACGACGAACCGCCCGATCAGTTCATTCAATATTCGTTTCTGTGCGGATACTGAAATTGACTCGTGGTGAATGTTCTCGAGGAGCCCGAATTCGGGAGATCTAAATTCGGCGTAGATTCCGGAACTGGATAGGCCAGAATATGAGACTGAAATTTTTCGCCGGTACCCTCGTATTTGGAATCAATAAATTCATGCAGGGGCGTGCAGGGAGGAGTCTTCTGCATCATCACCACGCATCCATGGTCACCTTTCTACACCCCGCACTGTACATCCTTCCCTCAACCAGTTCCACGGAGATCGATCTGTCGATTGAGCAAAATTATTGAGTAACTGAAACCTATCCAGCGAATAGCGTAGCGACAACCAATGCGTGCGTCGAAATTTCTTTTTGGTTTCAAAAGGCCTTCCAAATCCACTTCCGGATTTTATGCCAAGTCTCCCTGAAAACCAAAGATCATTGCCAACACAAATCATGTACTCAGTTAATGCAATGACAGCTGGTCCCCTTCACCTACCATGCGAATGATTCTTCTAAATACTTGATAGACCGGTAACCTTGTCGCATAGCTGAAGAGGCCGCTGCACGAGCCTCATCAGCCATTCCGGAGGGTCCACAGACGAGAATAGCCAGCTTTACGCCGACAGACGAGGCATCACAAGCACGACTCATAATAAGTGACTGAATATGGGGTCTTCCAGTTTGGATAATGTACCCTAGTTCATGTAAGTCTTCGAAAGACTCGTTTTCGGGTTGAGTTGTATAGAAGGAGGCGCTAAAGTCATTCCGGCCAAGAAGAGGCTCGAGTTCTCGCTGAGCGACGTTGTGAATGAAAGCTGATTGTTTGGCAGTCCATACCAGCTCAATATCTCGTGTCCGACTTTTTTCTCCTGTTGTCTCATCTCGGCCTTTAGCACATCTCCGAAGATGGTCTTGAAGATATGGCACGGCTGATGCAATTCCTGTCCCCCCCATAATCATCAACACCGACTCATATTGCCAGAGAGGGAAGTTATGTCCGTATGGACCCTCCAAAAGAATCGTTGTATCGACCGGTGAGACTTTGGAACCCAAACATTGTCGTCGTAACTGCCCTGTCCAACCATTATATGGCCGAATCCAGAAGACCAATTTAAGGTTTAAGACTTTTATATCTTCGAATGTTTCCTCGGTCATATTTTGTGTTTCATGTCTTTGAGAGATCTCCGGAAGGAGGGGAACCCGATCAACCTCCGTGGACTGGCCATGTGCAGTGAACAGACCTGATGAAGTTCTCCTGGAAACTAACTGATATGTCCAAGAACCAACCGTGAACGGATGATTTTCCCATCCTATCAAGCGTAATGGTTGGTACAGAAAGTAATAATCGCCCGGACTAGGCCGAAGTAAATCGGTGCCAGGAGTCACTTCTAACCGAATCACGTCTGCCGCTTCATCATATGTCATCTGACTCTTTGTCACACGGATCATATTCTGACTGGAAAGTCCGACGTGAATATTGCAATACAATATTCTAACAATCCTTATTCCTCGATCAATCAACCAAACTGCAACAGAAGGCCACAGATACTTCCAATATTCGTGACCCTCGAAAACAATGGTATGACTTGGTCGGGGTTTAGCAGCCGTTATTTATGGAAAAAGGACTCGGGGGAACTCACAAGAAACAACCAATCAAGGTCAAGATGGAGAAAATAATGTGTGTTACCAAAAATAATTCGTAATTTGCGAAGCGAATGCGGTCTAGAGAGGTGACCAGCACCAAAATTATGACGACAGATGCCTAGTATCCCAGTGAGTGTCTGTATGATGGTCGTTATCCGTTGCTATTAGGCGGGGATCCTTACCAAGATTCCCCACAATACATAAACTTTCGAGATTCCCTTCCAGAATTTATTGGCTGTGATGTTAACAGTGAGTAGCTTGACTATATGGGAAATAGCCTTGACAAGATTGATCGACACTCACCTCGAATGTATATGGCAAGATAGAGAAGGGAGTGGAATACAGCTTGTAAGGTGGCTATACGGGCCACATGGCGATGGAATGTGTTGAAAGTCGCGAAACTCCACCCAGTTGCCCAAATCAAAATGTTATTACGGCCACCAAGCAGCCATAGCAAGGGGAGATTTGCAAAAGCCATGATCCCTGTTCGGTCTGCAGAATATCGTAGAATTTGACTTGTGACATCCGGCCAGCTATATGTGTCAGCGGTTTGCGGACATATCGCTTTAGCCTGGGCACGGCGGACATACTAAATATTTCCTGGGAAAGTTCGGTACCCCACGAAGCTGAGGGTGATGCTGATAATCCAGAATCCGGCCACCACAAGTGCCTCTGCTCGAGTGGAAAATGTATGACCGATGAATTTCCGTCCTTGATTGGCAAGTGGAGGAGAGATAATCAGGTGAGTCTGTACCCAATGGAAAGCATGCCTTAGCCACGGCAAAGCGATCCATGTGCAATTCAGAGGATGAATATTGGATTCTATACCATGGCCTACGTGATAACCTCTATGATTGAAGAGAATCCAACGCCATAGCCGGTATGAGATCCCTAAGACCAGTATAATGCACCAATAAGCATAACCAAAGTAACTGGTTCGACAAGCATTAGCGCATTTTTTAAACACATAATTTTCCACTGAGCCCTACCCAAATGCATGATGTGACCAATTTTCAAATTGCCACGAATCCTGGCGAGAGAAAAATTCAAGTCAGTAAAAAGCCAAGCCTTGCAACGGAGTCTGTGATTATAAGCATACTATTGTATTGAACATGAGACTGAAATAAGAGGAAGAGATCAGGATTGGTTCGTTTTCATTTTCTCCTTGATTTAGTTGTAGGTAATCAACAATGCGCATGGTACGAATCCTGTCATCGGTCAAATTCTCAGCGACGACGTCTCTCGAAAGTAGTTCGAGATGGCCAAATTCTTGGCATAAAGCTGCCAGTTGCGCTAGGCCGATTGCAAGTTCTTTCTCGTGACAGTGTATTTGTGATGCAGCATAGATGGAAGTCACTTTCAGTGAATTTTGGCATCGGGTATCCCACATCCCCCTCGCCGGTAAGCCAACAAAGGATATGTAGTTGTATGCTGAGTAGACAGCGGTTACACACCGTTCATCTTTTGGCAGTACCTCAGCCTTCGCGCTGAATGCAATGAGTGCGATGAGTAACCATTCAAAAACCCCCATCACAGGTGTTGGGCGACGGAAGGCCGGTCTGTCCAGAGAGGTGAGCGGAGCAGATGAGGAGAAATGGCAGAGTGCCGATGATCGCACCGCCTGATCTGGTTGGACCCACCGAGTGACCATAGAAAAATCTGAGAGCCGAATGATTTCGTAAGAGAACAGTATAAAATATGAAGACTGCTCAAAAAAATCTGGCTCTTTTGTAAAATAGAATATTCGCTTCCTCTAATTGCTTAGCTGAGCCTCCGACGTCGGTAGCAATGAAAAAGTCTCAAAACTGGTGGCCATCTTATCTGATTGATAATTGCCACGTGACAATGTCCCCGGGAGCGAACGGAAGGGAGTGAAGGCGCCTCATCGATTGGGAATTTATCTGGCAGTTACGGAATAGACCCTAATGTTGCAGTATTGTAGCTGCAGTATTGTAACTAGGATGGTCCAATACAACCTACGCTGGGGAGCTGAAGTAATAGTGCTTTTGATAGCATTGTATCCTATTTTGACTACTTGGTAAGGTATGTCGTCCACAATATATATTTTATAGTGTGGAAACTACGAGAAAAGAGATTAGACCTGCTGTATCGTAGTTACTACGATAACCTCCTCAGACCAAGTACTCCGAATAGCCCCCTTCCCACTCTTTTTTTTTTTAGGCAAAGTAGCCTCAAATGCGTATCTGGAACCTTCTACTTGTGCCGTGGCATGTGACGATTTGGTGGTTGATGTTGACGATCCTACCTAACTGCTTCGCCAGACTAGTGTTCGAGCCTACTAATTTGGCATGTAGGTAGTGAGTTAGCAGCTACTGTACTAATCATAGATAACCGTCGTGTTGATTACATACATTCGCTATCATCTTTTAAGAAGGCCGAACCAATCGTTGCCCGAGACTATGACAGAAAATGATACTGACTAGAGTATTTGACAGCCCGAAGGCTTCGCTCTACCTATAGCATGATCAAGTTTCGCTAAAGAAAAAAAAAACGGCATGAATTCTGGCCTTGATAAGCGATAAATCATATCCATGGATTCCGTCCGATGCTGCATCTGGATCACGATCCTCCTACACCCCGAACTTCCCGCCCTCAGGAATCGAGAGATAGGGGCAACCTTTATAGTCGCACGTATTCTGCAGGAAATCAGCAGGAAGAACAAGATTAGCGGCAAAAGGAACGAGTAGAGAAAGCCAAAAAAGGAAAATCCAAAAAAAGAAAGAAAAAGGAGCTAAAAAGGGGGCCAAAAAGGGGCTCAATGGAAAATACCTTGTAAACTTGAGTACCCCACCACTTGAAATGATCACTTGCTCCGGTGAAATATATGGCCAGGAAAATGATGACACCGGCAATTCCAACAGAAGAATCTAATGCAGAGCTGAGCACAAAATTGTACTTGCTCCACCAGCCGTGAACTCGCCTCCGAACGAGCCATCCAAAAGTCAGACCAACAATCGCCCAGCTGGCGTAGTTCATTCCTGTGGCTGGTGGAAGATAGTTCAATCCGCCAAGGAATAATGGAATATGGACCCGCTTCCAAAGAGAATTTGGATAGCGGCGGCTCAAGAGATAGACGGGTATTGGGAGAACCGCACCGATGATGAAAAAATACAGAAGTGCGTTATAACCAATGTGATTTGTGAAGTAGCGACGCGGCCCCACCGCGCCCCAAATCAAAGATGTATTGAAATGGGTGCTGGAATAAGGACAAGTGAATCCGTTGGAAGCTGCGCTTGTACAGACGCCACTAATATGATTCAAGGCCCAATTGAGGACACCTAAAGAAGAGAGTGTTCCAAAAATCATGCCCGCGCACTGCACAAGGAAGAGTTTACGTTGCGGAATCTTGAGGCAATGTCAGTACTGATAGGTGGGTGTCCTGTCAAGGCAAGCTACACGGAAGATGTCTCACATGGCAGTAGTAGGCAAGCTTCATGTCCTGTGCAAAGTACAGTCCCTTGATCGTGGTAATATATCCGAGATCAAAGAACCAAATATTTGCCAAAACTTTACCCTCAAAAACAAACCCGGCCACAATGCGACAGAGGATATCAATATTAATTTTGAGATTGGACGTCGCATAAACAATTGCCAGCTGTAAGGGTGATATGTGAGAAAAAAGAAGGAACCAGGAGTTGCTTCAAAGAAGCACGACATTCACTGACCGGAGGATAAAAGACCAGAGCCACAGCGCACGCGAGTAAAACACCGTACCATCGAAGCTCAACGTCCCAACATTCAACTGCAAAAATCGACATGAACAAGGCAAACGCACAGCCGACTAGATACCACCATACTGGAACATCATGTACTGTGGAATCATCCTTGTTATGGATCTTCGCTCTACCTGATAGAGATTCCGTCACCAGTCTAGGAACCCTTCGTGCTGCATCAGCCATCACGTGGCGATGTTCAAGAATGGTCCAAACAAGTAAGGCGCTGAGAGTGGCAAAGGATAGGCCGAACATATTTAAAGCATACGTGACTGGCATATAGACCTGGATCTTATTGAATTAGCATCTTATGTGGCGTTGACACGGTATTTTTATGTGCCTACCGGCGAGTATGCAAGATATTTTTCTACATCAAGTTTGTATCCAGTGGCGGCACTGACAACTTTGGATGCCTTGTAAGTGTTTCCGGTATTGTCATAGACTATTCTGCCCTCTTAGTCACTTGGATCCAGCGTAAGGAAGAATGATAAGATGGGCCAAAGATACGTACCTTTAGAACTTTGAAACGGAAGGTAGGCGGTGTCCCAAACGTTCATATAGTAACAAGCGACAGCCACAATCCAGATCCAGAATATGAGGGATACAAAGACATTTAAAATGGCCCACGAGGGAATAAGTAATGGTGACCCAACGTACGAAATCTGGCTCCCTGTCATCATGTAAGCTAAACGGGGCCGCAATCAAGGGAAACGCCAGAACCTACAATCAAAGGTGATAGGGATCAAACCCATGCCAGAAGTCATTCCGAACAATTGATTCACGACTGTATTCTCGGGTTTTATCCAGCATGGGAAATTAAAATAGCTCAGAGCCGGAAAGACGAAGTCAGGAAACCAGTACCAGCAGAAGGAGATGCAGCATACCATGGAAAAAAAGGCATAACGCGAAATTTTCCATGTGTTGTAGCTAGAAGTGGTCAGCTCTGATGATATTGGACTTTGCAATTAGTTCAAGAGAAATATACCTTGACTGTACTCTGTCTTGATTGATATTGTGCAAAGTTGTGGTCAGAGCCGTCACGCTCAAAACACCGGGCCAGATTAGCTCTTTCGGAACCACGACGATGGCACGGAATAGGCCAGCAAGGCAGAAACCAATAAGGAAGGTGGACAGAGTAATTAGAACCTGAAAGCCCCAACCAGCTTTGTACCCGTAGAACATCTGTTGTTCAGTTAAAACATCGGCTCCAAGGCGAACATAGATGCTAAGATTGGACATGACGTAAATCAAGACATGTTCCTGGTAACGGGATGTTTCAGTACGGGTATTTGCACAATGCAGGATGAGTTTCCTTGGAAGCTCACCTTGGTGTTGAATGGCCCGGGATTAAGATTGAAAGAAAGTCGTCCTAGAGGGACATTCCAACAAGGTACGGCTTTTTCCCATAGCCTTCCCAGCGGGTAAGCCAGCAACAAAACCACCGAGGCTGAAATTGTCAAGGAGGGACTCCGTAGTGTATAGAGGGTGTTCAATCCACTTGCGATGATGCAGAAACCTACTCCCAACACCCACATCCGGAGAGTGAGGATAGGCTCCGTAGGGTCATCCTCGGCGATTCCTACACCAGCAGCCCGAAGAACGTCGACTTGCGACTCTGTTTCAGCTGCGAGAGTGTCAGAATATCTATTTGCTAGAAGACCGATGTGTTGTCACTTGAGGGAGACTGAAAATTCTGCACGTACCACTGTCAGTGGGATCTGCCCCGGCCGTTTGGTCGATGTCCTTCTCCTGGATACCAGCCTCTTTGTTCTCTGGCATATTGGTAGGAGACTTCAGTAATGAAGAGGATGGTAAAGAGAAGATGGGGGAAGGATCAGATAAATACGCCGCATCAGATAAGATCGTTCCCGACCATATACGCATCTCATCTTGATTTCGGGGCTTGGGTCGGCTCGAATTCGTATTTGCTAGTCGAGAGTCTCATCAGCCCTATAAGGCGAAGGCGTGGGGCCACAAAGCTTCAAAAATGGGTCCACTGGAACCTGTAAGGACAGCGTTTTCATGTCTGCCTAGCCGATGAGGGGGCTTGAAGTCCTTGTTTTGTGCAAAGATCTCATTACCAGCCAAATTGGAGTGACGTCCTTATTTTTTATTTTTTATTTCTAAATTTCTTTGTTAAGCTGCCAAATTTAGGGAGAGGGGGTTGGTATTGAGATCAATGAGATTCTCCTGTTGTCAACCTGTCCATCAAGAGAGGAGAAATAAGGTCCAAACTCGCAGGAAACCCGGGAAGTGTTCAAAATTTTCACCGTGGCTATTTGCATGGATGTGAATTGAACCAGTCTCCACTTAGTGGGCCTTATACACACGGCCTTTTCCGAGTTCAGGGGCCAAACAGGAAGAGACCAAGTGACCAAAATCCATAGTGATGCCCAAGAGAGGTTTGTTCGGAGCTTGGTTTTCTGTCTTGAGAGTTGGTGAGTCGGTAGACAGCTTTCTGCGGTTACCGGAATGAATCTACCATGTTCTACTTACTGTAAATAGTGACGAAACTAGTTGGCTGTGGATCTCGCCATTGTCTGAAATATTGTTTGCCGAATCTACGAGGGTATTCATCTATTGTGCGTGAAGCTCACGGAAGATGAAAGCTAGGGACTCCATTTTCATTGTCCTTATTTGAGAAGAGAGGAGTACTAATACCATACCAAATCGTAGCCGTGGTGTTTTCTATGCAGCTGAAGGAAGAGTGAGAGTAATTTTGCAGAGTCAAACTTCACAGGTCGGCTGGAACCTGGTGTGTGGATAGCAGATCCTCTTCCTCGATAGACACCACGACTTTGATGCCCCAGCCGTTCTTGCCACCAATCCAATTCTTACGTTTTCCGACCTTGTGAATTTTCTGTATATCTCGCTCAAGTTCCTCTTTGAGGTGCGTTGGGTCATATTGGACCTTTTGGATGGCAATGGTTAGCTGGAGACCATCTTTCTTTCCATTTTTGCCAAGCCCCGTCACCCATCGGGCAGAGGGAATGATGCGTGGCTTCGACGTGTCAATAGATCCTGTTGGATACAGTTGACCTAAGATCAACCCAAATTTACCCAGGTACCGTGTCCACCACACTTCCTCGGGGGTCAGAATACCCTGCAAGTGAGATTTGAGATCCACATCGCGTGGCGGCAGTTCTCCACCGTAGCGCTCCTGGAGCATGAGAGCCAAGAGAGCCCGATGCGAATGAGGGATTCCGTGGGTCGAAGCTAGGATGCCTGTGCTCGTACTGTAGAGAGCGGCGCTAGAGGATAATTCCTTAGCCATGGAGGCATGGACATAGAGGGCATTGGCAAATGCCTGAACGAGATGGAGACTGAGAGATGAAGGAACGGATCGGCCGGCGTCGGGTCGGGGAAGAGCGGCCAACATCAGTGCCGCGATTGCCTGGGCCGATGAGGGCGCATAGCGAGCAGTTGCCACCTCCAGGGGATCCTGTTGCCGGACGACCGGTAGCATTTGACGGAACAAGACCCCTTCTCGGACGCCGCCCTGACAGAAGTGCGCCTCCCGGATCCCGTGGGGCAAAGATTCGGCGAGAACATTGACTAAGAATGCCACCGAGGGCACTTGTTTGCGCCGACGGTCGGAGACACGGAAAATTTCATGGGCCGTCCGGGCGACTTCTTCGAGGGCCTCAGTGTTCTCAAAGTCCTCCTTAGGCGCCGAGTAACCGTTGATGATTGAGATTGGATAGTTTTGACCTCGCGTCTGATGGAGGTATAGGAGAAGGTAGCCCCAGCCTCGGAAGCCGCCACCAGAGAGATATAAGGGGAACCCCCCTTGTTCGTGGGCCTTTTGCACCAGGCTGTCTGGTACTTCGATCTGATTGAAGGCAGTGCGCAAGTTCCGGGATATCTCCTCGCGAAAGCGCTCCTTCGCCTTCCGAGCCTCCTCCTTGTTCTTGCCGCGTTTCAAGTCGGCTAGTTTCTGGGTCAAAGCGGCAGCTCCGTAGGGAAAGCTTACTGACCCTCGCGGGCTGATCTGAACGTTGCCCGCATGTGAAATGATCCAAGTCATTTGCATGCTCCCTCCTCCGAGATCCAGTGCCAGTCCCTCGACGTCGGAGAAACTGCTTGCAATACCCCATGCGCCCACAATACCTTCCTCCTCTTTGCGCAGCATCTCTACCTTGATCCCCGTAGATTTCAGGATCGTGTCGGTGAAGGCCGTAGAATTCAGGGCTGTCCGGGTGGCTTCGGTAGCAATGAGGCGAATATTGGAGGCCGGTACGCCAATCTCGACGCAGATGATCTGAAATCTAATGATCGCGCTGACAACATGGTCGATGATGGACCGAGGGATAGGAATGCGATTACCGGTATGAGGATCAATCTGGGCCTCGTAGAGGGAGATATTGACACGATGAAAGTGGACAGTGGGGATCACGCGCGTAGTCGGGGCCGACAGGTCCGAGATTGAGCATCGGATACCATTGCTGCACAAGGAGAGGGGACTTGTCAATGAAGGTCCTGGGGGTTAAGAGGGATGGGTGTCCATCCCGTCAATTTATTACCTGCCCATGTCCACTACTGCATGGAGATGAGAGTTTTGGTCGGATGTCGCCGTGGTCGAGCATTTCGGGTCTGAACTAGCCCTTGAGACTGAGTGAAGGGGAATCTGGTTGCCGCCGCCCATTTTCAAATCGTCTGTTGCGATGGCCGACTCAGGCGCATTTCATCTGCGTTGCTTGTGGCGGGGGCGGGCGGTTGGAATCGCAGTGTGGGTGACATCACTCAATTGACCGTCCTCCTGACCGCTCACTGGCCGCTTTCTGCCACCGCGTCGCGGATGACTAATCTAGCATAGTGATGCCTGAGGCATATGCAGCAGACGGAATTGCCCGTTTGGGGATCGACTTGTCTCCGCTATCATAAGCAACACCCGAAACAAGAACGAGAACAAAATAAATACCAAAACTCAAGGCTGGAAAAATGATCTGTACGCCTAGAGTGCAGAAAGAGACAAAGAAAATCTGCATAAATTGCCTGCGATGTATCCCTCATACTCGTGACGCCGGGGACGAGTATCCGGCCGGAAGCCCTGGGCTGGGAAGTGCTTGTGTTGCCCATGTCGGCTTACTTTCCCTCTCCAGCGACTGGCGTTTTCGATTGAATCACCCCAAAAGAACGACGAGCTTCTACCCAGCCACACCCATCGACATTCCACATTCTACATACATCCAAGACATAATTCGCCCACCATTGGCCGAGACAAATACAGTCTCGTTTCGCCTCGTCATTTCGTCGAGACCAAGGCCATCTAGTGGTCTGATGGGCGTTTCCCTCTGACCCCAAATCGCTCGACGGAAGGAAAGACGACCTCGAGGGATCGACACCTTATCATCCGAATATACCCCATGTACTCGGTGCAGAGTCCAGCGAGAGCCCATCTCGGCTACAGAACGGAAGAAGTAGTCCATGTATGGAACGCTGCGGGCCTGTGTACTAATATTATCCGGCAATCCACCCACGGTTCAGGGATCATCTCCTGTCGCATCTGTTGCATCCCACCCCGAGCCAAGCTGTGAGACGACGATCGGTACAGCATGCAGCATCGGACTCGTCCGCCCTGACTTCGGTAGCCACTGGTTCGAATCAATTCTGGTTGCAATCTCCACACTGCAGCTTCTACTGTACTCTGCGACCCCCTCTCTTCCTCTCTCACACTTTTCCTATATGCCCGTAGCAGGGGAAACTCTGCATGTTGATCGGCAATATGGGAGAAGATGCAGCTTCCGGAGCGGGGTGTATCAGACCTTTCAGTGAACATTCAGCCTAAAAACCTATTACAAGCGACAGCTCATGCGCCACATAAAATGTAGAAGAAGAAGGGGCAAAGATGTTCAGATGATGGCCAGAGCTGTATGGGTTCAGATCCGACGAAGGGTTATCATATCGACAAACACCCTGTAATGTTACTCTACCTGCTGGCTCTCGGGGCGATTGGGCTCTCGAGCACGGTGGCCAGCTCGGCCCCTTACCACCTCCCGTCCTCGAAGGGATTCCGTATGCAACATGGATTCGAGACCGTGTTAGTACAACCATTCGGGTATGATGGCTTTCGAGTCCGGGCATGGCCCTTCCGTCCACCAACGGGGCAAGAGATTGGTTTCGTCTACGACCCGCCTCTGGAAGGACCGGAGGGAGGAGAGGCACGCGGCATGACGTTTGATACATCGTTCAATGGCAATCAATCGGAGGAACTGCGCAATGGCAATATGGTTGTCCGTACCTCGGGATGGGGTGGCAACCCGGGGGCTATCGTCTGGCGTTTTACCGTGTGGAGGGGAACGGATCAGAGACGCTCCTTACAAACGAGTATGCACCGCTCAAATCGATCAACCCACGATACTACTCTTGGAAAGGACCAGGGAGTGAATTTGCAGCCGAGTTCTCTTTTAGTACTACACCCGATGAGCAGATTTATGGCACCGGCACTCAGCAAGACCATCTGGTGAACAAAAAAGGCATGACAATCGACTTGATCAACTTCAACACACACATTCCCACCCCAGTATTTATGAGCAGCAAAGGCTATGGGTTTGTGTGGAACATGGCCTCGACCGGTCGCATGGAGTTCAGCACCTTGCGAAACCGATTCAAGACGGATGCAGCGACCGTGGTGGATTATTTGATAGTCGCGTCGAGCCCGGGGGACTATGATACCCTGCAGCAACGCCTCTCGGCGCTGACGGGTCGTGCTCCCACCCCCCGAATTGGTCACTGGGCTACATACAATCAAAACTACGATACGAGAATCAGACGGAAGTGGTGCTGTTGGCCGAGCAGTTTCACAAACGCAAGATCCCAGTTTCACTCATCGTCATTGATTATCAATCTTGGGCACACCAGGGTGACTGGAGCCTAGACACAAGCCTCTGGCCAGATGTCGCAGATATGTCCAAGAAGGTCAAGAACCTGACCAACGCGGAAATGATGGCATCCCTTTGGCCAAGGGTGGCCGACAATAGCTTGAATTACCTGGAAATGATGGCACAAGGATTTTTGTCTGCCACCCGGTCCGGGCCTGGCATAACAGACTCTTGGAACGGATCTTATATCCGGAACTATGATTCCACAAACCCTGGCGCACGCCGTTTTCTGTGGGAGACCCTGAAAAAGAACTACTTTGATAATGGCATCAGAAACTTCTGGATCGATCAGGCTGACGGAGGTGCACTCGGAGAAGCCTATGAGAACAACGGTCAAAGTGCCTATATTCAATCGCTCCCATTTGCCCTTCCAGACGTTCTCTATGCCTCTGGAACCCAACAAAGTGTTGGAAAACTTTATCCCTGGGCCCACCAGCAAGCGATCGAAGATGGTTATCGGAATGTGACGTCGACCGAGATGGGATCCCCCTGCGATCATCTTTCGCTGAGTCGTTCTGGATATATAGGCTCTCAGCGCTTTTGCAGCATGATATGGTCCGGAGACACAACTGCAGTGTGGGAGACGCTCAGTGCACAAGTAGCGAGTGGACTGTCAGCGGCTGCAACGGGCTGGGGGTGGTGGACTCTAGATGCTGGCGGATTTCAGGCTGATCCGACTGTACCATGGAGTGCTAACATTGACACACCGGAATATCGTGAGTTATACTTGCGTTGGTTGCAATGGGCAACCTTTCTGCCATTTATGCGAACCCATGGATCACGTGCGTGCAACTTCCAAGATGCCTACACCTGTGCCAATGAGCCATGGTCCTATGGTGCAGAAAACACGCCAATAATCGTCTCATATATCCACCTGCGGTACCGAATAAAAAATTACCTCCATGCGATTTTTGCCCAATTCCACCAAACCGGTCGGATGATCATGCGTCCCCTTTACATGGACTTTCAAGTGTCGGATCCCCATGTATTGGAAATGACGAGGCAAAACAGTAATGTTACCACGCAGCAATATATGTTCGGGCCACGACTGCTAGTGACTCCTGTAACTATGCCAAATTCTACTGAGTGGTCTGTCTATCTTCCACAGCCTGCGGGAAATGAAACCAACCCGTGGACATACTGGTGGACCAATGAAACCTACGCCGGGGGACAAACAGTGGTCGTGCCCGCGCCGGCCGAACACATCCCGATATTTCACCTAGGGCCAAAAAGCGATGTCTTCGATGGAACAATCTTCGCATGAACGACAGTATTCAAAATTTTAAATTCGACCTGAACCCTCTCTGCATGAAGTGCAACATTTACGGGAGCATGGCAAGTTTAATAGAAAGCATGAAGAGCAGAAAAAGTCCAAACGAATGATGGACGTCCACAGGAATATCAGGTTTAAACAGAGAAGGTGAATCATTTGATGAAATTTTTGAAAATTGATCAATCCACCAAGCCCCGGTAAATCCTTTGTATTCAAGTCATCGGAAGCTAGGTACTATCACTCAGTTAATTTAACATCCAGGTCGAGCTGCTGGCCGTGCCTGTGATCACCCCACTCGATGTTGGTTAAGCCATGGGCAGAAAGATAATCCTTCCACTCCTGATCGCCGTGATCAAGTATCTTATCGCTGTCTTGGAGAACGAACCACGCAAGGCAAGCGCCGACGATGGCAAAGCCGGATCCGATCAAAAACACAGCCTGCGTTCCATGAAGCTCATCATCTCCCCAGATGGCTAGAATGGGCTTGAAGACCTGAGTACCGATAGCTGCTCCGGCTTTGCTCCAGGCAGCCGCGAGGCCGACTCCATGACCACGAAGGGCTGTTGGGAAGCTCTCGCTTGCGGTTAAGACGACAGTGGAACCGGGGCCAATCTCACCAAGCGTAAGAAAGATGCCATATAAAACAGTGAAGAGAGGTAACTTGGTCTGAATTGGTCCCAATGCGCCACCCAAGATGAAGCCAAGAATTGCCTGAAGTATAAAGCCCAATGCCATGGTCCGTCGACGCCCAATTCGGTCAGACAGGAAACCACCAATAAATGCGCCTGGAATGTAAAAGCAATTGATCAATGTTCCCCACGCCATTGTGAGCGCTAATGATGAAGAAAGATTCACTCGGCCCACGATTGTGGAGGAAAAGAGTCCGAAGGGATAAGAAATGTAGTTGTAGCTAGTCAGGGACATTTCTGTCAGTGCACGTTTATCTTCAGAACCGCAAAGAAAATTCAAGTTATGTACACGTACATGAACCATGTCCCACACATGCCAAGAAGCGGCCTCCAGTACTTCTTGATGGCCAACCAGTAGGGAATTGTTTGTTTCCTCATTGAGCTCTTTCGATAGGCAGAGCTCATGACCATGCGATAGCGAAACCAAAATATGGAAACAGGTGCAATCGCACCCATAGCAAGCGAGACCCTCCATACAGCCTCGTAATTTCTTACTTGTTGATGGAAGCACAAGAGCAAGACGAGTGGCACTAGGGCACCAAAAGCAAACCCCAGAGACGCAGAGAGATCACCGATCATGGCGAAAATAAAGCCTCTTCGTCGACGAAAGCGTGCAGTCTCATCGGTAGCTTCAGCTGCACTGGCACCGGCCACCGGATATTCTCTTCAGGAGTCCCGTTAGCGAAGAAATTTTGCTTCCTTGATTGGAAATCGAGAGATGCAGAGAACAGACGAGAGGGAAGGAACTATTCAATAGTATACATACCCTCCAGCTCCGACACCGGCAATCCCTCGGGCAATTATCAGCATCCAGAACATCCCATCTTCTGTTAACCCGCTGGCACCAGCACTGAGAGCAATACCCAGAACCAGAATGGTCGTCGTCAAGATAGCCCCGGTTTTGCGACCCATTCTGTCTGAGATATACCCAAAAGATAGCATCCCAATGATCATGCCGACCATGAAGGCGTTTGAAAGGCGGGCGGCGACGGCGGTCGTTAGGGATTGGGGATAGATGACTTCCATTAATAACTCGATGTTTCCGATAACTGAGGCATTAAAGCCATCGGAGCCAATTGCGAGGCCGCTAAAGACTACCATCATCACCATGGAAATTGGAGAATAGCCCCGGCCAGAGCCATCGGCTAATGCATCACTGACTGCTGCATCAGAATTTGTCGCACTCAGGGCTGTTGCATGGGGAGAAGCCGGGGTCAAGGACGTTGACTGGATTCTGGGTGGCTCAATTGCCGACCTGGCCTCAGCGACCGTAGTTTCAAATATTGTACGCTCGGTCATTCCGGACGGAGTTCAAAGAGTCCAAAGACTCTGGACTAGATTATCGATGCTCGATTACAGCGCGGGACTTTATAAAGATTCCTAATTATGCAGGCGGTCCGGTTCCGCGTGGACTTGCTTGAGACTTTGGCGTTCAGACTTGATTAGTTTGAGATTACTATCATTGCGCATGACCAATGATGGCACGGCATCTGGTATGCGGGGTTGAAGACCAATCAAGCTAATGCGCTGGTGCTTGGGAGGGTTGACGCTAGGGAACTCAAGGGCTGCACCGCGGCCGCGCAAGGAAGGTCAAAACGAGAGAGCGAACTCCTGACGGGACCCAGCCGCGCAATGGAAAGAAATGGCCAAACATGGTGTTTTATTTTCTTCTTTTCTCTCACTGGGCACGCAAACTGTCATCTCTATCATGTCGAAAGAGGCTGCTGTCGTCACTAATGGTGATGTGGAGGCCCTCCGGACGGAATCGAGGCGTAGCGGCTTTTCAATTCGAAGACTGATCAGAGTCGTAGCAGCAACGGGCTTTCTGGCGACTGGATATTACCATTGGCAATACAAAGGGTCACCTCGAAGATCTCCATCTTGGGCTGAATCTGGGGACTATCAAATCGGCGAAGAGAGTGAGCATGTCCGCAGTGGTCAGGACGACCTCCAACAGTGCGCCATCGAGAACCTTCTAGGCACAGGTCTTCCATTCTTAAAGAATGTATTTCCTATTGCGTTACCCGATTACGAGGAGCGACGAGATAGATTGGCAGCGGCTTTGGTGGCGGAGGATGTAGATGCCTTCGTCATGGAACCCGGATACACGTTCCAATACTATGGAAACGTGAGCCAACCGGATTGGGAGGTATGGGAGGTGAGCCATACATGACCCAGCGTGAAAACCAAAGACCGGAGCTCCAGGCTGATGAAGACCACACTATAGCCCGAAGAGCGCCCGTTTCTCATGGTTGTGCGCCCTGTGCTGGACCATACCACGAATCAAATCAAGGCCAACACAACTTTTCTCTGCCCGTCCTTCGAGGCAGAGCGAGCTCGTCTCTTGGGAATGCCATTTGCCGAGCCAATCCAGATCGTTCTGTGGGAGGAGCACTGGGACCCTTACGGGACCCTTAAGCACTCGGATGTCTTCATGGATCTCACACGGTCCCCACGGTTGATGGTAGACGAGGAAATGCGAGATTTTGTCCAGCGAGGACTTGGAACGGTCGGATTTGACGTGGTGGGTCTGCGAGGCCAGGTTGAAGAGGTCCGACAGATAAAAACGAAAAAGGAAGTCGAGATTCTCCGCGCCGTCAACACAGGGACCGTTGAAGCAGTGCGACAAATGAGAAAATGTGAGCCTAGATCCTTTGACACGCAAGGAACTATCCCACTGCTGAACAGTTTACCAAGGCCTTTATGCAGGATTGACTGAAAGTGAAATTGCGTCTGTTCTCGACAATGCCTTGAGGGCGGCGGGAATGGAGCCTTTCTTTGATATTGTGCTTTTTGGTAAGATTTCAGAACTGCGAAGATAATCGCAGCATATCTAATCATCGTAGACGAGAATGCCTCAAATCCCCACGGCGGCACTAATGGATCGAAGGTTCTTGAGTCCGAGACGTTTATTTTGATCGATGTCGGGTAGGTGACTGGAGCCGAATTCTCTGGATCTGCTAACAACACCACAGAGCACATCTATACGGATATTCGTCGGATATTTGTCGAACCTTTTTCCCACCATTTCTTGATAAGCCATCAAGGAACGAGGCTTTCTCGGAGAGATTAGCAGAGAAACTGAAAGTATGTGACCAACTCCATTGGCCTTTGAATTTTAATAACCTTGAAGACTTGCTAGGTCTGGGATATTGTATTTGATGCCCAAACGCAGTCTCTCCATCAGTTACGTGAGAACCACACTGCGGCAAGCGTTGACATTGCCGCTCGTGAAATAATTGTAAATTCTGGCTACGATGGGACATTTACACATCGCGTCGGTCATGGAATCGGAATTAAGGGTCTGCAATTTCGCTCGTGGCAATCCCGCCACATTTTCTCAGGAGCTTGGCAGAATTTGTAATTCTAACTAATATTGATTTCTCGATAGCTCATGAAAGTCCTTATCTAAACAAGGGAAACCACGAAACCTTTCTCAAGACCGGTATGGCTTTCACCTCAGAACCTGGAATTTACCTGGTAGACAAATTTGGTGTTCGGCATGAAGACGTGCTTTTGGTTCAAGGGGACGAAGAGCCTCAGCTATTGTCAGGAAGGCGAGCGATGGGACCATGGGATCCTTGAAGCATGTTAGCATCGGGGGTAGGACTCGTCATATCTGTACCTTTAACACGCCGAAAAAGCCCGAAATTTACAAGTAGGCTTGAATAGATGTGATATGAATTCCCTTGAGCTCACAGAGATGCCGAATGCATGACTGAGGACCAGTATCAAAATACAAGACTGAAGCAAGTAGACACGGTGAGCGAATTTGATTTACTATTCTATTTCCAACCTCAGAGCATCGTACTGCACATACACAGTCCCGGGTAAAACGGCGGTCTCTGTGTCCGTTGCATTAAAGGGAAGGTGAAGTCGCAACGTATTGTCTCCATTATGTAACCATTTGGCTGGAAATGACATTTTTGACTTGATTTGATAACAGCTGACCGCCGAGCGTACAATGCAGCTGCTTGACTGATTGAATCCAATGGTTAATTTCAAAGGCTCGTCCTGATTGTTGATGTAGCTTTCAAGAGACAAATTATTGTACGTCTCGTTGTTATTCCATACGTCAGTATTCCCAGCGGCTGTTTTTGCGCCAGCAAGTTGAACTGTGAGCGTAGCAGTGTGCCTGTTGCGAAGCTGTTTGGATTCTAACTCGAAATGAATCATCCAGTCATAGGTCGTACTATATTCCACGTCTGGGTTTGATGGTATTGGGCCAAAGACGGACCAATGTACAGTGTTGAAATCCATTGCCAGATCACTGGCACCAATAGTGTAATTGATCCCTTCTGGAAAATCTTTTGACCAGTCGTATGCACCCCAGTAAATGAGGTACTCGGGGGGCTGGAGGGGATGGGTCGAATCCCGGGCATTACCATGTCGAAATTCACCAGAAGATTTGTCAGGAATCCCCAGTCTCCATATTTCTATTCCGGCCGACTCTTCTTTCCATAATCCTCCAATCGTCGTTTCCTCGCGTTGGCTTACGACGATATTGTCCCGAACAAAATCGCCAAAAATACCCTCAGCATAAACTGTCAGTCGATATTCACCTTCTTTAACCCGATCAATGAAGAAGCTGCCATCGGGACTTATATCGACCCAATATTGATATGAGCTTGACGCTGCACTATTGTCTTGAAAATAGAGACCGTTGGCAGTCAGGACGGCAATAGGTCGAACAGCCCCATTCGGTAGTTTTAGTTTTCCCCTTACACTTCCTCGCTGATGGGAAGGGGCATAACCGATAACATGTTTTGCGATGGAATCGTAAAATTCCGAGTTCCACTCTGGATCTGCCAAAGATTCCGCTTCTGCCCGTAGGTCTTTAAGAGATGTAGAACCTTCACCTCCGTTGAAAAAGTAGTATTGAGGTCCAAAAGTTCTATCAAATCCATCAGTGATATTTGGCGTTCCTTCACCATGATGATTTGAAACAAGATAGTTGTAGACAATGCCATCTACCGTCAAGTCGGCATGAATTGGGCCCTTGAGGTTGATAGATAAGCCTGACTGGTCTAATAATGAAGCGTGCTACATACCCCATAATAGGTGTCCTGGGAGTGAATTAGCTTTGGTGAAATTCCTAAGGCAGCGCTGGAGAATCACCTTGGTATTCATAACAAGCCATGCCCCATAAGTAGTCCCAGATGATGTTGTTCCATCTGCGTAAAGGCCATGGACACTATTATTTCTCCATGCTAAAGATTTATTAGTATCAAGAACATAATGTAGATAGCAGATGGATATTAATACGGTAAGAAAACGTATACTTCGTAAAATACTCGGAAAATTGCGTGTAATAGGCATCATCTGGTGTGCTCTGAAAGGTCCATGTTGCATCCTGAACAACTTCTTCTTGCGAAATCGCATCCTTGCTTGGTAATGGGGCAGTCTGAACTTCACTAGATGTGAGATGAGTCCAAAGATCTGTATTTGGACGGAATAGTGTTCTAAGCTCTTGCAGATTCCTGAGAAGTGGAGTCGTCTGGTTGTAATATGATAATCGGCTGAACATGTGTAATCCCGTCTCTCCGTCGCGCAAAAACCAGTATTGTTGAAATTGCTGGCCAGTTGGCGTATATGTATCAGTAAGAATCATGCCTCCATATGTGGTCCCTGTCGAGTCTACCCCTTGAACGATCTTCATCGACGGAGTTGTCGCACCTGCGGTGTAGAACCCTGAAGGTACACAATAACAGTCCAGGTAGGGACCGATCCCGGTTGACCCTGATTGAGGACCCAGCAAATCCTGACCATCTAGAAATAGATCGACCACTTGGCCAGCATCCTTCTGGAGAACTGCCGTAAGTCGATCGTTGGAAAGCGTGATTGTTGTTTCATTCTGTAATACATGTAAAGTGCACGATGCGGATCGTAATCCCAGCAAGAATGAGATCAGCACAGAGACCCTCATTGGGAAGCTGTAGGCTTTAAAATTTTTTTCTCTACAAGCTTTAGATTTCCAGTTGAATTGCGAGTCCCCGTTACGAGTTCTTAAAGTTTTCGAGGTCGGATATCAATAGCCCGAGTGGACTTTGCCGCGTTAAGAGAGGGTCGGTATAATACTTGCAGAGTCAAAGCCCAAGAAACAGAAAGCAAAAACACAATTATTCCCACCAATGAGTATCGAGATTACAATGAAATTTGTGGAGGCTAAGAATTCTGGGCATGCGGGGACTTAACAAAATGCGGAGAACCGGATAAATTGGTCGGTGGCCGTTGTCCCGACCGTCAATGAAGGCTTCCTGGATGTTAACCAGAAGAGGCCATCCTCCATATCAAGGGATGAAACTTGGTCAACGACCAAAGCGCTAGATTACACATTATAAATGAAACTACTTGGCAAATGTCTACAAAGCATCGTGCCGAGGGAATAGCGCAATTGCAAGACTGCCTTGAAAGGCGTGAGTGCGTAAGACCACGAACGAAAGCCGAACCCTGGTTGGCAGCTGTGAGGTCGTGTTGACTAGATGACAGTTAGCCGGGACACCGCAATCTAAAGCATCTCTAGGGTAGCTCACTCGGGGCCTGATCCTCGCTTTTCACAATATAAGCGTGTAGATTGATACCAGACGAGAAAGGAGTGTGATGCGGGTTACTACAAAGTCCGGGGCACAATTTGATGCCACTGGATCTCTGGTTGTTGCTCAACCTCCGTAGGCCCCAATTGACATTTTAGCTGGCTGGATGCTGTTCAGAGTGAGGTGTGTGGGTGAAGAGTCTACGAAAGCAGTCATTGTTCATTGCGTCAATATGGTAGGATACGGTATCGGCTAGGAAAGCTAGGATTCAATGGAACGAGATGCTCAATATAGTGATGTATTGGGTGACTGAGCTATCTAAGTGTGTAGGCGGGGAATGTTGAATATCCCCTATCTCGCTGTCTAGCGCGTTACGGCGCTGGGTTCCGAGTATACCCGGGATACTATACAAAATATGTAGTAAATCGAGTATCCTTGTAACAATCTGACGTACACGGGGATATATGGGTCTCGCCTATATTATACGGTCTTCCTTCTTGACACATTGTTTACTGTTTACAGAGCATATGAGGAGCGTCGCACAACTTCCGCAACCTCTGCCGAGAGACCAATCGCGAGAACCAACACCTAACCATTGAGAGATCGCAACTGTTGTACCAGCAAGTCTAGATGATAACATCGTCCGCCTTCTTCGTGCTTTTCTTGACAACCTACCTACTGAACCAGGGCGCTCTACGGCAAGCCTGAGAATGCAGGCAGGATGAGACAGGTCGGCGAACAGGCCAACAAATCACCACACACCACTATGTAGGAAGCCTCCCAAAAGGGATAGCAGAAGCAGATGAAGCGAAGAGAGTGTGAAAGTTGATTCTCTTCCTATCGGAGATGCGAAGCCACATCTTGTAAAGACTGTGTACTAGGAAAGATATCCTCCAATCAAAGACCACCTATCGTCGGCTATTTCTCCACTAGAATATATATTACAACATTCTCTTTATGGCTCAGAACTCTCGCATAACATACTGTAGCTATCAATTTTGTGCCGACCTAACAAGGTAATATAATATACTCTAACGTATTTCACTAGTCAGTGGCCCACACTATTAGTGCCTTACACCGCCCCCCCAACCCTTCCGGGTTGTGGGTGCGCCACCTATTTTTTGTCACCCACATATATTTTGTCATTTTTTGCTACTACCCTATTTTTGCTTCCCAATCCAACACCACTATTAAAATATGCCTAAATTCGACGAAGCTCGTATGGCCGAGGCCTGTTTAGCAGCATCTAGCGTTGTAAAGCCGAATATCGCGCGTTTAGCACGCGAATTCGGCGTGCCTAGGACAACGCTTGCCTATCGGATCAAAAAGCAAGCAAGGCCTAATACAGTGCCTAACACCGCTAGAAATACTCTCGAAGCCTACCAGGAAGAAGCATTAATTCGCTGGATTCAATATATGAGCGATCACTATATGCCTATCACTCCTAGGATACTAGAAGCGTGGGCGAATCGTGTATGCTAACGTATCGGGAAGCCGTCGGTTAGCAAGATGTGGGCGTATCGCTTTATTAATAGGCTTCCTAAACATCTTCAATTAGGGCCTACTAAGCAGTATACGAAGGAATCAAAGAGAATCCTAGCAGAAGACCTAGCAGCATTAGCGAATTGGTACGATCTACTAGCCCAAACGATCAAGAAGACTACACCACCACGCTTAGTCTATAACTTTGATGAATGCGGCTTTCAACCAGGCGAAGGAAGGTCTAGAAACGTTATATCTACTACTACTACTACTACTACTACTACTACTACTACTACTACTAGTAGTAGTAGTAGTAGTAGTAGTAGTAGTAGTAGTAGTAGTAGGAAGATAGTAGACCTTCCTCAGCCAGACCAAGGCGAAAATATTACGTCTATCGAATGTATAGCTGCCGACGGGTGGCAGTTAGAACCCTGGTTCATCTTTAAAGGCAACGGCATCTTTATAGAATCTTGGTTTAATTAAACAGACGACCTACTACTAAGAACTACTATTACTATATCGCTAAACGGTTAGATAACCGATAATATAGTAGTTTAATAGCTTCGATTCTTTATAGAATTAACATACGACCGTACGAAATTAGGTGAAAAACGTATCCTAATATTCGACAGTCACGGTTCGCATCTTATATTCGAATTCCTATACCTTTGCGAAGAGAACAATATCCTACCTATAGGATTCCTACCGCATACTATATATCTTTACTAGCCGCTAGACGGTAAGCCGTTTCTAAGCTATAAGCAACACTTCCGCTTAGCGAATAACGACCACGCGTTTTAGGGTGGAAGCCCTATCGGAAGATCCGAGTTCCTTCGAATAATCGGTGATATTCGAAATAGAGCGTTTAGCCAGCGAATTATTCGTGAATCGTTTAAAGATCGAGGGATCTATCTAGTCGATAGTAGAAAGGTTATTAATAGCCTTCCTATCCAAGATTACCTAGATCTTACAGCGCCAGATCTACAACCGCTTTATACAATACCTTCACTACCACCTATATCTTCTTCTAGTATCGACTAATCGCCGCCTAGATCTATACAGGATCTAGAGAAGAATCAAAAGAAGATTACTAGATATCAACAAGAAGATCTTACACCTAGGCAGCAGCGCAATCTTGACCGGTTATTTCATCATAACAAGATTGCTATAGAGAACCTAAATCTAGCGAACGATACTATTCGCAAGATTAGGGAAGCTCAACAACCACTACAGCGCCCAATCACCAAGCGCTAGGTTAAAACGCCGCTTAGCAAAACAGGGGTGCTCTCTATTAGAGATGCAAATCGTTCTATTACTAAAAGAAACGAGAAGGAAGCAGAGGCAGAGGGAAGCGGGTAAGGAAGCAGTGGAAGAAAGCGTATAGAACATCACCACCACCAGATCCTACACAGAATCAAGATATAGCACTAGAAAGAGCGGAGGAAGCACGCCAGGAAGGTGATATTTTCTTTATGGATACTAGTAGGATGCAGTAGTAGATAGGGGAAATAGCAAAAAATGACAAAATATATGTGGGTGACAAAAAATGGGTGGCGCACCCACAACCCGGAAGGGTTGGGGGGGCGGTGTAAGGCACTAATAGTGAGTAGACATCTTCAAAGCCCACCAGCGGGCCCAAGGTCGGGCCTAAAGCCCAGCCCGACGTGGGCTTTGGGCCTAAACCTTAGGCCCAAGCCCGACCACTAGGCCCACGTCGGGCCCCCAATAGGCCCCCGACAAAGCCCATCTTTACATAAAATCAAGGTCTTAGCATTCATAATTTCGCTTAATCATCAAAATTAAATAACGTATTCCACAAGCGAGCCGCGCACACAAGCGAGCCGCGCACCCTATCGAAAACGCGTCTTCTATCTTCTACCTACTATCTTCCACTACACACTATGCTACTAAAACGTTCTAAAAAGCGCTCAAAATCGCTAGATAGGGAGGGTAGGATACTATTTGCAATTGCTACTATTCAAAAGGATCCTACCCTATCTATACGCAAAGCAGCAGCTATTTATAACGTGCTACAGAGCACGCTTCGCGACCGTATGAAAGGCGCTCTAAATCGCTAGGAAACACGCGCAAATAGTTATAAATTAACACAGGAAGAAGAGGATTCGCTTTGCTAGTGGATACTATCGCTAGATAAGCGAGGAGCATCTCCTAGGCCTTCGTATATTCGAGATATAGCAAATCTTCTACTAGTATCACGCGGTAATACTACACCTTCTACTATAGGTGTAAATTAGGCTTCTAATTATATTAGGCGTCGACTAGAGCTCTGCACACGATTCTCTAGACGCTATAACTATCAACGTGCGCAAAACGAAGACCTAGCAAGCCTACGCGCGTAGTTTAGGCTTGTTGAATCAACAATTAACGACAACGGTATCCTTCCTAACGATATCTATAACTTTGATAAAACCGGCTTTGCAATAGGCTTGATAGCGACTAGTAGAGTCGTTACACGGAAGGATCTATACGGTCGGAAAGCTCTTCTATAACTAGGAAATCGGGAGTAGGTTATAACAATTGAATCTATATTAGCAACCGGCTACTCGCTTCCGCTGTGTATAGTATTCAAAGGGAAGGTTTATATTCAAAGCTAGTTTAATAACCTTCCTAGTGATTAGCGATTTGAAATATTACTAAACGGTTGGACTACCGATAATATAGGCCTACGTTAGCTAGAGAAGCTCTTTATACTAGCAACTACTAGTCGTACGCAAGGCAAATATCGCTTGTTAATACTAGATAGTTATAGTAGTTATCTAACACTATAATTCGACCAAATCTACTAGCAAAACAACGTTATACTACTTTGTATACTACCGTATTCATCGTATCTTCTACAACTGCTAGATATAGGATATTTTACTATCCTAAAGCGCTTATACGGTCGCTT